TCCGTCGACAACAACAGCTCCGCCGCCCTCACCTCCGCCGCCTCGTCGAGCAGCACGGCAACCTCTCCTGCTACCACTACCCAGCAGCTGCCACCCGCCGACTCTACCACCTTCGGCACTCCGCCGACTCGTGCCACGCCTGCACCCCGCAAACGCAAGGCCGCCACCACCGACCCCACGCCGCCCACTGCTCGTGAGCAACGCAAGACCAAGCGTCCTCGCGGCACCACGCTTCCTGACACAACGGACCCGCTGGCCGAGCCAGATACCGCCCCTACATCAGTTGAGGCGGTACCAAAGCGAGGCAAGCGGGCTGTAGCCGCCGTTATGTCCACTGGGTCTGCTGCACCATCACGGTCCAGCCGTCGAGGCAGAGCTGACATGGACAGTCCGAACTCTGGTTCCTCCGCCGACACATCGCCCCAGCAAGTCCCGCGTGACTCCTCTCGCCGTAAATCGAGTCGCCGCAAGTCTAAAGAAGGTGGGACCAGCAAGTTGGCAAGCCTCCCCCAGCCTGCTGATGTGCGATCAGACACAGCCACGACAGCATCCGCAGCACCGAGCAGAAAACCTCGCAAAAGCTCTCGCAAAGACCAAGATGTCCTGATGAAAGATGTAGAAGAGAAGCCAACAGACCCCTCGCTAGGCTTGGAGGACAATGACCCAATGCGACAAGATGCTGAAGTAGGAGCCGACGGGACCGACGATTCGCCACCTCCGGATCAAGGTATGAGTGCACAGGATGAACTCGATGCTTTGGATCGTGGGGGCGACCCTTTCGGTTCTGGCTATCTCTCAAGGTTTGGGAATCATCCAGGCCTTCACAGCAGCTTAAGAGCACTGAGTGGTATCGTCTCTGGCACACACAGCCGTCTCCGGAATATCTTGGAACAGTTGCGGACCAAAGAGGATCCCTCAGTCCAGATGATTGCCCTGCAAGAGTTGTCCGAGCTCCTCCTGATCTCAAACGAAGATAATCTTGCGGGGCACTTTGCTCCCGATCAGTACGTCAAAGAGCTTGTGACATTGATGCAGCCGAACGAATTCACCGGCGAGGAGAATCCGGAGATCATGTTACTTGCCTGCCGTTGCATCGCCAACATGATGGAAGCACTGCCTGCATCGACAGCCAGCGTTGTGTATGGAGGCGCAGTGCCCGTGCTTTGCCAGAAGCTCCTCGAAATCCATTTCATTGATCTTGCGGAACAAGCATTGAGCACGCTTGAGAAGATCTCAGTGGAGTTCCCATCGTCAATTGTTCGCGAAGGAGGCTTGACCGCATGCCTAACTTATCTCGACTTTTTTCCCACCAGCACGCAGCGGACTGCTGTGGTTACTGCCGCCAACTGCTGCCGCAACATTCCAGAGGAGTCTTTCCCGACTGTGCGCGATGTGATGCCGATTCTTCTCAACACGCTCGGTAGCAGCGATCAGCGGGTTGTGGAACAAGCCTCGCTATGCGTCTCCCGCGTCGTTGACAGCTTCAAGTACCATGATAGCAAGCTGGAGGAGCTGGTCAGCGCGGATCTGCTTAAAGCTATCTTGCGCCTCTTATTGCCAGGCACGACCAACATGATTGGACCTAGCATTCACACACAATTTCTTCGCGTTCTGTCAACGACTGCTCGTGCAAGCTCGGCGCTATCCGTCGAACTACTGAAAATGGATGTGGTTGACACCCTTTACCAGATTCTTACTGGTGTCTCCCCTCCGAGCGGCCTCGAAGGAGTGGCGGCTCGGATTGACAAGAATGTGATAATGCAAGCCATTATTCGCACTCCTCGCGAACAGATCTTCGAGACTTTGAACGTCATCTGCGAGATATTGCCAACTGTCTCGCAAGAGAGTCTGACGTTCCTGGACGACCTCAAGGATGCAGGCTACACTGGTCCAGATCGCGTTTCGATGTCGACGCGCTCGAAGACCGCACCCAACGACAAACGTGTCGAATTGCTCAAAGGCTGCCCAGAAGAGGTCAAGCGCTTTGCCATCATTCTGTTTCCTACATTGATGCATGCATACACAAGCACTGTGAATCTCGCGGTCCGGCAGAAAGTCTTGACTGCACAGCTCAAGATGCTCTCCAATCTGGACACGGACATTCTCGAAGAAGCGCTTCGTGGTGTACCTTATGCATCGCACCTCGCATCCATCCTCTCTCAGCAGGACAATGCGTCCTTGGTCACATTCGCTTTGCAAGCTGCAGAACTCCTTTTGAAGCGACTGGAGTCGGTATACCGCCCGCAGTTCTACCGTGAAGGCGTAATTGCAGAAATATCGAAACTGGCAGAGCGCGAGCTGCACAGGGTCGACAAGGCCGAGGAGACGACGCAGCAGGGAGATGAAGATGTTCCGGCGCCTGAGACCGAGGAGCCGCGAGAAGAAGAGCATGATGAGCGCAATCAAGAAGGTGGCGAGCCAGAACCAATTGAGGTTGATGTAGACGAAGACGAGGAGGACAATGAGGATCGGGATGGCGGTGCCGGCGATGAAGATGATGACGACGACCAGGACGAACATCGTGAAGCCAACGACGACGACGACGATGATGATGAGGACGACGAGGAAGCTGAGCGACGAATCGCACGCGAGCTATCGTTGGATTCAATGCCATCTCCACACCCAACTCACCGCCTGGCCGATCCTCAGGACGTGATCACTCTCCGAGCACGACGTTTCATGGAAGTGCATGGCGATGGAGGAAGCGAGGACCTACGTTCGAAGGCGATGCAAGTACTCAGTGACATCAGATCGCTCGCAGAGGATCTGAAAGCCGCTTATGCCACGTCCACAAGTGGAAACGGAACATCACTCTTCAAGAAACTGGCGCAGTATTTCGAAGGCGATGCAATTGATAGCATCACGAGCTACGAACTGATGACGTCTGGTATTGTCGACGTGTTGCTGGAAATGTTCAACAACAAGAATGAAGAAGCCGCGGCGAAGGCACGAGCAGATTTCCTTGAGATATTCATGGAAGACGGGGCCGCTGGATCTGTGCAGTCTGAGATCGAATCTTCGTCGACGCCATTCGGCGCACTTGTGCACAAGCTGCAAGAGTTGCTCAGCCGCGCGGAACATTTTGAAGTCATTACCGTCCACCAAAATGCATTTGAGAGCAATCGAGGAAGTGCAGCTTCGATGCTCGCAAAGCAACTGCGATTAAAATTGGTCGCTGACGATGAGTCCGGTATTCCGCGACCCTACCGCAGTATCATGGTGTCCATCCACGCGATTGCCACGTTCAAGGCATTGGATGATTACCTCCGACCTCGTATCAGCCTTGCTGATCGCCCTCGTGGCGCCCGACGTGGCGACATGTCCAGCGCGATGGCCGCATACGCTGCAGCAATGGCCAGCAGGGGTGATCGAGATTTGCCCCCACCGCCTGCACTTCCAGCTCTGGGAAGCTCTAGCTTACCGACAAGAAGCGCTGGCAAGAAGAGCTCCAGAAAGACGAAGGCTGAGCAGTCGGCACAACCAGAACTTGACAAGAGCGAAGAAAGCACCACTAAGCTGCGTCGGTCATCTAGGCGTCAGTCCGCACAGGCTTCATCGACATCTGCACAACCCCCACCGGAGTCACCTGTTCCGGCCGAGCATCAAGATGCACTTCGAGGGCTCGAATGCGCAGACGAAACGCAAATTTCCGACGATGGAGACGACGAGGAAATGGAGGCCGAGCTTGACGCACTCGTTGATGATCTGGAAGATGGCGCCTTGGAACGAGACGAACCTGATCCTTCGGCGGTTAGCGTTGAGGTTGCGAATTCTGGAAAGGTGACTGCGCGCACGGAAGATGGGGCCAGGGTCGCTACGCCATCTCAAGGTGCGTCAACTCCCTCGGGCATCGAACGCATGTCTGCATCGGCGAGGTTGGCTGCTGCTCGCGAGTTGCTATCGACGCCGACGTCGTCCATGCGCGGCGCCATGTCTTATGCCTCTGCATTGCAGCAGCCCCCTCAGGACTGGCACATTGAGTTCAGCGTCAATGGCCAACCTATTGCCAGCGATACTACCATTTACCGAGCATGTCACTTCAGCCAAGCACAGGGCGAAGAGGTTTCTAGTCGCAGCATCTGGTCTGCCACTCACACAATTTCGTTTAAGAAAGTGCCTGGACCACCACCCAAGGATCGCGATACACCATCGCCACCTTCCTCCACCGACGAAACATCAACTATCGACGGTCTTCCTGCTTCCTTGAACAAGCATCCAGTGACCGCAGCCATACTTCGTCTGATGAGCATCTTGCACGACTTGAATGCGCACATCGACGATGTTTTGGCAGAGAGTAAAGGCGTGCATAAAGTCAATGCGCAGCCGGCGTCCCTGTTCGTCAACTCCAAATTGACCGCGAAACTAAACCGTCAGCTGGACGAGCCATTGATCGTGGCCAGCCAGTGCCTGCCTAGTTGGAGCGAAGATCTGGCGCGTCTGTACCCGTTCCTGTTCCCGTTCGAGACTCGCCATCTCTTCGTCCAGTCCACCTCCTTTGGCTACTCCAGGCTCATGACTCGATGGCAGAATGGTCAGGAGAACGAATCTCGGCGCCACCGAGACGAGCGCCCATTCTTGGGTAGAGTTCAGCGCCAGAAAGTCCGCATTTCGCGAAGCCGAATCTTGGAGTCCGCGATTAAAGTGATGGAGCTGTATGGGAGTTCTTCCAGCGTTCTGGAGGTAGAGTACTTTGAGGAGGTCGGGACTGGCCTTGGACCTACTCTCGAATTCTACTCCACCGTCTCCAAGGAGTTCTCAAAGAAGAAGACAAAGCTGTGGCGTGAGAACGAGTCGGCTGATGGTGACGAATTTGCTTTTGGCAAGCGAGGTTTGTTCCCAGCGCCCATGAATGAAGAAATGGCGAGGAATGAGAACGGCCAACGGGTTCTGCACCTCTTCAAGATGCTTGGCAAGTTCGTCGCTCGCTCAATGCTGGACTCTCGCATCATTGATGTGTCCTTCAACCCCACGTTTTTCCGCATCCGAGAGGGTTCAACCACGGTCAACCCATCACTGGGTGCAGTGGCTGCGGTTGATGCGGATCTCGCGAAATCTCTGAAAATACTGCGCAAATACGCCAGCGCGAAACAGCGCATCGAGGAGGACGCCGATTTGACGCCAAGCGAGAAGAGCGACAAGATCGAGCAGATTCGCATCAACGACGCGAAGATAGAGGATCTGGCGCTTGATTTCACGCTCCCCGGTTATCCTAACATTGAGCTCCTGCCAAATGGCGCCACCATCAACGTCACGATTGAAAATGTCGCACAATACATCAAGAAAGTCATCGACTTCACGCTGGAGACGGGCGTCCAGAGACAAATCGATGCCTTCCGTGCTGGGTTCACACAGGTCTTCCCGTACTCAGCATTGCGTGCATTCACACCCGACGAGCTCGTTATGCTCTTCGGTCGCGTGGAGGAAGATTGGTCGCTCGAGACCCTGATGGACTCTATCAAGGCCGACCACGGCTACAATCTGGACAGCAAGAGCGTCCGCAACCTACTGCAAGTCATGTCGGAATTTCCACCACAGTCGAAGCGCGACTTCCTGCAATTCGTTACGGGTAGCCCGAAGCTGCCAATAGGAGGTATGTTCCAGCTCAAAATGTCTTTGACGAGATATTTGTATACTGACTCACATGTTCCAGGTTTCAAATCGCTCACACCGATGTTCACTGTGGTATGCAAGCCAGCTGAACCTCCACATGGCTCCGACGATTTCTTGCCCAGCGTAATGACGTGCGTCAACTACCTCAAGATGCCAGACTACAGCACGCTCGAGGTGCTCCAGCAGAGACTCGATACAGCGATTAAGGAAGGACAGGGAGCCTTCCATCTTTCATAGACGAAGCAAAGCATCAAGTGCCACAGGAGGCACAAGGACTAGATTACTCGCTCACGTCGGCATGGCTATGGGAAGTATGAAGTGCAGGGAAGCACGTAATGAGACCACGCATAGCTCATCAGGACCAAGCCTGAGTGAGACTCATGAACAAGATGAGCAATGGTCGTTGGCAAAAAGCGGCTCTGTACATCAGTAATTTCATCTTGTTACACTGAGACTCAGTATTCCATTGCATCCTCAAACAAGCCTCGCAGTTGTTCCCGCTCTGCGGATTGATCGTGCATCTCCAAGTTTGGTGCCAGCATCAACACGCGTGCTTGCGGCATCGTGCCTTCGACCAGCGCATCGATGTGTTCACTCTTGAAACCCAAATGCTTCAGACCCCGCGGTTGGTCGCCCAAGTCCACCAAGAATTTCGCCAGCGCCTCTGACAATACTTCGCCCGCGCTCTCCTTCTTTACATTCGAGATATCCACGCCGAACGCTTCAGCAGCTGCCAAGTGGCGTTCCGGGTTCGAGGCGCCAGTGAACTTGAATACGGCAGGAGCGCTCACGGCGACTGAGACTCCGTGAGGGATGATGGGAGTTTGTACTTGATAGCCTGCGTGCTGATATCCTGGATTCTGGCTTGAGATGGGATAGGACATGCCGTGGCACAGGTGCACACCTGCATTTCCGAAACCTACACCGGCGAGGGTCGCGGCGAGAAGCATTTTCGATTGTGCTTCAAAGTCATCTGGATCTTTGACCGCTCGGGGGAGGTACTTGACGGTATCTCGCAGGGCCTGAAGAGAGAAAATGTCGCTGATGGGGTTCGCTCCTTGGTAGGCCGGCCGGTTGATGGGGTTTGTGGGTCGTGGTACACGTTCGTGGTATGGGATGGCGGTCCAGGATTCCAGACTGTGGCAAAGAACGTCGAGACCAGAAGAGGCGTGGACTGCGGAGGGCATGGTTCGGGTGTTGTAAGGATCGCATATGCCCAGTGTGGGCTTCAAATTTCTATGCGCGATACCAGTCTTTGATTTCTTGCTGACGAGATCGAAGATGGCTGTGCCTGTGGTTTCAGATCCAGTTCCTGCAGTGGTTGGAACGGCAATCAGTGGCTTCAGCTTTGAAGTGATGGGCTGGCCTTTGCCGAGCGGCGCATTGACAAAGTCGAGGAATTCGGCGTCCGGAAAGGTCGTGTACAAGTTCATAAGCTTGGCCGTGTCAATGACACTACCACCTCCCACAGCGAGAAAAGCATCGGGCTGGTACGGTTTGGCGTAATCGATTGCTTCCCGGATCGAGTAGTCTTTGGGCTCAACTTTGACTTTTTCATAGACATCGTATGCAATGCCCTCGCGCTCAAGGCCTTCTACGACCTGTTTCATGGCGTCCAGCTTCAAAACGGTGGAATCTGTCACGACCATGACTTTCTTGGCTCCGAGATTGGTAAAGTCCATGCCAACTTCCTTGGTGCATCCTGGACCGAATCGAATACTGGAAGCCGCCATTTCGAACGCATATTCTTTCTGCTGAGATTGATCGACTGGTGTAGCAAGTTTCCGCATTCGACCAGCATAAGGACTATGCGGGTGGTGATGATGTCCAGGATTGGCATGGGCTGGACACGAGCATGTTCCTGAATTCACTGCTCTGAGCAGGTTGATAGCGCGCTGTGCACGCGTCGGCGCGACGCGAAGGATGGCCATTGTGCAATAAGAGGCCGAACGGGACGTGTTGTGTCAGTAGAGTGCAAGAGTGGACTACGACATCACAACGCGAGCTCTCGTGCGTAGTCGGCACACGCAGCTCCGCAGTGAGCTGCGTCCCGCGGGGACGGCGCCAGTGGAGCATCCCAGGATGGCAGGTCTGCCATGCGGAGGAAAGCCGAGGCGCCAATTCGTAGCCGCGGTTTTGGTTTGAGTCTTCGGTTCCGTTTGGCGGATCCGATTTAGACGCCGCAGCTCAGCTCTTGACAAATTAGTTAAGAATTGCTTCGATCTTTGAAAAGTTGCATCAATAAATCATCCCCGATTAGGACGCAGTGTGCCTGAGATGCTGAGATTCCATGTGAGCAAGATTGTTCACTTCGACCATCATTAATCTTCCTGGTGAGTCTAGGGGGAGCGGATAATTGTACAATGTTCGCACATGTTAACATTTAGCTAACTGCAGTGATTCCATTGCCTGCTGTCCCGAATCCCAGATCTGTGCTGAAATCCACAGTAGACCAAAAATCGGCGTCGAGATAGTTGAAAAAGTCCACGTTCAAAATGTCATCAGGCGGCGTCGGATGCCCGAAATTGTCCTGCCCTGGGGTGTATTTCCCGACATCTGTCGTACTCCTTGAACTGCCCATGGCCATTTCGCCGAACCTCGACTTGTACACGCTCTGCATGTACAGCACCCGTTGTGGCCATTTGCCAAGAGCATTGTTGTTGAGGACGATGCCGTCTGGTCCAACTCTGGTGGCTTCTTCGAACAGTCGAGCCGATTCCTCGATGACGTAGGAGAAGTTCAAATGATCGTTCAAGGCTTTCACATCCCAGCCATCGATGTCCAGCGATGCGAGCTTCGTCAGGACAATAAAAGCGTGTCCAAACTGCGCAAAGACCGAGAAGGGCAATGTCAAGTATAGTGATGGCGGAATGTCGAAGAAGGCTTCCACAAAGGCCTTGACCGCTGACACACATTGATATAAGTCATCAAGAACACTGCTCAACGATACGTTCCGGTCTTCGACTAGCCCATTGAGCGTCATTTCCCACTGTTCTATCATCAGAAATTGCGGGCTTGATGTTCAGGTGCGTACTCACCAAGAATATCTCTGCGAGGAGAGACTGCATACGGAGAAGTAAATTGTCTCCTTTGCTGGGGTCTGACTGGCCCACTCTGTCAAGATCGGCTTTCAGAGCTTTGGTGTAGACTTTTGCTGGTACTGTCGTCAAGTCCGCGGTGCACATTGACTGCATGATCTGTTGCAATCTGACCATCTGCACGAGAAGGCAGTCGCTCTCTCGTTCCCGGCATTGCTCCAGCGTTCGAAGACAGGTTTCCATGTGGCGGGTAAATGGCATCGCATCAATTCGATGGAAAGACGATGATAACACTAGAAACGACGGAATCAGTCTGAGCTGCGGCGGACCAATGTTGCGTATGATCGAGACTCACTGGAACTGAAGTAGAAGAGGCCGAGCAGAATGCGGTGGCCCTCGTTACTCTGTGCCCGTAACTCCACGCCGAAGATTGCATTGCTGTGGGGCTGACGACCGAGACCCATGTCGGCAACCATCGCCATTGCGAGGTAGAGCATGTTATTCGTTTGGCGATTCAGAAATACATGAGGATGCGACCACGCAACGAAAATGATGATGCTGTTTGTATGCATTAGCACGCATCCATTATTCCTAATTAGCATCGTGAGAACATACGCTTGAAGTAAGTCGATCGATTTCTCTCCTTTGAGCATGATCCTATCGCTCATGTCTCGAATAAGCTCCTTCACGAGAAGTCGTTGCCGCGGGAGGTCGTGGAACAGTGCAACGGTAGTGATTGCTCTCAAGAGAACCGGCTTGGCCTTGTACAGCTCTTGGGCCGAGACAGAAGTCGGTATGATTACGAAAGGTAGGCCTGGAGACATGAGTCGTTGGTATCGATCCAACAAGTGCTCCGCCTCGCTCAGCGTCACGGCTGTCAATCTATTGCTGGCGGCGCCATTTGTGGTAGGTGATTGATTGCGGGACACTTCTTCCGACTCTAGATCTTGCTCGGTAGCGTCGCAGCACAAGGAACTAATGAGTTCCTGGCTAATCTCGCCCCGAGGGCCTGCTCTTTCGCTTGGGACATGAGAAGCTGGGGGCGAGAGTTGGCCATAATCCGATCGAGTGGGAGGGTTGGACTGCTGTGAGGACAGCGCATTGACTAGATGCTCAATCTTGCTTTCCAGCTTCTCCAATTGAGCAGCACGCCTACAGCCGCTGATTAGCTGTTGTACTGAAGAGTCAGATCATTGGCCAAAGAGGGACCGCAGAAACACGCAGAGTGTCAAGAGACTTTGGCTCGAAGTGCAAGTATTCTTGCTACAAAGCGTGACGGCGTCCTCGCTGGTCCAGGTCGATGGCGTTTTGGGTTGCGAATTTCTGTTAACATTGTTTAAATAGAGAAAGCACTTACGTTGTCTTGATCGATTTCCGTCTTCTCAGAATCGGCTCTTTAGCATGGCATTCCTTTTTTAGTCTCGCGCATCTGGTCACAGAAAGTTAGCATTGCTCAAGCAGTCCATAATTGATCGAAGTTCGTTTGCACGAAGTTCGTCTGCAAGCACTCCTGTGCGCTCGGAAAAAAGTCAAACACTCTGGGCGAACGATGTTTCTAGTTCCGACGCCGTGGAAGCTTTCTTCATGTAGAGCTCTTGCAGTTTGACGAACGTCCGTGTTGCGGAGGAAAGCACGAATGTTGGGCGTATTACCGTTCGCAAATTTCTTGTCCGACCCGTCGCACACATCTCGCTTTAGCCTTGTGGCAAGTCGTACCTAAGGTTTCTGGTAAGAACATGTCTCTCAGATATGGACCTGTGGTGCCCTGAAGCCCGGCGTCAAGTTGAGGATCACGAAGACCCACAACATAACATGACCGGAAACGGCAGAACGGACAACAACATTTTTGGTGGCTTGAACTTACACGAACGAACAGTGGCTTTCGACTCCATTTCTTTTCTCGGTGTAAATAGTGTGTAGAGATGGAGAGACGAGAGAGTGGGAATGGGAACGGATCTTACAAACGTCCAGACGGCCGTACGGGAACGGAAGGCACTTTGATCCGGTTCCGTTTCCCGTAAGCCTACTGCTGACAAAAATGCTGCTAGGCAGAAACATAAACACGACTACGACCACGATCGTGTGGAGTGGCACCACGCGATAGTACTGTACGAGAAGCATGTGCACTCGCTCCGGATCCTGCAGTATCATTCTGTCAACAGTCGCTCGATGGGACCTTGCGATACTGTATGCCCCATCTGGGGCTCGATGTTCAACATCTTCGCACGGTGAACGGCCATCACCACACGCCGATTCAACCGCGATCACACTGTAAATGCTACACAGCATCATGCGCCATCACTCGGACAGAATCGCACGTGCTCACGGCGCCAATGTGACAAGAGCAGCGGATCCAGCGGCAGAGTTGACTTTGCAATCCTCGACGAGGACCAGGCCAGGTTGTCTTCACTGCGGGGACGATTTCCCGGCGCATATTCGTCGGACGTGCGGTCATCTTTGTTACCCCGGATTGTCGAATTGACCTTTCGCTTCGTTCAAAATGTGAAAATGGGAACATCTGGTTGTCTCAAACGGATGCTGAGAGAGGTTTGTGAGGAGGAAATAAAGAATTGACATTTGAAGAAAATCGCAAAAATCGCTTCAACCCGATAGACGCAGCCGTGGCCTGTCATCACTTCAACACTCTAGGTTGCTTCTCCTCACGCAGTCTTCGCCCATGCTGCTGACAGGCCTATCACAGAGGAAACAGTACCAGCAAGGCCAACGATGCCGTCGTCCAAGGTAACGACTCCAATGGCACTTCCGGGCACAGTGATATCGCAGACGTCGGACAAGAGCTGTAATTGTGTAGCAGCTTTCTCCCTGCGCGAGCTGTTAGTGAATCAGTAGCATATCAATGCACGCGTGACATACTTCTCCAATGTCTTTTGCTCAACCTTCTTCTCCGCATCGCCTCCTGCTTGCTGCTGCTGCTTGGCAATCTGCTGCAAATTGTATAGCGTGTACACACCGGCAGCAATATTGCATGCCAGACCGGTGAACCAGGCACGGTATGCCTCCTTTTGTAACCTGGCGCCCGACTGCAGCTTGTAAATGCCAGTCTGGTCAAAGTAGGTCGCGGCGTCGAGCGCGAGGTAGAAGGCATAGCCTAGCTGACGACCCACGGCCAAGTACTTGAGCACTGGGTCCATCGACTTGGAGTCGGCAGCCACGGCAGCAGCCTTGAAGTGTTCGACGAACTTGCCCAGTCGGAAGGCCTTGCGCGCGCTACCGAAGCTCTTCTTGATCTGCTCGAAGATGGCGACGGTGCTCTGCGGGTGGTTCGTGCGGTAGAGGTACCAGGCGAGGAAGCGGGAGAAGTATTGAATGGTGCGCAAGGTCTTGTCGCGCCCGACTACATGGCCATCAGCGCTGTTGCGCGTTCTACATTGCTCGCGGAATGCTTACTGGTGGTAGCGACGAAGCGGTTGAAGTGGGCCACCGAAGGGTGGTAGATGAGGGCGTCGGCGACCATGGCGGCGACAATTCGATGTTTCTTGGTGTTGCGACGAAGAGTGGAAGATTCAACAATGAGAATCGCTACAGGGAGATACCAACAAGACAAACGAGTCGCTGCTTCGCCATGTGATAGCGGGACGCCGAGGCTAAACTGCCGGGAGTTCACGAGCGGCATGGGTCTCGGTGCGAATGCGGCAGCGCGGAGGTCTGTTGCAATGCCCGTGACGACTCGCCATCGCCAGCATCACTACCATCGCTATCAACACCGCATGGTCACTCTGTGATGGCCAAAAAAGGTGCGCAGGCTCCTGCTCGGGCGTGATCGATGCGCCGTGCGTTGCGACTAACCAACAACCGCAGCCAAATCGCGCACCATCGCCGTGCGCCTGATATCCATGGCCATGACGGGGTACTACAAGACCTTCACACGTCCCCGAACGCATCGCCCACTGTCCATGCTCAAATACGACCCTGTCGGTACGATGCTCCGCGAGGCCCTCGGCACTATACCACGACTCTAATACAGACACAGTGAAAAAGAAGGTCTTGTTTCTCGAAGCGAAGCGCGGCGGAAAATAAAGCTGCCTGACACCAACACGACATTATGCATCACTCCTCGCCCACCGTACAGCATCCGCATTGAGCTAGCCATCTGAGGGGCACAGAAGCGTTCGGACTCATTAGAAGAGAGCCGACCGGCACTGGAAGCATAAGCAGTGATAAGGAGACATGCTGTGTGGATAGGACGATCACATGAAGTGCTTCATGTGCGCAAAGAGACGAGGCATGCATGAAGATACGCAAAGGAACAGCAGTCTCGTGTGGCTATCTGCTTCGCCCGTCCAGTATCGCGCCGCCCATATCTGGAGAGTCGAGGGCAACAGCAATTCGGCCCCCAATGCCCTGTTGCATGACAGGGGCAAGCACCAACACTTGTACGCTACATCGTGCACTTTAGACACTGTAACGCCGCAGCCAAAGCTAGGGCAATCTTGGAGGATGCAGAACATTCCACAGCATTCATTTCAGCTCACGTGCAAAGCGTGCACTCATCCGCTGACCTAGGTACCCATCAGCGACCAAATAAGCATAACCTCTACGGAATTCACTTACCTTTCGTCATGTTTTTAGTGCCACGAGTCTGTCGTGGGCGCCCTCCTATCGCGGCTTGGCTGAACTGTTGGCTGCTATGGGCTTCAGCTCGACCCGAGCCCTCGGCCACATTCTGCCATCCATAACCTACTGCGAGGTCCTTGGTGGACTTGTGCTTGATCTGAGGCGCAGCTTTGCGCACGCTGGCGTCGGTATCCGCTCCACGCTGGCCATGCCGAGAGCCAAGATACAAGCCCGTATCTACTGGCTGGTTCGTGATGACATCTGGAGAGCTACTCTGCCCGGCAACTGCTCCTTGCATGGCAGTATCGGACCCATGGGGCGGCTTCGGAGTCACGTAATGTGGGAAGAATCGACTCCCCGAGCCCTGAGTATGCATTGCGTTTGGGGCGCGCTGCAGACCGGCATTTGGCTTCAAGCGCTTTGCAGAAGAGTTCGGGCGCGGCATTCGTGTCACGGGATTGCTGTCGTGGTCGTTCTCGACTCCTGTCCCCGTCCTGGCATGCTGGTCCTCATGATCCTCATAGGCAATGATTGGTTGGCTCAATGTCTGGCTTGCATTGAAGCCAGCGAATGTAGGCAAATCTTGTTGTGGAACAGAAGATCGCGCTGCGGTTGGAACGACGGAACGCTTCTCATGCGGTTGCTCAATCTTGCCGCCGTTTCGAGCTCCTAGCTCACGGTTCTGTCTCGATACTAGTGGTGAAGACATCTTAGCTTGATGGTTAATGAAATCTTCCCAACATTGGGACTCTTCAATCACTGGCCCAAGGGAGTTTTGCGACATGGCCGCATCCTGCATCATGGCTCCGGACACATCGTCCTGTAATTCTTCCACGACTGCAGGTAACGTTGGAATTTGGCCAGACTGTACGACCGATCTCGTTGCAAGATCACCTTGGACTCCAGTGATGGCGGCGCTCTGCGATCGATTCGTTCCCGTGGCACCGCTTGGCTGCTGACTACAGGGTACAATGACAGTTGAATTTGTCGAGCCGAGAGTTTCTAGAACACCTTGAGCGGCACCTGGAATGCCTCTAATCGCGGACAGCTCGTCGGTGAGTCGCCGGCATTCTGCGAGAGCTCGAGCCTTCTCACGTTCAGAGTCGGCCACTTGGTTGGTCAAGCGAGTGACTTCCTTCTTGTGCTCTTGAAGGTGATCGGCCCGGACGCGCTCGAGCTCGTGCTGATGCTTGCGTCGATCCTCTGCATGCTTTGACAACTCGGCTCCCATCTGCTCTACACGGTGCTGCAGGGTTTCGACTCGTCTCTGGCACGTGACTTCCTTGTCCTCCAGCTGACGGCGAGCATCGTTCTGAGATTGCTCCAGCTTATGCTCTGCCGCATGCAACCCCTGCTTGGAAATTTCGAGCTGGTTCTTGATGCTTTCGAGTTCCTGACTGAGCTTCTGTTTCGTCTCGTTCGTCTCCTGCAGGTGCTGTTTCTGCGCTTCATGTTGCACATTCAGTGACGCATTTGTTTTCTCCAGGTGGCTGTTCGTGGTCACGAGTTCGTTCGTGCGGTTCTGTAAGCTCTGAACTTCCGCTTCCTTGTTGCGAGCCAGCTCTTGCAGCTTTTGAAGCTCGCTTTCACGGAGAGAGGGCATTGTGGCTTTGCTCCTGACAGAAACCAATTCCGCTTCGAGCTGCTCCACTCTCGTGCTCAATTGCTTCAGCTTGTTCTCGCTCTCCATCTTCGTGTGAATATGCAGATCGTTGGCGGCTTTGGTGGTCTCCTTCCTCGCTGTTTCCACTGCCACCGCCAATTTGTCCTCATACTGTTGCTGGTCGAGGTCTGGACAAACATGTGCAGTCCAATCAGCCAGCTCTTTCTGAAGCGCCTCTACACTTGCACGCAGTGACTCGGTCTCACCGGTCATCGCTGCAAGGTCTGAATTTGTGGTTTGCAAAAGCCGTGCCTTTTCCTGTAATTCGAGTTCAACGCGAGCCAACTTCTCCGAGTGCGTGTTTTCGCAGGACTTCTGTTGCGCAGCGAGCTGAGTCTGTAGAGCCCCGTGCTGTGCTTGGACGGCGGCCAATTCTCTTGTGCGACTGTCCAGGTTGGAAGCCAGGTCTGTAGCTCCATCCTTCGTAGCTTGTAGCTGCTGCCTGAGGTGTGCCATGGTCTCACGATCAACAATCGTTTGTTCGGCTAACTTGATTTGTTGGCTCAGGCTGGCCCTCAAATCCTCCAACGCGTCGTCGAAGTGCTTCTTGAGGGAGACATCGATTCCAGAGTCCAAGTCGTGCGTTGGAATGTGAGCAGCAACACTGCACACATGTTAGCAACGATGCGTATGCATGAATTGTATCTGTGCAACGGCAGGGAACGTTTCGCCGTAGACTCAAGTGGTTGCATCTGCTTGCACAGGGCATCAAGACTTACCTGGTTGAGACAGAGTCCAATACTGCTTTGATCGATGCAACACTCTCTACGGTTGTGGCCAGTTGTGAATTCAGGCCCGTTGATGCAGCCAGCAGCTTCTCCAGCAACTCATTTGAATTGCCGCGGTCTCCATTGTCCAGGTCTGCCTGGATTTTGTGTAGCTTGTCGAGGATGTTACGGGCATAAGACTTTATCTCAGGAAGAACGTTGTGATTCACATTCGCGTCCAGCTGTGTCTGCAAATGCTGTCGATTACTCTTCTCCGTGGAAAGAACGTTGGATTGGTCAAGCAGCTGCTCCTCGAGCGATTTGGTCCGAGCCCGAAGGACTGCAAGATCGTTTGTAGCATCTCGGGCAAGCTGCAATGCTTCACTCTTCAAATGAGTCGCCTTCTCGAGCAGTGCATCCTGTGCGGCCATCTGCTCGGCGGATCTTGCCTCGACTTGGTCAGCGATTCTGTGGCGAGCGTCCAAGTCCTGTTTGAGAGTGTGCATGTCCTTGCCGAGGCCTTCCATGAATATCTTCAGTGTCTTCGCTTGATTTTGTAGTCGGTCCACTCGCCCCTGCTGCTGCTCGTTCAAAACGTGTGAATCTCCATCAGTGGGCTGTACAGCCTGCATGCCAGATTTGTGTTCGGGATCGTCAATAGTCTCAACGTCTCCAATACTACTCTCCGCCCCGAGTGTACGGGACTCATCAGAAAGCTCTGCCTGGCGGCTGTCGGTTGGAACTTGTGTCTCTGGCAGAGCCTGTTCGCGACGCGTGGGCTGTAAAGCTGCCCAGAATGGTCTGGCACGGCTTGAGCTTGAGGAACCAGCGGTCCGCGTCGTCGAAAATGTACTACGTCGCGATAGAGCTTGCTCGAGTGGTACCTGGCGGAGCTGCAAACGAGAAGCATGTGTCTGCAGAGGCAAGTGAGAAGAGTGACGGTTTCCAGGCTGTGTTGATTTGACTCGCAGATGCTGAGCTCGGGGAACGCCATAGGAAGACTTCCGCTCAGCACTTTGTGGGCTCGTCTCTTGCTTCTCCAAGGCTTGCGTCCTCTTTCGCTTCCCTAGCACTGGTTCCTCAGGGTTACGAGGAACAGGAGCAGGGGAAAGCGTAATCTCAGGTCGATGTATCGGAACCGCGCCACTTGATCGCTGCACTGCCTCATGTCAATTGATCTGGCTCTTCGGAAAACTATGGCTTTTGACACAATCCTGCTTGGGGTTTCAAACATACTGTCATGGAGTGTTGCGTCTGGAGGTACGTGGTTCTCCGTCGCCGTCTCGATATCGGAGCCTAAACCGTTGAGCCGATCAGGCGCAGGCTCTTGGCTGTACATGATCGGCTCTGTGGATGGAAGCCAATGACCGCTGCTTGGGCCAGAGCGCTCTCCGCTTGCAAGTGCAAGGCCGCTCGCGGAGTCATTCTCAGGCAGTTGAGAATCGCAGTTCTGAGTGAAAGCGTCCTCGCCATAGCCATCACGCATCATCTCATCGCGGATGTCGTCCGGGTTACATTCTTTCGCGGACATGCTGGCCATCTCGCACTCGGATGCCTGAGGCGGCACGCCCTGCAACAAGGGTGATGGGTTTTGTACAAATGAATGGTGTTAGCGCGAAAGGGGGGCACGATGATAGAGGAGATACGTGCAGCGAGCAATTGATCGGGGGCCAGCAGGCAGGCAAGCTGCTGCTGCCAGGTTGAGGGAGTTAGCTGCGCGGAAGGCACATTGCCACGCACTTGCTCCTACCGATTGAGATGGCAAGCACGTACGTACGTACAGGATGTAAAGTCATGTTACTGTATGGCTCGCTCAGTAGCATCATTGTCGACATCTCACTTGCGACTGAGCACGTCGCCGTGGCGCACGATATCCGGCTCGTTCCTGCGTCGCTGTCTATGATAAGAGGGAATTACGGGTACAAAAGCGTAACCCTCGCCGCCTAACACCTTTCAATACGTCCATGCGATGATGCCAGCTCGGAGCATCTGCAGGTGTAGGAGGTAGGAAAAGGACAGAGTGAAGTTGCACGACGTGATGCAGGCACTGCTTCGCTTGGCTCTGTCGTCGCCGACCAATCACCACCGCGAACCCGTAGCCGCCGGATCAGCACGACCACTTCACTCGAACACAGCATCTTGCGTTTCACGCATCTCATTGGATCATTGCCCCAAGCGCCTCCTATATTGATTGGGACGTAAAATGTGATCACGATTCTCATGCGCGCCGGTTGGTCATGGTCGCGCGCCGAGCGCGCTTCACCACGAACAGTGGTAGATAGTAGGTCGTCGTCCCGTCGCCGTACTTTTCAGTGAGTACTCGCCGTTGCCTTTCACAGCAGGGTTCAATTATGAGGCTCGCCCATGCCCTGCCCATCACGGGCTGTATCTCGATGGCAGCTGCTGGGGTTCTCAGGCGACAAGACAGCTCCTCGACAGGTGCGACCTCGACGACAGCCGACAACGGCACGGGAATCACTGGATCAGCAAGCAATATCGACGCAGATGCCGGGGCTTCAGGCTCGCAATCGGGATCTTTCAACTTGTCCAAAGGTGGACTGATTGCCATCATCGTGGTAGTAGCATTTGTGGCGATTATCGGAGGTGAGATTCATGTGTGAGCAATACGAGGAGGATGTTAATTGACTTGGTACCTAGTCGCTTCTACAGTGCTCTGGGTCCTGGCAAAACGACGCCAATGGAACGTCCGACAATCCATTAAGCGTGCTTCCCGCCGACTCACTGGCCGAGCTGGTCGAGAAGGGACGCGAGAGAGGCAGTCAAAGCGCATTGGTATGCAAATGAGTAGTAATATGGAACGCGGACACAAGCGTGGCGTGGTCGTGCAAGTGAACGATACTGGAAAGGAGTCGCGAAGCACGTCACAACCTGATCCGAACCAGAGCGAAGTGAAAGGCAAGTGGGCGGAAAAGCTGTGGAGAAATGATTGGCAGAAGTGATGCATTGAGCAGCTTATGGTTCACGATTGTATTTGTAGCTCACTGAAGAGTGGCACATTGTTCTGCCCGCCTCAGTCCTCCATTTCGTCGTCACTTTCGTCAAGATCCACTACTTGGCTAGGGCGAGGTGGTTGCGAGTGCTGAGGTCGTGCAGTAGAAGCTGTAGATCGAGGCTCGGGCTTGACTGGAGGCTGCATCTGGTGAGAAGCGCCATCCGCATCATTGTCATCGTCATCATCAATGATATGACCTCTGCCCTGTGTTCCGTTGCCCATCTCACTGCCGCTGTCGTCCTCGGCCTCTTGCTGTTGTCTGTTTCTCTGTATGCGCTGGATTTTACGTATCGTCAACATATCCGGACGCACATCACCTTTCTCGAGCATCGCGCTGCACCCAGGGACGGGACACTGGGCTGCCTTGGGTCTCATTGCGGAATGCGCGATAAGCTCCAGTATTGCAAACGATTCGAAAGTATGTCGGCATTTGGTCGACGTCAGAGGTTCCTTGAATTCCTGAAGCGTGAGCGGACACTTCGTGCTGATCTGCCCTCGTATGACCTCAATATCATCGTCAGACGCATCCGGGTCGTTTTCGTCTCGACGTTCGCCAGGCGCCGGAGCACCAGCCTCTGTGAACCATTGGCTCGCGTCTGGTGGATCTGTATCTGGGTGCTGAGCATCGTGAAGGATGCTCTTGAAATTCGCATACTCCTTGTTCTCGGCATAGCGCTCGTATAGAGGCAGCCCGTGGAACTTTTCTCTAGATTGCTGAACACATTTGTCAAATACCTCCATCGGTGCGCTCTGAGAGCCACCGGCCGGGTCGGTAGGATCCCAGTGCTGCTCAGTACTTTCCACAACGTCCTCCTCCTCCTCATCCTCATCGGCATCGTCGCGAGTCCCTGCCCGGCGCCGGGTCTGCGGTTGCGTGTGCTGTGTAGTCGCCTGCGTACTGGCGTTCGCCTTCGCATCGGACTCTGCTGCCTTTACCGCGTCTTGCAGGGCGCTCGAGCTCACGCGACAGTCCACCAGGCCGCGCATCTCCTTCTCCATCCGTGCTGTCATGCTGTCGACCTTCTCGCGCGTGTCCTGTACTTGTTGCTCAAACTCGGCAAGGCGCTCCGATCTTGAGCCTTGAGCCTCTTTCCGTTGTCTAGCCGCCAGCTTTTGTTCGAGTTCCCGCAGCCTATCGTGCAGCGCTGCGCCAGTTGTCGTCAGCTCATGCTGGGCCTGCGTGATATGCCCGTCCAGCCTTTGAACATTGTGTTTTCTCAGCACATTGGCGAGAGCGCGCTGAGCATCAGGGTTCAGTGGGAAGGTTGGCGGCTGGTAGTCGGGCAGTGTCGCATTCCCCTGAGTGCGACTAGATGGCCCTGGTGTCGCAGTAGGTTGGCGGACTCGCGCAGACATCTTGTTGTTGGTTGGCTGGTTTTCGAGTGGTCGGTCGACGCGAAGTGGGAAAGACGCGTGCGAAGCATCGAGGGGCGACGCGACGAGCGGAGGAACGGCCGCCGACTTTCCCGAAGGCCGGAAGGCACGTTGCACAGTTGGAACGATGCGGACTTTCTTTGCGAACTATCTTTGCGGTCTAAAATACCTGCTGTATCCATCAAGAGGCCAGAATGGAACTGTCTATGGCAACTCTTCTCCATCTTCAATCCGTCCTGCACTCGCTCATCAAGACCCGAACACTCGAAAAACTCCATCCGACACCATCTCTTACTTTGTGATGAAATTCAGATAATCAGCGACAATCAATGTAACCATTGCATGCGGCGCAATGCGGACGTAATAAGTCGAGAATCCGCGGTAGAAGCGCAGCGGACCTTCTTCTCGAATGACTTTTTGGAAGCAATCAACGAATCCTTTGTATGGAAGCTTGCCATCAGGTCCGCGGGACTGCTTCTGGAGTCTGGTCTTCACGAAGTCGAACGGCAAGCTGAAGAAAGATGCGAAGAATCCGGCGATGGCAGATGCGGTCAAAGTCTGAGTCCTTGGGCCCATTGAAGAGTCCTTCAGGCGCGCTTTCGCCTCAGAGAAGAATGCCAATTGTCCAAAGTTCAGAGCCATCGCTCGCACAACAGTCGGCGACGCACCAGCCCAAAGCCGGGCCACGCCTTCATTCTTTGCGATTCTCATCAGCGCATCGCCGACACCCTTGTAATTGGCTCTTTCTGCCTTGGGCTTCAGGCCATCCGATTGCATGCGGATCAGTGCCAGGTCTGCGGGGTTTCCGACAAATGCTGCGATGCCACCAGCCGCCAGACCGGCAGCCGCACGTTCCTTGAATCCAATTGTTGTACCTTGCTCTTTTGCTCGTGTGCTCAAGGACTTCATGAAAGTGTCGAAGAATCCGAGACGGGCGGTTGTGTACACTGCTTGTCGCAGGAGGCCAGCGGACAGACCAGTATACAGGTCCATTACCTTGCCAGCAGCGATGATCTCGCGTGTGACGCTGAGCGGCGTTGGCTTGGGCCCCGTCTTCACACCTTCGCCAGCTACAATTGTCAAACGAAAGTCAGCTTGCATCTCGAGAAGATTTGCGATCACATTGAATGAAGCTTCGTGCTGGCCGCAGCACGTGGAGCTACGACTGAGGTTAAGACGCACCTAGTTGCAGTCGAACCTGCGCTTATCCATTAGCATGCAATTCTGGGCCAGGTCTCTGCGAATAAGCAGGTTCAAATCGACACGGCAACCTGCCCCATGCTTCGAGGTGCTTGAGAGGAATGCCTTGAGCTGACTTACCTTGATCATGTCGATCGGCTGGATACACGTCGTCGCGACCATGCCCGCTGCTCCACCATTGATGAAAGGTAGGGCTACTCGCATGACAGGTGAGTGCAGGAAGTCCTGCTTCGCTTTCTGTGGGTTCTCGGTGGCCTTCTGCATGGCTGCTGGAGCTTCTTCCACCGCGCCTTTGGCCGCTGTGAGAGCGCCTTCAGCTTTTCGCTTCGCTGCTTCAACGATTGAAGCCATCTTTGCTGAAGCTGCTTTAAAGGTATCGGTTCTTGTGGTGTTTGCTTGCTCACAAGATGTTTGCAGATGGTTGCGGGAAACACTGGTGCGTAGCTTTTCAAGCTCTGTGCTTAGGTCTCAAGTCAGTACGCGACAATAATCTAGTTTCATGACGGATGATTGTTCATGACCGAAGTCGCTTGCCGCAGTCAATGCGTTCTTCTTAGCGATGTCGACTGCGCAAGGCTCGTGAAGCGCTCCGAATGTACCCGCGAGTGACACTCACATGTTAGAGACACAGCCAAACTGCCTAGCAGCAAAGCCGAGCGCCCCGCAAACTGCCCAACACTTCTTCAGAGGTCTCTCAACACCACATAACACGCCCAATCGGTCGACACTTGAGGATTTGCGAGGGTAGCTAACTGACAAACAAGCTAGGCAATCGGTCACGTTGCCCTGATATGATGGGCTCTAGGAGGTCAATCTGTGGTTGGACTAGCGGAGGAGCAAGCTGGAGCTCCCCTTCTTCGGTCAGGCGGTAAGGTAGAGCGAGGTCAAGCAGTGGGAGCAGGACGGAAATGACATTCAGGTGTATCTGTCGTGGCATAGCTGGTACAGACGCCACCTGACCGTCGTCATGTACCTGTGTATCGATGCGGGGAACAGCTGGGTAGCCATTCACGAGGCAGAGAGGCGTGCCATGTAACGTGACCGAGCTTCTCATCCTTGAGGATGGGACATGGACGAACGCACGAACGCGTGTTTGCGAATAACAAAAGACCAACTTTACCTTCTGCCTGTGTTGTCGATGATCAAGTCGTCGTCAATAGATCGTCGCTGTATGCCACGCGAAGGCGTAGCTCTTCGGGCCCGGATCTTTCCGCGCAACGCTGCCAACATCAATGGCAGTGATGTCGGCTTCGTATGGTGCTCGATCGGACCAATGCGCTGGCACGCATTATTCCGTGCCTATTTTCAGGCGGTGTCGAAGACTCACACGTGCAGCACCTGTGCAGACCGTCACTTCCCACCCCCGCACGCTCACGATTGGGGGCTATTCCGAGTCCTTCTCGCCAAGGCTCGGGTAAAACATTGAGCCTCACGGTTGATGCGAAGACGGACGGAGCACAGATGAAGCACGACAGCCTTGGTATCTCTGGGCTATGCTAAGGTGTTCACCTATATGTAAGTCGTATTGGTGGATGATGGCTGCGTTGGAGAAAGTGCGAACGTAGCGTTGGCATGCATGAGCATCTTCACTAGCTGAGGCAGTTTCCGACGACACCGACCTACTCTCTCTCCTCTCAAGCGCAGTGGTACGTTCGCGTCTTCACCTTTCAGGCCACGCAGTGCAATGTTGCTACAACGCTGTGTAGAGGCCTATCCGTACCGTTCGCCAGGATCATCCATTCGTCATCTCGTCATGGCAGGCGTGGGTGAAGGAATGGTGATCGATCGCAGTTGTAACCGAGTCGACCCCCAAAACCGCGGCTCAGGCTTAACGACTGTTGGGTCGAAGGTGCTGCCAGCCCTTGGTCCTGATGGACTCCGTTCTGGACAGGTTTCCGGCCATACGAACGTGGCGTCCATTAGTTCAGCGAACCTCTTTGCGCTCTTTGCATCTCAAAATGTTGGATGTGATCATTGAAAACATCACTGTTGCCTTTCATCCTCTCTTCCCCCTTCCAAGAACACGTTCCGTGCTCTCGAATGCGCGATCGAGCTTTGCGAGTGCATCGGCTTTTTGCTTGTCGGTGACAAGTCTATCCCCCAGAGGCAAACTACTCAACGCACTGCTCATGAGTTCTGCTGCTCGTTCTGCGGTCAATTTGGTAGAGCTCAAACGGGGTTTTTGCGCTCCTGTACTGGCAGGGTTGGGGACGGCACTTGACGAGCCAACGGTAGGCGCGTGGGCCGTCGACTGGGTCGCGCTTTCTTTTCGACGAAGTCCAATCTGTCCCTTTCCGTCTTGAAACGTCTCATACACTCCATTGTTGTTCTCGTCCAGGATCTCGCTCGGGACCGCCTCCTTCGCTCCAGCAGTGACACGGCCCCCTTCTAGACTCTTAGCTGGATGCGAGGCAGCCATCTGCTTGATGACACGGGAGTTCTCCTCGCAGCCTTCAACCGCGAAGCGGAGACACATGATAGCATGTTCTCTGATGTATGGGTTGTGCTCATCAGCCCTACAGCAGCCAACCAGAGCTTCCAAGCCACCATATTTGCGCACTTGATCTTGAACAGTCCTGTTCTTCCAAATGAGTGACGATAACACGAGCACAGTGAGCTTCTTCAAATTGCGCCACTCGAAGTCGCTGGGCTCATCTTGGTCGTGCTGCAGGTCCTGCGCGAGCGATGGCAAATTGTCTTCTGGATATGCTAGGGGCGTCTCTGATTCGAATACCGGCCCTGTACCGTTGGTCGGAGGGTGTACAGGCAACGGTGGCAGTGTCGGATCTGGTGCAGTGACATCGAATGGCCGTTCCACTGCTACGGGCGCTGGAATGGGGTGCTGTATTGCATTGGTAGCCGCTTGTGCAGTCGCCCTCGAGGCATGATGCGTGGTACCCGCGTCGACTGACATCGCCCTTTGCGGAGGATGACTTGACACTCGGCGTGGTATTTGCGGGATGACCGACCCCATCTTGGGGATGCCGCCCTCAAGCTCTCTCAGGAGCGTCACGAGCTCGCTCGCCATTTCCCACTCGCCAAGAATGCCTTTCCACACGCCTTCTTCGGTAAGCACAGCGAAGAATTCCAGATACTGATACACGCCTTCGTACATGCGTTCCATGTCCCACAAATTCAAAGGGAAGTCCTCTGGACTAGCCCGCCCAGCATGGATCTGTCCCTGCAAGAATATGAGCGCACAAGTCTGTGGAATGATGTGCTGCCGGAACTCCGTAAATATGAAATTGAGGATATGCAGATCGACCCTTGAAGGCATGTTTGGTGGAAACGATGCCCTTTCCCGCGAGGGTACCACAGCATGTGCCAACGTATGCCCAGCAGAAGGGCCGGCTTTGGTGTGATTGTTGGCGGACACCGCATGTTTGGCGGCGTCGCTTCTGGCGCGGAATATGCACGTCAAAAGTTTCATGATGACAGCTTGAGCAGGACTTATGATATCCTTCGATCGTGAACGGTCTCTGAACGCATGATATGCGTACGGCATCAGGCCGTTTTTCAGTATTGCTTCCATGATTTTTACCATGAATTTGAAGTACAACTCTTCTTCTCGCAGATCCCAAGCGGCGACAAAGATGAGCAATTCGCGAAGGAGGTTGCGCCCGTTGCTTTGCGACAGCAGTAGATGTGTTCGCACAGTGTGCATATTCATCAATGCATTGCGTTCGTCGTCGCTCAATGCCGCAGGTAGATTGGTCGGCGGAACTATGCCGCTCATAATGAGCATTGGGAGGACTTCAATCTCCGAAGGACCTAGAATGAGAGGTACGTCAGTCAGCAGCCCACGGCCGTCTTCCGTCGATCCTGGGTAGTCCTCTTCCTCTTCGTCCTCTGCTTCCTGGCTTTCTTCTTCTTCTCCCTCGTCGTCCCCTGCGCTTTCGTCGAACACTTCATCTGCGGGTTCTTCCTCGCCTAGTACTGCGCTTGTGTTTTGTGGTTGCGACGAATGTGCGACTGCAGAGGTGTTTGGAGACGTGCTCTGGGATGCTGGATCAATCCCAGATAGTTCGAGTGGAATGGCCTCTGCTGGCTCGCTCTTCGGAGACATTGGAGAGATGAGATGCGCATTAGACCCCGTGTCGTAGCCCTCAAGTCTTTTCATCAACTCCGCCTTGCCCGATTCCAGTATCTTCGTTCCAGCGTCAGCAGTAAAGAGCATTCGCATGTCATCGGGGACTACAGGCCGAGACTTCAGGCTCTCGTTGTCGAAAGTCAGATGTCCATCCTGGCCGTATACTGGAGGCTCAAGGGGCGCGACATCTGCATTTTCTGACCTGTACTTCTCAGCCAGCTGCTCCTCCAGCATCGCAATCTTACGTTCAACCTGCCGCGTTTGCTCAGCGACGGGTACGTCACTCCGCAGCACAGGTTGAGTCTCCGTCACCGCTATCATTTTGGCTTCGTACACGGCGAGGTCCTGGCGATACTTCGCCATGGCATCATCAAACAAGCTTTGCCAGTACTCGTGGTCCTCGTCAGACAACTCGGCCCATCGTCTTGGGAATTCCAGATGGGCTTCGGCATAATTTGGTTTGCGCTTTCGTTCCATTTGGTAATCTTCCACCTGCAGGTCTTTCAAGCGTTTCACAAACATTGCATAGCCATTGCCGTCGAATCGCTCTCGATTACGCAGCTTTTCTCTGCCTTCCAAAGCTTCTTGCGGTAATGGGTAATCTGAGAATGGAGTGTTGTCCCATAGCGGCTGTGCGCCATCTGCGCACACTTCTTCCACCCCATTGGTGCCATACGCGATCAAAAAGTCCTCACTACTGAGCGGATGTGGCGGCCTCGACGTGGGATTCGAAGGTACGTCGGTCAAGCTAGCAGAGGAGGTCTCGGGCACATCCTCGGGAGCGAGCGTCGATTCCGTGGTATTATCGAACAGAGATACCCACAGCATGAGCTTTCGCCTCTCGTTCTGTGCTACGAGATTGTTCAGGAATTGCAGGCTGGTGATAAGGAGCTTTTTGTATGCATTCACGATCCATTGCCATTTGTCCTCGTCTCCAGTGCCTGCATCGCCATCGTAGCCTCGAGCTGTCACCCGGACACAGCAATTGATCAAGCGGAATATCTCGGCATCGATGCTGAACGAAGCGGCAAGATCTTGCACACGATCTCCCACTGTCAGCACGTTCCGACTGATCGATACCAGATCATTGAGACGCTCGAGGTCCTTCCACAAGGCCGGATAGTGGGAAGCAATCAGTGCTCCACTTGTGCTTTCATAATCGACACTGCTGGGATCCCAGATGGTGAAGCTCCTCCGTTCGAGGCTCGGAATCGCCGCCTTGAGCAATGTGCAGAGGTCCTCCCAGAATTTGGCATCAAGTCCAATGGCCTCTCTTGCCATCGCATCATTGGCGGTTCTCCGCAGCATCTCTTTGCACACCTTCTTGTCCAGCATCTCCAATGTCACATCTTTCATATAGCCCGTCGACTTGAAGTGGATCGTGTACGGCGGCAGCACCAGCCGCACGAAGACGCTGTATGCCTTGGCCATGTTCGAGGCTGCATCGCGCTGACCCATCGTGCCACCGGCTGGATATTCGAGGCCGTCCCCCAAGTGCGCGTTGTTATGTCGGGTCGCTGCTGAAGGTGCCTATCACCGACATCGCTGCCGTTGTCTGTCGAGTCGTCAAGAGCCGTGGCGGTTTGGCGGAACGAGGTGCAGTCGGCGAGGTCATCACAGAGGAAAAGCAGCCGGCTCTGCAGGGGTTTCGATGCGGCCGCGCTAGTCGAGTCGGCGATCGACAGACATTGACGCCACATCCTGGCGCACACAGACACGCCTACGCAGTCGTTTGGTGGGCGCATGGTGAAGAACTTATTTGGTTTCCACGTCTCGCGAGAGCCTTCGTGAGCCCTACCAGTGTTTCGTGCGGCTCTCTAAAAGTCTGAGCATCTCAACCCCGCAAGACGCAGCATTAGAACTTCAAGTTGCTGATTTGTTTGCATAAATTTATTGGTTTGTTCGTGCTTATCTACTCGTTCCTGTCATGTTCTTCATCACGCTCGTCGTCATTGTCCTTCCTCTTCCGTCCCCACCAGTCACCATTGAGCAGATCCGAGAACAGGGCGTTGCGACTCTTTCGTCGGGCGCGGTGGTGCGGTGTTGGCATAGTGCTCGAACGTGACAGAGGTGGTCGTTCTTCAGAATCCGCGATCGATGCGTCGGCCTGTGCCTTTCCCAGACTAGATCTCCTTCCTCTGGTGTGATCATCGCTTGGAGCAGTTTTCGCCGAACTGGGTCTCTGATCACAAGCGCCGTAGCGAGTATCTTCATCACCCAGCGACTCCCATATCGCCCTGACTTCCCTCAGCGTTGATGCACGATGCCTTCGGCGAGACGCATGACTGGCGCTGGACAAGTGGCCGGGTGTTTTGCTCGTGGTCGTGTGACTTCTCTGAATCGATCTGCGAATGAGCGGCGTATGCTCGCCATGCTCCGCATCTTGCTCGTCGTTCGCGAAAGCCGAATCAGCGTCACTGGACTCCGTGTCTGGATCGCCGACGAATCCCATGCCAGGCGCTATCAGTGTTTGAGGTATCTCGGCTTGATGTGGATGGTGCTCCTCGCAATCATCGTCATCTTGCAGACGCCAACTAAGGGCAAGGACCCCGGCAAGCAGTAGTGCCGTTCCGAGCGCAATCAGTCCAGCAGACAGCGGAGGCAGACGGTCCATTTGTTGGAAGTAAATCAAGCCGTCCAAAATGGCAACAATATTGTAGATACAAAAAACGAAGGGGTAAAGAATGCTGGTGGAAATAAGCTTCAGGCCCAGATGCAAGTAGTAAAGCTGCGACAGCGACAAGAAGAGGAAGGCCAGTAGAAGTAGCCAGGGCTCGAACGTCTTGAATTGGTTTTGCTTGTCGGTAATGCTCCGAACGACCAGTTCCACGGCACTTTTAGCCAACAGGAGCGCATGGGCGGAAAGCACGCCGGACACCAGGCCAAATGCCATGCCATTCACGAGTTGCACTCGCGGGGTTTCTTTCTTGTGTCCAGGTAGGTAACGTAGGAAGAAAGTCATAACCACCACAGCCAGTACGAAGACCAAGGACAGAATGAACCAGACCAGGAAGCTAGGCTTGGAGAGCAACACCAGCAATTGTTGTAGGCTATGGCTGGGCTCGGGCATTGCAGAGAAGTAGCTGATCAACACAGCTCCTGTAGCGACAAGTACAGTGCCATATACGGCCCTCCATGTCCAAGGCTCTTGTAGAAGCAGGCTAGCCAATATGCTGTTGAAAACGAGTCCGGAGGCTTGAAGCGTGCTCAAGAGCGGCAGCGGCAAAGCCACGATTTGTATTGTTGAGCCGATGATATTCGCGATCAAGAACAGGAACATCCCAATCTGCCATCGCCTGCGCCTGAACGGGGGCCGGCGGTCGCACTCGTTTGTCTTCTCATCCTCCAGCATGTGCGACTTGCGCTGTAACGTGAGGCCGACTGATTGAACGCATGTGGACGCCAGGCCTACGATAACGCCCATGGCAAGGGCGGCGCCCGGGTCCATGGAGAAGCCGTCGCGCATCGTCGCTCGTTGCAGAGGCAGAGGTGGCGGTGGTGTGTCTGCGGGCTCCGAAGACGGTAGACAGGCGTGTTATCGCATGGTCGTTGGCTGTCTGGGTGCAGCTGGTTCTGCAGCGCGGACACAAAGGCAGGATAGTGTCGAGAAAGCGGATGCGAAGGGCGTCGTTCCGTGGCAGTGGCAGTGTGATAACAGAGAGTCGGTCAAGGGTCAAGAGATCAGGTACATGTATGTAGGTACGTGGAGGTCTGATGACGCGCTAAATGGAGCTTGGGAGGTGCACGCCGACCGCAAGCAACGTTGACAGCCACACGCACCATTGTCTAGCCCCGACCACACTCCACTGCCCACTCATCTAGCATTTGAGGCCCTTCCCGATTTCTGTGCATATTGCTGTCCCACAGCTGGTCTCTGTCGCGCCGCAGCCATGTCGCAAATACACGCCATGTCCGACGACCAGGTCAACAACGAGCTCCGCAAGATGACTGCCTTCATCCGGCAGGAGGCGCTGGAGAAGGCACGAGAAATCCACCTCAAGGCCGACGAAGAATTCAGCATCGAGAAGTCGAAGCTGGTGCGCTCAGAGACCTCCCGAATCGATAGCGAGTACGAGAAGAAGTTCACGCAGGCCGGCATGAGCCAGCAAATCACCAAATCCACCCTCGCCAACAAGACCCGACTGCGCATTCTGAGTGCACGACAAGAGCTGCTGGACCAGCTGTTTGAGGATGCCAACAAGAAGTTGTCGGAAAGCGCCACCAAGGACAAGTCCAAGTACGAGAAGGTCCTCAAGGACCTCATTCTCGAGGGCTTGTATGCGTTTGTCAACGAGAAGAAGGTCACACTGAGATGTCGGAAGAAGGATGACGATGTCGTCAAGAAAGCTGCGGATAAGGCAAAGGAGGAGTTCAAGAAGAACATGAAGAATGATGTGGAAATTCAGGTGGACGACAAGGAGCGCCTGCCCGAGGACTCGTAAGTAACACTGCGGCGGCTAACGTGCCCGATTGATACCAACTGACACCACGCAGCGCTGGAGGGGTCATCCTGCTCAACAGCACTGGCAAGATCGACATCAACAACACATTCGAGGAGCGATTGCACCTGTTAGAAACAGATGCTCTGCCTGCCGTGAGGGCGACTTTGTTTGGCGAGAACGCGAACCGCAGATTCAAAGACTAGGCGATCTTGTTTGACCTTTGCCGAAAGCTACAAAACAAGACATACAAGGGCGCGCATACTTCACGAGAGGAGACTTGCAGCATTGGTCGTACGAAAAATCCGCTCTTGCTGCATCTTTCTCTCAGGACGCGGATGGAAAGGTTCTACCATGTCAGGGAGATTTGAATGTAAAACTGCACATAGTACCAACTGCAACCACGCATTGTAGTAGTGTGCTGCGACAGACAAGCCTTTGTAACCTCTATCTTGCATTTGCATGAGTGACCACATGCATTACACATGTTCGCTCAATCTCTGTGTCTGCGTTCTGGGACGGCTGTCCGCTCAGATCGTAGCGAAAGCGCTAGCGTAGCTAACACTGCTATCGCTCACCTTGTGAACCAAGCTGCTTCGATCATACTGCACGAACTTGAAAGCTCCGATCGAGTCATCGCCACGTTGCTTCCGTACCTCCTCGACAGCAGCCATGATAACGCCAATCGGATGTCGGCCGCAGACTGTGTTTCCAGTTTCCCCCAAGGCCTCCAGCCAGCTCTCATGGCTACCGCTTTCACAGGCCGCCATGCACTCGAAGTCCACTGCTTTGATCGATTCATGAATTGGCGGCTCCTTCGGGGCCTGGGCCGACGAGCTGAGTCTGGTAGGGGCTCCCGAAGAAGATTTATAGAACGTGTATCTGAATCGTGTTCCCCAATGTGCAAAGTCGGAGGATATCACAAAGGCATTGTCAGGATCTGCAAGATGGTCGGCCAAGATATGCCCAAGCTTGCGCTCGGTCGAGGGCGAGGTATTGCCGACCATAATTGGAATCAGAGGTGGCAAAGCAGAAGCGTCTTCGCCAAAGGACCTGCTGTGCGTCAGTTGCGATCATGAGGAGATGGGCTGCGGAATGGAGCTGCGCACTTGGAAAGCATCTTGAAGATGTAGGGCAGGTGCATCTCCAGACTGTGTTCATCCTCATCTGTTGACTGGCTCATCCACTCAAATAAGCCGCTTTCATACAGCTTGGATGTGGTCTCCCGATCAACGGTGAGGTTTCCCAGCGGAGTTGCGTAGTGTGTGCATCGTGACAAGGCTGCCTTAGACAGCGGATAATGATGAGATGGCCCGAGCAGAAACACTCTCTTGCTACTGCAGTCAGCACATGCAGTCTGGTGCGGACGGTTGTAGCAAGGTCAAGCGATGACCTGTTTGGAAGATGAGCTGTGAAACGCACGCTTTCGAGACATCCCAAGACTGGTAAGCCCATGCCGCTGCTGGCCCAGAATACGAGTAGCCAGCGTGTCTGCGGACGAGTTTAGCAGCCTCACACGACACGGACCAACCTCTTGTCCATATCTATACATACGGCGCAATAATCACCCGCGCCCCTGGCACTGGCAGTTCCGCATACGACTGACCACGAGACTGTGAAGCAATGCCAGAAATTGGCGGCTTCACGGCTGATAGCCAGCCTTCGAGTTGCGCATCGAGCTGGGTCTTGGAGCTTGAGTACCACGACCCAGCATGACTGGCCTGACGGACGACTGGGGCGCTGGACATGGTGTATTCGGATGGCAGAACTGCTGTTGGGGTCTCGATGGGATGCAGTTACATGTGCTTGGATGTTGGTGGGGGAAATGACGATTATGTCATGCAAGTGGCTGGCCGAGAGAGCCCTGTACGCGGAGAGAGCGCATTGACGCGTTCTCGCACGCGTCTTCCATTCGCCTCTCACATCTTCGTTACATTCTTCTCTGCTATACTACACCTCTCCATCGAGCAACATCTGTTTCAAGCCATATTTGTTGCACAGAATATAGAATAACAGCCAGGGCGCATTGCACAATGGCACTCAAGCGGAAACGATCTTCGCCGGCCTTCTCTTCGCCAGGTTCAGACGGCAGCGACGTGACGATGCAGTCAAGTCCACTGTCATCTTTCTACCACCAGTCCAAGCCTGTCGACGCCATATTGACCAAACCAACGTGGTCTTGGCCAACATACGAAGACTCGCCCTCGCATCTTAACAGCCGTACGCGTAAACGCCACCGAGCACGCCCAGATGAGGAGCAGCTTTGTGGTATGTCTGGCTCCTTTCCACCCTGCTCACGCGTGAACCGCGTTTGCTGACTTGTCCATGGACAGCCAAAACTATCAATCGACTGTTCGAAGCACAAAGACAATTCCCTCACGCAGCACCCATGGCTTCTGCGCCTGCCACTTCGACCATGACATCCGAGACTCCTACACAACGAACAACTCTGCACTCCTTCTGGAACTTAGGGCAGCGTTCGAACGACACACCAATGACTGTCCGAACTTCGAGAGTCGAAATTCCGTCAGACGTCATAACATGTGAGGATTGCGACCAAAATGTACGACCAGACGATGCCATGGATCTGGACAACGGCATCGTGGAGAATGAGACGCGATGCGAGGGCTGCTCTCGACAAGTCTGCGATATGTGCGCTGTACTAGGCGACCACAGAATGTGTCTCAGTTGCGCTGGTAGGCCATTCTGAGCTTCTCGCCGCGAAGTCTGTGCGATAGGACTCCTTCATCTGCGAGTCCGCAGCTGTACTCTCACGGCTTGATATCACCCATACAGAAAGTGTGCCATTCGGTCAGCTTGCCGAGAGGGTCGAGTTCTCTCTTCAAGGAGAACGAAGCTGGGACGTGATTCCTTGCCGAGACACCTGACAAACCTGAGGATCAGACAGAAGTGGGAGACCTCTGCTCAAGCATCATTCTCCATAGCAATTGTTGCTCCTGTCACTGCAGCGCCAGAGACACTTGATGGGAATCACAAGCCGATTGATCGAACATCAGATGAGAGCCACGGTCCGTTTGGAGGTGAAGAGGAGGACAATAAGTTCAGAGCGAGCAGAACTGCTCAGATCCATTGCAGGCTATGCTTCCTTGCGGATGAGCTCGCGACCTACGGCACCAGCTCAACCGGGTCACGAAGGATGTGTTGGGCTGTGCCACAAATGGCAGTTCACACAAAACACCCGTCCGGTTTCACACATCTACTAGGGTACGCTATCTCTTGAAGTGGTAACGTCAAGGCGAGCCGGTCGGCATAATCATGGCCCTGGGTTACTTCCTGAGAGAAGTCAGATCTGAATGGCGGCCCATTGTCGACACGAAGAAGTGGGCGGATCTTGCATCGTCGACAGCGAACTCCAGGCCCATGAAGATAGGGCAAAGCAATGGTGCGCAGGACATGGGATCTGCAGAGTCATGGACTCCATCGGCGAAGACCCGCTCACGTTGGCTCGATGCGAGTGGTTATCACATGCTAGTAGTACTCTTTGTCCCGCACTCATCTGCGCGCTTGGCCGACAAATTAGGGCATGGCAAGACGATCGACAGAGGCGTTGAATAAGATTCAGCTTCTGCATCTCTTTGGCTGTGCACACATGTCTCTTTTGTCTTAGCCTTCTCTGATCCGCAGCAATGGTGCGGGCGCGGTCGACGAATGTGGCCCGGGCCCGAACTGCTACGGATTCGCCTGCAACAGCTATGGAAGCTATGGATCCACGGGAAGCGAACTTTGAGTTCTCTGCTTGGTGAAGATCGACACGCAGCATGTGCTTTCGTGTCGGAAAGTAAACAGTCAGCATACAAGCTTTGAACTATGATGCCGCGTTCCTGTCTTTGAAAGCATCTCCGCAGGGCTCCAGTTGTCTATGGAGGGGAAGCTTACAAACTGGTGGTTTTGGTCTCGGAACTCGGCCTGTGGGAGAGATTGACTAGGTCGCAGACCAGCATGCCTCTCGAATGAAAAGCTCTTAAGACCGTGCTTATGTAACGGCTTGTTGACTGTGCTTGCCTGTAAGCGACGAGTGGGTTGTCCACTCTTGATGTTGCATCGCAGCATCGTCGATGCAGCCCTACAGTAAGGCTAGTATCCTAGTCGCTGGTGACAAACGCCAGTAATAGGACGTGACACCAACTCGCCAGAACAAGGACGCAGGGGCTTGTTGCACGTACAGTATCTACACCACATGCCTCGATAATGCACACTGCTATTCGCAGGTCCACGCATGATTGCTCTCTCGCTCATCATTGCCTCGATGTTAGATTCGTGGCTGGAGACAGTATGCACGACTATGCACAAGTTGCTAGTGACAGGGAAAGTGCTGTGCTGTGACCGGTGAAGAATGCTGGTACCTCCTACTTCTTGCAGAAGCAGGAGCTCGGCTCCTGCATTCCATTGAATGGATCACGGCCAGTCTTGATACAGGGTCCGACGCCCCGCGCCAAAGAAGCGGTATGCGAGAGAAAGGTCAAAGAGCAGGTACGCATCCAGGCAGGTCTTCTGAGTGGTGCAGCAGTCCATGCCATGGCTCGTGTGATGAAAGTGCCGTCTGACGGATTCTCTTGATGCATTGACACGGTAGCCGAATGGCTTGTCTACACAACCTTCGGGAGCGTGATTGGAACACGTTTGAAGGCACCTCGTGGTTAGTGCAGGGATGAAGAAGGCGGCAGAACGCCTTCGACTAGTGGCCTGCCCACCTTCCGAGCAGATTGGTCCTTTGATGAGTGAGTGTTGATCGCACGCTGCTGACTGTCAGCAATTCTGATATTCCTCCGAGTTGCTGTGAGAGGTCAATCTGTAGGAGACCAATCATTGCACGTTTCAGGCATGGTGGGTTTGAGACCAACAAGTGGCCCATTTCGAGGCTTTCCGCAACCAATGCCGAGAGTTGCAATCATCTGCAATCAGTGGATATCCAGGTGATGCTTGCCCAGAGGACAGAGCAGCAGTCGAGCGATCATGCCATGTTTTCGGGGCGGCCTTGACCTCGCATGAATGTGGAGAAAGCGCAATCGGGACGACCGACGGGCGCGAAAAGCCACAAACACGTGGCTGCCGTGGCGTCATTTTGCTGGCCACAACGACACAAGCAATAATCGAGGCATCCATGCACCCAATATTCGTCACGTTCCCAGACACTGTCCGATATCCGATATCCCGTCATCACACTGCTGGAGCATCGTCGAATCCTTTGGTGAACTCTCTTCGCAAATGAGATGTGGAGTCGGAGGATTTGCTGCATCCACGGTCGGGCGACTTGGTGCAGAGAGTTTCCCTTTCGCAACGCCGTCCTGCTTTACCATTCGGCATTCGGGGCCAGCACGGGCGCACATCACGCGGGAAGCATGGGGCATGGGCAATCAATGATACAGGCGACGTGCACGACGAATTGCGATTTCGGCTTCGCATCCATGGGCATGTCGCCCTACCCGCGAATCCTCTGCTGGATCCTGCAGGATTGGGGTCCGCTTTGGGGTGTCGGGGAGCACATAGCAGTCGCGGTGCAAGACGTTTATGCGCAAGGCAATGAAGTATGTACGCATGTTGCTTGCCCGCTGTACATGCTTCACCGGAATGTTTCTGCGACGTTCCCGCATCGAGAGCAACGGTATTCGGTGAGCAAGTCTCGCTTGCGCACGCCAGAGGATGGGCTAACGCGGATGGGACGAGCAACTGGCAAAAGAGGAAAGGTGCGATCCCAAAGTTAGAATTCATGCAGAACGTCCCACCGCCTGCGCCTCGTCTGCCGCACGAGACGATGTGCATGGAGCAGAGCACCAGCACTCGGGTCTGCCGAGCTCGAGCGAATCGCAGTGCCCACACACGCCCATCAACATGGTTCCTCTGCTTTCGACGGCGGGCCGCGGGTGGTGCAATGCGAGGATCTGGAGGTCAAGAAGCACGTCGCATTTGGCGAGCTCCATCCCAGCGCTACAGTACACTTTCGGCGCCGGACCAGGATTAGATGGAGATGGAGGCCTCTCGCGGTCGGTCTTTGGCGCTCTATGTCCATGGCAGATGTCCAGTCGCGGACAGCACTGTAGCAATGCGGGGCTTCAATCGCCACCGTTGGCTACCACGCGGGGCAGAGAGGTTGGCTGGCTGGGGGTTGGGCGGCCTCTCAAGCGGCCACGGCCACGAGCGAGGAGCGGTATGATGACTACGACTCGGGTGGTTCGTGTGCAGAGGGCGGCGGGCTAACTAGGCCAACTCAAAGAGAGCCTTGTGGCACTGTCCCTCTGCCTGCGGGTGCTCCGTACGCATCATGCCCACCTGCAGGGGCGCTAGCAGCAAGCCCTCTCTGAGGCGCTGCATCCTGCCCTCCTCGCCATATCCTGTCGTAAGGCGGACCAGGGTCTCGCGCTGGCGTGGCTCGTGCTGCGCATCCTTCGACTCTGCGACGGTGCCATCATCTGATACATAGCCCGTGGCTTCGCCTCCCAATGCATAGCGCGTCTAATTCAAGCTCCAGTTCTTGGTCAGCAGCATTTCGCTGTCCTCTATACTATCATCGCAGTCGCGCTTTGCTCCTGCGCACAGAAACATTCACCAACCAGCTCATCTTCGCCATTCCGGGCTCGCGATCTGCTGCGCCCACGCCAAGAACGCGTAAGCAACTCTTACTCGACCGACAATTATAACAAACGTCGATTGTATGCATCGCTCCATTCACCAGGCATTCCTTGTCGCTGACGATTGGGCAACGTAGATTTCGGAGCCCCGCTCTTGTTCCATGTGCTGAACCATCGACCATGGCGACCTTTGCCGAGTACCCTGCACACATGATGGCTTCCAACGACTTCACCCTATACCCCGAACCAGAGAGTTGGACTCAGGAACAGTCGTATCTACCTACAGCATCCTATGCCGAACGATCCTACCTGAATGCGACAGCTTTCGAGCACTTCCAGTCACATCCTAGCTTTGCCTCTTACAACCAGTTCGATTACGAGCGACAAGCCGCGCAAACTAAATCCCAATACTGTTCGCCTGCACAATCCGCTTCGCATTCGATCGATCACACGAATCCGCCCCATTTCTCGACGACCTCGGACTCTGGGCACAGCACAATCTCATCAGCGATGGCCTCTCCATCAGCGAACGCCCAGCCCAGTGAATGGAATTCGAGCATGAATTTGTTCCCAGACATTGTTCGGCAGCATGATGATACTGTTTTCACGACCGGTTATGACTACGAGACGATGACTGTGACGGATAAGGGATGTGTAGGTGAGTGATCGTACATATCTTCCTTCCGCGACGCCCTTGCGATTCAGGTGGTGCAGAGTGTTCTCAAGCTAACAACTTGTTGCAGATCCGTCGCTGATCCACCCTTTCTCTCCCCAAGTTGGCGCGCAATACTCGTTATCAGGACTTGCTGTGCAATCTCCGCAAGCAATCGCTCTCCAACACAACTCCCCACTGCCTGCACGAGTATCGCTACATGGCGATCGTTCCGGGTCAGCGAAGCCACAATCACCCCCTCAGACATGGCAACCATATCCACAGCAGCACGGACGCAGACCTTCTGTGTCCTCCGTACACTCTCGACAAAGTCAACGTTCGCACACATCAGAAGAATCCAACAAGGGCATGTGCCCTATCGCAACTTGCGGCAGACACGTGAAGGACTTGAAAGCACATATGCTCACCCATCAACAAGAACGACCCGAGAAGTGCCCGATCCCAACTTGCGAATATTACGTCAAAGGCTTCGCCCGCAAATACGACAAGAACCGACACACTCTGACGCACTACAAGGGGACGATGGTCTGTGGTTTCTGCCCCGGCAGTGGAAGCGCGGCGGAGAAAAGTTTCAACCGAGCAGATGTTTTCAAGAGACATCTGACATCAGTGCATGGCGTTGAGCAAACCCCGCCCAACGCGCGGAGGAAGAGTCCTTCATCGACAAGCAAGAAATCCGGCACATCATCACGAGAATCCTCAGGCATGTGCTCAACATGCGGCAACAATTTCGCCAACGCCCAGGACTTTTACGAGCATCTTGACGATTGTGTTTTGCGCGTGGTCCAGCAGGCTGAACCAAGCGAAGCGAACAACGAAAAGCTACTCACAGAAATATCACAAGATAAAGACTGCCAATCGACACTGGAAAGGCATAATCTTCCGATTGAAGTCGATCTCACCGTATCGACCAATTACGACCAGGACGAAGAACTTGATGACGACTGTGACGAAGACGACGCAAACGATGGCACATACGGGAAACGGACCGGAAAAGTCGCAAAGCGTGTAGGGAAAAATGGCGCAATAGTAAAATCCGGTCCCAGAAAAGGCTTGACACTTTCGAAGAACGGTGTCGCACTCGCTGGCGCCATGACAGGAAAGGGATCCAAGCGAAGGAAAAATTATCCTTTGTCGTGGGGCGCTGCTCCTGATAAGATGAAGATGAAGAAGCGAGTCCTCTGCGTTTATGATGGTCAACGACGGTTATGGAAAGATGATATGATGCTTGATGCAGAGCATGAGGTTCGGATTCCGCTTAACAGTGATGATCCGAGGGGGCCTTATGTTACGGATTTGGATGTTTTGACGCTGCGAAGAGCGGAGGGGGTGTTGAATGCTACGGAGGAAGAGAAGGGTCCTTGGGAGGATGAGGAGGCACTTCAACGACTTATGGATTCATGAATGAGCTGGGCTCGCGATTGATGAGCGATTTTACTGTTGATGGTGTTTTGCATAGCGAATGAGACCCCGCAGAATCTTTGGGAGATTTCTGGCGAGATGTTTGGCAAGGATACAGCTTCTCTGTTACTTCTAGGATGAGATGTCTGGAGTGATGCTGTAATGATGCAGCTTTGAACCAAGCCAACTTTTCGTTGCATCGAAAATTCCCTCGTCATGTTCCTTGGCTGCTTTCTCTTGACTTTTCCCGCATCTGCTGAAGATGGCGTGCCCTGCGGCTTTGCATCGTGCAGAAGAGTTGGCACACGGTGTCGTCTTTGACGAACCAGTGATAGTGCCTCGAGAACTGAGGCAAGCGTTACGTCAAGGCTGCGACGAGGTATAAACTTTGGATTTTCGTACTTCTGTCATTCTGCCGACAGGTGTACTGCAAATCAATACCGTCAAATGCGTGTAATTAGCAGCTTATTTACATAGTTCCATCATCAACGTCCTCGCCTCCTGGTCAATGCTGGGTACTATGCTTTCCAGGTGGTGATCTGAACTTCCATCTGCTGGGTGCCCAAATCACTTTGCTGCACTCGTCGGCGTGACGGTTCGATTGCCACTGTATATAATCGTGATGCTGCCTCATACAACACTTGTTACGAGCCCGAGAGTTGGCGTCCGCAATAAGTTGGCTCTTGTAAAGTTTTTATCCTGCAGCCCCATCGTTTCAAGATTCACTTACCGTTCCGACTATGTTCTTTCGACTTGATCTCTATTGTAAGGCTGGCTGTAGCTAAGCCCATTCGTTTCCGCAGCAGTTGTGCTGTTGAGGAAGGTGCAATGCTGTCCTGGAGCATTCACTTCGCTTCAAGACGAATCTGACACAAATATACACATTATTTCAAGAATCAAATACCACAACTTCTGCAGCTGTAGTCTAGCGGTCATGGTTTCGTCAGAGTCGTGCTGTTATGAGCGAGCTATGTCGTCTTTGAGCCAGCAGCTAGGTGTCGGGCAGTCTTGCAAATGAACATACACCAATACAGGCATCTCCAGCACATATCGACTTTAGCCGTCGTCTGTCGATCATCAGACGGATTAGCTACATCGTCTAGTAGAAGTTAAGCGATTGAGGTATGACAAGTGCAAGATCAGACCGCGTTCCGCAGACGCTGGCATCATGTTCAAACAACCGTATCAAGGACTATCCCCAAAGTTCATGTCGTTCTCTGCACTCATGTAAAAGCCTCTGCCGGTCAGTCTGATGATAAGATGCCATGGTGTTGCTGAGACTTGTCTGAGAACACTTCACGCTGATCACTTTAGGAACCCTCTCTCGAAGAGAGGATAGATTGGTTAACTGATCACTCTATGAACCCTCTCTTGCAAAGAAGATGGATCTGCCAACCAATCACCGCCTGAACCCTCCCCTGCAGAGAAGATAGATTTGCCAACCGATCACTGTGTAAACCCTCCCCTGCGGAGAAGATAGATCTGTCAACCTCATGAGTCTCCACGCCATCCTTCTAGAACCATCAGACTCGTCTCAACATTCAGTCGTCCTGCATCCCCGCTGTCGCTGGAGTGATGTACTCGTCGTAGAGTCTTCCCATCGCCTGATCCATGTCCTGTTGTGCAGAAGGATTACTTGGATCGTCTGCGATAGCCTGCATGTTATCCAAAAGCTCCTCCAGCTCAGGGTCGTTCTGTAACAATGCTGCCAGTTGAGGGTTCCCAAGAACCGTATTGCGAGCCATTTCAACCCCCTGCTGCAGTTGAGATACAGGCTCACCAATGACACCAGTGCCCTCACCCATTTCAACATCTTCGTCACCAGGGCCTTCACCCACAGTCTCTTCACCTTGCTCCGCGCTGGTCTCGGCAGCAGTGCCATCATCGTCAGACACCGCAGCTGCATCCAGCATGGGTCCAGCATATGTATCTTCGATGTTGTCGAGCTCACCAGTCGAAGGCTCACTACCGTAGATTGGCATTGGCACAGTGCCGGGGTTGTAGATGGCCTTGTCGGTAATATTGCCGTGGCAAAGGATGTTGTCAAGCACAGGGTAGTACTCCTCGGTCATGTCTTGCTTTGCACTGTTGAGATACCACGACTCAATGAGCATGTTGTTCTCACCATCGTTGTCGATTCGCTCCTGTACGTCCGTTGGTAGCTCTGAGACCCAGCCACTCAGCATGCCGAACCCATGAGTGCGGTGAGCGACACTGAAGCGGAGTGGCGAACAAACAGCCAGCACCAGCGGCAGGTGTAGTCGATCACCATACTTCTTCTTCAAGTGCTGCAGGTCGGCCTTCGGAGTGTTGGAGCAGCAGTACTGGAATATGATCTCGAGGTACAGCGTGACAGCAGTGTCCTTCGTCTGCCACTTCTTGTTGCAGACTGTGCGCATACGAGCCAGGCGCTCATCACACAGGATCGCCACTCCATTGCGGTCGAGGCCCTCAGGATTGCTGTCCTTTGTACCCATCCAACGAGTGCCATCACTGAGCTGATGGAGTGTGATGCCGAAATACTTCTCCATAGACTGAGCGCACTTCTGAAGGCTCTCCCAGACACCGCCGCTCCATGCGCTGCCTTCAGTGTCAGCGGGATCGTATGCCGGGACACTCTTATGCGGATGCACAAATCGCTTGGCAGCATCTTCCCAAGGTCCGGGCTCATTCGGTGTAGGTGCTCCGGCGACAGACTCAGCGTGAATCTTGTCCCACTTCGCCATAAGAGCACCTCTGCCCGAATTGATGAAAGGCCGCTTGAGCACAACCAGTGCCATAGATGTCATCTTGTCGATCAATTGTTGTTGCGCTTGTGGAGAGGACTGCTCTTCGTCACTCTTCCGCTTGAACTCGCCAATCTCGTGGATGACGCCTGGAAGGAATTGTCCCTTCGCATATTGGCAGGTGATCGATGTGATTTTCAAGTTGTCCTTAGAATGCTTCAGACTCTGATACTTTGGACGACCCTGTCTCTCGATGGCGTCAACCGTGATGCCGAAGGGCACGAATCGACGGTGCGATGGATTGCGTCCAATGTTGGTCCGCTCCTCGCCGATATCGTGCGTAAGACCAGTCCACTGGTCCACATAGGTCGTGAGCTGATCTTCTGGAAGGCCTTTGACTTTGCCATGGTTTGGCAGTTGCATCTGGAGCGAAGTCCAAGCGGTCTCGAAGATGGACTTGCACTCTTTCTCCTGTGGATCGAAACCTCTGACTGCACACTTCCGTCTGAAGCTGTTCCAGAGAGATTTGTACGCCAAGTACGATGCAAGAGATTGATAAGACGAGTGACTGCTCATGAACGAGGCTTGGTCACGTCTGTAACAGGCTGGGCAGACCAGTCGACCAAGACTGTCATAGCTGCGTGACTTGCAAAAGACAGGCCGCGTGCAACTCTCGCAAACGTGCATCTCGTTGCCAGAAGTGTCGTCGCAATCACATCGCGACGAGGGAGGCACACCATCGGCGATGTCGTTGTTGACACAGTCAGCTGTCTTCGCGGCCTCAATCCATGCAAATCGAATGTCCTGACCAGCGCAAAAGAGCTGGACAATAGTTTCCAGCACCGGAGTCGTGCGGCTTGCATTCATGGAATGGATAGTGAGTTGGAGTGCGCCTTTTGGAAGACCCAGATCTCCGTACACCTTCGTAGTGGGAGAGACGTAGCTGCAGGCTCGTGCTCTCAAGACTGAGGTCCGATACAATGGAGCCTCGCCGCCATACATACCCTGTTGGGTGGCTGTCCCTCTCTGCAGACCAATCTGCTGCCGATACATGACCTGCAGTTCCTTGATGCGACTCTCCGTGGTGATCAGGCCTTGAAGCTGAGCAGATAACCAATAGACAGCATCTTCGGCTTTCTGTTGGGAGGCCCGTGATGACTTCTGCTTCTTTCCAAGCTTCTTCTTCTCGAATGTTGGCGCTGGCAAATATGTTGGGTTGTCAGGATCGCGCCGGCTGATCGTGCCGGAGCCAGTGTTGCGAACATTGATGACAGGCAAACGAGGAACATCGACTTGGCTCATCTGCTCATCAGTAGCCGTAGCAGAGACATTGAGTCTCTTGTGAGCACCAGTATCCTGGTCGATGTAGTGGACTTTCGTTTGGTATGTGACCGTGTTGCTGTGGGTGACATCGTCAACCTGTCGTGGCTGCGCGAGGACGTTGGAAGCTGCGGATGCGATGATCTCCCGTCTGAGGGGAATGTCCACCTCATCGGTTTCCCATGGCCAGGTGTTGTAGATACGGACCAGCTCCTGATGCATCTTGTCCTTGTCCTTAGCCGAAGCATCCTCGGGAAGAGTGGAGTATGGCACTAGGACATAGTGCGGTGGATCAGTATTGTCCGTAGTCTTGAACTCGGTTCTCCATGCTGAGGCATTGCCTTCCTTCCTGCATCGACCAGCAACAATATTGCGGCTTTGTACTGCTGCACCAGAAACAACCTGCTCGAGGTGCATCTCTACCTGCTTCACATCACACATCGCTTGCTCGACGGAGACAAGAAATTTCTGTGCCCGTTGACCTGGCTCTAGGCGCGACTGCACGGCGGAAGCGTGTTCGAGACGCAAACAACTTCTCCCGGTGACTTCGGGAGCCAAGCTGCAAAGTGGGAGGCGCGCTTTCTTCTGAGTCCTTCAGCAGCAAACACAGACGCAAGCTTCAAGCTGGGACGTGCGTCCTTTCATTTCGCCCTCGAAGGTGGAATTCTTCCTGTCATTCCGCGTTTGCGCATACTTCTTGGGTACGCCGAGTTGCCACTTCTGATCAGAGCCCGTGCCTGTAAGTTGAGCAACACCCTCTCGTTGCGTACCGCAGTCATGCTAACGTTCCCAATCTGTAGGCATGGTCCTCGGCTGCTCTGGAGTCGCAGACGATGCTCTTGACATGGCGAAGGAAGCGGTGCGCGTCGCCGAACTAGGCTTAACCCTCATCGACGACGACCTTGCCAAGCAGTTACTCGCAGACTGTCGTACCGTTCTTGCGGAGGTTGAAGCAGCGCATACCCAGAGAGCCGCAGAAGAAGATTTGGACGAGCTTGTCGAGGAGGCCGAATCCGAGACAGCCGAGCAGGAGGATGGAGATGGCGCCAAGGGAAATGCGGAGGAAGGCCAAGCTGCTGCCGGAGAGAAAGCCAGCGGACCCTCTCGTACCATCACTGATCCCGCGAAGGCCACACCGCACTACAGCACGCCTCCACCAACTAAGTAAGGAGAAGGGGGCCAGGGACGATGCCGGCGATGCTTCAGAGGCTATGGATGAGTGATGTGGTGCAAGGCTTCAATCGGAGGCCTCTCTTTCTCCACTGAATGAGATGCGGGTTTCTGCTTGTTGGCTTGGGCACGCACAGCCAGGCACGACAACTTTTCATCAACAACGCTGAGCCTGCTACAGAAGATTCCGCTCCATCAGAGATGTCGATCGGCTTGGGCCGAGTCATATTGGTCACATTGGGCATGTTCAATTGAGAGACAGCCTGATCACGCTGCAGAAAGATAGGAAATCAAATGAGATCCACAACATATTCATGTCTGTATCAGAATTCTAAATGGAACAGTGTCGCGGAACGAACGTAGAATTCATTGATATCGAATGTGGCTCTTTGCTATTGCGGACTGCCTGAGTACATACGATCATGCCTGTGGATTTCTAGAGTCTTGGTGCTGATGCTACGAACAGACTCCCAGTTGTAGGAGGTTCGGAAGGAGAAGGCGGAGGGATGTGCATCGGATAGAATGATGTAGAGACTGCTTACGATCTGAGACAGGGACACGCAGTTCGATAGCCCGACAACTAAGCCATGCAATCCAAGCACCTCCGTAGCCAAACAGAATCAAGAGCTATGCAGCTTGAAGCGAAGCAGGCTTTCCCGAAACAACACTGTACACATGTGGAAGACTTCAAAAACTCTGTTCATTTGAAGCCGAATGTACCGAAACTGAAGGCCCCAGAGTCTGAGAATGCATTAAGAAGACTCGTGCCATTGTCGTTGCCGAAGGGCCCCATCATTGCATTGATCGTAGGTGAATTCGTCTACACTAAAGCATATCCTTCAAGGGAAGTACGGTCACCCGGTTATCCACGATTAGCAGAAAAGACCTACAAATTTGCCAAGTCTCCCAGCTTGTGATTGTTAGCAAGACGGTTTCTTTGTGGCGATGTCCTGATCCTGTGCTAAGAGGCTTTACTATGCGGGTCCGACATAATCGACCCCTAGGGTCCCCCAGCACAGCACGTTCTTGCGAAGCATGTGTGATGCAAGAAGCTGTAGAAGCACAAAAGCAAAGCATAGGCAGCGAACACAATGCAGGTGCATTCGCTGGTGCAAGACCAGGTGACACTGCCAAGAAAAAATATTTCACCTCAACTTCAAACGCGTATATCTCAGCAACCAGTGGACGTATCGACACCAAAAAAAGAACGCTGCTGCGTCTACGCCAAAGGTCATAGCGAGGATCGAACTCGCGACCACTTCGGATTCATCGAGATTGTAAACGAACTGGACGAATTGTTAGAGGTATTCAACATGTAATGGACGTAAGAGGCACTAACGTGTGATAACCACTACACCATACGACCGTTAAAGCGTGCCGTAAAGGTTGAGGTAGTACAATATGTAGATAGGCAACGAGTGGTTGACGGAAAAAGCTGCTTCGGGTCAAGCATTGATGAGGTTTGAGGCCAGCTTGACCGGTACAGTTCGGACCGACTCCACACGCCAATCAACGGCCAAGATCTTGTACGTAAGCATTGCATGCATACGGTGTCTATCGTCGCTCTTTATGAAATTGGCCCCGGCAGCCTTCTTTTCGGTCCTGCTGAGCCATAAGTCGTGAGCCTCAAGACTGGTTCCTTGTTATGAATATGAGATGGATGGCTTCGACTTGAGCCTTATCGAAAGTCTTGTTGCTACGCAATTGAAATTGGAAACTCTTGTCCCCGGCTGAGTCACGTGATATTTGAAAACTTGACTTGTGAAGTGAAACTTCCGTCCCATCCCACGCACCGATTGTAATGGTACTGCCTCTCAGGTCTCATGGATTGTTGGAAGAATGACTATTGTCTTCGAGGATAGCGACATAAGATGTGGACATGGATGAAGTCCAAATTGGAAACTGAAAATCCGCTACGCGGCTCTGTCCGCCGACTCGCCGGGTAGGCAGCAAGCCAAATCGACGGCCACTACCACCTTTGCATCCATCAACTCTCCTCTCTGGCACTGAAGCTATGCCACCTTCTTCGCAAAAGAGAAAGGCGCACACCAAATCCCGCAACGGCTGCCAGCAGTGCAAGTTACGGCATCGTAAAGTAAGCTGTTCCTTGTGCAAGTATGCTCCGAGGTCCATCGAACCGCAATTGACAGCAGCTGATGCGCCGAGCGCGTCTGCCAGTGTGATGAAGTGCATCCGCAGTGTGGCTCTTGCACGCGTCTGCTTACAGAATGCCGGTATCCCACGACTGTGCCAACTACGCCCGCCTCTCCTGTTGTGACCTACACAGCTGGAAGCAAACCAGCAGGACATTCAGGACGAATGATCGCAAGTGCCCAGTATTCTCGACCCAGTTCAGCCCTCAGCACGCCGCGCGAGAGTCTGGAAGTTGTACCTTCCTCTTCCTCCACAGCCTTGGACCTGGAGTTGATGGCTGCCCTTTGTTTCCACGACGAAGACGATCACTCGCCTGCGCTGAACACGCCAGCAAGCTTCAACCGGCCACTTATACAATTTGCGACAGGGAAGCCTTATTTAATGCATGAACTACTTGCGATTACCGCGTGGAAGTCATTCGCAGAGGATCCGACAAGGAAAGAACTGATGACCAGGGCCTCCTTCCATCAAGCTGAAGCATTGAGCCTAGTGCAACCCCGTCTCCAAAACATCAACGAGGACAATGCCCTCTCTCTTCTCTTCTTCATCGGCCTAGCCGCGATGTCAGGTCTCGCCGAACCAGCTTTGACCACAAACGATTCTGGAGAATCCTTTGATCCGATCGAGAAGACCCTGCACTGTTTCCACCTCTACCGTGGTGTCATGATAGTAACGTCGCCGTTCTGGCCTACTTTCCGCCACACATGGGCTTGGCCATATCTCAGCAGTCAAGTCGAGGCCGGCTCAAACTTGGTCCCTAGGCCGTCAGAGATTCCCGGATATGATCGCTTACGTGGGCTAGCATTTGGCCTTAACGACGAAGAGGCCACGAGTGCTTGTATTGAAGCTATACGCCACACACTAAGCTTTATATCTCTCGTGCAACAGCAGGAGGATGCAACCATGAGCAAAAGACTAGTTTCATCGTGGCCAATGTGTGTTGGAACTCACTTCCTTTCACTTCTTTCGGAACGGAAGCCTGTTGCTTTGGTTATCCTCGCATATTACGCGGTTCTGCTCAAGCTAGGCACGGGACTATGGTGGATTGGAGATTGGCCAGCTACACTTGTTCACCATCTAGATCAATGCTTAGGTCAGCGTTGGTCTGAATTTCTGGAATGGCCACTGTCGATAGTTGCAGGGTGACCTGCACACAAGCTTGCAATGCTAATTCAGCTACGGAACCGATCCATTTACACGCATTCGAAGTTCAGCGCATAGTCTTCGCTCTCGCCGACGAAGGTCTGTAACAGAAGGATAAGGGCATAAATCCCTTTCGGCCCACTTGCCCGACAGCTTTCAGTTTATCAGGGACGACTCCTTCCTCCACCCAGTTGATGAGCTGGTCAAATGCAGTCCCTGGCAACGGACCCAAACCTCCCATACAATGTCCGACTCCTGGGGCCTCGAAATGACGATAGAACTGGTGGACATCGGATACACGCTCCATCACCTGGTCGTAATACCGGCTTGTAACAGGAGGAATTGTCTCATCAGCAAGTCCGTGCCAGCTAATCATCTTTCCACCAGCTTTCTGGAAGCTTGACAAGTCTGGATCGTGCGCAGCCATGATGGGACCAAAGACTCTCTGAGAGGTTCTCAAGTAATCAAAAAACTGCTCATCCGTCAAAGTCGTAACATCGAAAGCCGGATCCTTAGCCAAAAAGTACTTCCAGAATCCAGTGAAGAGCTCGGAATCTGATTGAGTGCACTGGTCGTCAGATGAACAGGTAGTTGAAATGTAACCGGTCAAAGAAGCATCCACATTCAAGCCAGGCCAACTGAAATTACCCTCTGGATCGTGCGGGCCAATCCAAGCTACTCGTACCACATCTGCAGCAGCAGCGGACAAGACTTTATCTGTGCCGTTACAACTTATCCTAGCCCCAACTGCGGAAGAAGGATCGAAATTGCATAGCTCTGGTCGCGATGCGATTGCGTCTTCCAGTCCGTTCAAGAGATCGCAAGCTTGAATAGCTCGTTTCGAGAAGGCATTACCTTCGCAAGCTGATGGGTACGTCGACAGATTTCTCATGACCATTGCGGACCATATTGCTGCCGGGATAAATGTCTCGATATTCATGGCAGGCGCAGCCGCTGGCACACCATCGTAATCGTTTGGAAACCGCTGCGCAAGCTCCATCGCTTGTCGACCTCTGCCGCAACAACCACTGAAGTAGGAATACTTCGGCTCGCTGCCAAAGAAGTCACTCGTGATCCTGTTTCCGATCGATATCATTTTCCCTAAGCTCCGAAAGCCGAAATTATAAAGCAGCGGCAAATCGAGATCTCCGGTGCTTGCCAAAGCCCACTCCGCACTCCTCGCGCTCTTCAGTCTAGTTTCATGACCGGAGTCAGTAGCGAGTGCCACAAATCCTTCTTTGCGAGATTGGAAGTCAGACAGTGACGCTCACTGTGTCATGCCATCCAGAATGCTCGTACGAGACGGTAACATTGCAGAAATCGACGGTGTATACCGCTCCATCGAGTGTACCAGGCGGCAGCGAGGTTCTGGTGAGGTTTCTCACATCTTGGGCTTGCAGGTTGAGGTATCGAACTCCATCAATGTCGGGTGGATGAAAGGAGCTATGCGATCATGATTGTAGGGAGTATCATGTTTGCGATGGCAGAATTGAACACTTTTGAGCGCTGCAAAGCGCTTTATATCAAGCCATGAGGCTGCCAGAGACCTTTGAAGGACTAAGACAATTCATACCAATACGCAGATACGCCGGTGAAATGTCATTGGCAATACGCTCGATACACCCAATACGCCACTTCAGCTTCAGCGAAAATTGTGTTGCTGCCTGGCACGGCAAAAGGAGCTCCGAGCATTACGCTGCACAATTGACACACGCGCGGAAACTTTGTACAGTCTATACTGGTGGCTGGGACTATGAGTTCACAAGAGAATGCCGCGATTCTACCATTGCTCCTAATGCTGCTCACACTAGTCGCGTACCGCTGTCGAGCGCTGAGACCTCCACCCGACAACTGCTGCAGTATTCAGCAAAGTCCTCGCCCAAGGCGTCAGACGGTCCACCATCGCTCGTCTCATTCTTCTTGATGTTTTTAGCATTGAGCTGCACGAGCATGCCCTCCACACGCTCACACTTCCGCGACTCTGCCCGGACCCAATCCTCGAATTCCGCTTGTACAACGTCCTTCTCTATGCGATTGACCACTCGCAGAGCAACAAGCAGGTCGTGTCGCTGTCTCGCCAGAGAGTCCCGAGATCTCTGCAGCTGCACTCCAGGTGATCCAGGCCCTGGAAGAGCCTTCGACGCCATGACATGCTCGTGAAACGTGCTCCGGCATGTCTTCTGAGTATCTGCATCCGATATGTTCCATGAGTCGCTGCCAGCGATCTCCACGTCTGCCGCCACCAGGTTCTCCAGATCGCGTAGATGGATTCCTTTACTCATCATCACGTCTGGTACGACGCCCACTCGCGCCATGAATTTGGCAGCGCTTCGTTCATGGTACCACACGAGTCCGTCGCGGTACCCGTGCCACGTATTATAGAGCGCTGAAATGCCGAGGACGATAATCAACAGTGTATGGGCGGTGCAAAGCGAGATTGCCCCTTTACCGATGGCGACTGCAAGGTCCAGGACCACACTAGACGCGCTCAGCGTGCGTGCGAAAAGGTCCGTCGTTACCAGTTGGACAATGCTGATCGGCTTGCTGCTGACTGGCGTGATAGGAGGTAGTGTTCCACTTGGAACCTGATCGCTGCCAATTTGTGCGGTCTTCGTCTGTTGACCGACACTGCCGAAGATTTCCACTGCCTTGATGGTTTTGCTGTAGTTGCCTAGCTTGGCCACTTGATCCATCGCCACGTTCGAGATGTCTAATGCGTCGGCCTCCAGGGTGTTGTATGCCTGTCGCTCAATGAGTCGCTTGAAATATTGTATCGCCGGTTGCTGACGCCAGACAAAGTTCTGAAAGATGGCGAGCTTGGACCGCGACTTCGCAGTATGCGTTACAACAAATTTTGTGGTCAAAGTGAAGGACTTTCCATATGGAAGGCGATGAGCGTATTTGTCGTTGGTGACCACATAGCAAAGGTGGTCATTGAAGATGTCAATGGTCTGAGTGTCAGTCACGGAATGGTCCTGCGTGGTGAAATTCCTAGTCCAATGACCACGATCTGCTTTGCTCCAAGGTGTTTGTGCAATAGTGGTACCCGATCGATTGGCGTAGAGTAGCTGGAACACTGCGCTCTTGTCTCCAAACATGATGTGGAACAGTGCCTTTGCACTGATGTTGAAGTCTCTCGTGACGCTAGACTGCATACCTTGAGGTGCATATACCACAGGTTGTGAAGGCAGTTTGAATTTCTGGATTTCTCGTCCAGTTCTGATCGTCTCTCCATAGAGACTGCCGTCGATGCGCAAGCTCGCTTTGATGTTTCGGTCACGGCGGCGTTGTGGCGTGCTCGGATCGCCCGGTAGGGTGTCATCAGCATCGTAAACGACATCTTCCCACTCCCAGCTTTCGGCACTTGATCTTCGGCGTAGAGGTTCAGTCTCCATCTTGATTAACGTTTTTATGATTTCCTCCAAACCCGCTGGTTCCTCTGCGTGAGCGTTGCGGACTAGGAAGTTCAATCTTCGCTGGAGCAATTTCAGTGGCTCCAAGAACACTTTGATCGTGAGCCTGCGCGCTTCATCCCTCTGTAAACCTTCCTTGAGGTGAAGGTAAACGAAGTCGCAATCGCGGCCGGGCGCAGCGGTCACCTCGGCAAGTGCAGAGAGGCTGACCCCAGTGACAAGAACGAGCCCGAGGTGGTTAGAGAAGAAGTATATCTCGTACGGCGTCACATAAACTCGCCCTGGAAACTCCTGTTGATCGTTCGGATTCCAGGTCGCGCGGAACACCAATACGACCTTTTCAGACTTCATTACTGAGGGGAATAGCATTCGGAACTGCGCATTCTGTGCTTTGAGTGGTAATGGGTAGTAGCTCGGGTAATCATCTGCCACTGCTGAGAGTGACGGACCGTCCTGATTCTGTTTGGCCGCAGATAGATGAATCTCGCCACCGATGCTCAGATTCTTGCGATGGCCCAGAGAGGTACCAGCATCGGACATGTATGCATCGTTGGCGTGTGTCGATTCGCTCTGTCCATCCATGACGATAGAATCATCCTGAGAGATAGACATGGCGCGCATGCCAGGGCTCGGAGGCTGCGAGGGTGGCTTGCGCAGCTGGCCATCGTCACCGAGGCGATTGACATGACCCCAGTTGCTGCTACCCCAAAGGTTTGCCAGAATACCAGAAGGCATACCACTCCCGTCTGCTCGGGCCAGACCAATACCTCGCTCTCCACTGACAACAACGGCAGTGTGGCTGAGATTGGTCGCAGCTGGCGGGTTCGCAAGGGTAGAAGGTGCTAAGCTGCTCGATGGTAAACTGTTGATAGGCATCGTAAACGTCCGTCTAGGTCCATCGGTGCCACCGGGCCCGACAGGCAGGATGCTGTGGCTCGCTGAAATGAGACTGGCGATGCCTCCACCAGATGCCGGTCCTTGACTCATGTGCGGCGACGCAGTCGATCTCTTGTGGAGGTCAAGCTTTTGTATAATGCGGGCAGCGTGGTCTCGAGAAGCCTCACGGAGACCGCCTTCAGCTTCGCGTTCGAGACTCATTACTCTTCGAGGATTGACGTCGAAGCTTGGGCGTGCTGCGATGCCTAGACCAGTGCCTTCCCGCTCGGGAGCTGTGAGTCCTTCGCACTGTTAGCATCAACTCCACGGGTCTTTTGAACGTCATGGCTGAGTGGGCGAATGTAACGAGAAGTGTAACGAGAATCCAGTACTCACCTACAGCCAGATCCTCGCTCGTCTGAGCGGCATGGCCATCACCGATCTTCGCGGCAAACTCTGGTGCGACAGGCGGGCTAATCGCGAAAGCAGGATCTATTCCCGGCGCTGAAGATGAAGATGCCTCCGTGCTGGCAGGATCTTCTAAAGCCTTCCTTTTGGCAACCTCAAATGCACCGATCCACTCGGTGAGTTCCTGCAGGATGTTAGACAACAGAGATTCGGATCGAGACCAACAGCAGCAGAGCGCGTACCTGTTGACCCTCTGCTTGTAGGATGATGCTTTGGTCTTTGGTCTTGACCTCGAAACAAAAGCGTCTTTCTTCCTGAAAAGCTGGTCGGATGCTGCAAAGGAGAACACCGGTCCTGTCGCTTTCCTCGACACCTCCGGACCTGCCTTGAATCAGCCAGCCAAAGATTCCATTCTTCACGAAGAACCAACGACGTGACCAGACAGTCCTAGCAGGTCGGCCGGTGACAGTTCTGAGGAATAACCAGCCTTGCTTCTCGGCTAATTCTGAAGCACCTTTGTTCGTGCCGGCCGCTGCAGAAGCCCCGGTACCTAGATAGGGTACCGTCGATGCAGAATAGTCCTCCAACTGTGGTCGATCAGTACAGCAACGTGGTTTTCGCCTCCGTCACAAGTGGTGGGCGGAGGCTTCCATGCCGCGAGAACAGGAGTTCGACGAAAACATGTCCACCAAGGTTCACTTACCTCTCGAGAAGGGCGCTTCTTCTGTTCTGCGGTGTCCTCAATCAGCTTACGTGCGGCAAGCAGCTCTCGCTTGAAAGCACGCTCTGAGTTCTCCATCTCTTTGCTCCATCCCCGAATGCGTTCCATTTCACCTCCCCACTTTGCGAAGGTTGCTGTACTGGACTCCCGGGCCTGTCGCATCTCTTTCCACTGATCGGCGAAGATTTTGACAATCAGCTGCAAAGTGTCAGGCTCAGTTCTGACACCATATACGAGAAAGCCAACATGGCAGAGCTGACTTCAAGCATCTGGCTGATGCGCAGATCATACGAAATTTTGGGCAGGAGCGAGACATGTTGCGACAGCTTACCTTGTCAAGCGAGGCGCGCAGGTGAGGAGCAGAAACGCAAAAGTCCATGCTGGCCTTGAGGTAGACCTTTCGCGCTTCATGGAGCTGGAAGGCCTCCTCTCGCAAGGACGATGGCTCCTTGGTCTTGCTTTGCGCAGAGAAGCGAGTGATGACAGTATCGAAGCTCTTTTGGGCATTATCCATAGCACGCCTCGCGTCTTTGAAATTGCGCAAATCCTGGCTGAGGAAGGCCTTGATGGGATCTATCACGGCAGTGTCATAGCGCTTGATGCCTCGAAGTGTGTTTGACCAGAACTCGCGCGCACCCTCGCCATAGCGGCGCATAGCTAGCAGGGTGTAATCATGATCGAGCACAGCTTCGCTGATGAGGGCTGGCGGCATGGACTGGCTCAGGAACGAATTGACCGTGGTCTCCAACGACGACACCTCGGCGACCAGGCGCGAGGCGGCCTTCACATAGCCATCTAGCCATCTTTCCACGGCATCGATGTTGTCCGCGAAGTGCACTGCCGTAGCACGGAAGGTCGGAGAATCGAGGCTGGCTTCACGTAGGCCGACGGGGATGAGGTTCAGGACGGTATGCCGCTCCAACACGGGGACTTCGGTGGGAGCCGTGGACGGCGAGGTCTCGGCCATGACGGTGACATGGAGCTCGCGGCGGGGCGACGGATACAATGTTGCAGCGTGATAGGGGTCGGCGTGGTGGAGGAGACGATTCTCAATGTTGCTGGTGGTCACTGACGTGTGCACGCGCATTGACAGGGTTGCCGGGTCGAGAACGTTCAAGCGACAGACTAACAACACCTCCACTCCACTCCCCGAACCACGACCGCAGTCTTTTCTCTCGCTCCACCGCATCGCAGCCAGGGCGATTGTGCGTTACTCGATGCCCTCGTGGCTGTATCAGCGACAGTACAAGCACAAGCACAAGCTCATCACATCGATGTCTACATGTGACGCTCGAAGATGCCCAAGACTCTTCCCCCGACAGCAACATAATCAGCCAAGAAAACACGGTTTCGCTGCTACAAACTAAGCGCTCGCATCCACGTGGGCCAAGTGATACGGCGCAGACCACAGGAGGCAGTGCATGCAGAGGCTATCGCATTTTTCTGCAAGTCATCTATCGCTTGCAACGCTGTTGCGCGATGCATATTGAAGCGGTCCACACTGGCCCCTCTGAAACACTTCGCTTCTCAAGCCCTCGGAATCGCCCGTCGACCACGGAGCCATTGACTGCATCTGATAATACCACCGCGGCTCCACCCTCCGTTTCGCCTTCATCGCTGCGTGGGACTGCATCGCACTCCATCTTTCTCCCAGATAGCTGTCCTCCCTATGCAGTGCTTGGCTTCATCTACCTCGCTCCTAGCCGCGCTCTCGACCCATTTCCCCCGACGGCACTCCTCACAATGTTTCAATTCTCCTTGTCATGCTGCATCATGCAAACAATGCATCCGAGCATGGACGCTTGCCCGTAGGAATACATAAAAAGAGTCTGCGAAGCTCTTGTAAGTCTCCATCATCAACCGGCTCGATCAGCAAGTCTGCTCAGTACGCCCTTTCAAAAGCACCTTCTCTACACAGCGACTGGTTTCGCTTGCCCTTCATTCAACGCACTCTTTCTATCCCCAGTACCGCTCATCAATCACTCGGTCTTTACCACCTGCAACATCACCCACACCACCCAAAATGCAATACATCCTCCCAGCAACCTTGGCTTTTGCCGTCGCAGCCAATGCAGTGCCTGCCCAGCACTGGCACTACCCCAAGGGCTTTGGAGGCCCACCAGCGCCTGGTGGCGCTATCCCAACTGGCGGTGCTTACCCAACTGGCCTCGTTCCTACCGCCACAGGAATCCTCCCATGGCCCACCGCACCATACAGCCCTATCAAACAATACCAGAACAAGGGCCGTGCCGATGACGATGAGGAGTCCAGCTCGTCTTCTGCCGCGTCCAGCAAGACCAAGTCTAGCAAGAAGGGCAAGTCGTCCTCTGCCACCGCTAGTGTGACCAAGTCGGGCAATGCTGCGTCGGCCACAGGCGGTGCCTCTTCTGGCAACAGCTCTGCCCCTGCTACCACCGCGGCACCTGCATCCGGTGGCTCTGGTTCGTCCGGAGGCAAGCTGCCAGCCTCCTCTGGCACATCCATCCTTAAGGCCGTCCAGACCATCGCTGCTGGCGAGTCTTTCGACGGCGGCATGGTCGCTTTCGACCGTGGCGCTTCCTGCACTGGCCAGACCGAGGGAGGCTCGTCCGACACGGTCTTCCACCTCGAAGAAGGAGCTTCCCTGAGCAACGTCATCATCGGTCCTAACCAGATCGAGGGTGTTCATTGCTTCGGTAGCTGCACCTTGACCAACGTCTGGTGGTCTGAGGTCTGCGAGGATGCCTTCACCATCAAGGAGCAATCTGCCAGCGGAACCACCACCATCAACGGCGGTGGTGCCTTCGGAGCTGACGACAAAGTTCTCCAGCACAACGGCGGTCAGTCTACCCCAAATGCAAAGCTAGAAACGTACTGACAAGTCGCTGTAGCTGGTACATTGAAGGTCACAGGCTTTACTACTTCTGACTTCGGAAAGTTGTACAGATCTTGTATGTAAACCCCCTTCTGCAACAAGAGAGTTCGACTCTCCTGAGTTACGACTACTTTACTAACAATGCATAACAGGCGGAAACTGCAAGTCCATGAGCGAACGCCACATCATTCTCGACGACATCACCGCCTCCGAAGGCTCCTCTCTCGTGGGAATCAACAGCAACTACGGAGACACCGCCACCCTCACCAACATCAAAGCATCCGGCGTGAAAGACATTTGCGTTGAATACGAGGGCAACGACAGCGGCAAAGAGCCAACAAAGAAGAGCAGCGGTCCTTCTTCCGCTTGCATCTACACCGAGTCCGACGTCACTTCGTCTTAGACTTGGTCAAACTGTCCATCTGAGCTAGTGCGCAGCTGTCTCCTGCCTGCATGCATCACCCGTGCAAGCGAGTGAGCTGCTCACCTGGATCACAAACCAGACTAGAAATAGAGAGAGCTCCCAGGTCTCTCTAAATGTAATAGGACAGATGAAATGACACGAAGACAACATCACGTTGTCCGCATTCATTTACACCACCGATTTCCATTATCCATTGCAAGTCTCTCTAACGATGCTATAATTTATGGAGCCGTCATTCCCGTTCAGCCGTGAGGCCATAGATGCGTCTTGAATACCATCACACACACTCCCCAAATGCTTGCTCCTCGGAAACTTGCCAAACAAAGGGCAAATTCTGGGCAAATGATCGCTCGAACGCTAAATGACAATGAACAAAAATTCTCAACAAATGCTTACAGGTCCAGCCTTCGTAAATCATCAAGTCGTGAAAGGAAGGGAGCGGAAAATATTGGGTATCATCGGAAAGCGACGCTTTGTCCCGAACGCGCTCATACACTCACAGTCCGTCTTCGTGTTTGTAGTGGCTTCTGGGCTTGGCAGATGAGCAGCCGGAAGCTAGTACGCTGCTTCTCGCACTCTCGCAGAAGACCTCGCTCGCTCCAGATGCTTTGATCAGTTGGGAGCAAAGCTCGTTCGTAACAATTGGTGTACCACCAACGGCCTACTCTGGCGACCATTTTGGTAATGCTCTCGTCAGCGTTGTTCCCCAGATCGGGAATCTTTTCTTCGGTATTGTTGAGAAGATCGAGGAAACCTGAGCCATCATGAGCCGAAGAGGTGTGATTGCGCTGCCACAGTGTCCTTTCTGAGCTGTCTGAGCCAGAGCCGCTGAGATCTTGCGAACGCACTCGTCCGGCCGCTGGCACGCCAACAACGCAACGTTGAACGTTTTCGAAACCTTTCCGTCCAACCATGCGCACTAAGACATCGCTAAGGTTGCCCAGACAGACGGTTGGATCACGAATTTGCATCCTCGTCTTGAGCCCTTTGACGGCCTTCCGAGTTTGGCTGCCCATGTTCATAAGGTCCAGATCAAGGACGGCTACCTCCAGATATCCTCCGGGGCGAAGCACGCGCTTACATTCCGACACGCAGGCGCTGTAGCTATGCTCGGTAGTGGCGGTCGGGAAGCGAAGCACGATCGCGTTGAAGAAGCCTTTGGGAAAGGGAAATGCCGCAGAGAGACTGGTTACTGGGATGCGGCGAAAGTTGGCCGGCGTGCTAGCATCCGCGTCGTCCCATCCAAGATCGGTGGATACTTTTGAACCCGCGCTCATGTCATAGACCTCGGTGTTTGGGTATGATCGGGCAATGTAGTAGGACCAATCGCTGCTGAGGCCATCGATGACGAGAACTCGTGCTTCGCTGGCAAATCGCAATTCATTGTTCGCCGGGCTGAACAGAATTCTGCCGAAGGACAGCCATTTACTTGTCATGAACGCCCCAGCTCGCATGTTGTCTGCTTGTCTGATACTCTGACTGACAACCACTGCTCGCCCCTGGTGAGCAATGTTTTGAGTGCGCAGAGGGCGATTGCCCCCCTCGGCACCGTATTGGGTTGCATCCGGCAAGGATGTGGATCTTGAATGTCGTGAGCCAGTGCTTTGACGCGAGGAAACAGCACTGTGTCGGGAATTTCGCTGCATGGGCATATTCGCTGTCGGGATGTCGAGCATACTCATGCGGTCAAACGAGGTGCAAGTGCTGCGATTGCCATACTCGTTTACCCAAGCAGATAATGTATCAGGGGTCAAGGGTGACATCGAAGGCTGCAGGAATCGTGATACTTGCTGTGGCACCGTGAGGACAGTTGAGTTGATGTATGAGCCGGGAATGGCAGGAAGCTCAACCCTCGGAGGATTACTGGATGGTGGTGGGTGCAAGTGAGGCATCACTGTAGCAGCGACATCCGCATCCGCCTGCGCATACGATCTCCCAAGCGAGAATGCAGCAGAAGGAAGTTTGTCAAGGGCGACAGCGTCCATCAGATCGTCGTACTCGTTCCAGATGTCCTCTTGCTGAGGCAGCTCAGCATTGGTTGCAGTCAGATAGACTGGATCGCTCCTAGTCCCGGAGCTTCCCGATACATACGACTGCTGCGAGTCCTTACGTTCGGAAAAGGTGATGAATTCGCTTTGCCGCGCAGAAATGGCCTTTGCCTGATCTGCACTACTCCAGATGGCACTCTCGTTACTTTCGTCGAGAGGACTTGTCACGATAGCCTGGGCCCAGGGGCTCTTTCCAGCATCTGAATGAACATCGGGCTCGACCGGACTTGCAGCCATACCGCGTATCTGACTATAGACAGATCCAGGAGGCTTGGGGTGGCTCTCCGCAAAGGGCCGCGAGAATGACACGTCTGACGGCTTCCGACCACGTGTGGATACCACAGCAGGTATGCGCCCAAACGGCAAAATTCGCGGTTGCTTTGGCACATCATAGTCTTGCTCCGGCGTATGAAGTGGACCCGCGACCATGCCTAGATGTGTGGGCGGGGCAAGTTCTGCGCCATGAGGTTGACGTGAGCCTCCTTCCATGAATATTACAGGTTGGTTATTGGCTTGTGATGTGGCACTTTTTGAGCGGGGCGATGGCATCTGCCGTGGTGCAATGTGCTCCATCGGTCCTTGAGGATAGGTCTCATACTGCTCGCGGGTATCTTCTTCGGCTGAGCTGTACGAGACATGCATCGCCTTGTCTCTAGCCGTTTCCAAGTCAGAAACCAAGTCCTCGACTTCTGCAAGGCCCACTGGTGAGACAGAATCCATAAGGGCATAATGAGCGACTGGCACTGGCGTGGTATTCTTGATGGTAGTATGACTGGGAGCGCCTTTTGGCTGGTTTGTCGATCGAGGTGGTACGTTGGCGCGCTGAAAGAAGTTCCGCAGCCGCCTTGATTTGGTACGGGCCACCGAAGCACCTCGCGCTTCCCCTTCCACGTAGTCATTTGCGGCATGTGGAGGTGAAGTTGGCATTTCTCTGTTGTCCAATAACCAGACACGCTGCTCGCCTTCACTTTCGAAAGAGTGTTGGCGAGCTTGCGAATCTGCGTTGACCTGAAGCGAGGCACCAGCGGCAGATAATGGAGCGATTGAGCGCGGCGCCCCGAAAGCATTCATACGACGATTCGTGATACGTGCATCGAAGCCATCATCCGAGCTTTCTTGGGTGTTGCATCGTCCAAATGATGGTCGGTGTTCGAAAGAGGGGCGAGATGAATTGCTCATCGCGGACGGTAACAGTGATGGCAGTGAAGCGCCGTCAGAAACGGAAGACTGCGAGGAGGGCGCTCGAGTGCTTCCTCCCTGTGCATCGGGAATAGACTCGGTCTGACTCCAAGCACTCCCACTACCGCGGATGTATACAGGCTTCAATCGGTCTCTCAAGAACTCGTCCATCTCAGGGGAGTCTTTGCTGTTCCTACTGTTCTTGCTGCTCCTGAGTGTTGTTGATCCAAGACTGGCCGTGTAAGTTCCGCTATCGCTGCTTGGCGACCGGGAAGTAGTGCTGCTCGTAGTGCTGGCACTTCTCCCTCTGAACCCAAATCTGCCGTAGCCTTCATGACCAGTGCCCGCCACTGGACCTTTGCTAGATAGTCTTCTCGGCTTCTCAGCAGCTTTGTTGTCGGTCTTGGGCTTGCGCGAGAAGAATCCGAATCGAGGCGACTTTGCAGGGGATGGAGCGGTGCCAACGGCTGGCGAATCTTTGCGTTGTCCGCGGAAGCCATTCTTCGTTTCCAGTCCCTGCGACGAAGATGCAGCCGAGTCCTGCTGTTGTGGGCGCAACGCTGGATGCAGAGGTGAGATGGCTGAGTCCACTCGCGGCGACGTGCCGCGTGAAGACGATCTCGGCGGTAAGCCAAATCTGCTCTTGACGCTAGATGCGCTTTCGAGGCTCGCACTTTCTTGCGATGAGGTGCGTTTGTGATAGCCGGTGTACAAGCGTGGAAGATCACTTTGTATCACTGGCGCTGGTGTTCTGAGGTCTGCTAGGAAAGCCACATCATCCCTTCTTGGTCTAGTTGGGGTCTTGGATACAGGCGTTGCGACATTCAGGTGCGCCAATTCTGGAGGTACCTCTACGGGCTTTTTGCGCGTCTTGGACGGCGAAGGCTCTTTTGTCAGCTTCCTACGACCTGTAGCTCGTGAGGTCCCGGAGGCAGGTGAGGCAACAGTTGCCTTCGCTGGCGTCGCAGGTGTGGACGCAGCTCGTTGTTGCCGACTAGCGTTTGCCTCCTTTAGCGTGCGCACCGTGGAGTTCGAGGACGACGTGGATGATTCCCGAACTGGATGCAGTGCGGACTGCTTCTGCTCGTCCGTTCGACCAGTGGCGCCAATCTGTGTGCCTGTACGGGAGGAGCTGGACGACCGCCGCGGACGAGCCCCGCTCGCGACTGCTGCCAAGCCTGACGAATATGAAGATGCTGAGCTCGGTGTCGGGACATGGCTGAATGGTGAGTCGGTATATCTTGTCGATGGAGTCACGGAAGGTGTATAGCCGTACACGGCGGGATCTCTGGTCAAGTTGCGATATTTCAGGTTTTCATACGTGGCTGGGGTCGTTGATCCTGCAGATCCGCGTAATGTCGTTTGAGGTGGCATCATCCCAAACACAGACTCGTCAGATTCTGGGCGAGAAATGAGTTGTTCATCTTCTTCCTCTTGTGGAGAGGGTATGACAAGCTGCAGTGTTCCAGCCTCGGAGCGTTTCTGTGCAGCATAGTGATCGATCGCGCCCGATTGTTTGCGGCGGAGGAGATTTGATCGAGGGCTGTCGAACGTCGAGGCTGAGGAGCCTGAAATGAGAGACGGTGTTCGCATGCCCACTTGACCTGGCGCAATGGTGCCTACCGGTGTCAGGAACCTTGGCATATCTGGGCCATGTTTTTGCGCCGCCATCGATACCGGCGTTGGGGTTCTACCGGCGGATCTGATCGGCACCTGACCAACATCTTTGACAGTCCTCCTCGCTAGCTTGGAAATGTGTTGTGTGCTTTTGTTTTGCTGACCATTCTCAGCACTACCCTTGGTTGGTATGCGACTGTTGTGGTGTTTCGATGATTGTTGTGTAGTGTCTCTGGAGTGGGTCCTCGACGAGGACATGATTCGAAGTCGTTGTTCGCGGATGTGCTGTGACAGTCTGAATCACTCTCGCACCTTGCCATGCAATTCATCTGGATTATGTGGGATATTCTGCCATGTGATCGTGGAATAATAATTTGGTGTGCCCAAAGTAATGCATAAGATTCAAGAGGGACTATTAAGCGATCGCATAAACGTCAGCGCCAGCGCTTGCGACCGCGAGATATGGATAGATTCTGCACAAGAATCTTGTTGCGAAAAGATGAGAATCACCTTTTGTTTGGATGCAGTCAGTGCAACTGGCCGGAAGACGCGAAGCGTGCTGGTGCGGTCATGCAGCAGGCTGCGCTGCGCCACGACTTGGTGCAGGTGCGGCGACGCCGATGCTGGCCGATCAGCGTTCCGCGAGCACCCACGCCACAGCTGGTGCTACGTGTAGAGCGCAGATTGGTCTCACATATGTATAGACCTGTTCTGCTGCTGGTCTGGTCGTCCTTTGCCGCACAGCTGGGCCACAGCGATTGTCCGTGAGATGCAGTGCGCTGATGGGCCTCGACACCCGTGGGTTCGGGAGAGACGATGCTTGCTTGCTTGCTGCTTGCCTCGGCGGAGCGCTTGGATCGTCTGGACTGGAGGCTGTCGGAGTCGCGTTCATGTGCTACGTCTGGCACGGTGGATGGGGTGTATTCCAGCAATGGTTCTTGCGCTGCGCAACAATGGGTGAAGGGACAGAGACAGGGCGAGTGGAAGGGAGTGTTGTTGGCGTTGGACTGCCGTGCTGCTGACAGCTGCATTCGCTGCTGAGCTGAGAGCGGCGGGTGGCACAAGTACTTGCAGACGCCATGCGCAGGCCTCGCTGCACGCACGCACGCGGCGAAGAAGTAATCATCGAGAAGCACCATGGCGCCGCGCTCGTTTCGACGTGCGTGCAAGCAGCAGACCACTCACAGCAGCAAGACGCCAGCCCTTCACGTGGATTCGTCGGCAAAAATGGGAACTTCTGCAGTGTTCCGCCTGCACCTGGTCCGTTGGGGCTTGCTTGCGCTCGTGCTCATGCAGGACACCGGCTCTGCCGAGCTGTGCAGTGTGTGGCCTGCAACGAGACAACACACAACAGCAGCGCCCTCGCACCCATGGTTGTTGGTATTGCGCATCCGCCACTCGGAGCCCGCATGGTGGCGTTCTGTCAGAGACAACACCCAACCCAACACAATATCGCGTGTGTACTTGCCGCCTACCCTTCATTCAAACCGCACCACTCACGTCAACTAAGTAGCAGTTGGGCAACGGAACTACAGTTGCTCGACGGTCCGTGGCAGCTCTCCTACCTCCGCGCAATTGAAGAATTGAGCTGCTCGTGCCTCTGATTGGATCTGCGCATTGCACGCTACTTTGACCAACCCGCTTCCGGTTGCTCCACAACCTCCGTCTGTGAGAGAGTAGGATGATTATACCTTCGGCGACCCTGCTCAAGAAAGTAATGCTCTGAACATGCCGTGCGACTGCTTCTTAGACTGCATTGGCACACAATGTGTCGAGAACGACCGCGATGATCAGGTGTTGGACATCGAGCCTCACCGGCATCGCGATTGGACGTTCTAGCTACTATCCCGCGCATACTACCTATATTATCAAGTCTCACCTATGCCGCTAAGCGCCGTCTATGCCGCGCAGCCGCTGTCAGAAGCGTACGCGCCCAGAGAGATGGAGCTTGACTTCACTTTCACACTGCATGATCCTTGCGACGCTAGACTTCCTCTCTGTCACCCGCATAGTGTTTCTGTCATGTGACTCATGATATGGTGTTGTGGGCTCGAGTGTGAGTCGCCCTGGATAGGTTTCCTCACGGGACGAGCGGGGAAGCAAACGCCTACGACGTACTGCCGGATGCGAGTGAGTCCAAAGGATCAAGTAGCAGGACGGCACGAGCTGTCCTGAACCGCCTGTTCTCCGATCCTTGGATGGAATACCCGAATGGCATGAGTCAGGCAGGCGGCAGAAGAATCGAGTGAGCTACATGTGGATGTCAATGCATATGTAGGACTATGAGCACATCCTGGCGTCAGCAACAATGGTAGGAACAACGATACATGCACCTTTTGGCTTCTGTTTCCTCAACGCATCGGCAGACGGGTGCAAAGGTTGCTAGCTGTGATAGCACCTCGAAACCCGTTTACGACCACACGTAGATTCGTCGAGCAACCAAGCCCATTGTGACCTGCACTTGGTGTCTCTGAGTATCTGGCGGAAGATGGTTGTGTCCTGTGACTGCATGAAGTCTGCTCATTTGCCAAGTTAGAATCGCAGATACAGGATCGAGACAGAGCTGCGTACATTCTTCGATCGTGGGACAACGTGACCCTGGTCTTCTAGACACTTCATGTAGTCGGCAGATTTCCCGTGCGCATCGGACGCGACAACTCGTCGGCAGTCTGACTGTTCATGTCTCCCCGGGCGCCTCGCCTCCAGGCTCAGCTCTGCGATCATTTGGCCTTCTACGCGGCGGGACGCATAGCTATTCAGGGCTCTCCAGAAGGGTGTCTTGCTGCGTGGTGATCGTCTGTCGCTGCCAGCTTTCTTCCGCTTCTCGTGTTTCGACGCGTGCTCGGCGCGAATGGGATTGCATGCCGCCCTGCAATGCCAAATGTCTGCAGTTCCGGAAGCTGCTTCAGACCGAATCCATGGCGCCTGTGCTGTGCTTCCGAAGTAACATGGTTGCAGCTTCGCGTACGAGCCTCCCTTGCAAAGTGAGCCTCACACTGCACCGGCGCGTTGTCCAGACAGAGAATGTCGGAGGAACCAGCTGGAGGACTTGGCACCCGTGAACTCCAGTCCCTGCGGCGGCTGTTGTCGATCCGAGCAGCAAAGAGTGAACGTGGCTGCATTCAATGCGCTGCCTTCACCAGCATCCACATTCGCTGCGCACCATTACCGGAGTCCCCAGTTCCATCGTCTATGTAGCAGTGGTTGTGCAGGGACAGGCACAGTCACGAGCGAGGCCATGAAGCTGCTCTACTACTCGCTCGCCGTCTATCTGTCCGCCACCCCAGCGCTAGCAGCTTCCAGCGCGGACAGCAAGAAGGGCGACAAGCCATGCACCATTACATCGCCTACCACAGGCTCGTTCTTCGACCTCACGTCGCTGCAGATACCCGATCCCGCGACCTCGAAAGCGAAACATCCGAAAGAGCATAGCTGGAATGCCACAGGATACGATGTTGGCTACAACTTCACTATCAACTTCTGTGGTCCTGTGGTAGAAACGGTAGAGGATGTGGAAGGTGTGGATAAGGAGTTGTGGCGGAATGTGAGCGCCTTCTACAGGCACGATGATAAGGTTTACAGTATTGGGTCAGTTCGACGACTCGCGAAACCCCGCGCATTCAACTGACATTGCTCAGACAACAGAACTCGGACTTGGTTATGCGAGGGAGGAAGCTAGTTCTAAACTACACCGATGGCAGCCCATGCGAGCAGTCACAGGACAAAAGAGCGCGAAGCGAGCGACTAAGAGAGTCTGCGGACGAGGACGATAAGAAAGACGACAAGAAAGATGACGACGAGAAGGAGAAAGAGCCGGCGAAGAAGCCCAAGGGCAGAACGAAGAGCACGGTGATCAGTATGCTTTGTGACAGAGATCCACTGGCGCCCCCTCTGCAATTGAGCTTCGTGGGCACTCTCGACGAATGCACATATTTCTTCGAGGGCCGATCCGCTGCTGCATGCGCAACAGCAAACACAAGCAAAGCAACGCTCAACCCGGCTGGAGTCTTTGGTGTGATCGTCATGATCGCCATCATGGTCTACTTCGTGGGAGGTTGCGTTTACAATCGTGCTGTGCTCCAGCAAAGGGGCTGGCAACAGGTCCCAAACTACAGTTTGTGGCTGGGGATACTGAGATTCTTCAGAGTACGGGGCCGCAGTCCGTTCAGGCGGCGAGCTCGGTTTGAGTATGCTGACTTGACCTCTTAGGACATCTTCATCATCCTGACCTCCTCCTGTACACGATACACGCCGTCCAGACGAGGCTATCACCGGGTCGGACAGAACGGTGGTATGGGAGGAAATGGGCGGGCAAGAGGCGACAGTGCAGACGCTGAGAATCGGCTGATCGACTCCCTTGATGAAGATTGGAATGATTGATGGATGCTGGAAAACGACACTTTCATCATTGTGCTACAAGCCTCCTGCGCAGTTCTTTATTTTGCCCTCTACCTCTACACGTTTGCCTGGATGCTGTTCTACTTCACATGACCCTGCGGCGCAATGGATAGAGCTTGAAAGTATCCGATAGCAGAACTTTGACTTGAGCTTCCCACCAGCATTCAGTATCGTGGACGACTTTCATCAGCGATCTAGGTGCTGATGGGCGTCAAGTGCTGGTGGCTTGTGGCAACAGCAACAGCAACAGCGCAACTGTGCGGAAGGTGTTCTGAGCGTTGCCTTTGGCCTGTCTGTACATGTCTGGAGTGCCGAAGCCTTCCTCAGCACGCCAGATCATACGGCTGTGGTGCCAGAGCGAGGGCATTGTGCTCATATGTCGAATTCAGGGCAAGCGTCCAGTTTGCCGAAACTGCTATTTGCAATCTTCACAGTCCTTCGAGCTCGCCTGGCCTTCTGCTACTGTCGACTCAGCGGCGGTTTGTGGTTGACCTTTGTTCGAAGGAGTATCTGAGTGTCCCAGTGCCTTTTCAGGCTCGATGATGTTTCTCAGGCGCTGCTTGAGTATTTTCGTTTCGGGGAAGCCTCCTTCAGATTTGCGATCCCATAGCAGAACGTGTTTGGCTTCATTTGGATCGTCACCGACTTCAAGCTGCGATTGTGTTGGCTTGTATGCAAGATCGACAGTGAAGACCCCTCCTGTGCAGCATTAGCAAAGTTTACAAGGATAGGACTTGACCAAAAGATGAGGAACGGACCCGTGGACGGCACCAGAGCAACTTCGCCTATGCTCGTGCCGAACGTTGACATCAGTTCTTGAGCGAAATAGGCGGCGCGTAGCATCCATTTGCCTAAACCGAAAAATGCATCATTAGACATTTGATGCTTCTCGCCCACTCAGATCGTCACTCCGGATCGAGCTTTGGACTTTGATCAAGTTCGAGCAGGACAGTGCTCGCGATAGGCTCACATTGCGTGCAGAAGGTGATGACCACTCGCGGGAGCCTCACAGGCGTATCGAAAGCGCTGCTAGACATATTGACACACCCGTGTAATTAATCGGTGGCGATGAATGAAATGTATGTGAGTGACGCGAAAGTGTAGACATGACGTCCTGCTGGTGGTCGGAGCGGGCAGCTGTTTGAACTGGAGCTTGGGACATCATCAAAGACTCGCACCTTGCACACACCACGTCGACAGCGCATATTGTCCATCCTACGACACGCCTGATCGTGCTATGCCGTCTAGGTTCTGGAGTGCACTGCGACCACCCTCGCGGGCTCCCGACTGATCGACCGCCTCGCTCGCTGACCGCCCACCATGAAGGACACCACGAGCTTCATCACCCGACTGCATCTCCGCGAGCTGCGTGACGAGCGTCAAAACCGCTACCGCTCTCTCTACGCCCATCGGCGCTTCATCGATTCCTTGGACATTGTCAACGAACTACAGGGCCACACGGGCTGCGTGAATGCACTTTCTTGGTCCAAGGACGGCAAACTGCTCGCGTCTGGTAGCGATGACACACATCTCAATATTCAAGAGTACCTTCCCAGTGGCAGTGATGAGCAGTTCAAGCTCACTACCACCGTTGCGACTGGCCACACACAAAACATCTTCAGCGTGAAGTTCATGCCGCATTCGGACAACAGCACAGTAGTCACAGCTGCTGGCGATGGCGAAGTGCGAGTGTTCGATCTCAACTATTCGGGCACTGCATCCCAATCGTCCCGAGCGGCAGCTCTGGCAAGCAACAGTAGGAGGCGAGCCGGAGCAAGAGCGCAGACATATTTGACAGACGGCAACACCAACGCTAGGATATATCGTTCACATGGAGATCGGGTCAAGCGAATCGTTACAGAATCCTCCCCTTATCTTTTCCTCACATGTTCTGAAGATGGCGACGTTAGGCAGTGGGATCTCAGAATGCCATCCTCGCACTATCCTCCGTCCCGAGGATACCGATTCAGCCAAGGTATGCATTTGCTCGTGCCGTTTGAGACACATACCTTGCGCCTCTTGTCTATGCTGACTCGTTCAAGATAGCTCCGCTCCAGCCCCACTGATTTCGTACAAAAAATATGGGCTTGATCTGAACAGCATATCGTGTTCCACGAGCCAGCCATATTACATCGCCCTAGGTGGAGCCCACCTGCACGCTTTATTGCATGATCGTCGAATGACGGGGCGAGACAAGCTCCAAGAAAGAGGAGTGACCTTGCCAGCAATCGACCGAATGTCTTCAGCAGACCTGGAACTGATGTCTCAAGCCACACAATGCGTGCGGAAATTCGCCCCGCAGGGTCAGAGAAAGATGAAGCGGTCCGACAACGGGCATATCACCGCCCTGAAGATCTCTGATGCTCGGCCCGATGAAATGCTGGTAAGCTGGTCTGGCGACCACATCTATACTTTTGACCTTGTGCGAGGTCCTGGCGAAGACGAAGGTAAGTCACAGCTCAATCTGTATTGATATGCGCCCACTCATCTGTGTCATTTGTGAACGACGAACGCTTCTCTTGCCACTTTCCACTGCAGCTGTCTTGATCATAAGCAGCGAAATTGTGCTGATCACAGGAATTGTTGAAACAGGTGCATCTCTTAATCAATCTCATGTCCGCAGTAGCAGTGAGCGCAAGCGGAAACGCGTTGCGGGTGACAGTGAGGTTTCATTGGCGCCCGAAGGCTTGCCGTCAGCGAGACAACGTACAGAGCATCGTCCGAGCGCAGACGGCAATGCTTCGATACGCGTTCGCTATCAAAATGGCCAGAGCGAGGATATCGCGCTTCCAACTGCAGCACCGCTGACAGAGCGTCAACGCCAGGCGCAGCGTCTTGCAAAAAATATACTGCGCATTCGATCATCTATGATTGACAGACCGACAGAAGCGACGGTATACACCGAGGTCGTGAAGCAAGCAGCCTCTGTGCTTTCGGAGATGGACGAAATCAGTCGCACTTGGACGTACCCACTTGATCCTGAGCCGATACAAGTGAACGCACAGCAGACAATGCGGTACATTCGGGAGTCTGCGCGACGATACGTGCAAGCAGCTGGAACGCTGGGTCGTGTACTCGGAGGCAGTATAGATGAGGACTCAATCGCATCTTTCACATCTGTCGAAGTGAGACTGAGCGAACTGCCAGTCCAGCAGCACGAGCGATTCAGCTACGACTTCTTGAGAGCGATACTTCTATGGCTGGAATCAGGTATAGGAAGACTAATCGAAGGCTTCACCAGAGCTGCACATGTGCCTGCGACAAGTAAGGCTGCATCGAGACTGCCGATTGCCGAAGAGGAGGCGAGCTCAGAGGCAGTGGACGAGATCCTCATACCTTACCTATTGCAACACGCCTGCGATAGGCCGATCGTCAACGTGGTGGTGAACCAGTTCGAGACAGAATCAAACCGGTTGTTGTTTGAGAGCGAGCGAGCGGCTGTACTGGCATTCGCCGATGCAGTCCGTAAGCCGTTCGCGGATCTTTCTTCCCCTACAGAGGGCTCGCAGAATCGTCAGGCTGCTCATCAGTTCTGGGCGCGATCTGTAGCCCGCGGCGTTCTGCTCAACGCGGGAGCTGTCATCAAGTTTGTGACTCTCGATCGCGCTCTAGGCGGGAGGGGCAGGCAGAATCAAGAAGCCAGCATCGAGGAAGCTCGGATTGACCTGCTACTGCCCGATTCCCACCGGTTCGAGAATGACCTTACTCTGCCAAACCTCGACTTCATGGATGCCAGCCGTTGGCCGCACCAAGAAAGTGAATATGAGGATGTAGATCACTCATCAGATGAGCAGGTTACTGTCGAAGTAGACGACGATGGCAGCAGCAACGACGAGGACGCTGATGGCGAGCACGACGAGGATGACGATGAAGATGAAGAGGACGACGACGACGAGTCGCAGTCGGATTCCAGTTCGGAAGCAGACGAAGAAGATGGTGTCCCAAATCTCGGGATTCCTCGCTACATCTATCGTAGCGCCTTCGAGCGACGAAAACTAAAGTCTCAGGTCGAGCCAGACGTCCCCACTTCAGCGTCGACACGCTCATATCGAGGTCACTGCAATCTGAGAACAGTCAAGGACGTCAACTACTTCGGGCTTGACGATGAATACGTTGTGTCTGGATCAGATGACGGCAATTTTTTCATCTGGGATCGTAAAACCACAGAACTGGTGAGTCAATCAAATCAGAGAGGATACTCCTATGCGAGTACTAACGTCGTGGGCCAATGCAGGTCAACATTCTCGAGGGTGATGGCGAAGTCGTCAATGTCGTGCAAGGACACCCTTACGAGACCATGCTGGCCGTCTCTGGCATTGACAGCACCGTGAAGGTAAGTGCGCTGCCCAATCTCGGTGATACTGACCCTGACGTGTATCGAAACCAGATATTCTCGCCCGACGCCCGCTGCAGAGAAGATGCAAGACTTGCCCGAGGAGTATCTGCGGCAGAACCTTCCAGCCCCGTACGCATTGGTCGACGGAATCGACGACCAGCACGGGCTCATGGCGAGAATGCAGACCAGCCGTCGACTGATGCTGCAGTAGACGCCAGTGATTCGGACGCTAATGATGATCATGTTTCATCACTAGGGTTGCGAAGCAGACGTCGCATGCATCAATCTTACCAGATTGTACAGCAGAACAATATGGAGCTTGAGGGCAGTAGCCACGACTCCAGCATCACTGTAAGTGCCAGCCAAGTATGAGAAATGAGCCCCCTTCCGGCGTTACGCCGCATCGCCTCCGCGTCGCATATCTCGACACGGTGGCGTGAAAAGTGGAACAATTATGGAGATAACTGAGGTGGTCACGCATTGCATGCATTTGAAAGATGTACAGGCTAACAATGTCTTCTTTCAGCTACCACACTCTCAGCTTCTTCAGCTGCTGTTTGGCCTCTCCTCAGGGAGAAACCTTGGCGCTGTGCTGGGTGCGCATGAGTGAGATGGAAGCGTGGTCCAGACTCTCGGCCAACAGTGGCCATATCTCAGGGAGGTCTCTGCGCCACGTTCTTGCTCGTGATTAAGCCAGGCAGCGGCAGGTCCATTATGTATTCGGAGAAAAGAAATGCATTTGAGTCGATTATCTGTTGTGAAATTACCGTACACTGCAAAGATATCTCAAGTCTCTCAGGGATTTCTGCCGTGCAGTCTTGCTCGTGGTTCAGCCTGGTGGGTGCAAATGCACCGTGTATGTGGAGAAAGAGTAGAATCTCTATGGTAAGCGTACCGTACAGGCAGAAATGGGTCATGTCTCAAGGATATTTCTGTGTGAAATCTTGCTCGTGGTTCAACCAGGCGGCTGCAAGTTCACCATGCATCTGGAGAGACGGGATGTATGCGAACTGATTTTCCATAGTGAATTTGCTGTATACTGCAAAAAGGGTTATGTCTCAAAGAGATTTTTGCGGTGCAGTCTCGCTCGTGGTTCTGCTAGGCAGCTACGAGTTTACCGTGAGTTTGGAGAAAAGGTTGCTTTTTGATCTGTTCTCGATGGTGAGCTTGCCATACGGTGCAATTTATCTCCTCTTCCGTCATGTGGTCGATCGTGTGATCGACAACGTGGTGCGTCTAGTTGGCAGCACCATAAGTTGAGAAATGGAAGTACTGACATTGACCACGGTGAGCTCTATCGTCGATTGTTATATTAAGTATATACATGAAGAAAACCACACTAACTACAATCTCATTTCTACGAGTTGGCGAGCAACAAGAGAGCCTCTCCGGCTGCATGGCGAGCGCGTCGAGCTCCGCGCCGGGCTTCTCGACGGGCCTCACGCCTCCGCCGATAGCGAGCGAGCACATCGGCAGCACTCTCTGCTCGAAAGACTTCTCGCATCGTGCCGGCTTGGGGAGGCGGAGGGGGGTCGAGAAGGGCCTCCAGCCAGAGAGCGCTCTCTTGTGCTGCCTGCAAACGCTCAATTTGCTCGGCATATGATACCACGAAAGTTTCTCCACCTGGTGGTGTATACTCTGCATCCCAGGATGCGTCTCCGCTGTCGACGTGGTTGTATCGTGGGCATCGCCCAGGCGTCCAGTGGTTGGAGTCGCCCTGGGCTTCTTGGCCGCAGATGAAGCAGAAGTTTTGCTCGCACAGGCATGTGATGTGGTTGCACCCGTCGCGGAGTTGGATGGCTGTGCTGCACCCTGGGCAGAGTTGATAGTCCTTGCCACGGACGAGCCCTTGGAGGGCGGAGTCGGTCTCAGCTTGCTTGCAGTGATGTTCGTTGACGTGTGGTTGGATGTGCTCTGCGCAGAGCAAGCAGAAAGTGGTTGTACACTCGTGGCAGGACTTGGTGGAGTTTGGGTTGGTGCTGGATGGTTGGAGTTGGCCGACAAATAGGTCGCCATCGGTGGTGTGAGCTGAATGGTTTTTGCATACCACCTACACACAGTCAGTATATGGTGTTAATCATCATCGTGACCAATTGACTTACACGTTCGTTCCACGGAACCTGATACTCGGTGGCCTTGCGTGCAAATTTAGTGGATAGGGAAGAGCCGAGAATGTCGTCGTAGTCAGAAAGGTGGAGCACATGGCCGGCCCAAACCGGTGGATAATTCGACTCGTCGACGATAGCGTTTGCGAAGACTTGTTTGACACAGCCGTGGCATGCAAAATCGGAGTTGATGGAAATGATTTGGTTATCGCTGACATCTTCGCAGCATACTGTACACTCCATCGTCGCCAGGATGGGCTTGCTGATTGGTGAAGACATGATGTGAAGTGATATCAGGAGAGGATCGACCTTGACGCAGTGAGAAGCGTGCCGAGCCGGACGAGATGCTGAAATGAGAAAAGTGCCGTGCCAGAGGAGATGCTGAAATGACGAATTTGGCGTGCCGGACAAGACGTTGATGCTGTGCTAGACAATGCGATGGAGGGAGAAGCGTGCCGTGCCAGACGAGATACTCAGGCGAGAAACGTGCTGTGCCAGACAAGACGATGGAGCAAGAAGCGTGCCGTGCGAGACGAGAGGACCCAGTCAGAAGCGTGCCGTGCCAGACGAGAGAATGCAGTCAGAAGTGCGCCGTGCCAGACAGACGATATGCTGAGGTCAGAAGCTTGCCGTTCCAGACGACAGGAGGCAATGAGAAATGTGCCGTGCCAGACGAGATGCTGAAGTGAGGAGTATGCCGTGCCAGTCGAAATGCTGAAATGAGAATCGAGCCGTGCCAGACGACAGGAGGCAGTCAGAAATGTGCCGTGCCAGACAATGTGGTGAAGTGAGATTGCCGTGCCAGTCGACAGGATGCAGTCAGAAATGTGTCGTGCCGGACGAGCCGCTGAAGTGAGAAATGTGCTGTACCAGACGGGATACCAAGTGAGAAACAAGTCGTGCCAGACGACAGGAGGAAGTGCAGTGGTGAAATGTGCAGAAGGACTGAAAGAAACTGGAGAGAGAAAAGGTCAGCAGTGGAAGGAATTAATATTTGCCTGCAAAGCAGGTTGCTGGAAAGTGGATCCTGTGTTCTATTGTCGCGAGAAACCATTGTAGTTTGCGGGGAGCATGTAAGCTATTGCTGCGAGAAGCCATTGTCGAGAACCACAATAGCTGCAGAAAGCCATGGAAATGACGGCATAGTTGAAGCTTGGGCGCAGGAACTGCGAGAACGACATGGCTATTGACGTCGTCAATAAGCAGAAGAAGAGAGCCCTGTTGGTGCTAAAGGTCTTGTTTTCTGAAAGCTTCACGTGGAGCGGAGGACGCTGAAGAGAAGCATGGCCATGTCTTTTGCGTCGCGGAGTTCCAGAAGCTTGTGCGGTACTTGCTTGATGACAGTAATTTACCAACTGCTCGCACTTAAAGCGGATTGTGTCGGTAGGTATACGATCTGAAGAATATCATTGTGCTCGAGAACAACTATCGAAGAAATTTCTCCTGTCCGGGCGTGTACATTCTTGTCGGACTCTGCGAGACAGAGAGCAGAATCTGTGTCGGCGAAGAAGAGACTATGATTTGAGTTTTGAGCCCACTTCAGCAACGTTACATGGGTGCATGCAAGTTCTATGGTGCAGCTGCGCGGTTGAACTTGAGGAAGTGAAGTCGCAAACGGGTGAACCGACCATATGTCTTGGCGCATGTGCACAGACCACCAGGCTGCATGTCGCGTCGAGCTCTGCTGCTTTACACGAAGCCAAGACGAGGTGCGCGTGCAAGTTCATATTTGCTGCCTGCCATTTACAATAATCTCCGAGAATACTCGCCCTCGCTGCGCAACATCCTTCACCGCGCGATCGCAGTACAACTGGACGCGATCGTGCTCGCAAGACCGCGCTGGCCACTATCGACGCGCGCTGCTTCGTGAACCGACGCGGGCACCCGTGGCAAACACCGTCCGAACACTGCTCAGTCGCGGCAGCGCAACGGCAGCGCCATGTAAGTCAATCATCAGAACATCACCCAACTGATCACTTCCGCCGCAGCGCTATACTTGCGCCGCAAGCATGCCTCGGAAGACCGCTGACCCGGCGAGCAGGGAATCATTCGACAACATCTACCTCGACCTCTCCAAGGAGCCAGGGAAATGTCGTCTGGCCGAATCCGGACTGGGATGGAAGCCATCGGGGGGTCAAACATTCACACTGGATAAGAGCGAGTTCTTGAGTGCGCAATGGAGTCGAGCCGCGCGGGGTTACGAAATGAAGATCTATGGGAGGAACCAAGGTGTCGTGCAACTTGATGGCTTCAAGCAAGAGGTGAGGCTATGTTGGAGTGGACGCGCTCAATACGAGCAGGAAGAGGCTGACAGGGTCACGTAGGATTTCGACACCATTCAAAAGTGCTTCAAGGTGTGGTATGGGGTACCGTTCGAGCACAAGGAACACGCACTACGAGGCTGGAACTGGGGAAAGAACGAGCTGGGTCGAAACGAACTGGCATTCAACGTGCGTAACCAGCCCGCTTTCGAGATTCCCTACACAGAAATCAGCAACACCAATCTTGCCGGCAAGAACGAAGTTGCCGTTGAGTTCTCGTTGCCGGCGGACGGCGAAGACACAGGTACAAATGGCCACCTCGGAGGCGCGAGAGCGAAAGGAAAGAAGATGGGAGGCGCAGCAGACCAGCTGACCGAGATTCGATTTTACATTCCCGGCACGGAGAAGAGAGCCAAGGGCGATGACGAAGACGGAGAGGATGTGGAGGAAGGGGAAGAGGCTGAGCAGCAGAACGCGGCCAATTTGTTCTACGAGACGTTGATGAACAAGGCTGAAATCGGCGAAGTCGCCGGAGACACATTTGCGACCTTCCAGGACATCCTTCACCTCACACCCCGTGGACGCTTCGACATCGATCTATACGAGAGCTCGTTCCGATTACGTGGCAAGACGTACGACTACAAGATCTCATACGAGAGTGCGAAGCGATTCTTTCTCCTTCCCAAACCGGACGATATGCATCAACTTCTCTGCATTGGGCTCGATCCTCCGCTTCGACAAGGTCAAACGCGATATCCTTTCCTTGTTATGCAGTTCAAGAAGGACGAAGAAGTGGCTATCGAGCTCAACATGACAGACGAGCAACTGGAGAAGTACTCTGGAAAGCTGCAGCCGAAGTACGAAGCCCCTATAGGAAATGTGGTTTCCAAGATCTTCCACGGTCTTACTGGCAAGCGCTTGATCCAGCCAAGCGACCAATTCGTCAGCCACCACCAGATGAGTGGAGTCAAGTGCAGCATCAAAGCCAACGAGGGCCATCTCTTCTGCCTGGACAAGGCATTCCTTTTCGTCCCAAAGCCAGCGACCTATCTCTCGTTTGAGCAGATTTCAAGCGTGACCATGAGCCGCGTGGGCGGAGCTGTTAGTGCCAGCCGCACATTCGACATTTCGGTCCTGCTGAAGAGCGGAGGAGACCATCAATTCTCCAACATCAACAGAGAGGAGCAGCAACCGCTTGAGAGCTTCCTCAAGGCCAAGGGCATCAAGACGAAGAATGAGATGGATGGGGATAGTGGCATGCTTGCTGCCGCTCTCGCCAACGATCCTGACCTCGTTAGTAGCGAGGATGAGGAGGTTGTGCAGAGGGACAGAGGCAGCGCAGACGAGGATGACGAATCTGTTGATGAAGACTTCCAAGCCGACTCAGAATCAGATGTGGCAGAGGAATTCGACTCGGATGCCAAAAGCGACAGCGAAGCTGGTAGCGATGCCGAGATGGGCGATGCAGATGACGGGGACGCCAGCGAGGAGGACACAGCAGCGAAGGTTGAGCGACCGAAGAAGAAGGCCAAGACGTCGAAGTGAGTGTGCGGGTAGGATCAAGCAAGATGGACGGCAGGGGACTTCGAGGATGCCTATGCAACGGAGCGTCCGATTTGTGCGAAGCAGCAGCTGCAACCAGAATCAGCACGAGTTGCTCGCACCGCGATCTATCGCATTCGCACACACCAAACATGGACTACTGCCGCATTATGAGCATAGCAAAGTGGACAAGGCGTCAGCGGAATGGTTGCGAGCACATGCGTTTTGGTCTTCCCTACAGCGAGGGGTGGCGCAGCGCACGCATGAATGTATAGGGGCGCCGCTGGGTTGGAAACTACGTTCGCCTCAATAAGCAAGAAATGAAAGATCGCTCCGACAGTGCATTGCTGTGCAAGATTTGTCGCATGCCTGGCAAGGCCTGTTTCGATGTCATTTCTACTTGATCTTCTTCGCTTTCAACTTGATCGTTTCATCGTTCACAAAGATCCCCTTGCCCTTGTATGGCTCTGGCTTCCGCCATGCTCGGATCTCTGCAGCAAATTGCATCACGACCTCCCGCTCTACGCCCTGGAGCAGTATACGTGTTGGCTGAGGCGTGCTTGCTTTAACACCTTTTGGCACACCCAGCTCGATGGGATGTGAATATCCAACTTTCAAGGAGACGAACTGCTGCCCCTCGTACTCTGGCTTCTTCGTGACGGCACTGCTCTCGATAGTTGCACGGTAGCCGACACCGACTAATCGCAGGATGGCCGCATGCCCTTCGCTCACGCCCAGGATGTGGTTTTGTAAATATGCCCGTACCGTTCCTGTGCTGTTGTTAGAACCCATAACCTCAAGTTTACTACAATCGTATCACGTACCCCACATAGCCTTTTGCTTCTTATCCTCGGTATCCTCGATGCTCACAGTGTGTGTCTTGCTCCCGTCGTCGGACTTGATGCGCACGTAATGAGGTACGGTCATGCTCGTTTTACCCAAAGGCCCCTCGATCTCCACCGTCGCGCCTGGCTTATTCCTGCTGACACGAGCATGGCTCGACGATAAAGCTGGTTCAATGACGCGGAAGGTGACTTCAGGTGGTGGAGCGAGCGGTGCCTTGCCAATCTTCGATTGACATCGGGGAGTGGTGGAGAAGTGTGATGTCTGCTGGCGTGGTTGTGCGAATGCCGGCACCAGGAAGGCTGGGAGCGTGACTTCGCATGTTTTCAACGTCGAAGGCACTGTTGATGGGGAAGTGAAGGCTCTCGATGAGCGCGCGCATTGCCGTATTGTCGCCATGGTGTATAGTGGTTGATGTTGTCGCATCGGGGGCCATTGCTGCTGGTCGTTCGCCGCGGGAGTGTCGTGCCTTGTCTCAGCACGCCAGACCACCGGCGCGACAGACGTGCTCAGACCGCCTTCCTCCGCCATGCAGTCGTGCTTTCCCACCTCACCTCACTTCACTCTTCGCATGTGCGACACATGCATTTGCACATGCACGACTAGGCATCCACCGCACATGCAACACCGCAAACGCGTAAGTTATCGAGAGCTGCGCCGCCAATTGAAGCTCAGTCGACGCTTCACTTGACCTGCGTGCTGGCAGCACGCCCCATTTCGTGCTCCTCGACGTACCGGCACTGCTCTTCTTTCACCACCTCTCTCACCCTTTCCACTTCCGACTCTATCTGTTACAGCAATACCTAACCACAGTCCGCCTCGACCACCACCTCTTCTTCAAACACCATCACTGCCCTGTCGTATTCAACGACCGCCAGTGGCATTCCACAAACAGCTGGCACGCACACCACCGACACCATGGCCGTGATAACGACCTTGGTTCTCTCAGCCCTTTGCGCGGGAACTGTCACCGGTAAGCCGTCCAATCTCAATCTGCGTGATCACTTGCGTGTTCATGGCTGACCATCATTCTCTTACAGCAGGCATGGACTGGGGTTTCGGTGCAGCACTCGTTGCCACTCGTGCACCAGTCAATGTCAAGTCTGAGCAAAGCACCACTTCCACTACGTTTTCGGGCACTTTGGCCGAAGTGATGGCCCAGCTCGAAGAAATCCGCCAGATGCCTCGTTGCAAGCAGGCGGCAGCAAAAGACCTCGTCCACTACTGCGCCACCCATGATCCAGCAGGTACGCAATCGGCACACAGCACTCAGGCCGAGCTGGAAATCTACAAGCAGCTATTCGCTATTCGCATAACTCACTGCGAGCTTGAAAGTGCTGGGCAGTCTTTGCCTTCTGCCTGCGATCAGATTGTCGCTGACCGGTGCGCTACGAGCGAGTGCCAGACTGGAAGTTGCCTCGCAGCTCTCTTTCCAGAGACCAACGCGTGGACGACCTACATGACTCAGACGAACAATGGCCATGTCATGTGCCACGCCATGAGAGCCGAGCATGACAAGGAAGAGAAAATTCGCCTGCTCAAGTTTCTCATCGAGAGAACATCAGACATCGGCTCTGCCCTCGAAATGAGCCAACAGAACCTCGAGCACCTCACTCAGACGCTCCATGATGTCAAGCACTCCACCCGTATCTTCTACGATGATATGACTAACAGTACCCGGGACCTCCAATCTGAAATCAAACAATCATTCAACGAGATTCACAAGGACACTTCTGGCATCTCCGGTGTTGTTCAGTCCATCTACTCCTCCATGGACCAGGCGAAGAAGCATCTCGATGAGTACACTGCTGAGGTCTTACATCAAGCTCGGGCTATGACTGCGCAGAAGGATGACGAGTCGAGAGAGCAACTTGCACAATTTCAGTCCAAGATGGAGGCTGTCCGCAATGTCTATGAATACGAATTCCAACGTGGCCTCACGGACCTCAGCAAGCAGATATTTGCGCTCACCGATAGTATGGAGATCGCAGGTGCCGTCACAGGTCAAATGCTGAACAATTTCGACACCCTTGACAGCCATTTGGACAATTCGAATCAGAAGATGGGCGACCTTCTCGTGCAAATGAACAACGCCAGTGACATTCAGGAGCGGGCGACTGCACAGATTCAGGACGCTCTCGACCCCATCGTGCACGAACTACAAGGCTTCCGCGAGACGGTTGGGTGGCTGATATTCTGGCCCAAAACTATTCGCAGGACCGTGAAGTTCTTGCGCGGGCCGGACGTGCAGTTGTTCATGAAATCATACGGTCTAATTTTGCCATTCGCTGCGATGGCTTGCTGGATAATGGGGTCTGGCTCTGCAATCGCGCTACTTGGTACATGTTGTGAGTATGAGCGATGAACGTGCTTGCTTTCACGCCACTAACCAGCTGTCTAGGCCTTGCACTGTTCATTACGATGACCAATTCTCTTCGCGTCACACAAGACAGCGTTGACGCCCATGCGTCATTCTACTGCAAAGCATCACCATATGTCGTTAATCTTGCTTATTTGGTGGCCGGTGCTGTCATTGCGACCGTCATCTGCCGCTCTTACTTCCGCCCCAAATACGATCCAGCTGCCCAGCTGGATCCGTACACTGGTCTAGACGACCTGGACATCGCAGAGCAGAAACAGAACCGCAGCCGTTTTTGATCGCCTGATTACGAACATCACATCGCCACAAAGCATGCTACGAAGTGCTGCGGCATGCTAAATCATGCCAAAATACGCCACGACACGCAACGACATACTTTGAAATGCTACGACATGATACGACATCCACGACTTACACTTCACGACTCAGTACATGCGACGCAAATCCAGACATCACTTACGACGTCTGGTAATCAGTAGCTACGTTTCTCGAACATCTACGACATCAGGAGAAGCATATCAGTCGGGTTGTTTTGCTTTCTAGGGCGCGATCCCGCCCGTACGCGGCATACGACATCTTATTGGAGCATAAGGAGGAAGAAAAGAGTTATGAAGCAAGAGCATCGTTTTTGACAAACTGCCAAAGCTAGCGCGAGATACCCCATCATGTTTTTTTGTTTTAGAAAAGTCGTTAAAATCAACGTCAGGATTTACTTCCGATGCATGCTATCTTGTTACTTGTCACCGTCTGCTATGAGTAGGGTAAGTGATCGAGCTGACTACTGTGGTTATGCTGTCGCTCCAACCTCAATTTGGCTAGGAGCGGAAGTGCTGCCATGGCTTCGCGAAATATCATCATTAACACGTTCAGCTGTGTCGCAACCTTCTGCGTCGACATGGGCATCTGTGGTCTTCTTGTGCTCCCTCTCTGCAGCTTCTCGTATTTGCGCCTCATGTCGACGCCTCTCCTGCGATTCGGGAAGTTCTTCCACATGAGCCATGTCCTGCTTAGCGTCTTCTGCATTATCTGTGCTGGTCGGTGGCCCTTTCTCCTCCGAGGTGAAACGAACACTGCGCCACCTAAGACAAAAAAAGCATCAATGTCAGCCTGGTCCTTCCACCTTGCTCTCCTTGCGCCGAGGCACCAAAGCTAGAAAGAAGTTATAGAGAAAGGTCGTACTTACTCAGTATTCGCCCACCCCGTTCCAGAAAATAGATCGTGCTCGCTCCAATTTTCCGTGAAGAAATGCAGAAACCTAGGACCTCGTATCAGCTATCACAACTCACCACAACAGCAACTCGAAGAAAACATCTCCTTACCCGCCATGCGTCACAACAACGATATTCCTCTCAGGCCGATCCCTCAACCAGACTCTCACCTGCCTTGCCCTTGTCTGTACAGCCTCAACATCAGGAGCCCAACGCCCTACTTTACACTCCCAATTCGGCGTCACATGATCCAAATTGACTGGTTGATCACCAAACTCCTTTTCCAGCACCTCTCTCGAAGATCCCGTATCGCAAGGTAAATTGCTCGTCTCCTGCAATTCAGGTAGACAGAGGACTCGAAGATTATTGTCTCGTAGAACGTCTTCGAAGGCGATCAGAGCTGTCTGAATTGTTCGTTTGAGAGGCGAGGCAACGATAAGATCGATGTGTTCGGTTTTGGGGAATGAGGTTTTCAGTTGGCTGCATTGTCCTTTCCCGAGATCGGTCAGGCACGGGTCGATGAGGTAGTGGTTGTTGACGTGGACATTGTGCTGCGCTTGAGCGTGGCGGACGAGGTGGAGGATGGGTGGCATTGGAATAGGACTGATTCGTAGGGTGATTTGGCTGAAGGAAATTTTGTGTCGAAGGAAAACTAATGTGGCACTTGCGAAGTTTGCGTTTGCTGGGAGGAAACAGCGAAGATCGATCAAATGCTAAGTGGGACAGCTGTGAAGAGTGAGAGCAGGTGGGATGCTGTGTTGATTATTGGGCCTGCCAATGTAGCATGAAGCGCGGCTTGCTTGCCTCTATCTCGTTCGCCACATTGGACAGTGCGACTCTGTGCCGTAGTATTGGATTTCCATGTCAGAAGTACACACCCGACCGATCGATTGCTGACCACCATTTCTGCTGCGAATTCTCAGCTACAGTACGAGCAATATAGACTTTATCAGCAATAAAGATGTGCGCAAGTGCACTTCATTTGAAGGTAACAACCGTGTACGGAATGCAAGCACGCATGCATGTATCATTCATGGGTATCTCGGAGCGCCGTATTGATGCAAGTGCGGAACGCTATCACATAGAAACATGCCTTGGTCACACTCATTCTTCCTCCCCTTCTGCAGCATGCGCAGCGTGCAGTGGGCTGCGAGATTTGTTCTCGTGCTGCGTACGAATTGCTGCAGCGCGCGTCTTCTGCATGCCTCCTGGAGTCGTTGAGCCTGCATATCTTGAATGCGGCGTGACGCGTTGAGCATCACTGGGCAGGTCTGGCGTCGATGATCTTGATGGCGTTTGATGATAAAGTGACTGGGAGATAGGCGATCTGCCAGAGCTGTAATCGAATGGTGGCTCCATTATTGGTCGGTCGAAGTTCAGCGGTGAAATACGATTGCTGTAGTCGTAGTCATCATCATGAGCAAGCTCGGTAGATATGGCCGCTGGCCCGGGCGAGCTCCTCAACGACATGGGAGATTTACCGGCACCACGAATGTATTCTTCGCCGCGTCGCTTGATAGGCGACTCGTCATACGGGTCGAATCCCACTCGCTGAATGGCAGCATGCCTCACCTGCTGGCGGTGTTGCTTGTCTGCGCCAGCGCCGGCAGTGGCACTGTCTTCGAGGAAGAAATTCAGCAGTTCATCCTCTATTGCAAGGTGCGATTCCTGCCGAAACTGCTGCAGTGCCGAAAGTTTCATGAGCATTTCCAGCAAGGACAGTGTCGTTTTGATTGGAGGCCCGGAGCGTCTGCCGGGGGAGAACGCCAAAGTAGACGACTGTGCTTTGACAGGCGTGCCATTGCGCGACGAGCTGACATTGAGATGAGCTAAGGCGCTAGACAATCCGGGATCAAAGGACGCAGATCGACTAGACTGTGGCCGTGCATGATCCTCGTCCTCGCTATCAGAGTCATGCTCCTCGGAGTAGACCTGTAGGGCCATCCACTCAGGATCGTACGACGGCGGCAACCTCCACCATGAGTGCGCGCCGGCGCCGTTCTCGACCCTCGGTGTGGACTCCACGATCGGGGTAGACTCGCGCTCGATTTGTGCGTCAATGTGGCTTTGATCGTTCTCGTCCTCCGACTCGCTGTCAACGCTGGGAGTGCGTGATCGCGATGGCTTCATCATGCGCCTTGGGGGCTCGGCATGTACATCGCGCTTCAAGAGCAGACACGGGTGGTTGACCTCATCTTCTCCGGTGATATCTAGAATTTTGCCGGTGTCGGCATAGAAAATCTGCACATACGTCAGCAAGATGGCTTACGACTTCACCATTCAGTCTCACCTTTGAAATTTCGTGAATTGGAACGATGTCACGAATTCCCGCTTCAGGGACGCCGTCAAAAGGCCCTGGCCTGGGATCGCCGTCTTCGTACGTGTGCAATCGAGTATCATCGAGGTCTTCTACAAGTGAGAGCTGGTATCCGAACTCACTAGCTTTAGCTTCAGCAGGAATCGAGCTGTCCTTGGACGTGCTCGTGTGGTTGACTTCACCTGGCAAAGCATACAGATCATCAAGTGGCACGCGCCACAATTTGACATGCGTCTTGTGTAGAACTTCTTGCCATGTCGTCTCGCGATTTGCGTCTCGGTGGCTGTGTCCAGCAAAGAGCATGTACAGTGTCACCACATACGTTGGGCCCACTTGGTGACGTGACGTTGGGCTCTTGGTGAAGCGCGTGTCGGCCTGGGTCAGGAAGGTAGATGCCTGCAGGAGGCGAGAGGGGCTGATGGTGCCCGACAGCTTCGTACTCAGATTGACGCCACTCGTGACGATAGCCAGGTTGATCAAAGGCACGGCATCCTCGATCCGTGCGAGCAAGAGCTTGATCTGGGCAATGATGGCCACGAGTTCGTGGTTGGCCTCTTCGCGGGCGGCGCCTTTGCAGCCACGCTCGTTCAGGTGCTGCTCTTCTTGAGCGGCTCGGTCAAGACGCTGGCCCAACTTTTGAATGTCATAGCGCAAGGCCTTGCAGAGCGAGAGGGCCGACTCGAGCGACGTATTGCCACGCGCTGCAATCAGCTCGATCATGTCGATAGACGGGGCGATCACGCGGATTTTGCTCTCGAGCCGGAGCTGCAGCTGCATCAACTCATCGCGCTCGCGGCTCTTGGGCGCCTGCTTGAGCAAGCGACTGCACTCCTTGATGGCATAGCCCGTGGTGATGGTGATGCCCGAGCGGATGGCGTACTGCACGGCCTGCTGCGTGACGCGTTGGAGGAGGAGATCCATGTTGGAGCTGCTTGTGAAAGAGTCACCGACTTGACCTACGGGGATATGGCAGCCGAGCAGCGTGCCGGCGATGACGACGTGGTCATGGGCAAACAGCGCAGCGCAACTCGAGCACGGCGCGAGCGTAGAACCGCGTGGTGTCTTGGGCAGAAAGAGAGATTGACCGCGCCCAAATAAATATTGAAGGCCCGCGTCAGAACTCGTGCACCGCCACTTCCAGCCACAGACGTCCCACGGCGAAGCACATTTGTGGGAGCCCCGCCGTCAGAATTCTTGTCTCGTCACACAAGCACCACCACCACCTCTACTGTACCTACTTCACTTGCACTGCGCTTTCCCTCAAGCATTGCTTCGAGACGATCGACTCCCTTCCATTGCGCATCACACGCCCCGCGCCCCCGACGCCTCCCATCATGGCCAACCCACCAGCCGACTCGTGGGAGGACAGCATGCAGGACGACGACCTTGCCCAACAGACCCAGCAGAACCTGAATCTCGGCCAAGGACAATCGGCACGTGGAGCCAACACCTTTGTTCCAGGCGCCGCGAGCTTCACCCCAGGCGCGCAGTCATTTCAGCCTGGGCAGCAATATCAGCAGTACGGTTACGGGCAGAACTATGGCGGCTACCCGCAGTACGGCGGCCAGCAGGGCTATGGCCAGCAGTACCAGCAATATGGCTACGGCGGCCAACAGAACTTCCAGCAGTACGGCCAGGGCTACCAACAATACCAACAGCCGCAAGGACAGCAGGCTTATGTTCCACCTCAACAACGGCAAGCTCCCATGATCGCAAAGCGTGGCGAAGCTCTTCCTTCTGGAGGCCAGCAGCCTGCCGCCGCAAAGCCTGCAGCAGCGAAGCCTGCAAATGGCACAGCGCCAGTCAAGACCCTATCACTGAGTGCCGCAGACACAGGAGCAGCAGCTCCCAAGGTGGAGAAAGCAGCTGGTGGCGCCAAAGTGCTATCGCTGGGCACACCAGCCGCAGCACCAGCTGCCGCTGAGAAGCCCGCACCAAAGGAGGCCCCGGCCAAGGCAGCTCCAGAAGCCGGCAACAAGGTGGCAGCAGCCAAAGCCGTCGAAAAGACTGGCGAAGCTGCACCAAGCAGCGGCAACACATCCCCTGTGGCGTCGGGGCGCTCTTCGCCCTCCCGCGCTGAGACAAAGGCAGAAGCCCGAAGAGTAGAGTTGGCAGCTGAGGAGCAGGCTAAAGAAGTTGACGAGGCTGATCTTCGAGAAATGTATGGCAAAGAGCACGTGAACGTAATTTTCCTGGGACACGTTGATGCCGGCAAAAGCACACTCGGCGGCAGCATTCTCTACGCTACAGGAATGGTGGACGAACGGACAATGGACAAGTACAAAAGAGATGCAAAGGACATGGGACGAGAATCTTGGTACCTGTCGTGGGCACTGGATCAGACCAAGGAGGAGCGTGCACAGGGAAAAACGGTCGAAGTCGGAAGAGGATTCTTCGAAACGGAGAAGCGAAGATACTCGATCCTCGATGCACCTGGACACAAGACATTCGTGCCCAACATGGTGTCTGGTGCTTCGCAAGCAGACGTGGGTGTGCTGGTTATCTCCGCGCGAAAGGGCGAGTACGAGACTGGTTTTGAACGAGGTGGCCAAACCCGAGAGCACGCTGTGCTGGCCAAGACACAAGGTATCAACAAGCTGGTCATCGCTGTCAACAAGATGGACGATGTCACCGTGCAATGGTCTGAGGAGCGATTCAAGGAGTGCATTACCAAGCTCACCACATTCTTGAAGGGCTTGGGCTACAACCCAAAGACAGACCTGACCTTCTTGCCAGTGTCCGCGCAGACTACAGTTGGTATCAAGGATCGAGTTCCGAAGGATGTTGCGCCTTGGAACGACCAGCCTTCGCTCCTCGAATTCTTGGATAACATGCAGAGCTTGGAGCGTAAGCTTACAGCGCCTTTCATGATGCCTATCGCCGCCAAGTACCGAGACTTGGGAACCATGATCGAAGGCAAGATTGAAGCAGGAATTCTCAAGAAGGAGAACAAATACTTGATGATGCCAAACCGAGCCGAGATCCAGATCAGCGCACTCTATGGTGAAACCGAGGATGAAATTCCGCATGCGACAAGTGGTGACCAAGTACGACTCCGAATCAAGGGCGTGGAAGAAGAAGACATTGCACCAGGCTTCGTGCTCTGTTCACCGAAGCGTCCCGTGCATTGCGTCAACCAATTTGAGGCGCAGATCAGATTGCTCGAGTTGAAGTCCATCATTTCGGCCGGATTCAACTGTGTCTTGCACGTGCACTCTGCAACAGAAGAAGTCACATTCGCCGCGCTCCTGCACAAGCTTGAACCAAAGACCAATCGCAAGTCGAAGAAGCCTCCAGGATTTGCAAAGCAAGGCATGAACATCATTGCCCGATTGCAAGTCACTGGAGGCGCTGGCAGTGTTTGCGTAGAGCGCTTTGAAGACTACCCACAACTGGGCAGATTCACGCTCAGAGATCAGGGTAACACTATTGCCATTGGCAAGATCACAAAATTGATTACCGATGCACAAGAGGCTGCGGAAGGAGCTATTGCTTAAGTGGGTTTTCGTTGTTTCTATTCCAGAAGGATGTAGCGAATGCATCGGGGCGGCATCACGAGTTATAGAGTTGGCGACTGCGAAAGACGCCATAACGATATTGATGATTGGCGACGGGAACATGTAGTGTAGAGCAGTTGGTAGCCTCCAAGAAAGATCACGCTCTGCGCATGTGTTGTAGTCGTTGAACATCTACCAGTCTATTCCTGTCATTCTGTGACGTCTCTGTACCTGTGGACGACGCTTCTTACAAAGCGACGCATGCAGACATGCTTGAACTGCTTCTTCCTAGCGATGTAGGGTGTGGCAGGAACGCTAGCCACTTCTCACCTCAAACAAAATGGCAGCCATGTCGGCATAAATTAGATGTGAGTCGACATCCTCCGCCTTTCACAGCTTGCTCAACACAGCATCTGCACCCGAGACCTGGTCAATAAAGATTAGTCTGCGGATCGGTGCTTGCACAATTCGTTCTTCAGACTTACAGTAACCTTTCCAGGCTTACTCTCCGCATCAGCAACACTAATCGTCCCATCTTTCTCGATGACCATAACCCATCGACCATTCCTCTCCCCAGCACTCCAACCAAAATTCTTACTGAAAAATGTTTTCGTATCGCTCATAAATAAAACTTTACTATCCTTCGTTGCTCCATTAACCTTTGTACAAATAGATATCAGTAAGTTAAAGGCGCACACGAAAGCCGACATTTGGCTTGTCTTACCTTTCCCCAAGCACTCATTACAAATGCATCATTCGATGAAATTACTACCACCAAATCGATTCCTTTGGCTTGTAATTGATCGATCTTTTGGAGAAAAGGCGGGAGATGGAACGCCTGACAGCCTGGAGTAAAAGCGCCGGGGACAGAGACAAGTACGACTTTTTTGCCGGCGAAGTTTGAGGAGGCGTCGTAGCTTTGAGGTAAACCGCAAGCGGTGGGATCGGGATCTGTAGTGGTAGGGTTGAGTAGGAGAGCCATATGTTAAATTATATTGTGGTCTTGGAGTACGAACCAGTTATTGGTACCCAGCTAGAATAATGTTAGCTTGTCGGTATCGAAAAGAAAGGTCTGTATACGGCTGTCGTACTCGAATTTGACGTTGGGTGGGAACTTGTCGCCTTTTTGCAAAGGCATGTTGGTCGTTTGATTGTCAGAAGGGCGATGACTGCGTGAGAGCGATTAACAAATGGTTGACTGAGCATACAACAACGTCATGTTCGAAATGTCGGCATAGCTGTCCGATGCAGCCCCGCTGAAACTTGCATCCTCGGCATCACCGGCAGGACTACAAAACTGATCGTGGAAATTTAGTATCGAGGGAGTGTCAACAAGCAGCAGCACTTAGAAATGAGGACGCTGATCTCAGGTAAAGGCCTCTGATTTGCGCTATTCTATTGTCGCCCATCTCACCTACTCGTACCGTTGACAATCAACCTCGCTCCGCAGAGAAGGAGGATGGCGGAGGCGGCAGGCTCACATCAGTTCCCTGTGTTTCCTGCCTTCGTAATCGCTTGAGGGACTCGTCGCAAGGTGGCAGGGGGAATGGTGAGCTGGCTAATGTGTTCACGACAGCCGTCGTGCCTGGCTGCTCGGATTCGTCCAGACTTGTTCCATGGCGTGACCCAGGTCGACTATGTTGTGTAGGCATAACTGTGCTTATTTGGCTCGCACGCAAGTGATGCATTGGAGTGGGTGATTGTGTATCAGCCTGAGAAAATCTGCCCGCGTCGCGTTCGAGTGCTGCAGTGATTGGGTCGAAAGTCTGTTGGAACATGGGATCGTAAGCACCTGTCATGATATCGGCTCCGTCAACATCGCTGTTTCCCAGTCGCCATTCTGCGCTATCCTCGTCCTCGAGATGGTGCCCATCTTGCGACTCCTGGACCAAGGTCGATCGGCAGGGAGATCGGGTTGATGCGTGTTGTAGCCCTTCTGGCAAGGTATCACGAGTGCGTTCGTCGATCGTCCCGTCAAGCGCATGGTCAGACTCGCTATCTCCGGAGTCGTCTGAGCCATTTTCACAGCCCTGAGTTGCTCGTTGCTTTGGCGAAAGTCCTTCAGCTCTTCTGTGTTTCCTAGGAGTGAAGATGTGCCTTGCGGTCCAAACGCCACGACCGAAGTCTTCCTCGGGTTCATCGTGCCGGGTGGTCTGCTCTAGCTCGTGTCCTTCAAAAGAGTCATCCAAGAGGTAAGGAGCATGTTCGAGCTGCTTCGTGGCCTGGAGGTTGATGCTGCGTTCTCGGAGCGGCGAAAGTCGATCTTGATGTGTAGAGTGTCTGCCGCTCCTTGAGAGATGGATACTCGAGGGTGTTTGTGACGATGGAATTTCTGTTCTGCGGGGCCTTTGGGGCGTCTTCAATGATGCTGCAGAGCTGGCAGTCGTGGGCCTCGTGCTAGGCGCTTCGTCGTCCGATTTGTCAGATGAGCCGAATAGTAAGTCTTGCCGCGATTGCGGAGAGCTAGCTATCGACAATAGGTGTCGGGCATGATCAAAGGTCGCTTGTGAAGGCGTCTTCCCTCTGCTGACATGGTCCACTGACGGCAAATGCTTCTTTTCGGACTGGTGCATGTTCGTTCCGGGCTTCATGGCCGCTGAGCTTTTGCGTTCTCGTTGATGCATGTCGCCACGCTCTTCGTTGCTCTTCGGCGACACGTCCAGATCGTCAGGCTCAGTGGAATCAGGCCGCACGAAGTCTCGCCAATTTTGCGTGACAGTGGTCTGCTTCAACGCCTTACCGTACACCCTTCGCCGTTTCTTAGGCGGCATGTCGAAGTTGTCATTGTAGTCGCTCCCTTCTTCATCACTGAAGTTGGTAGAGTCCTTCGCGCTGGGTTGCGGTGTAGATTGGACGAAGTCAATCTGCGTGAGAGTGGACTGATCGTGCAGCGAAGATGCTGACACTCGTGGCCGCCGTGGACGGATCGATGTTCTGCGTGGCAAGAACTTCTGTTGCCGCGGTGCGCGTGCAATGCGGACGTGTTTGCTCACGGGCATTCCGTGCGGCGGGCTGTGAAGGTCGAGCTCTTTGCAGGTCGTGCCTACCTACAGTCGATTGATGTGATTGAGTGATTTGGTGATTCGTTGATTCTGTGATGATTCCGTTGATTCTGACGATTCTGGGGCGATTCGGACTGATTCGCGCGGCAGGCGGTAGACGCGTCGGGATGCAACGCAAATGACGCGTTTCTTGATGAAGGTCACATCACGTGTCCCCATCAAATCTCGTCGGTCGTTCATCCCTGGTCGTGGTCTTCTCTGCCTCTACGTCAACAGCACCTACGCTCACGAAAATGACGGCGACAATAGATGCACATGCCAGGCCCCCGGAATCTATGCGTGAGACGTATAAGAGATACCAGAAAGCGACTACGGAGGCAGTGCTGAGCCAGCCGGATCTCATCCAAATTGGCCAGGAAGCAGATCGCTACGATGCCGCCAGTCACGATGTGGGCGTACCGGCCAACCTAAGCGGTGCATTCGCTAGTTTCTTGGATCGTGAACCTGAGCCATGTACCTCTGCAGATTCTGCATGTATTGGCAGAGTCTACGAAATCCCTGGTGTACCAGGTAAGACCAATTGAGTGTGCCAGCACACGACTTGTATTTCTTCTGAACGAGGTAGGCTTGTATATATATCCATCGCTACTCTCATCCGCAGTGCAGCTTGAATTGCTCGACAAACTTCTGCATCGGGATGTATCGAATCCTCGTCACAGCACGAATGTGCATCGCTTTCATCGCGTAGAGTATCCCCCATCCGAAGGCACAGGATCGTCGGCCTCTTTCTTCTCGCCAGCTGCGACTAGCACAATATTTGAGCCTCTTGATCCTGCTGTTCACAAGCCGTTCGGTGTCCAGCAGTTCTGGAACAAAAAGCTCCGCTGGATCACACTTGGTGGCCAATACGACTGGACAGAAAAGCAATATCCGTCTGAAGATCCACCCGAGTTCCCTGCTGATATCAAGAAGCTGGTGGAAGACTTATTCCCGATGAAAGCGGAAGCGGCTATTCTGAACCTGTACTCGCCAGGCGACACGCTGAGCCTGCATCGAGATGTCAGCGAAGAAAGCAATCAGCCCTTGGTCAGTATCTCCATCGGCTGCGACGCCATTTTCATCGCTGGTCTCGAGGAGAAGGATGTATCCGGCGGGAACTGCTCTACCGCTGCCATTCGTCTGCGGTCGGGCGATGCCGTGCTCATGAGCGGTCCAAGCAGATACGCGTGGCACGGAGTTCCGAAGGTGAGTTAGCATGCATGGTCAGGAGAATCGCACTGGTTATGTTGGCGCTGTACCAAGATGTGCCGCTGAACGAGCCTCGGGGGTGAACCGATGCAATGCATTAATGATGTACGCTAACCAAAACTCGCCTCTCAGGTGCTTCCGAATACCTGCCCAGAATGGTTACAATCATGGCCTGCTGCGGAGAAAGCGCCGCAATATCAAGTATGGAAGAACTGGATGGGGGGCAAACGGATCAACCTCAACGTCCGACAAATGTTTGACTGACTCTGCTGGACTCTGTCGAGCACGATCAAACTTTCACGATACAGATCACGTTCTCCATATCGCGGACTTACCAACGGCATTGCCTTAGCGCGCTTGAGTTTGTGCAATAGTACCTGGTCGGCACGTGGCGGGCCGCGGGTCTTGACGAGCATGCTGCATAACACGCAACGTCACCCCTCGATTCTGGGAGAAGCGACGCATTTCGTGAGATGCGCGATTGCATCTAAATCAACTGAAGGGCATGCCTAATGTCCTACTCAGCAGCTCAGTCATCACCGTCTCTCGCGGACCCACTGCCGAAACTCTGTTTGTTCATTAACTGGCTGACACGAATTGCGCAACTCGTATCCTCGATGTCAGGCAACGGGACTCCACGCTCTGGTGCATTCTACGAATCGATCAAATCAGGATATACCGGACCCAACAACATATGGGTCAGTCTACTAGTACCCCGCCACGAGAGGGGAGCTGCTAGCTATCCTCGGGCAAATCGGAGGACGACCAGCCATGGCAATAAGTACCCAGTTTCGCATTGTTATCGTACACAGCATCCCCGTTCGATGCGATTCTGACACCAAACAACATACAAGAGCATTGAATTCTCCATGGCTCCATTCAAACTGCAAAAGCCATCGAACAGAGAGCTTTTGGGCGGTGACCTGCTAGCTCAAGCCCTCCGCCACCTTGGTACCGATGTAGCATTTGGTTTACATGGTGGGCACTTGGATGCTTTCCTGGTTGGAGCGCACGAGGTTGGCATCCGCCTAATTGACACACGGCACGAAACCACGGCGGTGCAGGCGGCTGAAGGATATGCCAAAATTTCTGGCAAAGTCGGCGTATGCTTTGTGACTGCGAACAGCGGGTGCGCAGACATTGCGAACGATGGTTCTATAAGGTCTAATTCGAGTATAGCTTCTCCAATGGACTCCCGGGCCTTGCTACTGCCTTTGCCGATCGCTCCCCAATTTTCTGTGTCACTTCCAGTCCACCTTTGCAAGACAGCGAAACGAACGCCTTGCAAGGCTTTCACGATCAGGTGGTTGTAAGTAGACCTGTAGGGGCACGCGGCTGTGTTCTTACCTGCTTCCTTCCACTAGTCGTTATGTCTACACTCACTGACAATTGCTCCAGGTGGCCAAGCCCATCACGAAATTTGCGCACAGAGTTACAAATGTGGAAGAGATCCCTAGAATCGTTGCCTATGCTTTCAGAGCCGCCAGTGAGAAAATGCACTCCGAATCTGTTTCATGCGCAAGCAATTCTGATCGCGACCATAACAGATACCGGTATCAAGGGACCAGTTCTGATCGATTTCCCTATCGATGTTCTGTTTTCACCTCCGCAAGCACATCGTATTGCCTACGGTGCCGTGGGGGTGGCCCCAGCGTCTCCTCCAGCGCCTGATCCGGCTGCTCTTGATAACCTATTGACAGCATGGAAAGCAGCCAAACGACCTGTCATAATCAACGGAACAGGCGCTAGAGGTATTGCGAAGGGCCTCCAGGCGCTTGCAGAAACCACGAACACTCCAGTGTTCTATTGTAAGTTTTCCTAGCAGCCATTTGGAAAAGCAAAAACATTGATTATATTCCCACCAGCGAACAAGCTCAGCACGCCCATCCCTCACGGCCATGAGCTTCGAGGCGGACCAGCCATGAACTTGGCGGCGTTCGCTGGCAGTGCTGAGCATGCAGATTTTGTGCTACTTCTAGCCGCACGTACAGGCTTCCTTCTTGGTGGTCGAAGTGGTGCAATTATTCCAAATGGCGTCACGCTAGCACAGATTGACCTGTGGGTGTCACCAAATTTGTCATGTGATTCGTTCTTGAGAAAAACGGAATTGCTAACTCATCTTACTTTCTAGCGATGGAGGTGAAATCGGCAAATCGCATGCAGTCGACATCGGTATCATCTCTGATGTCGGCTTGTTCTGCGATGCATTTGTTGCGAAAGCCTCTTCTGCTAACTTCCCCCGCAACGAAGATTGGATCAAGAAATGCTTTGCATTGAACAACTCTCCATCACCATTCGAGAAGGATGAAAAGGTCATGCCAGATGGCCAGCTGCATGTAAGTCCACAAATACAAGCTCTGCGACTCCTGGTGGGCAATAACCTGACCATGACAGCCGTATCACGCGTTACATCAAGTTATGACGAATCTACCAAAAGATTCCATCATCATGTTCGACGGAGGCGAGGCCGGTCAATGGGCCGCTATGACTGCAGAGCTCTCTCAACCTCACGTGGTCATGAATTCCACTGGCTACTTGGGCTTTTTGGGTAATGGTTGGGGTTATGCCCTTGGAGCCGCTGTTGCAGACCCATCCAGGTATGATCCTCTACCCGCCCCCCATCAACGTTGAACGTCGGCTAACGCGCACCTTCTAACTTCACAGACTGATCGTCAATTGTCACGGTGACGGTTCCGCTGGTTTCCACATTCAAGAGCTGGACACATTTGCTCGCTTCAATCTTAATATCTTGACCATCATCACAAATAACTACTTCTGGGGTATGGCAAAAACTGTTTTGAATCCCCCAGCGCTTTCGCTAACTACCGCAGGAATGTCTGTCAACGGACAGGACCTCCTTTACGATAAGACGACACCGGCGCGACCAGCTGTACAAATGTCCAAGGCATGTGCCTACGAAGTCGTCGCCCAGGGCTTCAACTGCGCGGGCGAGAAGGTCACAGAATACGACCAAGTCGGTCCAGCGATTCAAAGGCTCTCGAAGGCAGGCCCAGCGTTGTTGAACATGATTGTGAGCGTCAAGCCGACGAGCCCTGCGACTTTGTCCATGGTTGGCGCTACAAATGATCCGAACGTAAGTCTTCGCTTCCTCGCTCGATGCGTAAGCAGCTACTGACACATTCAGGTGATTGTCGTACCCTACTATGATAACGTGCCTCGGCCGTATTACAAGGATCAACCTACCAACGGTCAGTCGTGAACTACGTAGGATGAGCATCTAGAATAGCGTGAAAATGCAGGAAATACTTCGCCTGTGAAGGGAAAGCTGACGCGAGCATTTTACCAAGTTTCTCTTTCTTTGCTCTGTAACTTCTGCTTCACGTGCGATCCTTCAATATAGAGGCATGTGCGTCTTATCATGGGGAAAGCCAGGGAGATTTTAATATCTTCGGTGGCAGCTGAAACTGCGTTTCGACGAGAGGCAAGGTACGACTCATGAGCGAATCGTCATTTTCGTTCTTCATGGTTTTGCTATCGTTGGCCCATCTACTGAGATATGAAGATGATGCCAAAGATTTCTGTCCACATTCGACCCGCTCTTTCATGCAGATATCGAGGCGGGAGATACAGGGACTGATTTTGCTCTCTCGCGCTCGCAGAATCCCAGTGAAGGGGTCTGACGCTAGACTCGGCACCATGGAAAAGACTGCTTCGTGTGTGAGCGCGATGGAGAGAAAGAAGAGAGATGGGGACCAAATTCGTCAGTGTCGTTCTGCGGGTGCACGGATCTCCCGCAGCTTCCCGCTTTTTGCATTTGTCACCAGACCAATTCCTCCGTTCTTTTCCTACACTTCAACACCACCATGTGAACCACCAACCATTACGATGCAGACCGATTCAATCGCAAACTCCGACTGGGATGTCGTAATTGAAGGCACTGGGTTGCCGCAGTCGCTCCTCGCGCTGTACGTGCCCTCAGCTCGTGCACGCTTTGGCTCAGTCTGACTGACGCGCGAAGCTGGGGTTAAGAGCACTGTCACGTTCGGGCAAGAAGATCCTGCACATCGACCGCAACGGCTACTACGGTGGTAACGAAGCTTCGTTCGGGCTCGCCGACGCCGAAGAGTGGGCAGCAAAGCATGGCGGACCCGCGACCGCCGACTCGAGCTTCAGTTATGCCTCCGTGAACAGGCCACAGAGCACTGGCGAGGCCCAGCTGGCAAGACCGAGAGCGTACGAGCTTTCCCTCGCACCTCAGCTGCTGTACAGTCGCAGTTCGTTGCTTGACGTCGTGGTTTCGTCCCAAATCCACAACCAGCTTGATTTTCAAGCGGTCGGCTCGTGGTTTGTTATCGACCCCAGCACAAACGCCCTCGCTGCAGTACCGGGAAGTCGAGAAGACATTTTCAGGGATGACAAGATTGATATGCGAGCCAAGCGCTCATTGATGAAACTGCTTCGGTCGTTGAATTCAGAAGATCCAGGCGAAGAGCTGGGAACACAGTCCGGCTTGGCTTTCACGAATCACCTCCAACAGCAATTTGGACTTCCTCCGGCCTTGCACTCGCCAGTGCTGGCGCTCAGTATGAGCATGTATCCACCACAGGACATCACAGTTGAGTACGCGATGCCCAGAGTCATTCGTCACTTGCGCAGCGTAGGCGTGCATGCCCCCAGCTGTCCAGCATTACTGCAAAGGTATGGTGGGCTGGCAGAGATCATACAGGTCGCATGCAGAGCGAATGCCGTAGGGGGAGGTGTCTACGTGCTAGGTACTGGAGTCTCTAAGATTCAGCCTGCGCCTGCTCACGACGATAAGCTGAACATTGAGCTCGACAATGGCGATCATATATCAACGCGCTGGCATGTTGGCGAGGGAACATCAGTCACCGCTCTTGAAGAGGATCAACGCCGCGTGGTATCGAAGAGCATTTCCGTCGTGGGCTCGTCGTTGAGCGCATTGTTCAGACCCCTTGCAGCGGGCGCTGTAATACCCGCCGGCGCTATTGTCATGGTAGCCGGGGACAGCGACGCAGATCCTCCTGTCTTCGTTGTAGCTCATTCGAGCGACTCTGGCGAATGCCCAAGTGGTCAAAGTACGTCCTTCCCTTCCATTCAAAATCCCCAACATGATGATCCAACCTACGAATACTTATCTACATTGCCTGAATCGCATTGAAGAACAAAATCTCTGACAACCTGAAATCAATACCCCAATGACCCGTCTATCTGCTTGCGCTACTAGCGGACCATTGGCTGACAAGAAGCTTCAGGTATTCTCTACGCATCTGTAGCTTGCGAACAACAAACAGGTTTTGCGCGTCTAGAGCGGGCGATTGGCACCTTGCTGGAAAGCTTGCCAAACGATGGAAAAGGCACAATCCTGTGGTCATTGAAGTATCAGCAAACCTACACGTCTCATCAGAGCGACGTTCAGCAGAACGATCGCATGATTCTATTGCCCAAGATATCCCCTGATCTGGTCCTGGAGGATGGCGTTGTAGAGAACGTGAAGGTGGCGTGGAAGCAGATCATCGGAGAGGAGGATCTTGGCAGCTTCATGCGTTTTGAAGCGAGAGAAGACAACATGGACGATGATGATGGAGAACACGAATCAAGACAGCGTTAATCTACGAATACATCAATGACAGAATCGCCAGCTTGATTTATTTCTCACCTGTATTGCAAATGGATGATCATTCATACTGTGCACTGCACTGCACACGTTGCACACGGATGCTCCCGTCCTTGGCATTTTTGACCACTCGCAACTCGATGTGGACCGCTTCTCTCACGTTCTCTGCCCACCCTTCCAGCGCTTGGACATATCAGCGCAACTATACCATGCCTGGACGAAAGGAAGACGTGGAGCCGCATCGCGCGGAGATCGAGGATTTGACGCACAATGGCCACAACTGCGAGCAGATCGCTGCCGCGCTGAGGGCGAAAGGACTTGAGATATCCGCAAAGACCATCAGCCGCTATCGTGTGTCTTGGGGCATTCGAAAGCGTGCTGAGCCAAAAACAAAAGGGCGGACATGTAAGCAATCGAGAAGAAGGCGACGCCAGGAAATAGGCTGACACAGGACTTGCAGTTCCCAATCGCAAGAGATTCTCGACAGGACCGACCAAGCAGTAAGTGCCATTTGGAGAAATGTTCTAGCACACGGCACGCCTGTGCGGCCCTGGGACGTACTGACGTTCATTTCTGGCAGCGAGCAACAGGAAGCTCGCAAAGCTGAGATTCTATCGAGGCACGAACGCGGAGAGACAGCTGAACAGATTGCTGCTGCATTACAAGCGCAAGGTGCAGAGCTGCGCAGTGGGCCATCCACAATTACACGACTGCTAACAACATGGTATGCCATTCCATTCTCTGTCATCTTATGGGTATCACTGGCTGACCTGCAGCAGGGGCCTCATACCTTACGATAAAGCGAGAGCGCGCGGAAAGCACTCTGTGGCGCAAGTTGCCAAACGTGCTGAACGCGTGACTACCCCTAAACCTCGAAAGCCGCGCGCACCGAAGCAGATCGCGGTACCATCAAATCCCGCAGAGGTTGTTCATTATCCATCCGAGTGTGCTTTTGGGCCGAAGAAACGAGCGGCCGGTACTACTACATCTATTCCAGACAGCAACTTCAACATCGACCCCACATTCGACACGGGCCCACTCCCTGATGCAAACGATGATGATGGGGAAGATTTCCCGCAGACAGCGCAGCAAGACCCACCCTCGATGAATGTCGCTGCAGAACTCATGTCGGCTGAAATGCTTGTGGACTTGGCGACTTCCACCCTGGCGGCCGCCAATCGAGTGAAAGACCTCTACGTTGCGCGACAGGCGGGGCATCCTCTTCCTGGCACATCAATTGTCCCGACAGACGATGACATCGCCATGGCGAAACAGAAGGTCAGAGAAGCTGCTGCTGTCATGCACGACCTCGCAGTACCAAATATCACGTAGCGAGGGGCGGAAACGACTCGCGACTGAGGACTGGTCGATATAGCCAAGAGCCTGTGCCATGGCGGCCTGATGAAAGCACTCTTGGATAAGGGGAGTTCTATTCATGAGTGAAGTACAAAAAGTACAAAAAAATACGGAGAAGAGACCACGCCAATTTCTCATCGCCTCGCACTTCCGGACATTCATATCGTCGATCGCTGAACACTTCTCCGGAAGCTGCATGCAAACGCCACTTTGCGCCATTGGAGTAAGTAGCAACTGTTCGCTAATGGGGCACTCCACCGCCCGGTCTGCCGTTGTTCAAATAAGTGTTAGCAAGCTGAGCTAACAATGGTTTTGCCACAGGTGCAGCCTTTTCCCAGGTCTTTTGGCCTTTGTGGACAATGTTGTCCATGTCGAAGCCGCCATGTTTTCCGTTTCGCGGCTTGCTGCCTCTGCGTCTGTCGTGGTAGCCGTCGTATTCGTTGTCATATTTGTCGTCTCGTCTCCGGTCATCGCGTCTCGGGTCACGCTTGACAGCATAGCGATCGCGATCACGGTCCCGCCTGGCGTCCCGGCCATCGGTTCTGTAGCCACGCTCGTATGGGTCATCTCGTGCGGCGCGGCGTGGTCGGTCGGTGCCATAGCCAAAGTCCTCTTGACGACGTCTGTCCCGATCGTCTCGGCGTCGTGGTGGCGGATCGTATTCGTCGCTATCTTCTGGAGGATACGCAGCTCGCCTGGAGCGACGACGAGGCGGCTCAGCGTATGGATCTTTACGACGGACTGGTTCCTCATCGACTGGATCTCGAACTTTCTGACGTCTCGGTGGCTCAATGTCATCGTAGTCATCTCTATGTCGGTGACCGTGCTTTCGTGCTACAGGGGCAGGCTCTGGATCCGCATCATATGGCGATCTCCCTTCCTTGCGCTGTCTGCGTTCATTGGCAACGGGGACTTCGTCATCGTAGGGATTCCGGCTTCTTCTCGAGTGCTTCCGATCAAGTGGGCGAGCTCCATCTTCGTCATCAGAGGGCGGGTTGGAGGCCTTCTTGCTCTGATACTTGCGGTCGGCATCTCGATCGGCGCCCACGTCTTCCTCTCGCGAGCCGCGTGCACTTCGGTGCCGCCTCGGATACTCTCCATCTGCGATATCTGGATAGCCATCTTTCGCTTTGGCACTCGGTTTCTCGCGAGTGGACGTAGGCTCAGGTGGCGAGGGATGATCTCGATGATGCTTGCGTCCACTGGTAGCATATTGCTTGCGATCGTCACCTATCGGAGGCGGTGGAATCTCTGGTTCAACTTGTGGTTTCTCTTTCGCCGCGGGCCTTTCTTCTTTGTGCTTCCGTCTGGGCACATATTCGTCTTCTTCATCACTCGCATCGTAGATGTCTCGTCTTCGACTCGCACGAGGTGGTTGAGGTGCGTCGTAAGACGGGTCACGCGTTTTTGTCGTAGGTCTCCGGTATATTTCATTATCATAGTCGTCATCGTATCGGTCTCGTCGACGTTCCCTCGGTCTGGGCGCCAGAGGATCGTCAGGATAGCCGGGCATGCTGTATACGGAGAGGCAGAACGTGGATGCTGCCGTGCCGTCGACGCTGCTACTCGTCTTGATCAGGGTCTAAGTCTAGGTGGTGAATAGCTTCTGGTGTGCTAGTAAGGACCAGCAGGACGCATGAGTTTTGACCGCAGGGCCAGCGGCTCGACTGCGTGAGCTCAGAATGCTTGCTCATCCCGTGCTGCAGCTTGACGTCGTTGGACCCCACCAAACCACTGCCAACAGCCGGCAGAATAATTCTTGCTGCAGCTTGCCCCAGTGCTTGAAAGATCGTCACCTCGGCCCCGGCTTTCAGCGACTGGAACCACTTGGCTCGAACCAACGCCAAAATCAAGGGTCTCGAGCGACATATGTTGCACAACGTCGATAGCACACAGACAGTCTTTGAGGATATGCCACGTCTGATGTAAGGCTCTGATAAGTCCATCCACGTCGTTTGACCATCTACTGCCCAACAAAGTTGTCTGAATCTCGCCGTCATGCCCTTGCGAAACTACTAGTGCACATTCCTATATGTCACATGAGCGGTGAGCAGAAGTGCCTCTTATCTCGTCCCGCTTATTGCAGCCCGATCGTAATAGACGCAAAGGAATTGAATCATCGCTAGCATTCGGACCATTATGCATCGGGCTTTTCGATTTTCACGTATTAGGCTGCCCGTGAGAACCAATCCAGCCATCCTCTTCTCCCGCCTCTACATACGGCTGCAGCTCGCGTCTAGATGGCTCTTGCATAGTGCCATCTTTGGCAGCTAAACGTCCACCTGTTTCGTCACTGTTGTGATAGCCCTCGTCACTAAGAAATGCGCATCTTCTTGGCGGCAATGGCGGCAACGCCTCGATTGAGCTGGCCGTCTGCGTGGTTAGCACATCGTGTGAGGAGCGAGGCTGTGCTCGCTTTCCAGGCTTGTCCTCTGCCTTCCGCTTCTGTTCTGCTACGAAGCCCCGGGCGGATCGTGTGTTGTTACCACGCGCAGTGCCACGCAAGTTGTTCTGCCACCCTGCTCTCCCGAATGTGCACGGGGATTCTATCGATCCAGACTCCCATATTTCCGCACGCTTCTTCTCATCTGGAAGGGAGCCGTACTTCAGCGGTCTCGGTGTCCACGACATCGTGGGTGAATCGTGCGAGCCGGATGCAGATCTCGAGAATGGAGAACGGGTATCCATCTGAACTTCAGGACGCTCCGCAGTATTGCCAGCAGCGGAGCTGGGCGTATCGGAAGCGAGCGCATTGCTCAAAGAGACTCGTAGCTGTGCGATAACTTCGCCACTCTCCTCAAATAGTCGTGCGTAGCGATCCCTTTCACGGGCTGCTGAATCGAAATCGTCTTTGAGAGCACGAAACTCAAGCCTTAATTGTTCCATTTCATGGTCCTTATCTTGCATGAGCGTGACGCCTCGCGCAATGACTTCTTCTTGCTTGACTAGGACTTCGTGCTTGGACTCGCATAAACCACGTAGCCGAAAAAGATTATCATCTTTCAAGCTAACAAGCTCTTCAGTCTCCTGTTGCCTGGTCACTTGCATGCTATACACTTGCTGTAGTCGCCTCTTGAGGGCTGCCAGCTCGTCTTGTTGCTGAAAATAGCCTTGCTTGAGAGCTTCATGCTTGGAGGCCCATGAGTGTAGCTTTGCGTCCTTGGTGTGGCAATCTGCCTGGACTTCTTCAAGCTGAGTCTGCTTCGCGCTCAGGCGGTTCGAGCAGACAGTTAAAGCTGCGTCACGATGGGAAATCTGTCTTTGCAAGCTTGCGTTTCCATTCAAGAGATCACGAACTTGAATGGCATTACGTGCGGACAGCTCTTCGCTGCGTTTGAGACTTTCTTGGGAGCTTCTCACAAGTTCTTCAAGATCATTTATCTCCTTGTCTCTGAAAGCTACGCCTGGAGAGGCGTTCGTTCCCAGCTGCGAAGTCGTCTCATGGTGAGCAGTGACTGAAGTATCCTGGTTCGCTGGATGGACTGGTGCTCCCTCCTGGGAGGAATAGATCCAGCTGGACGGGTGAGCTGTGTTTGCAACTATCGGAGTGCTCATATATGGGCTACTTCCAACTTCACCGCATCGAATCGGCCGCTCTATCTCAGCCTGCCGGGGCAGATCCGCGACTGTGAAAATCTGTTGTGCGGTGACGAGTCGTCTGATGCATTCGCTAGACTTGCTTCTGGAGTCCTCGGATCTAGACAGTGATCGACACGGTCCTCCAGATCTGATACGTGGTGCTCAAGATCCCCAATTCGAGTATCGAGAGTTCTTACGTCGGTCCGCAATGCATTGAATAATGACCTACAAGAGTTGTCAGCAGGTGTAGAAGCACCAGCGATGTACTTACCAGAAGAGCGGTGGCGACGGGAGACTGAAGTGCTGATGGGCCTGCGCGAGGCAGATGGGAGAAGGTGAGACGGCGTTGGCGGCAGGCGCCCCAAGGCAGATACATCGCGGGTCACAGGCAGTATTTACGAAAGGATGCTGGGTAGTAGAGACATGCTCATCGCGGAGCTTTGCGTATTCAAATGCAGATTGTCGTCGAGCATAAGCTGCCGACATTTCCGCGACTCGCTGCTTGAGTTGCCCAAGCTCGCGTTGAAACGTGGCGTGGTCCATGGTGTGCGGCTTCGAGTGCTCTTATTCGAACGAGATGCGGGAACAATGTCGAGAGGAAGTGCAACCTTTGGCTTCGCGATGTGCGATGGTGTTGATGCTGCGCACGCCTCTACAGCCTGGCGTGGAGAGCGAGATGGAGGGCGGGGAGAGTGAGGCTGTCGGCGGCGTGATGCGACAGCCGATGCCGACCTAGACACACCACCTGCAACGTGACACTTCCGAAACGTCGTGCACAGGGCTAGATGAAGAAGTCAGTCTGCAAGGAAATGAGGACCGGTGGAAGGCAGCGTACAGTCTAACAATTATCGTCATTGTTACAGCTGCTGCTGCAGCCTGAGAACTCCGTATCGCATGCTGGGTATCCTCTGAGCTATCCATTCCGCATCTCACATACCCAGTGAGGTTATGCACATAAAGTCGTTGAATCTCCCGGGCGGCCACTTGCTTCACGCCCCTGTTGCTAGCCCTGCCAGCTACCATACGCCTAATACGCCTGAATGCCATGCTGTTCGTGATTCAAATGAGCCGTGAGGCAGTCGATGCGAAGCACTCGGTCGACTGCACGTGGCATTTGAGTCTGTCTGCTTAGACAGAAAACTTGGCTTTGGCGCGACTGCTGCCAGCATGGGCAGAATCGGCATGGCCAGAGAATTCCACACTCTCGTTGGGACCGAGAGCGAGAACGTCCTTGAAGCGCTTGCCAATACGCTCAAGGCGCTTGCGACCCTCGTCGCGGTCGGCACCATCATCCTTGCGGCCTTTTGGTGGTTGTCCAGCAGTTCTCGTCCAAAGTCCGACACGCCAAAAGGCCTTGCGAATGTTGACGACGACACCCATGACCTCGTTGTCGCTCTCATCCTCCAACATCTCGCCAATGGCGGCCAGCATGATGTTGAGCCACGTCTCGTCGTTGGCTTTGCTGCCCTTGAATGTGTAAGCCCAACGACCTCCGTACTTGTTCTGCGGATCCTCCCATTCCGGGCGCACGCCCTGCTTGAAGAGATGGTAGTCGGACTTCTGCGCCAGTTCGGAGGCAGGTGTGATGTTGTTCTGGCGATCAGGCGGGTTAGCACTTGCACGAATTGAAAGAGCGCGTGGGGAAGGCAGGCGGACTCACGTAGATGCCCCAGAACTCTTCGACACTGTTAAAGCTGATGACTTCCTTGAGCAACTCATTCCAGTCCTGCTTGCCGCTCGGTGGCTTGGTGAACCACAAAGTCCAGGTGTGCTGCAGGGCGTGCTTCACGTTGAAGTTCTGCGGGTCGTCGAAGACGGTGACAATCTTCTCGTTGTCGCCATTGGCGCCATTGGTGGCATCGGTCAAGCCGCCCTCGGGGGAGATGGGAATGGTGTCGAGCGGCACAGGCTCAGAGTGGGCATGCGAGGCAACTTCGGTCATGTTGGCGTGAGAGGCGGCGGTGATGCTGCGAGTGTCGGATGCGTGCGGGATCTCGCGACAAGACAATTAAGTCGCGAACGGCGAATGAGTCTGCGCAGGAGAAGAGAGTGTCGAGTAGAGGCGGCGGTGATGTGCGGAGGTGGACGGTGTGCAGCGACGACAAGTGCGAGAGGGTACAAGATTATTATTCTGAGTGAGAAGCGCGCTAAGACGCACCTTTCACGGACCCTGCCGGCCGCGCCTGCAACCTTCATGCGCCGCTGCAATTGTTCCTTCACACTCCACTTACACAGAGTGTGAATTCAGCAATGTGCTGCTCACGTGCAGCAGGCAGACTGCGCCTTGAACATGGCTGAGGAATTCAAGGACATTGATCTGACTGCCGACCAAGCAGAAGGCTCACAGGAGGAAGACTCCGGCGACAGCGAGCGTGATGGACGTTTTCACGGTCCGGACGCCAGCTGGAAGTTCTACACCAAGGCCGAGCGGGAACTGGCAGCATCTCTCGACCAAATTGAGAACAACGATCTAAGTGCACATCTCTACAACACTCATTGTCTCAAACAGCGCTCGTACAATTCGTTGAGCGTGCTGCCGTGGCAGAGCAAACAGAGATGGATCGATCGAGAAAATTCCGCTCCGGGGCTGTTCCTTCCAGATGCACACTGGACTGCATGCCCTCTAAAACCAGCGGAGGTGCCCAGGACTGGAGAGGCATGGGGCGTGGCGATACCGGATGATACGCTGGAGACTTATCGCTACGAGGAGAGTTGGCTGCCTGGTTCGCAGCTGCGAGACTGTCTACAAGCCGAAATCCAGCGTCAAGCTAAAGAGCGACTGCGGCTTCGCACATTTTCTGCCGTGGACATTGATTCTCAGTCAAGTGGCGAAATCTCTACTCAAACATCGGAAACCGACAGCAACGGCTCGGAGGCCGATGCGTCACCATCTACATCGTCGTCTTCATCGGGAGAATCTAGTGATGGTGCGGAACAGGAAGACGGTGATGCCGCCAATTCGAACATCACTGCTCGAGCCTTTCCATCGGTCGACGATGAGTTTGCCACCAACCTCACACGGTCTGCAGTTGGTCATATTATGTCACAGTTCGATGCAGTACTCAAGGGACTTCACCAAAGCCGTATGGGTCATGCAAGAGAAGGTTCTCGTTCACGTCCTGGATCCGCCACAAGCATGCCGCCTACTTCTCCAGGAACAGATTCGCAAACTGGCCATGCCTCGGTCGGCTCGTCTCCCGAGCCTGCGAGTCGTGGCAGCTCAGCGCGACTTCATCGTGGTCGTCAAGATCTAGGCACTCGGGATTGGAGCGAGGTACTGGGTATTGCTGCTTTGGTAGGCGTAGATCCCTCAATCATCGCTCGCGCACGACATCGTTGCGCTACACTATTCAATGAAGACATGGACTTTCGCGTAATGCCTGATGCTGCGCTGACACACGCATCTGAGGGACTCGCTCGCGACCCAGCGAGATCAGCATCGGCCGCTGGAGGGGCGCCTAATGTGGAGATGGATCTTCGAGACGGATATCCCTGCCCGCACACGTCTTGTGACCGCCATGTCGAATCGTATCCTCAGCTTTGGCGGCTCAGAGAGCATCTCAAGCGGAAGCACAAGCATGAGACACAAGAAATCAACGCCATGGTAGGTCATATGAAGCAGTCGGCGAACTCGAGAGCAGGGAGACACCAGCTCGAGAGCGACAACGCAGACGAAGACGAAAACGGAGAAAGCCAAGATCCAGTAATAGACACGGTCGTGCACCACGACGAATATCTGCAGCCCATCCTCATCCCAATAGGTAGATCCAGAGATCGGAAGAAGCGCCGCACACCAAGCAGAGAACATCTCAAGCGAACAAAGGCGACTCAAAGTCAAGATATTGTAGTGGATGGAGAGACCTCTTGATTGGAAAGTTTCCGATCTTCAGTGAGTTTCATTGTGTCAAAGCTGCTCTTGCAGCTGTCCCAATCTGTAGGCTGACTACGTATTCTGTGTCAATGCATCAAGCCATAGTCCTTCCATTTAGCGCGCTGAGGACGATGTTGCTCCGATGGGGCCCCCAAAGGTGGTCGCAGATGCTGTCCGCTTTGCTCAGAGCCGATCATCCTCGCTGTCTCCGTCCTCTGCTTTTTCCGTCTTGACTGCGTGCTTGACGCCCTCCTCCTCGTCGGCGTCATCTTCGCTCGCGGCTTTCTTGGCTTTGGTAGCTTTGGGTTTCTGCGTCCTTCGTTAGCTTTCTGTCATCTAACTGGATGGACCCCCGCGACATGCCTTGCTTGGGGTCTCTCCGTTGTTGTCGTCTCCAAGAGGCTTGCGACCGCGCTTCTTGCCAGGAGTGGCCTTGACTGTGGAGTTCGGGGTCGCCGCGCCCTCGCCCATGACGGCTTCAGCCTGAGCGTTCAGCTTCTTCTTAATTTTGGACCATGCGTTGGAAGCCTGTGTTGCACGTGCGGCATTAGAGTCATGGATGAGTACGGTTGGTGCATTTCTAGCAGTACTCACCGAAACTGGGTTTTTCATGCCTGCGAGACCTGCAAGCTTCTTGTAGTCGAGCTGAGACATACGTTAGCACTCCAGAACGAGATCACCGGTCGATGTTGTCGCACCTTTGGCTCGCCATCAAAGCACTGCCAGGCTAGCGACATCATCTGTCTCTCACGCTCGGTGAACTCGTTGCCGCTCATCTGTGGTCTGTTAGCTGTGTACAGAAGGGCTTGCAAGATGCGTCACGTACCTTTGCTCGTTGGCTGATGTGTGGTTTGGAATGTGATGGATGAAGTTTGTCAGGAGTGGTTTTGTGTGTTGTGGGTTGTTTGCAGCTCGAACAGAAAAACGGTAGTTGTGCTTCACATGCGGTGCCGATTATCCCCCTGTCACGACCGTTGCAGTTCATTGGCTTCACATGAAAAGTGAGCAAGTGCAGATTCGTACTGAAAGCGTGCTCCAGTTGTCGGCATAGCATTTGCAACATGTCATGGCATTGAACTGGCCGGTCGAGCAGAGCTTGTCCGGAAGGCAAGCAGCGAGTTCAGCTGGATGCTTGGGCTACGTTCAGCGTTGGAGTCAACTAAAGACGCTTAGGCGATTCGTGCGCAACTACCGAACGGGCGTATGTGCGACCATAGGAGATGCCGAAGAATGTCTTCACTATTGTAGCAGACGGCCGTTGCGCTTCACTTAGTCACGCCCTACTCTGCGATCAGTAAGATCATTGTTTGCTCGTTGATCCGCCGTTCGGACAGAATATTGTTGATCGTCATCACGCATTGGATTCACATTACGGTCTGGCAGAGCCTTTTCGAGCGCTGTATCAGATCTCAAGTGTTGATAGCTGGTCGAGTTGGGAGACGAAATATCCCGCCAGCACAATTTCCAGAGTCACATGAAATACCAGCAAAAGACTTCATGTGTGGACTGATAGTCGTCAAATCTCACGCGAACTTGTCTGCGTCGGCGTGGCAGCCCTACAAGCAGCGATTCGGGACATCGATAATTGTGTTCTGTCGCTCGCGCTTCGCCCCTTAATGGCTGCTTGGAATAATGGTGGTCTTCGAAGGTCGCTACAGCAATACGGTGCTCCTCGATCGCAGTGCCGGGTTGCCGGTCGAGATAAGATTCTGTCATTGTGCTTGGGGCAGAGGCGAAGAGCAAGATTGAGCGGCCAAGGAAAGGAGCAACAGCAAATGAGCAGGCCGATGTCGGTCTTTCCCAAGACAGGTTCCTGCCAAGGTCACTTTACCACTGCACTTCTCAGTGACAACCTTACGCCTCTGCTCTCACCAGTCTGACATCGCCGACGCATATTTGCATCGAAATAGCGCCATACATCCAGTGTCCAGAGATCAACGCAGACAAGTTATGTTGTCCGGAACTACGATGTCCGGACCAATGCCATCCATCGCGTCCCCCCGCGCGTGCTCGAATTCGGCTGCCTGGGGCTCAAATCCTTCGCGATAGCCCTCATCATACAGCGTAACCATGTCCTTGTTCCTTCCTTCCTTGCTTCCGTTATCTTCGTGCAGTGATCATGGCCATGTCACACTATGATCGTGAGTCCGAACAATATCTGACTGACCCAGAGACTGAGGATGAGTCGGACGTCGATTCTTTGATCAGCGCAGGACCTGCCGACGACTACTTTCAGCAAAGATTTAACCGCCAAGATCGTGCCATCGAAGATAGTTCATCGTCACCCGGGGCTGAGAGCAAAGCGAGGGAAGCGGCAGAGCATCGAACCAGCAGTGCACCGGCAGCACAACCCAGACCGGTCGAGTGGACAATGTCTGGCCCAGAGGCCCATACAGAAGCTCCACCGCCGACATACGAGAGCATCTCAAATGACAGAGCAATGCCGATGTCACAACAACACGAAGTGTCAGGACGCGCAGTGCACTACGGCAGCGCATTCACACCAGCTGCAATACACAGCATCTCTACGCGAGAGCAAGGTGGAGCTTTACCACAGAGCATGCGGGACAATGCCACGAGTGAGCCGGACGAAGAGACTGGTCTTCTCGGTTGGTCAAAAAATAAGCGGACTCGTTCACGCATCTCATGCTGCCGTTCACTTTCAGTCTGCAACGCTGTGCTGGGCCTTGCAGTGGTCATGTTCATTCTCGCGATTTTTGGTGCGATGATTGACGACAGTACAAGCGACGAGCCGCAAGACGATGGAGGTGATTATGATGGAAGCCCAGCCAGGCCCCCGACAGCACCATGGGTACCAGGAGCCTCGTCATGCAGTCCCAATGCTGCCGATGCGGCATTCTCGCTCGACTTCGAACAGCTCCAAAACTTTACCTTCCTCGAGCTGATGGAGAATTCAGCTTACTTCAATGGCCAAATCAAAGGGCATATCCAAGTGCGACCAGCGAAGACGTCACAAAGCCCAGACTTGAGGGTCTCCATTTCATATTCCACTTCGCCGCAGTGGCAAGTTCAGAGCTCGAATTATGTCAAAACGGCCGACAGTCTCAGTCTGCAGCTCCCCTCGCTAGAGACATCAAGCATCTCTCGCTCGAGCCCATGCATCGGCGTGTACGTGAACATTGACGTACGACCTGGAATCACCCTGGATAATTGGGAGCTCGTCACTGGCAACTTGAACATCGAGGTTGACGATGGCCTCTTCAACCGCAGTCCCGATCTAGAAACGTCCGCAGACCTACAGATGACAGGATCTTCCAGCTTTAATGCAATCCACGGCAACGTGAACATTGGTTACTGGTCCTCTCGGAGGACTGAAGTTGAGACGATTTCCGGGAGCATTCGCGGGAAATACGCATTGCGTGATTTGCTCCATCTCAAGTCTCAGTCCGGCTCAATAGACGTGAACGTCGACCCAAAGCGCGAAGACAGTAAGCACCCGGCATCAGCCGAGTTCTTGGTTCACACGAGCTCAGGGAGCGTCAAAGTGAACACCCCTACATCAGGAAACATCCCAATTCGCAATTATCAGACTCGAATCGAGACTTCATCGGGTTCGATAACGGGTGACTTTATTTTGGGGATGTTGAACAGTTTCCACACCCAATCTGGCACCGTGCGGGCAACGTTATTACCAGTTTACGACTCCACCGAAATTTCGTTCCTGCATACTGATACGAAATCAGCGTCACAAACTCTTACCATTCTTCCGCCATACTCTTTTCCAGGAGATTCATTCGCCCAGCTGCGTTCAGATCACAAGTTCTTCTCTACGAGCGGCACACTGCATCTACAGTATCCCGACGAGTGGGAGGGTGATATCTATGGAGACACTACCAGCGGCAGTGTTCGTATTCGAGGTAAGGACGTGGAATTCTCCAGCGCGCTGGATGGCGCTGGCTCCTGGCCATGGGGCAAACACATTCAAGCTCGAAAGGGCAATGGCAAGGGCAGGTTGAAATTCACGACTGTCAGCGGCAGTGTCGACTTGCGAATGGGGGAGTTGTGATTACAGGCTCTTGTTGTACGATCGGTCACGGGTAATGAAATCATGAGCAAACGCATGCAGAACGGAGGGTCAGAGAAGCAGGCGCACAATTCAGGTGCTCATCATGGCTGGAATTTTTGGCATTCATTCTATCGTTATACATCAAACAGTTGTTCATGCGTGTCCATCTGACATTCTTAGGCCTCAGCTAGCTTGAGCAGTCCTTTGAGATCAATCGACTTTGGTCGCTCAATTGGCAGTCCGAGAGCTCTATCCCAGATCAGCTGTGCCAATGGGCCGAGACCTCTGCTGACACCGAAAGTGGCAGTGTAGTAGAGCGTGTTGTGGAAACCGTAGTGGTGGAAGAGCACACCAGAACTGCTGTCAACATTGGGGAAAGGATTCTTGGTTTTGCCGTGCTCAGTGAGGATGCCTGGGGCGATTTCACTGTTCTTCTTCACCAGTTGGAAGACTGGGTCTTCGGCGATCTCTTTGCGGGACGAAGCAAAGTCCATGAGAGCCTCAAAGCGAGGATCTGGCTTGCGGAGAACAGCGTGACCGTAGCCTGGCACGACACGGCCCGACTTCAGTGTGGACCAGAGGTAGTCCTTGACATCTTGATCTGTAAATTTGGTACCGATGTGGTCCTTCATCTGGAGGATCCATCGCAAGACTTCTTGGGCTGCAAGACCGTGCAATGGTCCAGCCAGACCTTGCAGACCGGCAGAGTAGGCAAGATATGGGTCAGAGAGAGCGGAACCGACCAGGTGAGTGGTGTGGGCGGACACGTTACCACCTTCGTGGTCACCATGGAGAGCCAAGTACAGGCGGAGGAGATCCTGGAAGTTCTCGTTCTCGGAACCGCCCTTGCCCAACATAGCAGCGAAGTTGTAAGACCAATCCTGGTTGAGGTCGACCTCAGCCGGCAGAGCACCACCACCGCAGTAGGCGTTCTGGTGAATCTTGGCCGCAACGGTAGGCAGCTTGGCGAGCAAGTTGATGCAATCATCAAAAGTAGGCTCCCAGTAGTCGGCCTTGTTAATACCACGCTCGTAGGCCTTTGCAAAGACGGACTCGTATTGCATGGCAGAGACGGCGCAGGCAAATTGGGTCATAGGGTGCAGGTCCTTGGGGAAGTCGTCGAGCATCTTGTTGACGAAAGCGGGCAGTTGTGCCTTCTCAGCGAGCTCCTTGCTGAAAGCACGCACTTGGTTGGTGCTGGGCACTTGGCCGGTGAGCAGCAACCAGAACATGGCCTCGGGCAACATCTCGGTGCCAGAAGTGCCCTTAGGCAGCTCCTGCTGGCAGTCCTTGATGGTCTTGCCGTGGAAGCGGATGCCCTCGTTGGCGTCCAGCACAGAGCCTTCCCAGACCATAGCCTTCAGGCCACGCATGCCGCCAATGGTGTTCTCAATCTTGACCTCTCCAATTGTTTTCGAAGCATTGGCCTTGACCTTCTTCAGCAATTCACGCTTCTCGGGAATGGCATTGCGCAGCGTCTCTTTGAGGTCGGGCTCGGCGGTGGCATAGCTACGGGAGGCATTGTAGGCCAACGGCACAGTTTGCGAGAGCTGTGTTGCGTTGTTCAGCGTTGGTCCACGGGTAACAGAGCGTGGTGGGGGAACATACCTTGGAGGCCCGCAGCGCTCTGGTGGCAGTTCGCGAGGACAAAGCCATGATTGTAGATGATGGTGTCTACGGACGAGGGAGGTCGCGTTAAACAGAGGCGTGAGAGAGCAAGAAAATAATTCCCGGCAATGACATCGCAAGCAGCAGCAGCATCAACAGAGCTGTTCGGCTTAAGCTGCGATCCCTGCATTAGCCGAGGTGCTGAGCGCTTGGATGCCGCTTGGGGACGACCCGATGTCGCTCAGCGTCACTTCCTCCAGCGCGACGACCGCTGTTCGGAGAGCACGATCCACGCCCAACAGCATTATTGCCACGGCATACGCGATTCTGGCCGTGCATTTCCCATCGCCCGTGTTGGTCAGCACAAGTCCTTCCATCTTTGCCGGGTGGTGTAGAAGAGGCCTGCTCAATGGATTCATAGCTCCAACACTCCATCGCGTGTAATTTCATAAAAAGAGCTCACGAGCCGCAGTCATGTTTCGCACGGCATCTCGCGCGCTTCGGACCCAGCGCAGCCTCCTCCATCGTCCCGCCGTGTCTACGATACCGCGTGCTCTGTCATATGGAGCCGCTCACATGGCTTCGACCCTGACACCCGTCAATCCTCCTCTCCCAGGCACGAACCCAGCCGAAGCCTTCCAGCTTGCCCGAGAGTCAGAAAAGCCGGATCTGGAGCAACAACTCTTCGACGAGCAGATCCAGCAAGTCAAGCAATGGTGGGCGAGTCCGCGGTACAAGGGCATTAAGCGACCCTACACGCCTGAAGATGTCGTCAGCAAGAGAGGCACACTGCAGCAGGTCTATCCTTCGAGCTTGACGGCACGCAAGCTATTCAATTTACTGGAAGAGCGAGCTGCTGAGGGAAAGCCAGTGCATACCATGGGAGCGATCGATCCCATCCAAATGACACAGCAAGCTCCCCACCAAGAGATCCTCTACGTCTCAGGATGGGCCTGCTCGTCGGTACTGACTACAACCAACGAAGTCAGTCCAGACTTTGGCGACTATCCATACAATACCGTGCCAAACCAAGTGCAACGACTTTTCAAGGCGCAACAGCTGCACGACCGACGACACTACGATGAGCGAATGAAGCTCAGCCCAGAAGAGCGAAAAAAGAAGCCATACATCGATTATCTGCGGCCCATCGTGGCAGACGGTGACACAGGACATGGAGGACTGAGCGCGGTGCTTAAGCTTGCCAAGCTGTTCGCGGAGAATGGCGCCGCAGCAGTTCACTTCGAGGACCAATTGCACGGAGGTAAGAAGTGCGGCCATCTCGCTGGCAAGGTGTTGGTGCCGTTTGGAGACCACATCAACAGACTTGTCGCAACACGCTTCCAGTGGGATCTGATGGGATGCGAGAACCTGGTCATTGCTCGCACTGACAGCGAAAGTGGCAAGCTGATTTCCTCCGCCATTGACACGAGGGATCACGAATTCATCCTGGGCGTGACGGAAGATGTTGAGCCTCTCGCGGACACATTACAGACCATGGAAATGGAAGGCGCATCTGGCCCTGAAATCGACAAGTTTGAGGCCGAGTGGGTAAAGAAGCACAAATTGGTCACCTTTGACGAGGCTGCCGAGGCTCACATCAAAGCTTCTGGCAAGGACGCGGAGGCGTATTTAAAGCAGGTTCGAGAAAACAGGAACTTGCCTTTGCACAAGCGTAGACAGGCAGCGGCGGCGGTCGCAGGGTCGCCTGTCCTGTTCAGCTGGGACGTCCCACGGACCCGCGAAGGCTTTTACCACTACAAGGCTGGCCTTGCGGCAGCCACCAAGCGTGCAATCGCATTTGGACCATACGCAGATCTGCTGTGGCTCGAGACTAAGGACCCCAATGTGAAGGAGGCAGCAAGCTTTGCGAAGGAGATCAGAGACGTCTTGCCTGGCAAGAAGCTGGTGTACAACCTCTCGCCCAGCTTCAACTGGTCTGCACATGGTTTCACAGATGCACAGCTCAAGAGCTTCATCTGGGATTTGGCTGAGCATGGATTTATCCTACAGCTCATCTCATTAGCAGGTTTGCACAGCACTGCTACCATCACACACGAACTCGCCCGGGCATACAAGACGGAGGGTATGAAGGCGTATGTCGAGACTGTGCAGCGAAGGGAGAAGGAGACCGGCTGCGATGTGCTCACACATCAGAAATGGTCCGGCGCAACGTATCTGGACGGCATTATCGGCGCCATTCAAGCCGGCAGCAGTGGCAGCAGGAGTATGGGTGAAGGCAATACCGAGGGACAGTTCTAGTTTCCAGCACGCGTAGACAGCCGAAAATTGTACAGCTATGTTCCGTGCGGCAGCATCGTTCCGAGCCCTAGGACGCGTGGCCTAGGATGCCCACTCTCCGGGACAAGACCATCTTCCAAGCAGCGCTACATGCTATGAAGAACGATTCGACATTGCCAACATGTCGTTCCGCGCGCTCGCAGTATTTGTGGTCCCGTCGGCTCAACATCGGCTCATCGCTCTACGACTTTGTCAGCTCTCCGAGTGCAACTACTTCAACCTCGGCGTTTTCGTATACGTACTTCTGCTAACGACACTGTCTTAGGAACGGCCCATGCGAGGATCGTCCAATGCGAGGGACGAGATGTGCGAGTTCTTGTCAGTTGCGTCACATGGTAATTTGTCGATGTTGGGTAACGCGTCCGTCTCCACGAGCACGTAACATGGCTATCGTGCCATCGGCCCACGCCAGCCAGACCCTCACAACGGAGAGTCAAGAATTTGCCGAGCAGATGGCGTAGATCTATCCCTGGGGCACAAGTGACTAGGAATGAGGACTTATAAGGCTCGCAGTCTACCTTCAACGTAACCTCCTTCGTCAGTATCTCAGTTGCCACCCCGCCGCCCCCTTTTACCAAACATAATCAAGAGCCTGCTGGCAGGACTCCCATTTACTTCTTCTTCAACAACCTTCGATTCCATCAACATTCAGCCATGCGTTCCATTCATTTCGCTGGATTCGTGGCTCTTGCCTCTGCTGTCCCTCTCCCACAGAGCAGTGGCGGAGATCTGGCCTCTTTGGCATCCAGCCAAGGCGCTCCGGGCAGCGCCCAAGGCCAGCAGTCTGGCCAGAGCACCGATTCTGCCTCCGGTAGCGCAGACGGACAAGCATCCACGGCTTCTTCTGGTCTCGACCTGAGCAGTCTCCTGCAAGGTCTTGGTTCCAGCAGCCAGGGCGCCTCGACCTCTTCTTCGGGCTCTTCAGGCATCGATCTGAGCAGACTCCTGCAAGGCCTTGGCTCTGGAAGCCAAGGCAGCAACGGAGCCACTACCCAAGGAGCCAGCTCAGGTGCTGGCCAAGCCAGCGGCCTTGGAGGACTTCTCTCTGGTCTCCAAGCTGGCAATGGAGCCGCCGCTCAGGCTTCCTCAAGTGGCTCATCTGGCACGTCGAGCGGATCTGGAGGTATCGACCTGAGCGCACTCCTACAGAGTCTTGGAGCAAGCGGCCAGAGCGCGCAGCAGGGATCTTTGACTTCCTCTTCAAGCAGCGGCCGGCCTGCAGGCCTTCTGTCCGGCCTTTTGGGCGGAAGCGCAAGCTCTGGTTCATCTTCCGGCTCTGCTTCGCTTCAGAGCCTCCTGCAGGGCCTCGGCTCCAGCGCCCAGGGCGCAAGCGGGCTTGGCCAGACGCAGACAGACAATGCGAGCAAGGACACCACTGCTGGAGGACAAGCGGCTGATGCAGGGAAGACTTCAGACATCGCGGACGCTCAACAGCCCGCAGAGGCTGCCCCAGCGGGTCAAACGGACACAAAGCAGCAGTAAATGGAGACGGGACTTCATCACGCAGGCGTGGTGAGGTGTGCGAGTTATACCTCTTGTTTATGAAAGTGGGCGGGGACGGCGAGGGTGGGAATGTCCTGATAGTTTCGTGGCCTAAACGAGAGTAGAGGGATATTCACAACTGTTACCTAAGTTCCCTCAGTCCTTGAAATCGTGTCGTGATGTCTCCTTGTCAGCTAGGGATAGGGTATACATGCAGTGTTAGTAGGTGAAATAGCAGAAGCAGGTTGATACACGTCCAAACAAGCTTTTGTGCAGACATGTGAAGGAAAGGTGTCCGACGTCACCACGAAACACCCGTCGCCAACACGCGCCTGGTCGTGCACCGCACGCATTTCCCGTGCACCGAGCGACTCGCCCATGCCCCCCGCTGTGGACTTACGATGGTTGACGCTGTGCAGTCGCTGACGCAGGCGCAGTGTGTGCTGCTGGCGGTGCATCTGGCCTCCGAATCGAACATCAAGGCGCTGCACTCCTTCACGCCCACCCGCCTAGACGCCCTCGACCCGGAGCTGGTGCTGCGCATCGTCCTAACCTTCCTTCCTGAAGCCGTCGACCCGCGCGAGTACACCGGTTACGTTGGCGAGGTGGCATCGCGCCTCTATCTGGACGTCGATCGCGAGGATGTCGAGGTCAGCACGGCACCGGTGCACAATCTGAGCGAGGAAGAGGCACAGAAGAAAGTAAAGAAGCTGCGCATTCTGGACATTCAGGCTCCAGCATTTCCCCCGCATGCTCCGCAAGATCTACTGACTCGTTTCGTCTGCCACCGCGCATATCGTATCGATCAGGAGACAGGCCTGTTGCACCTGGTGCCCGCCCTGGTTGAGCCATTTCTGGACCGCAACGATTTCATTCGCACGTGGTACGTTAGCGTATGCTTGCCATTGCTCCGTCTGGCAATCGAATACTACCCAGAGGATGACACGCTGGCAATTCCACTTCGTGATTTCGAGCAGGTTCATGGACGGCAGGGCGTTGATCTACTGTTGAAAAAGAGCACGGAGCAGCAAGGGGAGGCCAAGGATAACATCTCACGCGATATCAAGAATGTGGTCGGGCCATGGATGTACGGCCACACTGATCGCAAGCGCCGAAAGCTCAATCACAAAAAGAGCGAGAGGAATTCCAACGATGATGGCGTCGCGGCGGCGACGAAAGGCATTCGAAAGATCTCCATCGATGGCATCACGGCAGATGATCAACGGACTGGGCACGATTGGGAACATCTCTTTGCCTGGATGGTAAGCCACGCTGCGACCGACTTTCGCCTTGTTGCACGCGCCATCGATGGATGGGACGGTCCCGACGACATCGACCTGGGAGGCATCGAGCACAAGAGTATCGGCTACTTGGATGAAACTCTCCAGAAGAAGCTCGATCTGCAATATGCCCAAGCTGCCTTTGCAAGTTGCTATGTTGCGCCGGCAGATAATGAAGAGACCGTCAAGGATGCTCACTCCATCCTGGCTCGATTGGCAGAGCTCCTCGATTTTATTCCTCCTCCAGACCTTGCCACCAGCGTGGATTCATTGCCGAAAATCGAACGGCATGCAGCCAAGTTGGATGCCTCGCAAACAGTTGCAGATCTACTTCCCGATGCTCTTTTGAAGCCCGAACATCCTCTGACCACTCCTCGAATGGAGACGTATATGTTATTGCAGATGATAGTGTACAGCGCCTATCAATTCTCAGGGCTTGGTCACCCTCTCTCGCTGATCAATGTGGCCAAGCTGCATTTCTATGCCACAGGTCAAGAGCAGCTTGACGTTCTTCGAAAGATTTTGCACTCGCTCTCAAGACCAGGTGTGCGCAAAGATGAGTCTCAATGGACTTCAGAACGTGCAAAGCTCATTTGGTTATGGAATTGGGGAATCGATGCCGACGCAGCTGAGCCCGAAAATGGAGCAGGCGTGCTGGGCAAGATTACCAAGGGCGATTTCGAAGAGGAAATGCTCAAGGTGTTCACTGAAACCAGTTGTAAGTGTTCGCAAATGTCGTCTTTGTCACAACTGGATCTTCACTTTACATTGATTGTTTATGGAAGCACACAACCTGTTAATGTCCACTTACATATGCTTCAGCGCGAGCTATCGATCCAGAACAGAACGTCAACAGCTTGGCGGGATCACAGAAGAACGATATCGCCTTTCCATTCATTATTCCTAACGAGAGCAAGGATTCAAAAGAAGATCAGAATACTGACCCAGCGACTCCATAGGCTATGGACTCGCAACTCGACTATACCTGTCGCCCGAGTCGGACACGGCTATCTCGAAGGATCGATCCGAGACGGTCATCTTGGACAAAGCCATGGAAATATATGATAGTGCAAGCAATGGCAATCGTCAGCGCGGTGCCATGAAAAGGGCAAATGATATGTGAGTGGCCTCGCTCCGGTGTGCGCCTTGTTCTTGTGCTCTAACGTCCTCCAGAATCGCTGCCTTTCGACCCCATTTCCCAGACAGCACGAAGTTTCGACAAGCTACAGCACTACTCTCAGCGACCCATGCTCTCTCATTCTACTCCTTGACGCTGCAGCATGGAGTGCCTTTTCAGCCGGTCAATATTCGTGTCAGCCAGGACCCTATCTCGCTCATTGTCAAAGTCTTAGAACAGAATCCTCGGAGTTATACCAAACTTGACGATCTTATTGATATCGCTCGTAATCTGGTCTCGTCAGGACTGAACGATGAAAGTGATGAACGCCTGTCAGGCGAATCGCCTCTCGAATCGATCGACAAGAGGAAGAAGGATTCCGAACGACGCGTCACATTCATGGCAGTATGTGTGCTTTGCGCCAGAGAACCGATCAACGCTGATCACACTCGCAGGTTGAAGCGGCACTCCGAGAAGACGATTTCGAGACGGCTTATTCTTACGTAGTGAACAGACTCACACCATCTGGCGCCGATATCGAAGCATCCCAGAACGCTCGCAAAATACACAAACGGCAGAGATCAAGCCGTGCGCAGAACAGTATTGACGACGACGACATATCGTGGCGTGCTGCATTCCTGGCTGGGCGCTATCGCCCGACAACCACTACGCCACCGACGGTGAGACGATTGGAGCAGCGCACGGAGCTTCTGTCTCTTGCTCTTCTGCTGGCGCCCACGTCAGCCCTCACCGAGATTCTGGCGGCGTGGCGTCGATGTGAGGAGGAGATGACTTCCCTCCAGCTCTCGCAACAGGAAGCTGAGCAAGCGTTCGACGATCGAGCTGACAAGCGCCTTTCCGGCGGCTCTCTCCCTGGGACTTTCGCGTTTGGCGATGAGCAACCCGATCTCATCCTGAATCAGAAGAGGCGGGAGATGGGTCGGATGGGTGGTGCTAGTGGCAGAGGCAATGACGAAAGTCCGCTAAGCATGTTCGACTTGACACGTAGTGCAGCAAAGGCTTTCAGCAAGAATGCTTTCCCGCTGCGGGACACGGCAGCTGCACGGAGTAGTGCAGAGTATGGGAGATCTATGGAAGACAGTACGCATAGTCTCGAGAGCGATGGTAGCGGGCATGACCGTGTTAGGAAGAGAGACATGGTCGCCAATGCTGTCAGTGGTGGTCTAGCATCGGGACTCGGCTGGGTACTTGGCGCTACGCCCGCACAGCAGCAGCAGCATGAGCAAGGTCGATAGACTCCAGGACGCATCAGTGGTGTGACCACAGTGTTCGGACCGCCTTTTTGTGGGACTGCCACATGCATTCATCTTTCAGCAGAGCCGCGACCTCATACATACGATACATGCCCGTGGCTGGTTGTGGCGTCCCTCGGAAGATCACGAGCGAGAACTCTCCAACTGAAGGCTAGGATCGCAGACATGTGAATTGTCTCGAACTCGGAGAGGGCTAGTTTATCAAATTTGCTCCTACGTATGCAAGACTGGTCAATACAAGTTCTACGTCTAACGGTGCTGTATTCATATCCCCGGTAGACCAAGTACCTGACGAAGTGCTGGTACACCGCGAGGGAGAAAATAAACGGTGTATATGGCACTGAATGCGACCAGCAGTCCAGTCACCTTCTCGAACCATGTGTGGAAGAAAGCCGCAGTCATGAGCAGCATCCACCAGCTCAGTCCGGCCACTGACAATGCTGTCTTGATGCCAAATCCCAGCTCCGGCCGCTCGACGCTTCCCGGGTTGGTCGAAGCACCACTTTCCAGTGAAGCGTTGCGCACGAGCCCGTCTGAGGTGCGAATGCGTCTCTTCTCCCGCAGCCCCTCATGTGTCAAAACAGCCGGGAGCAGCTCCAGCCACAGCATGGCACTGCCCAGGATGAGTAGAAACACATGCCCGCTGATATCGTGCCCTCCGCGCCACTGGCCACCGATTGCCTTACAAGCGGCGTGTGAGAAGACTTCCTTCGCGTCGCCCGGTTCCATCTTTTCTGCCAAGTCCGTGGCCAGAACTCGCTCACATTTTCCGCCCGTCCACCTGAAGCTGCGGTCGACAATTCCAGGACCGAAAAACCACTGTGTCACAAACACCCAAATGGTCGTGATGACTGCGTAGCGCGCGATCGCCTGCAGTCTGCGCTTGGTGAACTGCGGGCGCAAAGGAGGCCCATGTGACGAATGTGTGAGGATGAGGACGAAGAAAGCCAGAGTTGTCCAGAACCAGCCTATCTTGACGAAATACACGTTGAAGACATTGCTCTTTTTTGCGAAATAGCTTGGGGCATCTCGTGGATCGTATGACTGCGTGCTGGCGAGGTACGTAGCGTTTCGACTAGCGGGTTGGAAGGTGCTGAAGAGCGATCCCAGAATCAGAGTTGCGGGATAGAGTGCGAGCAGGGTGGCTTCGAGTACTGTCGGCAGGAACGGCGAGCCTCGCACGGAATGCAGCGTGTCGGCGGTCTGCTTGATGGTCTCGGTGCACGGAGCCGGAATTGGAACGTCGACCTCGACCTTCTTGGGTCGGCGCGTGGCCATGGCAGGGCGGTGTCTTGTGGGTGTGTTAGATGGGTGGGAGGTGCACGCAAAGTTGTTGTCTGGCGAGTTGCACGCGTAAACGTCATTGATTGTGGCGGTGGTGGCGGTGCATTCATTCCCGCTCCCGCTCTGTGCGACACGCCGTTCAGTTCAGTTCAGCACAATCCCAGCTGCAGATATCTCCCTCCTGCCAAAGCTGCCTCAGTCGCTGCTCGTTCCTGATGCTCCATCGCCGTCAGCATATTGTGCCGCTTCCCTGCCGCAAGACGATAATTGATAGCCGTCAACCTCGTGGGAAACTCGCCAGGAATGTCGTCAAAATGCTCCACCAACATCCGTGAGAGGTCGGACACCACCCAGCTCGGAGGCCACATGCTCTGGAGCAGATAAACCGCGGGCTCATTCCCATCGATTGTCACTCCTGCGCGTTGCAGTCTGCGCGCAATGCTCACTAGGAACATTAAGAGCACAAGTCGGTCTTGAGGTACTTTCTTGAGCTGTTTTACCATGTCAGGCCAAAGGGGTCGGTCCTTCTTGGTGGTTTCCATATTCCTCCTCTGCAATTTTTCGGCGACCTTCAATGGAATACCTGGAGTCTGAGCAGCTTCCAAGCTTGTCTTGAGCACGACAATTGCAGATGCGAGCTTCAGTGTCTGCAGTTGGCGCACCAACTGAGCCGGGGAAGTAGCTCTGGCCAACACAGCCGAAAGCTGCATCACTTCTGTATCGAGGCAAATGTCACGACTCGAGATGGCGTGAGCTGGCGTCTGCCGCTGCGAAATCTTGACCCGAAGCAGGAAGCCGCCGCAAAGGGCAGCGTTGACCGGGATTCGGACCGCAAAGGACGCATTCCAGTAACCGAAGTGCTCTTCCGATGCCATTTCAATCTCAGCGCCATCTGTGGAGGCACGAGTTCCACCGCTGGTACTTGTAGAAGCCCTCGACGCTATTGAACCTCGCCCGATCGAAGTCTGTGATCGTGCATCATGTGTTGAGGGCAGGGGATGTCTCGCAAGGCTGTCGCATTCCGAACTCCTCTGCTTGGTACTTTTCGCGGTCGATGGTACAATACTTGAATGCTCTGATGCATCATCAACGACTGCGTTGGGCTCTGGACAAGTTTTCGCGGTCGGTAGTGGGAAGTCAAATGTCTCATCCATGAATTCGTACCGCATTTCGGGGACTGTTGGACTCTTGTCACTTGGTATAAGCTCTGTCTCCTTTGGCCGGCCATGAGAGGCATCCGGCAATCGATATACATTAGTTGCGGAGGCTGGTCGTGTGGAAATACTGTCGCTTCGGGACGTGCTCGAGCTGGATCGTTGAGACTTGCTGCTCGTAGACGATCGTGCCAACCAGGAGGGCCGCCAACTAGATCGCGACGATGCGTATTTATGTTTGAAGATGTTGTCCGTATCCCAAGGAAGGTCTGGATGTGGCCTGCGGTCGATGCGCAACTCTGTACTTCCCATGGTGCTGGGCGCTAGCATGCGGCTTGTAGTTCAGATGACTCCGGAATTCACCCCTCATCGACAAGAGAGTCCTATGGTTGGGCAGAACGCGGTAGTAAGTCGCGTGGTGGCCAGCGAAAGATGGACCGATCCTGATGATCCTTCGGCGTATTGCAGGCTGCTGATCCCTGTCATTGGAATCGATGCGCCCGCGGTCTCAACATGCTACGGCGGAAGGCATGCTTGGAATTGTGTCAGTTTCCGGACCGAGTTCAGCTGGGCACAAGACGTGTCCGAGGTGAGGATCAAGGCGAGAATACAGTTGAGACTGAAGAGGTGACAGGGTAGGACGACAAATGCAAGAAGAAGCAAACCCATGAGCTCAAACAATTGGCAATGCAATGGCGAGGAGATGAAGCTCCGCAGACCGGGTCACAGAAGCGACGAGTTGCGTCTGCGCCAACATGATCACATAATGCGATGGTCCAACTGCCCAAATGCAGGACGGGCACGAAGTGACACGCGCTGGAGCAAAGCTGGCAAGTGGCGGCAGGACAGTGCATTCGCGTCGAGACAACGGGGAAGTTGCACCGATGCCGTCCAGGCGAAAAGACGAGGCCGCACAATGGATGGTTGTTGTTGGATGCGGCACAGAACGAGTGTGGTAGCACAAGTCGAGAACGAGACGGGGCGCTAGCAGTGCCACCCGCGGCACTTCCGACGCATTGCAACGCTTTGGGCAAGAAGGCTGTTACAGCGTGTTGACCAGCATCACGTAAAACAACGGGCTGAGCTCCGCAGCATACTGGAGTCGCCGATCCTCGGAAGATAGCCAGGGCAATTATCGTGGCCCAGATGTTTAGATACATAACCAAGTCCGCTGCAAATCGCACGCCATTCGAAGCTTTGCCAGAGCGTGGAGCTACAATGCGATTACACTGGGCGATGCAAAGATCTCATGAGCAAACGTGATTTTCAATGGCAAATTCCTCCAAGAGCAAGGCCGGACACAAAAGCTGAGGTCGCGTCGACTGCGCGCACGAAGAGTCGTCGCGGGGAGGTTTCCGTCTCAGTTCGCGAAATAGGTGAATCATGCACCATGGCCTCTGTAGCATGCCATTGAGCCTGTCAATGCCACAACTCTGCAGATATCGTGGGCAGAACCACGCTGCGTGAAGCCTGTCTTGTGCAGGTTGAGCGTAGGCTCTGGATTGCAACCTAATCTCTGCGATCCAGTATGGAGACTTTCGAAGCGTACTGCATCTGGCAGAAGTCTCGCTCCGCTGTCGCGCTCTGGACTGAAGTCCACGTACTCAGCCGATGCTCTTCAGAGCACTGAGTGTGTGTTCGATGCAAAATATCCGGACCAGATACATCGCTTCAGTAGAGCTCGAGAGAATAGATCGTTGTGCCCTAAAAACAGTAGTCAATGTGCAAGAGCGCCTACGCAGCTGTGGAGTCCATCACTTTTCATCACACGTGCGACAAAGGCTCCCAGTGCAAGCCTCGCCTCCATTTCCAACTAGCAAAGCTACTAGCAGGCGTTGATTGAATGTTGTACAGGGTATATACAATCAGCAGGCTGTCTATGACTTCGTTCGCCCTGGCGCCGGGGCCTACTTCGACTTGGCGATTGCCTTTGCTTCGCTATGACTTTCATGTGTGCATTACGTGCTCTCGTATTCATGGGCTCTCCTTGGCGACCTTTTGCAGATATGCTTCCAGATCGAACTTCGGGTCGTCAGGGTTTGTTATCACTGGATTCCAGATATGTCAGTGATCTTTTCGTCCAGACAGACAACTGCACTGCGCCGAGATACTCACCGCCATCACCAGTTCGTGGCGAGTTCTGCTCCGCGAATTTTGCCTTTGCTTGTTGTATCAACTTGGCCTTGCGATCGTATTCTGCCTTTTGAGCATTGGCCTTGTCTTTTGAGTGGATAGCTTGCTGGTGTGAGAAGCCGTAAAAGACGCCGAAGACCAGTGCGCCCCAGCGAAGGACCTGTGGCGATCCTCAGTCAGTCATGCTCTTGTTCGTAGCAGTGTCTTCGGCAGGTCGAAGCGTTGGGACGGAGCTCACATTCGCCCCCGTGGAGGCCATTGTGCGCGAGTTGCGGGCGCGAAGAGCAGTCGGACGGCAGCTACTTCGAAGGTGGAGCGGTGCGCACGCGGGTGGATGTGGGCGGCGGCGACGAGAAGGAGGCGGTGGTCGTGGTCGTCGTGGTGGTAGATGGCAGGTGCAGCCAGCATTGAACGGGAAAGAAGGAATCCACGCTCCGAGCTCCCGCGATTGGCAAACGGCACGTCAACACGAGACACGACCTGCGTCGCCCGACCGCTGCTCTACACCGCAGTTAACGCAACTCTCGCTGCCACTGCTCCTTGGCTTCGACGGCCATGCTCGCTGAGCTGTCGTCTCAATCGCCACCATGTCCTCCTCGTCCTCGATGCAGCAGCGCAAGGAGGAGATCTTGGCCAAGAAGGCCAAACTCGCGGAGCTGAAGCGTCAACGTGAGCTGCGACAGCGAGATCTGTCGACCAACCGCCAGAGTCTGGACGCCTCAGACGCCTTCGTTGCTCCATCGCCGCAACGCTCGTCGGCGACCAAGCGCGAAGATATTGAGTCGCTGATCTCGTCGCTCGTCGATCGACCCTCCTCTACCACGCCGGCCACCCCTACTTCCAAGCTCCGTTCCAACACCACCTCACATCACTCTGAGGATGGCCATACGCCGCCGCCCCGGTCTTCTGATGGCTCAAACGAGCCTCAGACACTATCGTTCGCCGCCCTGACCACCGTGTTCGAGATTCCCGTCGAGTCGAAACCAGAATATATCACATATAGTAAAGGCGTGCAGACAGCAGACGCTTGGCAACAGAGCGGCGGCGAGAGCCCTGCCGAAGGTAGCGACCCAGATACGAGATCCACCAGCCCATCACGCCGGCGCAGGAACTTAAGCCCGCGCGCCCGGGAGCTGCAGGAGGAGGAAATTCGCCAACGCTTGCGTCAGGAGATTGAAGAGGAGCTCAGGTCACTGCAAGCGCACGAGCACGTGGCTCCTGATAAGGAACGTTTCCCAGCGCGATCACTGGCTCCAGAGGAGCTCAGCGCAGTGACAAGCAGCAATGATTTTCTGGACTTTGTGGAACGCAGCAGCAAAGTCATTGAGCGAGCACTGGATGAGGAGTACGACGTGTTGGCTGACTACGCTGCTCATGCTCGCGCGGCAGACGACGACGAGGATGAGTACGTGGGACGAAGGGGTAGAAGAGTGAAGGAGGTGGCATCTTTCGATCTGCAACCCGAGATGGGGAGAAAACGCATGATCAGCGATATTGACTTCAGCCCAAAATTCCCGGAACTGCTGTGCACTGCGTACACAAAATCGCAGTCCTCACCACATACCCCACCTGGCCTCCTGAATGTCTGGAACTTGCATCTCAAAGGCCGGCCAGAGTACAGCTTGCATGCCACATCTGATCTACTTTCGTGCCAATTCCACCCCTTTCATCCCTCACTGATCCTGGGTGGTACGTACAGTGGACAGCTGTGCCTCTGGGATACCCGTGCCCGCAATCAACGAACAGGCGAACCGGTTCAGAAGACACCACTCACAGGAGGCAGAACTGGGCATGCACACCCCATATACAGCCTAGCCACGGTCGGCACACAAAATGCCAGCTCAGTGGTTTCTGTCAGCACCGACGGGGTGGTGTGTGCATGGTCCACAGATATCCTGACGCAGCCTCAGGAGTATCTTGAACTACACGCTCCAAATCCTTCGGCATATAAGACCGACGACATTGCTCCGACCTGCATATCATTTCCAGCATCCGATCCGACGTATTTCCTTGCAGGAACAGAGCAAGGGTCTATTTTTCCAGTTCACAGATACGACCGCGCGGGTGCCAAATCTGGCGTCGACGCTCGCACGAGCTATCGTGGACACGAAGCGCCAGTCACTGGCATTGATTTTCATCCTGCGCGGGGCAAGATTGACCTTGGAGATTTGTTTGTTAGTTGTGGTCTCGATTGGAGCGTGAAAATTTGGCGCGCCCGACCGCCATCAACCACGTCCAGCACCATCTCCGGCAACACAGAGATTGTGAAACCATTGTTAGAGATTCAGCGCGAGGACAGTGTTTACGATGCTAAGTGGTCACCTACGAAACCTGGAATATTTGGTTGTGTTGACGGACGTGGGCGATTTGACATTTACGACATTAATGCCAGTTCTGAAGTTCCGGTAGCTGGTGCGAAACCGAGCCACCAGGAGAAGGATATCTACGCATTGAAGAGCTTGAACAAGCTTGCATGGGAGAAGAACCAAGGGCGACATGCAGCTGTTGGTGGGTTGGATGGCGTGACGACTGTATTTGAGGTCGGAAGCGAACTCGGTGGTGTGGATACCAAGAGCGATGCATGGCTGGGAGTAAAGAAGTTTGTGGCGAGGCAAACAAAGAGCAAGATGGAAATGTGAAGCCATAGCAAATGTCAAATAATGCTGAGATACCCCAATTTGCGTAGCAGTGAACATGAATGCACAAGGCTCTCTGAGATATTCCCGACCAGCCTCAGTCTCCTCCCGCGCCTCGCGTCCTTCGAAGCTCATTGTTGTACCTATTCGTGCCCACGCTGCAGCTGTAACTCGGTCAGTGGTTCTCAACAATAATTTGTAGTTACCGCTGATGCGCCAATGCGCTTGAATAAATGCCGTGAGTCTCCAGGTTCTGTATCAGCAGCAGCATCCTGTGTCTCTGCTCTTCAACGGGGAAGATACGCATGCGATCGGGTTCCCTCGACTGGAGGGGCTCTCGGATCGCCATCTCGCACAGTTTCGATGTCGGCTGGGACGACTTGAGAGGATCACGCCTGACAAGTAGAGGAAAACGATCACCCATAGGAATGACCTTGACCTTCCCTTTCGGGATCAATCTAGAAATAACAATCAGTATTAGTGAAATCGCCGGGCGTGCAGCATCAGGCGACAAATAAGTTATTTTCAAACTCATCGACCAGGCTGATAGAATGCTTCGAATCTCACCGCTGATTTCAGACTTGATGCTGAAAATTCCACCACGCCGTGTAACTCTTTTCCTTTGAATACCGCTTGGAAGAGGTTGTCGAGTCGTTCGATTGCGGCTTCGCCGATTTGGTGGTGAACGACGAGACGTCCTCCGAGTAAGCGTAGACCAGCTTTCTGGCCCAGCTCGATGAATTTGTCGATTGGTAGGCCTGCCGCTTCGACATCGAGCCAGACCATGTTCGTCTCCACGGGATGGCTCGTCTTGCCCCCGTAGCTCTTCCATAATGCTGCAATCTGTCGTGCCCGTTCGTGACAGACTTGCAGCTTGCCGCCGAGGAATGTGTCTTCTACTGCGACGCGTGCGGCAGCAGTAAGTACACCGGCCTGTCGGATGCCTCCACCGATCATCTTTCGGATCCAACGAGATCGTTCCCGGAAGGCCTTGGTGCCTACGATCATGCTGCCCACGGGCGCTCCGAGACCTTTGGAGAAACACAAACTCACGCTGTCGAAGCATGCACAGTAGTCCACGAGACTGCCTGACCCAGCAGCGACTGCTTCCCAAAGCCTTGCGCCGTCCAGATGCATAATGATCTTGTGCTCACGAGCCCAGGCACTGATGCGACGAATTTCGTCCAGTGGGTAGATAACACCTCCCAGTGTGTTCTCCAAACTGATCAACTTGGTTGGACAGCCATGTATGTCATCTCTCAAGTCCACCGCCTTCTGTACGTCTTCCAGCGTCAGGTATTTCCCATTGCTCGGTATTACTCCTTTGCACATGGCCCCGGAGAGGGAAGCAACGCCGCCAGCTTCCCATTCGATAATATGTGCTCGATGATCTGCCACGACGCCATGTGGTGGGCCAGTCAGATGTGTGCGAATGGCCACTTGGTTGCCCATCGTGCCTGAGAGGACAAACAACGCGGCTTCTTTGCCCGTTAACCTGGTGATGAGCTGTTCGAGCTCGTTCGTGGTAGGGTCTTCTTGGAACACATCGTCGGCGAGAGTCGTGGCTGCAATGGCCTCGAGCATGCGACTATTCGGCGTAGTAATGGTATCGCCTTGCTCGTGTTAGCCCAGAACGGCGGTTTAGGTACCGAGTTAGCATTTCTCACTTCTGAAATCGAATGCCGAGATGGGAGTGGTAGTGTCCCAGTTGTTGCTGTGGAAGCCATTGACGCCATTGGCATGGCCTTTTGGCTTGTTGTCAGTAGCGGCCATTGTGAGCCTGCGCACTGAGATGATGGTAGCAACAGAATTCCCAGCAGATACGATGGGAGAGCTGATTCCTGCTATTGACGGCGGAATGGAGGGACGAGCAGACAAAGAGTGTAGGAAAGGTCTACTTATCCATCGGGACGGTGGCACCCTCGACAGCATTGGAGCTCTTCCTTGACCATGACTGATGAGTCCAGTCTCTTGCGAATTCGTGGCCCGCGTATCGCATCAGGCGAAAGTGACCGCCGAACTTGCGCGCCGCTTTCTGCCGAGCCACGCCGGAGCGGGCTGCGGTCAACATTGGCCCTTAAGAGCTAGTATGAAAATGGCAGGTGGGACGACGACGACAACAACGGAATCAAAGGCGTGGCTTGTGCAACATTCATTTATTTCTATTGAAATGTTGGGGCTCGAAGATTGTTATATACAGCAATGCACATCGTGTGCCTATGATGCCTTGCCCAGTATGGCTTTGAGAACCTTGATCAACGCGGCAGCGGCATCGTCTTGTGCTTCCATGCTCCTCCACGCAACCACGCGGTCTGGCCGCAGCAACAGACATCCGTCCTCTTCGATTTCGCGCTTCTTCTCCCAGTCTCCATAGACATCTTCATAGTCTTGACACCAGCCGATCGAGTACGCGTTTATCTCGAGTCCGAGCTGTGAGCCAGCTGCAGACGCTGCCGCCTTCCACGCTTCGCCGCCAACGCCGGTAAGGACACAGAATCTGCCATGTCCAGCAAGGTCAATGGTACTGATGGGGTTGACAGGACATCTCTTGTTCAGCCAGGCATGGGGCAGCCTTGAACCAGGGTATGTCGAGATCCCGTACTGGAGAACCTCGTCCTTCGGGAAAGGCCGGGGAGGCTCCTTCTCGTCCAAGGTGTAGATGGCATCAGATTGGTATAACTGATTCATCTCGATACCGATGCCTCCGAATTCATGCGCAGTGTGGTCGATGGCTGCCCGGAGTCGTTTTCGTCTCGCTCGTCCCTCTGGCGTGGGCGCTTTAAGCTCTTCGTGTTGTCGTTTTCGCTCCTCGACATCCTTTGGCAATACCCCCAGGGCTTCCCATACGGCATGATGGTCTCTCAGCCCTTGGTTTGCGCGTTTGATTATACCTGCGCCTATGGGTTGACGTTCAGGACTAAAAGAATCGAGAAGACTCGGCTCCGCAGCACCCTTCTCGACCAGCGCAATCTTCCAAGCCAAGTTGAACGCGTCTTGAACGCAGGTATTGCTTCCACTACGGCACAACAGTCAGTACAAAGGTGACAGTGCATAATGGGAGCATTGATAACCCACAGTCCATTGAAAGGAGGATGTCTGTGCACCGCGTCTGGACATTGTCAGCCATTGCTCCTGCATGCAATGCAGTAATGCTTACCACCGAGGCAGAAGATGTTGCCGTCGCTGTAGTGCTCTGCCACAATTTCGTTGATGTACCATTTCTGGAATCAATTAGTCCTGCCTCTGCCTAATCATGATCATTGATCGCGAGACTCACAGATGCATCCAGGATCTTGACGGGGATGCTGTCATCGCCAATGAATTCCCGCATACGTTTTTCATATTCTTCGTTCGAAGGACGAACTTTGAAATTTTCGAAGCCGGGCTCGGGCAGGACAATGAACATCCATTCGTGCCATGGCCTCACCATTCTGAGGATACAGCTCCAGCCCCATGGCGGATGCTCAATCTCGGGGGTGTAAATGACATGCAAATTCCCAGTGCGAGTCTTCACTTGCTCTGTCAAGTCCACTTCAGCGAGAATGTTGAGCGCAAGACCTTGGCCTGGCGCTTTGATCAGTGGTATGTCCAGCTGTTTCATGACCTGAGATCTCGCTCCATCGCATCCGAACAGATATCTGGTGCGGATCTGGTACGTCTGGCCGGTGAGGTTGTCCTTGACGGTAGAAGTGATAGGACTACGGGCAGACTCGCGCTCGTACTCCACGAAGGAAGTATCAAACCTCACGCTGATGTTGCTGTGCGAGGCATGCTTGACGAGTATGGGCTCTAGCACTGTCTGTGGGATATCCACGTGTCTGCACGGGCTTGCTTCGTCGTATTCGCCTTTACGATCCGGCTGGTTACCCCAGGAGTAGATTCTGCCGAATTCCTAGAATTGTCAATCGGTGCCTTTGTTGGTCGAGGGTTCCTGAACTTGACATACTTCCCCGGCCATGGAGCGACACCAGCGCGTGTGCTGCATGCATTCGGACGGCGTGGCATTCTTGAGCGCTTCCTCTTCCAGGCCAATGTCTCGCAGACACTCGAGGGCGGCGGCGTTGGTGATGTGTGCTCGAGGCTCCTTTGCAGTGCCCGGCGCAGCTGCCACGAGCACACCGCTCAACCCGTGTGAGGCGAGGAAGCAAGCTAGGGAAGCTCCTGCCGGGCCAGCGCCCACGATCAAGAAAGTCGCCTCGAGGGGCACTGGAGGTGGAGGCACGCGATTGGTGCTGCTGCCCTGCATCGTGGACATCGCCGCTGTACACTGCAGTGCTGATGCTGATGCGGAGCCCGTCTTACTGTGTAACTCTTATAGTCGCACGCGTATGGTCTCGCGCGAAGCCCCAAAGTCGGACTAAACGCACGCAACAAGCTGCTTATTACATGGCGCTTAGACAAGCTCCATGTAATCCACGACGTCGCAGCAGTGTGAAACTGCATGGTCGAGAAAGGAGGCTATTTAGCTGGCTTTTCCCGCCACATAAACGGCATAAAGTCGAGAGCTATGGGGCGCGGCTAATCATCCGGCATTGATGCGGAGTGCCCTGCAGATATGCTTGCTGATGACAACGATATCGAGCTGTTGAAAAATGCTGTGCTATGTCACCTTCGGGACCGCGCCTGCCTTGGGTCTTTGTGAGACTCGCCACATAAAGCAGTCGCGCATCCGGATGTCGCAGCAACAGTAACGCCCCGGCATGTTCATCACCAAGTCATGGCGGAAACCCGAAGACGACTGGACGCCAACAGCACGCCGAAGCTTCCCCACGAAGAAGAATACGAGACCTTGAACAGCCATGAAGAGACGTCCTCGCACATCGATGCGACAGTGGAACGACGTCTCCTCCGCAAGATCGACTTTCGGCTATGCTCCATCGCAGCCATTCTGTGCTCGCTGAATCTGCTCGACAGCGGTATCATTAGCTCAGCCAGCGTAACATCCATGCGTAATGATCTACGTCTTTACGGCAATCGATACAGCGTGAGCATCTTCATCTTCACAGTGTCAAGTATCGCCTTCCAGCTGCCTTCGACCGTCGCTGTACGAAAATTCGGGCCCCGGGTTTTTTTCACAGCAATAACGTGTGCGTTCGGCATCGTCACCTTGTCGACGGCCTTCATCCACTCGTGGCTAGAGATGATCGCGTTGAGGGCAAGTGGTCTGTGAGATGAAGGCAACGACTTTCGCTGATTCATGTCAAAGGTATTACTCGGAATGTGCATGTCCGGCATTTATCCAGGCTTGACTTGTCTCATCTCCGCCTGGTATCGACGTTCAGAAACGCAGACAAGATTCGCATTCCTACAAACCGGGCAGGTGACCATATTGGCAACGGGATCCATTGTGAATTGGGCACTGAACCACCTTGATGGTAAGGGCGGCCTGGCAGGCTGGCAGTACATGTTCATCGTGCAGGGCTTGATCACTGTGGTTATCGGCATCGTCTCCTATTTCTGGATGGTCGATTTTCCCGAACATGCACACAAGACTTGGTACTTCCTCGCGGAAGAAGAACAAGAGATTGCTGTATCGCGAATTCGCTCTGACCGCAACGACGTTGAGGCTGATCCTTTCACATGGGGAAAGGTCCTCGTACATGCAAAAGACATCAAGATCTATGGCTATGCATGTATGTTTTTCGCTGTCAACATCGTGTCGACCAGTCTGAGCTACTTTCTGCCCATCATTCTGAGTGGTAAGTAACTGAAGCAATGCGTGTCAATCTCAATCGATGAAGATTCACTGATGGTTCGTGGTAATTAGGCATGGGCTACGACGAGAATGAATCAATACTACTCTCCGCACCGCCTTATTACTGGTCCGTCGTACCCGTGATCATTTCTTCGGTTGTCGGTGACAAGTATAGCCTTCGAGGTCCCGTCATAATATTCAACAGCCTGTGTCTGATCGTTGGCTTCTGCATGACTGGCTTCGCGGACTCTTTGGCGGCAAGATATATTGGCACATTCCTGGCCACCGGTGCATATGTGTCGAATTGGGCCGCTGTGAACACCTATGCACAAACGAATTTGACGGGACAGTGGAAGAGAGTGTTCACTGCCGCATCGGTAATCGCAATGAATGGCGCTGGAGGCATAGCTGGATCCTTCATCGTCCGTCAACAGGAAGCGCCACGATACCCCACTGCGGTCTGGATTTCGATCGGATCGGGTTTCGTCCTCATTGGCTTTGTTGCGACATTCTCGTCCTGGTTTTGGTATGCCAACAAGCGACAAAAGGCTGGCAAGAAGATACTGGAGAATACCATCGGCTTCCGCTATACTTTCTGAGGCTGTCCTAATTGTCGCGATGCTATCGAGACTTGCTGCATTCGGGGGATGTGAATGAGGTGCACAGCTGGAGGTGACAGTTGTTAAGCCTTTGCGATCATGGGAACACTTTCACCGAGTGATTGCAGTGAAATGGCATGACAACTCGTTCTCGGCGGATCCAGAGGGCCGTGGCTTGGCCCCACAAATTCTTGTTGACGCCCGGCTGGCGCAGCGTGCGTCTCATCAGTCCCATGGCTCGAATCAGACACCCGCGTCTGAGGACGATCTTCACCGCAAATGAACTTTGCAGCTGCTGCCACGATCTGCAGAATGTGAACGATGTCCTCTTCGGTCTGAGGAGCGTATATCTGCAAGAAACCAAATAGTTCAGCAAAACGTCCAGTCATTGGCTTCAAAACTGATGGCCAAACTCACCATGACAAAGCCCACCGGGACAAAGCGCTCGAAGAAACCACCCCGCGCGAGGGGATGTCGTTGGCCCCAGCCACGTTCCAGCACAAGCTTGACATCCTTGGGATGCAGGGTCAGATGCAGCGACCCATCTGTCTCGGAGTGAGCCCGTATTCGAGTCAAGACAAACACCACCGAAGCTTACTCACCAGAGGGATGGGCATGGCAGATTTCTCCTCTGCATGTCTGATTGCGCGGTGGGGAGGCAGAGAAAATGCCAGTGCTGTATTTCTCAAAACAAGATGTGCCTAGCTCGAACCGGCTTCCTGAACAACTGGCCATGTTCGCAATTGCAGCTCCCAGTTTGGAGTATATTTCCGGACTCGAGCATTGCGTCGTCTGCCGTTGTGGGGCTATACCTCTCGTCAACGGGCGGGGGTAAGCACGCTTTGGCAGGTTTTCGAGATGGCCTGGGGAGTTTGCTAATCGCGTTGGAACGGGTGGTGCCTCAAACGGGTCTTGCAAGGCGACGATGCTCAAGCATTTGACCTTCAGGTAACCGGTAAAGGTCAACGGAGTGCCTCCTGGCCCAAGCGAGAGCTAAAGATAACCATTAGCGCGATATCGTGATTGTTGAACTCTGGTATACCACTCACGAAGTCTTGATAGTCTTTGCGTATGTACGTTAAGACGGACCAACTTGCATGCAAGGTGAGCCCGGCGACAATGGCGAGGAGCAATACTACTGTGATCATGCTGTTTGACGTTAAGAAGGATTCAGAAGGTCAAAATTGCATTCAACTGGAAAAGAACCACGATCGACACCGCCGAACGCCAATTTGAAGCTTTTCTGCAACGTGCGTTGGCATCGTGAGGCTACCTTGAACACGGATAGTTGCAACCTCGAGCGGCTAGTGAATGGAAGGGCTGTGCGCACGGATTTCGTCACACCGCAAGGAGGAGAATGAGTCCTGTGTTACTCGATACTGTTCCTCTGGCCGTGGTCGTGGTTGGGTGGGTATCAGATGGCAATGCTTACGTAGTACGGATGTCACACCCTGATCGACATGACTTGGCAACGTGACAGCGTGTTGCCGCCCTTGTCCGATGGAATGAACATGACATGTCAGCACAGGCTATCGAAATATATACAGGGCCACGGCGCTTCGCTTGTGAAGGGTGCTATGCGCTGATGCGGAGACTTTATCCTCATTTTCCTCACTTCGCATCAGTTCCTTGTACGCTTTGCAAAGTGCTTTCTGCGTTCACGTCAGCAAGTCTCGGGTTTCAGCAATTCATATGAAGCCATTGCACAGATTGGGGCATGATCTTATGGAAGAATGGCCCGGAAGGTGGCGGCTTGCTTTAATGCCAAGATGATAATGGTAGACACTGGTCAGACGGGAGCGAACTTCAACATGAAGCGCCTACGACAACTTTGTGCTCTTAACCAATGAGCCCTTGATACCAGTCAGCTCTCCACCATATCCTCCACGGCCTTCGCCTCCCTTATAGACAGGCTTGATCGATGCCAGCTTCTTCTTCTTCTCATCGTACTTCTTCCTCTTCTTCACACGCGGATTGCGAACATCCTTTTTGCGGTGGGGAGTGAGACCCTTGTTCTTCTCGATGGCATAGCTGATCTTGCGTTTGCCATCTGGACCAATGACTTCCTGCTGGACCACCGCTCCGCCTTGCAATGCTGCTTGTCCTTGCGCTTCTGCCAATACGGCCTTGTCGCTCTTCTTCTTGGCAGTCTTGGATGCAACGAGATCATAGTATTCGTCGTCCTCTGCAGCTGCTCGAATGTCGCGGGCTTGTTGGTGATCATCTTCGTCGCTATCTCCACCAAGATCTGCGTCAACTCCATCACCCGCACGCTTGCCGCGTTTCTCAGCCTCGGCATTCAAGCGTGCCTGTCTATCCCTCAAACGTTCACGATGTGGAATATCGTCGTCGCCACCAGCAGTTCGACCAGCGTTGCCGCGCTTGTTAGCTTTCTGAGCTATTTGAGAAGTGTAGAAACGAAGACTCTTCTTCTTTTGTGCCTTGTCGGCAGCTTCACGGGCAGTAAGTGGCGCCTCTTCGCCAAGATCCTGGTCGTCTCCATTGGTATGTCGACGTTGAGCAGTCTTGGTGCCTGGTCTATTCTTTGCATGTATCAATGAGTCCAGATTTGCAAGGTCGGCTTCCGCGCGTTGGAGCTTCTCTGCTCTCCTCTGTTCTCTGGCCGCTTGGAGAGCAGCAGCATGACGATCAGCTCTCGATGAACGTTTGTCAGACGTGGGAGGCTCGACATCGGCAACGGCCTCGCCTTGGCTAGTCTCGTCCTCCGCCTCAAGAGGGTGCCTTTGCTCAGATGTTGTGCTGTCTTGTTCGACATGATCCGGAAGCGTCGACGTCCGTTCCCACAGCTCGCGGCACTTGACCAAGCTGATCATGACTGGGTGGTCTCGAAGTTGTGTTGCCGGGAGAGCCACCACGTACTCTTCGCTGGTCTGCGCAGCAGGAGAGGTGAGTAAGGAGAAATACATCACCAGTGCACCCAGGTAGGCAGAAGCGGCTTTCCATTTGATTTGGGCGAGCGACGAGGCTCCCGCCGCCTTGGACAAGCGAGCGTGCTCCTCTCGTAGCCGCAGAAGCTGCTTGCTCAAGGGTTCGAACTCGGGATAACGGGACTTGAGCAGCTTCAGACGCTCGGCCGCACCCATGTCTGGCGCAATCTGGAGGCGTGGCACAAACTCGGACACCACATTCTGCTCACGCTCGCCTTCTGCAGCGGCGCCGCCCTGGTCGGTTGTCTGCCACTCGTCTTCATCGAGACCGTAATCCGCCGCGCGCATCTGCTGTAATTGTCTCTTCTGCAGCCGAATGGCTTCCTTCTCTTCCTCGAGGGCCTGCTCTTCAGTCTCGATCGCATCGTGTCCGTACAGTGCGTCCTTCGAAGTGCCCCAGCCCGCTACTCCCTCGTCGTCGTCTTCCTCGTCGAGACCGCGATGATCGGCGCTCTCGCCATCGGAGCTCCCCTCCTCCTCCGCTTCGGAGTGGCCCAGGACTTCCTCATCGGACGGCTGCAGGAATTCTTCATCTTCAGCAAGTTTTCGCCTTCGTTTCGCTGCCGGCTCCTCGCCGAGGCGGATCTCGTCCTGGTTCAGGTGGAACTCATCGTCCGAGCCGGCCACATCCTCGAAGGTGTGTATTCTCTTTTTCGCCATTGCGCGACGATGTCAAATGTGATCGGACAGGGCAACACCTGCGATGTCTGTCTGCTTGGCAGCAAAAAGTTATGAGCTTGGATTAGGCTAAAGCTAAAGTTGATTGGCGAATGCTAATCAGATCTGCCGAGATAAGTCCGGTCCAGCATCACATCCGCCGAGTGCCTCCGCGGCCGACACATGCTCGAGCACGGCGTGAATATGGTCCCGCCTTCACGACGCATCGCTATCTGTCCACCGCCCCGATGACTAAATACTGCTGTCGCTGGCGGAGCGGCACCAGAACACGCTTCTGCATCCGGCGAACCGGCGTGTCTTCGCTCCAATGCATGCCCTGGCATATCACCATTGCTGGCTCTGCAGAGGAGCAATGTCCCTCCATTCACTGGCTGACAAGGGCGTTGCTTCCTGGTCATCACAAAGCATGTGATACGAGCTTAACGACCACCGCGATCGAAGCTTCACGAAGAGCCCGATCAATGCAGGGGAGGTTCTTCGCGACGGCCATGTCTTGCACGCTCCCGCCTCATTGCGTGCAACTCGGCCGTGGGCCAAAATTCTGTTTGACCTCGACTGACGCCACAACTTCTGGGTCATCTGATCTCTCCTCGAAAGCACGGCGACGACATGGAGTCTGTCGAGAAGTATGCCGAGAAGGTGCCATGCGAAGACGTTTCGCAAATGCACCTCCAAGCCTGTTTCGATGAGCCTAACGATGTGGGAGAGGCCATTCATATTCCCAGCGACGAGGAAGTCATCGACCCGCGTCTCAAAGACTATCCCGTGACTATGGTCGCCAGGACAGTCCACCTTCACAATGACCCAACGCAAGTATTGTCTCGCATCCTACGCCCGCGCAGCCGAATTCTGACTCTCATCGTAGAGAGCCCATTTTGACCTTCCGCTTCTGGTTCCTCAGCACCTTCTGGGTGACCGTTGGCTGCGCTCTCTCCACCCTTTACTACTTCAAGCCGTACCAGCAGAGCATTTCGAGTTATGTCATCCAGCTTCTCGCCTGGGCTATGGGTGATGCTATGGCGAGATACCTGCCGAAACGAGAGATTTCTTGGTTCAGAGGCAGATTCAAATGGAGCATGAATCCTGGCCCGTGGAATGCAAAGGAACACGCCTTGGTCGTGGTCGCTTACTGGGGCTCAAGTCACACTGCCTATGGTCTGGGTCCGCTGACCGCCATGGAAATGTACTATGGCCAGAAAATTTCTGCAGTATGGGGCATCCTCTTCCTCGTCACATCGCAACTGCTCGGTTATGGGTTTGCTGGGCTCTTTCGCGACATTCTCGTCCGTCCTCCGAAGATGTTCTATCCTAGTGTGCTGCCTAATATTGCCCTGTTCAATGCAATGCACCGCGACCCTTCTGTCACGAGGAGGTCCTTGGCCTGTTTCACCTACTGCGCCACTGCAGCCTTCATCTGGCAATGGTTTCCCCAATATCTGTTTCCGCTGCTGATATCTCTGCCACTATTGTGTTGGCTTGGACATGGCAATCCCATTGCGTATGTCCTCGGCTCCGGAAAGTACGGCTTTGGTATCCTTAACTTCTCGCTGGACTGGAACTACATCAACGGGACGATGCAGTCCATGTATACACCCTTTTGGGCGTCAATGAATCAGTTCACCGGCATTTTTGTCGCTGTTTGGGTCATCTATCCGATTCTCTATTACAGCAACTCTCTGGATGCCCAGAACTATGCGGCCATGTCTGCCTCGACGTTCGACCGCGACGGTAAAGATTATAACATCTCGAGGGTTCTCACACCACAGTACATGCTCAACCAGACGGCAATGGACGAATACTCACCTCCCTACTGGAGCGTATCGTATGTTTTCTGCATTTTCTCGGGCATCGCTGCCAGCATGAGCGCCTGCACTTTCGTGCTACTATGGTATGGGAAAGACACATGGGCGATCGTTCGCAAGGGGTTTCGCAAGAAAGTCAAGTCTGACGGCGATTATGATGATCCTTATCTGAAGCTCATGGCCGGCAGTCCTCGCGTACCGCATTGGTGGTACTTGACACTTCTTGGTCTCTGTGCTTCATTTTCCATCGCGACAGTCGAGGCCGGTGGCTTTAACCTTCCCTGGTGGGGCTTCATCATCATGTCGATGTTAGCGTTCGCGTTTATGTTCCCGTGCGGCGTCATATTTGCCATTTCGGGGCAAATCATTGGCATGAATTTCCTCTCGGAAATCATTGCCGGCTCACTCTTCAAAGGAAATCCCATCGCGGTACTGGCGGCCATGACTTACGGCACTCAAAGCCTGGTTCAGAGCCTGAACCTCGTGATCGACTTCAAATTCGGCTTTTACATGCGCATTCCTGAAACTGAAATGTTCATTGGCCAGTTCTGGGGAACTCTCCTAGGCCCGTTCATCAATTACGCTGTGATGAGAGTCATTCTGCAATCTGTTGGGATCCCCACGCTCACAGGGAAAACGCCATCCGTGAATTGGGACGCCTCACGAACTCGCAACTTCTACTCCTCATCCGTGATCTGGGGTGTCCTAGGCCCTGAGCAGTTTTTCTCGGAGGGGTCCATGTACTCTTGGGTCTACTACGCATTCCTTACAGGTCCCGCGGCCGTCCTGATCGTCTGGTTATTCCAGCGGCGGTTTCCAAAATGGGACATGGAAAAGCTCTGCAACCCGCCTTTGATTTTCTACGGGATAAGTCTGTTTCCTATCTACCCAACGACCAGTATTCTGACGTCCTTTATTGCTGCGGTAGTATTGTGAGTCTGTAAATTCCTGACGCATCCCGCGTTCGCTGACGAGTGTGATCCAGCATGGGATACATTTATCGCTATCATCCTGCCTTCTGGCGGAAATACCATTATTTATTGGCAGTCGGCTTGGATTGCGGCACACAGGTTATGTCCACAGTCATGGCCTTCGCGATAAGCATTCCGAATGTCAAGTTTCCAACGTGGTGGGGTAACAATCCTACATTTCCAGACCGGTATCGTCGTCGTATGCTCTCCACTTCGATATATAAGACTGAGTGCGAGCAGGTGTTTCCCTCCGAATCAAAAGCTACCCCCAGCCATGCAAATAACGACCCATTCGAAACGCTAAGGTGAGGTGGAACGGAATCGTTACCGGGGGAAATCAGTCGCGGAGCATTGGGGAATTGGGCCTCACTAATACACGCCGGGTTGGTTTCCAATACGGCATTGGTGTCCTTCACCGTGAAACAAGACTTGCTCAGCTTCACATACCTCATGCGACCAGCAACACCACCTGACTCGCCTTTCTGTTCCGACTCGTGGTGCATCTCGATCTGGACAGTTCGAGTCTCGCCAAACAGACCGGAAATGTATGGTCGGTACGAACAGAGTCACTCAGTCTCTGCACTGTTCCTTTGTCCGTCAGCAAGGCAACTCACTCTCGCTGCACAAAACCGGACCTAGCGCCACGGCACGGCTGATTCGACAAGAGAGCGGGAGTCCATGTTGTAGCATAGCAAAGTACCGGCCTTGGCCATGCAAAGCCGTAGAACGACAGTAACCCAAAGTAACGACTAGCAGATATTCAGCAGCCCAATCTCTCCCCTTCCCCTTCATCACAGTCGAGTCTAGAAGAGGCGGTGTCGTTAAGGCATATCTTGGCAGAGACCGTAACCCACACCCGCACCCGCATCCGCGCCCGCGGAGTCCGCCCAATGTGCCGTGCAATGAAGAATGGCCGGAGAGACAGCAAATGTTACTATTACGAGAGCTTCAAGTACCATTGACAATGGGAACGCGATGGGATACATATAAGGAATACGACTGCAACATTCAAGCCACTCAAATCAAGCCAATTCGCCTGCAGACAACCTGGAACACACCACTTCATAAGCTTCTTTTCTGCGCCTAGACATGAAATGTGAGCTCTTCCTTGGTTTCAGTCACTAACGATATGCTCACATTCGCTTGTCAGACTCAATCATCTGTGCGATCACCACAATATTTGGTGCCGCATCTGCTGCCCCGATATTCGAATGGGATCCAAACAGCATTGCTTACACAGGAGGATGGAAAAGAGCAGCGATTGCTGAAGCTCAACGATTCCCGCGTATAGGCGGTGGCATAACCTGCATGGCAATTTCATGCACTCACCCGGAGTTGTACAGGCCGTTCAACGGCAAGCTTGGTCAGAGGTCAGCCGATGCGAAGCCGATTTTCGAATGGGACCCCAACAGCATTGTTTATACTGGGCCGGAGAAGCGTGACGCACAGCAATTATCGCCAAATGTACGCCTTGATGGCGACGATGTCATCGCTTGGGGCATCAGGATGCCTAACCGGAAGTTCACCCTTGATCGACCTGGTTTCGGGCCGGTATGATCTGTGATGGTTGAATGGCATGCACTCGGCTGGACCGATTGGCATCTATGTTGGCAACGAATTATGTACCATGAAATGAACGCTTACTTCCTCCAGTATTATCCCGTTGAAGATATCAGCATTGCCCGAAGCGAAAGCATTGAGGGGCAACGTATACAAGATGGTATTTCCGCATGGATTTTACTCCTCTCTATTGAATTCAGCCTTGGCGATATATCGAAGCGCCGCCATCGACGACATATGCAGTTCCGTGTACATAGCTGGCATCCTCAGAGCACAAGAAGGCGATTGCGTTACCGACATCTACGGCTTGCCCGAGGCGCTTCAGTGCTACCGAGCCAGCTAAAGCCGTACGCTGTTCAGCTGTCGACATGTCACGCAATGCTTTAGTATCTGTGAAGCCCGGGCAGACCGCATTGACTCGAATGCCATGCTGACCGTAGTCTGCAGCATCGGTTTTAACCAGCCCGATGATTGCATGTTTGGTGCTTGCATATGGTGATACTCCGGGAGACGCATTGATACCTGCCATTGAGGACACCGAAACAATGCTTCCTCTTCCATGCCCGCCTTGTTCGAGAGGGTCTTGTTTGAGCATTTGACGAATTTCTGCCCGATGGCACAGAAATGTCTGCGTTCCACGAAAATAAATCAGCTATCAGGTCAAATACAAATCCAGGTTTGCTGGCGTACCCCGTATAGATTGACCGCAATCACACGATCGAAAACGTCAACGTCGACATCGATGGTCGGAGTGCGCGGGGGCACAATGCCTGCAATATTGCAACCGTAGTCCAGTCTTCCAAATCTCGCAACACAACGGTCCACAAAGGTTTGCACCGATGTTTCGTCAGATACGTCGACGTACGATATATCAACATCAACGTCCGATGATTCCAGGCGCACCTGATCTGCCACTTCGCGTACTCCAGCTTCGTTGATATCGCCCAAGAGTATCTTCTTGCACCCCGCGCGAGCGAATGCTATCGCTGTGCCTTGGCCGATACCTGTGGAATGTTTAGTTGGCTAATCGCAGGCCATTCCAAGTTGTATGATCGATCTTCTCACCTGAGGCGGCGCCTGTGATTAACGCTACTCCACGGAGTGGACCAACCATAATTGATACAGTGGTATCAGTATCGATATTAGGCAACACCACCGTCCACCACCGAATTGTGTCTCTGAACGCTCATCATCGTCCACGTCCATCACCACGGTGCAGCATGATTCGGTCCGAGCCTTGTCGGACCGAGAGCTATGTGAACAGTACCACACTTTACGTGAGGGGCATCGCGAGCGCCCGATGAAGATGAACCACAGTGCTGTACAAACAGGGAGCATGAAACATTACGAAGGAGTCGCGCTTATTACTGGAGCCGGCAGTGGTAGGTTGCTCAGTACATCGATCGATTTGCCGTGAACAGAGCTGATATCTTACTAGAGCTCGGTCAAGCTGTCGTTCAAGCCTTTGTGAGTGCTGGATGCACGAACATCGTGCTCGCAGATACATCTTTGCTGGCCATCGAAGGAGTCAGGGACCATTTCTCCTCTGGTACAGACTCGGGACTCCCCAAGTTGGATTTGAGGCTAGTCGAATATGATTCGGAAGACTCCAATGGGGCTGAAAATATGGTGAAGGAGGCCCGCGAATCCTTTGGCTCGATAAACTACTGCGTCAATTGTAGCACCACGAGTCTTGCTGCTGCTCCAATACCTACAGCGGAGATGGATGCGGCAATGTTCAAGGCTGGGTTGACGGCAACTTCAAGAGCGGTATGAGATTTTGTCGTTTGTGGCGATGTGTTACTATTGTCGCTGATATTCGCCACAGCTTTGGCTCTGCTGTAGAGCACAGCTGCGGACACTGCTCTCTCAGCATGGAACCAGAAGTTCCATCACCAATATAGTGCCTTACGGAAACCTAGGCACCCATCCAGGTCACGCTCTACTCGCAGCAGCTGGATATGGCGGTGTCGGTATGTCCAAGTCGATGGCTCGAGATCATGTCAATTCCAACGTGCGAGTCAATGTCGTAGCCCCGGCGGTGATTGCAAGCACCGAGAATGCAATAGCAGAGTCTGAATTACAGCGGCACATGAAGATACCTGGTCGAACGATTGAATCTGCTGAGGTAGCAAATGCCGCTGTGTTCCTCGCTGGCGAGGGCGCCTCCGGCATTACCGGTGTGGTACTTCCAGTGGACGCTGGCTGGTCGATGATACATGGCTAAGCCATCTGGTAGTGCAATATGCGAGGAACGTCATCTTCAAGGCACATCCAAGTCCATTCTTGATTGGTTGATCGATTGATGGGCTTACATCTCATCGTCGCCCCTAACTTAATGCACTTCGGCCCGGCCTGAGAATTTCGGTCCGAGAACTGTCTTGATCGCGCTTAAGCATAGCAGCTCGTGCATTCAATCTGATCCGTATGAGAGATTGGTTGTTTTGTTGTCATCAAGCTTGACAAGTAACAACGTGCGAGGATGGAAACCATACACGGGTCTCGTTACACTTGTGAAATTCCCAGAGTAGATCTCTTGACATTCGTGTTTAGTTCTGGCGACGCAGCGACTCGTCAAAGACCTCAGTACTTCGATGCGGATCATCCGGAACGCCACTATAGTCTGAGCCAGGGAGAGTCGTATGCCAAAAGGGTCGCCAAAGGACTGCAAGACTTGGGACTGCAAGACGATGACAAGGTCTTTTTGTATTCGGGGAACAACCTCTTCTTCCCTATCCTGCTCTGGGGGGTGATTGGAGCAGGATGTGTCTTCACTGCCACATCGCCAAGCGCTTCACTCGAAGGTGGCTATGTTGAAGCCAGACCCGTTGTTGAAAAGCACATACTGACGTTGACAGAACTTACCAACCAACTGCGTGATTCCGATTCTAAGCTACTTCTGGCCAGCCTAGACGGGATCGAAACAGCATTGAAGGCTGCAACCGCTGTTGGAATACCACAAGAGAGAGTATACGTGTTCTGCGATCCTCGAGATGCTTCGATGATTAGGAATGCTACACGATCCGAGCCTTGGACCTCCCTATGGGCATCAGAGCATGGAAACGAATTCGAATGGCCAACGTCGGCAGATCCAGATTATCTTGCCAGAAAGACAATTATATTGAACTATTCCAGCGGGTAAGCCTTCCCACGGTGCCGGATTTGTCCGTGCTTATTTCTGTTGTAGCACCACAGGACCTCCAAAAGGAGTAGAGATCACGCATGCGAACGTGGTGGCGAACTCCGCCCAACTGATTCACTACCGCACCATGGTAGGAAACCAACCGTCCGCGTACGCTCGTCAGGAGAGACTGGCGCGGTCTGGAGAGCGCTGGCTGGCTCCTCTACCCATGTATCATGCATATGTATAAGGATAACACCCATCAAACGTGTGCCTTGATGACATCAGCTAATTTGTGCTTCAGGGGCAAATCTATTATTGCGTGAATGCACCTCGAATGTCTGCCAAGGTCTACATCATGTCCAAATATGATGTCCGACGACTGCTCCTCTTCGTCGATATTTACCGCATCACATTCTTGACCGCGGTGCCGACAGTCTTAATTGCCATGGCCAAGCATCCACGAGGAGTGTACAACTTGCAGTCTCTCGAATACGCCCTTACTGGATCGGCACCGCTGGGCCACGACATTGCAAGTGTTATCGAGAAGCACTTTTTGCGTCCTGGGCTTGAGCTGAAGAACGGCTGGGGCCTTACCGAAACGACGAACTCTATCAGCGGCTTCTGTCCCGATGATCAAAACGATGGGAGGTCGGTGGGGTATCTCAATCCGAACTGTGCAGGAAAGATTGTACCTGTGGAAGGGCAAAGCTGGGATAGTGAAGTCCCGCCTGCGACCCTCGTCGGAGAGATATGGGTGTCGGGTCAGAATGTCATGAAAGGGTACTACAAGAACCCTGAAGCGACAGCAGATACGGTCGTTGTGCAAAATGGCCGTCGTTGGTTGCGGACCGGTGACATCGGGTATTTTGAGGATGGAAGAATTTACATTATTGATAGGCTCAAGGTATGTGCTATTTCCCTGTTTTACAACCATTGTATGTGAGACTGACTTCCTTGCCCCCTACAAAGGAATTGATCAAAGTCAAGGGCTTGCAGGTATCTCCCAGCGAGCTGGAAGCGGCGATCTTGCTGCACGAAGGAGTGGCAGACGTGGCCGTGACCGGTGCAAAATTGTAAGCAGCTGCCATCAGCAGAACTTGTTCCGGACTACCGCTAACGTTGTCTCACAGAGAAATGGGAGAATGTCCGCGGGCTTTCGTCGTACGGAAAGATCCAGAGCTGCAGGAAGAGCAGATCCACGACTTGATCAGGTCCAGATTCTCTAAGCACAAGTGGCTAACGGGTGGGGTGTACTTCATCGATGAGATTCCTAAGACACCGAGTGGCAAGACGAAGCGGCGGCTCTTGCCAATTCCTCCGAAGACTGCCAAGCTTTGATCTCGTGGTGCCGTAGATTGAATCACAGAAACTTCGCCCACAGCCATGCCCAAAGTCGTTCCATTATCTGAACAGATGAGGGACTGCTAGCTACCGGCACTGGCTGTGCCTAAATGGTAGGAGGTGGTCCAAGGCTCAAGTCCCTTTGATGAAAGCAATCGTGTAGGATTAGCTCCCTCTCCGAACAGGCAAAGAGATCTCTGCTCCATGGCCTGGCGAAAGACTGAGACAGCGCCGCAATGAACTGTGTGAGGCTTAAAGACGCTTGCGCCCGGTCGAAGACTTTGAGTTTGCCACGGCCTCTCGCGAGTCTCACAATCGACCGCAGCGTGGGGCAAGCAGAGTCTGCAATGTTGTTGTGTTGGACTTGCAAGCCTACGTAATTGCGGATGCTCTCTGCATGTGGTATCCGTAGTCTAAACGAAGCTCCGTCGCCAGCTGCAGAGGTTCGAATCTGTTTGTTGAATAGAGCGGCGCGCAACACATTGGCCGCGCGTGCCGTTCTCATATTCAGAACACGATAAGGTCATGGACACCAGCATCTGATATGCTGGGGACCAGCCTCATATCCCGAGCACTGCTATGTTACTGGGCTTCTGTGGAACAAAATAACAGGCGATGGCTGCTCGGACCTGGGGACTCGAGCCTATTCGACGATATGCTGTTGATGGCCTGTGTGATGACCCATGCCAGGCATCGAGGCTGGATAGATGTCGCCGCCGAGAAGCCCGAATGCTGAATTCAGCTCACGGGTGGTAAATATATGCGCCGCGTGGAAATTTCGTTGTGAGGCACATTGGCCGCATGCCTTTCTGACGCAGTCCATGTTCGTCCATCAGGGCAGGCGGTTCTCTTCATTGTGTACAGTTCGCCGGCTCTTCTTGTCTAGTTCTTGCACGATGACCTCTGTGGGCACAGCACGCTCCGTAGGTTTGAAGCCCATAATTTGTCCCACGAGCCCACCTGGCTTGGGCACAGGGCATTCCCGCTTCGGCTTGTCCTGGTCCGCATCTGTGGTCTCAACCTGGGCTCCAGTTCCCATGTCTCCCTCATCTGTAATGCGCTTGCGACGGCGCCGCATGATCCTGCCATCAGGCGTCTCGTAGCTGTCGGCGAACTGTCGGTGGTCGACCGGGCAGGGGAGCAGGTGCGGAACGGCAACGACGAAGAAGGAGACGGCCAATGTTGCAGTAAAGAGCGTGCCCGTGGTGCGCGACCGCGGATGGAGGTAATGCATCGCGCGAGTTCGAGTTGGCGATGATGCTGCTCGCGGTGAAAGAACTGCTCTGCTCTCGCAGAACATGCAATGTCGGAGGTCGACGCCCGAACTTTGCACGAGTCTAATCCGCACTTCACGAACTTCTTCAATCAATCGTTCAGGTGCAAGGCCTCCACCACAACACAACCGCGCCCATGACGACGGCCATATCGCGCGAAGACAGCGCGCTCGCCGCTGATGCGGTGCGCAGGTCGGCAAAACGGACGCGCGAGGTCTTCGCCGCCGACTTTGCGCAGCCATCAGCGCTGCTGAAGCCACCGCAACCTGCCATCGCACCCGCCCACGAACCCTCACCCGCCGACCGCGCGCAAAGATCCAGCATCGCCGCCAGAATACACAGCGAATATGCAGACGTCAAGGAGCTGCCCACCGTGCTTGCCCAAAAGCAGGCGAATGTTCAGGCAGGGTTGGCTGCACGACGCAAGAAGCCCAAAACCACCGAGGAAGCCAGTGACCCGCAAATGGCCAAGATGATCGAAAGCGCCGCAGAGTCTCGCGAGCAGTTGTCGCAGCAAATTGGCACCTCGACGGCGCTCACTCGAATCAACGGCACAGCGGGCGCAAAAGCACCTCCAAATGCCCACGGTCCCACACCGCAGCGCAACACCCCCGGGAGCAGCCTCGTTCGACGGGACACTGTGCGGCACCTGAAGCCTCAATGGCATGCCCCATGGAAGCTTTTCCGTGTGATATCAGGACACTTGGGTTGGGTTCGCGCGCTGGCCGTGGAGCCCGGTAACTCCTGGTTCGCTAGCGGTGCGGGAGACAGGACGATCAAGGTCTTCGATCTAGCCACCGGAACGCTTAAGCTCACCCTCACGGGACATATATCCTCCGTCAGAGGTCTTGCTGTCAGTCCTCGGCATCCATATCTCTTCAGTTGCGGCGAAGATAAGATGGTCAAGTGTTGGGATCTCGAGACGAATAAGGTCATCCGTCATTACCACGGGCATTTGTCCGGCGTGTACACGTTGAGCTTGCATCCCACCTTGGACGTTCTATGTACTGGAGGCAGAGATGGTGTTGTCAGAGTATGGGACATGCGTACACGATCGAACATCCATGTCCTCAGTGGGCACAAACAGACGGTGTCCAGCATCGTTACACAAGCCACCGATCCGCAAGTCATCTCTGGCAGCTTAGACAGCACGATTCGCATGTACGATCTTGCGGCCGGAAAGACCATGGGCGTCCTTACACACCACAAAAAAGGTGTACGGTCACTGACGACTCACCCTACCGAGTTCACCTTCGCGTCTGCTTCCCCTGGTCAAATCAAGCAGTGGCTGTGCCCAAAGGGTGACTTTATGATGAATTTTGAAGGTCACAACAGTGTGATTAATTCACTCTCCGTGAACGAAGACAACGTTTTGTTCAGCGGCGGTGACAATGGTAGCGTTGCATTTTGGGACTGGAAGACTGGCCATCGCTTTCAATACGAGGATAGTGTTGCGCAACCTGGGTCTCTGGACGCTGAAGCTGGCATCATGACCAGCACTTTTGACCATACAGGTCTGCGCCTTATCACTGGTGAAGCCGACAAAAGCATCAAAATATGGAAACAGGACGAGAACGCGACAGAAGAAACACATCCCTTGCAGTGGGCTCCAACGCTAGGCAGACAAAAGTTTTGAGCGTATCCGCTGATGGTCACCCATTGGATGACGGTGGAGAATTGAGCTTGGCCAGGATGGTCCATTGATGCAGGGTCGCTGCCGAGTCGGTCAGATTGGAATTGGCCATGCGCAGGATATGCAGATTGTCCTTCGCGGGAGCATAAGTGACGCGTCCCGCGAAGAGGATAGATGAGGCTCGCCACTCGCAAAGCCTTTTGTTGAGAAGGTGTATGCATTTCACACTCAGCGACGAAATGTGAAATTCCCATTACAGGAAACATTCAGGAAAGGCCAATATAAGGTCAAGGGTGCACTCAACCTATGGGAGGGCTGAGCCTCATGCTACTCTTCAGGAGCTATAGACCGAATGAATCGGCCATGAGGAGTTGCTTCCATTCCGCCTGGACTCTGATCATGCTTCATGCAACGAGAAAATTCAATGCAGCCCATGCAATCGGAGATTCATCTACTGCCAGGGCCTAACAATGGTCATTTGTATCAGTGGAATGAGACGTCTGGTGCCTAACGGGTAATCGCCTACAACGTCTCTGGCACAGATGAATCCATAGTGCTGTCGAGCCTCCAAAGCTCTCACACTTCAGCGGAGAGATAGAAGAAAACGCTATGCGTTGTGACGATCGCTCATGCGAATCAACATAGTAATCGTTGGCAAACGGCGCCCTTGGTTTGTGCATAATGCAGTCTCTCCTCCCTTCATCACATCTTTCTCAGTAGTCGCCAGCGCGATACATTGGCACCATTCCTCCACTATATGTCCCAAGGACAAATGTTTCCAGCTGACATTTCCGTCAACATCAGCCTTGCCGACCCCTCTATCTTCCTCGTGTCTTAATTTCTTGCCTGCGTTCTCACTTTGTGAAATGGGCTTCCACATCGAACGCACAGTGTCCACATGCGCATTGCTACTGCTGATGAAGCGCCAGATCTTAGCAATCGTTGCAGTGCGATGCAGGCCGAGTTGAGCTCCCCCTTGATGTGAGATAAGTCTCAGTTCCGACCACGAAGCCTTCATCTGTTCACTAGGGGCCAGTTCAGAAGTTCAGAAGAACTGCTGGAGGAGAAGCTTGTGCGGAATGGGTCGCTTGCTCGATAGTCTCGATACTCGCTTTGCTCCTCAAAATCTCCAAGCCGCAAGTCCTGAATCGTCTGGGCAACTGTACGAGGTGTGGCGCGCGCTTGCGATCCCGCATGGTTGTTGTCTGCTAGTGCGTAAGTAATTGTCACAACAACACAACATGGAGGCTTGCTTACCTGAGTGTCTAACCCTCAAAGGCGCAACGTAGGGACAGTCCAATCTGTGCTCTTCCTCGCCAACCAAAGCTATGCCTAGACCTACGCCCGGTACGTGAACGTGGTCGAACTGCTCATCCGGAGGCAAAGGCATTGATTCTTTGAGCCACAAATCGATATCGGCCGACTGCAGCCGGAAGCTGGCGTAGGAAACATTCTGCTTGTCAAGCTTCCTTTGTGGTTTTACGCTGTCGCTCTTCTTTACTATGCTCGATTGCTTCGCCGCCATCTCCTTCAGATTCGGCGCCGATGCGCGATACTTCATGGTCAGAATGTTCTGCTTCCTATGCTCCAGAGCCACAGCTCTCCTGCTAGTCGGGAGTCGTTCGGCTGGCGATGCGATGACAGTCGGGGGCGTCATTGTAGTCAAAGACATTGTGAGTATCACTGAAGAGATAGGGCATGGCAGGCAGCTTGCAGCGCGTTTTGTGAAAATGTGTTTCCCCTATTTGGGCAGGGACATATCATGCGCGGCCGGATCATGAGACGTTTCGAGGTGTCGTGCGGCTATGGCGTGCATGAGTCGCAATAGCTTATAAAACAATCGCATATAATGTCAGATAGACTTTTCCTGTCGTGCAGCTGCCCGTGCCGATCACTTTGTGCGAACTTATCAGCCTTGACAGGGACAGACATATACTTATTGGAAGTCAAGTAGGCGACACGAGCTCGCAGCTCTGCAAGCGCCCCATTCGTTGATATGTAACGATAATGGCTCGTACCAATATCGCAATGCTTGCGTGCGTAGTGAAAGATCTTCAGAATGTAGGCCCCCATTGAAGTTGCACTCAGCGACTGCCGCTTCGCAGCTCGGCCCTGCTGGAAGCCGTAGGCGACGGATGCATCGTAAGAGCTCGAAGGCCTGTAGGTCTTCCAGACGACACTCGTTCATAGTATGTACTCTGCCGACAGAGCGTTTGTCTTGCAAACAATGGACTCCCCGCAGAGCCCAAAAGACGCTGGCTGGCAAACGTGGTTGTATTTCTTGACATGTAGAAGGCAACACTGACATAGCTACCACTTGCGTTGCAAGCCATGTCAGAACCCAAAATGAAGCGGCACCAGAAAATCGTGGACTACTTCGAACAAGAATACGGCCAACTGGGCTCAGTGCTCGCTGGCTGGCAGGCCTTCAGTCGAGATGTTGGCGTTCCAGAGGGCAAGTCGATCACGCAGTGCAAGAAGGTGAGGGCAGCGCATCATAGTACGCGCATGTACACTGACATATTTATAGTTCTTGAAGGCGGTCAACGTGAACATTGTCGACTTTGTGGCAGCGAAGAAGAACGGCACGGCAGTATACCAATTCAAGTCCCGCGCGGCACTGGCGGAATACATTCGAGGCAATCGTAACAAGCGGTTCCCACTTGGAAAGGCCAAGGAGGACTCGTTCTTGAAGTCGCTGCTGATTCACCTCGTTTGAGTGGGGCGTGAGTCGCTGGGCCGTGGCACGTGGAGTCGGCGCATTGGTAGATTGCAGTGGTCAGCTTGGCGCATGAGATGACAGTGCAGTCATGGGGATGGAAAAGTGGCAGATGGCGATGTCAGGCAGCAAAGTGGTGGTGAGGCTGGCGCCTGGTGCCGGCGGCGATGTACAGCTAGACCTCCGTGCCTGTGTAGCCAAAAGTAGCTTTGAGAGCTGGGCGACGCGTGCACGCTCTCTCCCGTCCGTGCAGCGCAGCCACCCTGGGCGATTCAGCTCTCCCAGGCGGAAACCAACTTGGCCTCATCCATTCTCACATGCGCTAACGACGACAATGCCACAGGTGCGCCAGCTACTCGGCCTGCTGCTGCTCAGCGTGCTGGCTCTGCTGGCGGTGGCCAAGGACAAGCCCGACGTCGACGAGTTCAACTTCCACTCGCGGCCAGCCAACCTGCTGTACTTTGAGGACAGCGATGTCATCCTCGCCACCAACCCCGACACGCTGGTCACCTTCCGCTCTGACGATGGCGGAAAGCGGTGGAAGGAGCTCGATGGCGTGGCTACCGGCGAGGTCATGGAAGTCCTGAAGCACCCTTACGATAGCCACGTCGCTGTGGTGCTGGGCACCAAGAAGACGCACTGGATCACACACGACCGCGGCGAGCACTGGCGGGCCTTCACCTCGCCCATGCACCCTACGCTCAGTCGTGCTGGGATTTCCTTCCACGCCACCGATCCCGATCGGATGCTGTTTAATGCGCAGAAGAACGCCGGCTTCTCACGAGAGGATCTCGTCTACTACACCAAGGATGCATTCAAAACCGACATGGAATTGCTGCACAAGGACGTGTTCTCGTGTCTATGGGCCAAGAGCACCGAAATCTTCACGACCGGCGATGAACGCAGCGACCGCGACGGTGTCCTCTGCATTGCCCGTGGCCAGTTCGATTTCTTCAAGTCCCACAACCGCCTCATCATGTCGAGCGACTTTTTCGACAAGGAGGAGGTCGAACCGACAATGAGCGATGGAAGGACAGTCGAGGGCATCACCAACTTGGCCGCCGTCAAGAGCTATTTGGTGATTGCTGCAAAGAGCGAGCGGACCACTGAAATGGCCATGTACGTTTCGGACGATACGAAAATGTGGCATCGAGCCGAGTTCGGCCAGCATAAGCTCGAGGAAGATGCGTATACCCTTTTGGAAAGCACAAACTACAGCATGCAGGTGGACGTAATGACCACTGATCGATCGGACCCCATGGGAGTGCTCTTGACGTCAAACAGCAACGGAACCTTCTTCACCAAGAACATCGAACATACGAATCGCAACGAACAGGGTTTCGTCGATTTTGAGAAGATGTCGAATATCCAGGGAATAGTCATGGTCAATACCGTGGACAACTGGAAGGATGTTGAGACGAAGTGGGGCACAAAGAAGAAGGTGGTTTCACATATCTCGTTCGATGATGGTAGAACGTGGGAAGACCTGAAAGCCGATGGCAAGACACTCCATCTACATTCGGTCACTGGGCAACGTAACATGGGTCGGATCTTTAGCAGTCCAGCGCCTGGCCTGGTCATGGGTGTCGGCAACACCGGTTCGTCTTTGGGCGATTACGATGACGGTGACCTTTATGTGTCGGATGATGCTGGCCTTACGTGGGAGAAAGCTCTCTCAAAGCCTCATATTTACGAGTTCGGCGCACAAGGATCTATACTGGTCGCCGTGGAAGATGCAGAGACCAACAAGATCAAATGGTCTCTCAACTACGGCAAAGACTGGGAAACTACAGAGCTCGAGGACAAGTTCAGGCCGCTTGGGCTCACTACCACGCCCGACTCGACATCCTTGAAATTCCTCATGATAGCTATGAAGAATGTCGACTCCAAGAAGGAGCACTTCACCTACGCGCTCGACTTCAACGGCTTGCATGAGACCAAATGCAGTGGCAGCGACTTCGAGAAGTGGCCAGCACGCAAAGACAAAGACGGCAAAGCTTCTTGCATTATGGGTCATAAGCAGTTTTTCCAGCGACGGAAAGCGAACGCCAAGTGCGTTGTTGAGAACAAGGATTTCACAGACCCAGAAGAGAAAAGAGAGAATTGCGAATGCACGGAGCAAGACTTCGAATGTGATTTCAACTTCAAACGGGAAGACGGCAAGTGTGTTAAAAGTGGCCCAATCGTGCCTCCCTCAGGCGTATGCGACGGAAAAACAAAGACGTTCAAGGGTACTTCAGGTTACCGACTGATACCTGGCAACACCTGCGAAGGAGGTGTGGATCTGGCCAAAGAGGTCGAGCGCGACTGTACAGACACAGCCTCGCCCCCAGCTTCGGGAAAGATATCCACGGAAGTACGGAAGTTCAAAGGTGACAGATTCATCGAGTATTATTACATGGAACGACTCGAGACCAACAAGGGCAATAACAAGGAGAACGACGAGACCGTCCTTTTGCGCACCGACCGACGTGAAGTCTGGAAGACACACGATCATGGGAAGAAATGGGAACAGATTCTCGAGGATGAGGAAATCCTGGCGATCTATCCACACCAGTACATTAACGATATTGTCTACTTCATCACACCGAGCAAGAAGGTTCATTACTCCAAAGATTTCGCTCAGAGCCTCCACTCTTTCGAAGCTCCCGAAGGTCCAAACCAGGATCGCATACAGGTCCTGACCTTTCACCCCCAGGAGAAAGACTGGCTGATCTGGACCGGGGGCCGAGAGTGCAAGTCAGACGCCGATTGCCAGACCATCGCTCATGTGTCGAGGAAGGGCGGTGATGACTGGGAGACACTTATCCGCGGTGTAAGGAAGTGTCAATTCGTGTATCGAGAAGACAGGCCCAAATCGGATCAACTCATCTATTGCGAACAGCACACAGACGAGAGCAAAACCAGCCCGTTGGTCCTCATGAGTAGCGACGACTGGTTTAGTCACAAAACCGAGCTCAAGAGAGATGTTGTCAACTTCGCCACCATGGCCGAATTCATCGTCGTTGCAGTCCGGGATGAAACAGAGCAGTCTCTGAGAGTGGATGCAAGTATCGATGGTGTTACCTTTGCGGAAGCCAAGTTCCCTGCCAATTTCAAGGTGGATCATCAAACGGCCTATACCGTGCTTGACTCAAGCACCCATGCAGTGTTTTTGCACGTTACTGTTAATGACCGTAAAGGGCAAGAGTATGGCAGCATCATCAAGAGCAACAGCAATGGTACCTCATACGTCTTGTCTGCTGCCGAGGTCAACAGGAATGAGGAAGGCTATGTCGACTTCGAGAAGATGCAGGGGTTGGAGGGTGTTGCGATCATCAATCGCGTTGCAAACCGCAAAGAAGCTGATGGCGGAAGTAGCAAGAAGCTGCAGACTTTCATCACGCACAACGACGGAGCAGACTGGGCTCTAATCGGCCGTCCAGACGATCCACCGAAAGAGATTGGCAAGCCATTCGAGTGCCAAGGCAAAAGCAACCAGCGGTGCAGCCTGCACTTACATGGCTACACGGAACGCAAAGACCCAAGAGATACATACAGCTCACCCAGTGCCGTGGGTCTGATGCTGGGTACTGGCAACGTTGGCGAATATCTTGGTAGCAAGGAGGAAGCTAACACTTTTATCACGCGCGATGGAGGTATCATCTGGCATATGATTGCCGAAGGCAACTGGATGTGGGAATACGGCGACCAAGGGTCCATTATCGTCATCGTCAAGGAAGGGGAGCCCACTGGCGAAGTTCGATACACACTTGATGAAGGTCAGACTTGGCATACGCACGACTTTGGCGAGACCATGGTTGTCCAGGACATCACGACAGTGCCTAGCGACACGAGTCGAAACTTCTTGCTGTGGGGCAAGATCGGAAGTTCAATTGCGACGATCAACATCGACTTCAGCGGCATGACAGAACGATCGAAACAGTGCAAGCTTGACGAGCAGCGACCCGAGTCGGAGGACAGTGATTATGATCTGTGGTCGCCGTCTCATCCTTTCTCGGAAGAAAATTGTCTCTTTGGGCATGTTGGACAGTACCATCGCAAGAAGCCTGAACGCGATTGTTTCAACGGCAAGGAGATCAAGCATCTTCACAACATTGCAAAGAACTGTTCCTGCGCGCGCAACGATTTTGAGTGTGACTTCAACTACCAGCGAGACGGTAACGGTGCATGTACTCTCGTCGAGGGTCTCAGCCCCCCTGATCCTGCGGAAGTATGCAAAAAGAATCCCGACCTCATCGAGTTCAACCAAGTCACCGGGTATCGCAAGATTCCTCTCTCCACGTGCGAGGGAGGCAGAGAGCTCGACAAGACATCGAACCCATATCCATGTCCCGGGCACCAAGAAGAGTTCAAGAAGAAGCACAGTGTCAGCGGAGCGGGTCTCTTCTTTGCCATTGTTCTTCCCATTGCAGCCGCGGCAGGAGTGGGCTACTGGGTTTGGAAGAATTGGGATGGCAAATTCGGACGCATCAGGCTCGGCGATACTGGGTACGGTGGCGGAGGAGCCTTTGACAGTGAGGCTCCATGGGTCAAGTACCCGGTTATGCTCATTTCAGGCGTTGTCGCACTCGTGGCCACATTACCCATGGTCGTTGGCAGTTTGTGGAAGACACTTGCGACCAGATTCGGACGAAGTGGCGGGTATGGGTATTCGCGGACTTACACGACGCGTAGCAGCTTCCAGAGAGGAAGAGGCGATTACGCTGTTGTAGATGAAGACGAAGGCGAGCTCCTAGGAGAGGACAGCGACGAAGATGTTTAGATATGTCTTATAGACTTTACGATTGGACCATGTGTAGGATAGCTTCTTCAATCACGATTGTGCAGACACTAGCAGGCAACCCAAGAACGTTGCTCTGCCATTATTCCACTCGGATCCCTCCGCCTTACGAAGTCGATCAAGAGTAGCACATCGCCGCGGATTTTACAAGTCCCCGTTAATCCCGGATGGAGATCTCGAGAAGGAGACGATTTCGCAACATGACATCAGCGTCTTCAAATCTCTACGCAGCCGAAAGCAGAAAAGCTCATTCTGTCGGAAGATCTGATCGGCCTAGGGCGATCGTAGTTCCCGCCGAGCCGCAATTGGCCAAGTGGAGAAGTTGTGGCTCGCTGCACCACAAGCTTTGTTGAACTTCTCCAATGACGCGAACACTACGCTCGAGTGAGAACCACATGATTCTGTATCGAAATTATTGCGGCCAGCATCGCTCTAATCCAATCATGGCTCTCCTGATACCGCATCCGACAGCGCGGGCTGCCTGCGATCGTCGCACACGGACAGGAGACTGTCGCGCTTCGTGGCAGGCGTTCGAAGTATTGGGCAAAGCGTGAAGACGGCCACAGCATGCGGCTGTCGGGCTTCCAGAAGTTCCGCATGTTGAATGCGATGATGCTATGTGTTGTTATGACGCCTATCCGTTCCCTAGGGACGCCTCTGTCTCGGCGTTCTTTGATCACTACATTTTCCTGAAGCCGCACTTCTGGGCTTTGTCTTGAGCTGCTTGTGCGAGCTTGATTCAATTTGTTCTTACACGGAATTGGTCTCCAGCTATGACAGAGCTAGTCCGTGATACCGCGTTCGGCCACGCCGTTCGCTTTCTCTCCAGGGGAAAGCTACTAAAATATGCTGAAGAAGCCGATCCATCACTCTACAAGAACTACGTCGATGAGAAGAAGTCTGGCAACCTTGCAGACCATGGCGACACAAATCCCCGCGAGGACGGGACGGAGCCTGAAACGTTAGGAGGTGTGCGCACACGAGAGAATGGCGACCGATCAGAGCACGACCCAGAGAAGACGAGATCATCATCGAGAGATACTTCAGACACAAAGGCGGCGAGTGATGATGCCAGCATCAACCATGCCAGCGGCGTCCGAGTCGATCCTGAGAAGGGAATGGACAAGAATGTCGTTACCTGGTGGGGTGAGAACGACAGTGAGAATCCTCAGAACTGGAGCCTGGGCAAGAAATGCTTCGTCACATTCGAGATCTGCTTGCTCACGACGAGCGTTTACATTGGATCGAGTATCTACTCAGCAGGAACTATGAGCGTGTAAGTTGAAGATGCTGGATGAAGTACAGTTGGAGCTTTGAGCTGATCTTGTTGTCATATTAGTATGGAAACCTTTGGCGTGTCTCAGGTCGCCGCAACGCTTGGACTCTGTTTGTTCGTTGCTGGGTATGGTCTTGGACCCATGATATGGAGCCCTTTGTCCGAAATCCCCCAGATTGGCCGTAATCCCATATACCTCGGAACTCTCGTGGTCTTCGTTGGACTCCAGCCTGCTGTTGCCCGCGCTCCCAACTTCGGTGCGCTCCTCGCCTTTCGATTCATCACTGGCTTCTTTGGATCACCTGTGTTGGCCACGGGCGGAGCCTCGCTCGCGGATATCTGGTCTCCTAAGAAACGAGCTTATTCCGTTGCGATCTGGGGCGTTGCCGCAGTTTGTGGTCCGACATTAGGACCTCTAGTAGGAGGATACGCGGTTCAGTATGGCCCCTATGGACCAGGTCAAGGCGGATTCACCGCAGCATGGACTTGGCCTATTTGGGAACTGATGTGGCTCTCGGCTTTCTGCCTGGTCGTCCTGTTCTTCCTCCTTCCCGAGACAAGCGCGAACAACATCCTTGTACGCCGAACTAAGAGGATACGAAAGATCACCGGCAACGACAAGTTTACATGCGAAGCCGAACTCATGTCGGCACAAATGACTGGCAAGGACATCGCTTTGATCAGCCTGGTGAGGCCGTTCACTCTGAACTTCACAGAGCCCATGGTATGCCCTCCAACGATCGATACGCTTTGATGTATGCTGATCACAAACACAGGTTTTCCTGCTCAATCTCTACATCGCTCTGATTTACGGCTTGCTGTACATCTGGTTCGAGTCATTCGTCATTGTGAGTTGACTAAAATGATAGCTTGATGATGACTGTGTGCTAACCTCCACACAGGTGTTTATCGAGATTTATCAATTCGGTCTCGGAGCAGAGGGCCTTGCTTTCCTGGGCATCTTCGCTGGTGCAATTGTTGTTATCCCGCCATTCTTCGCGTACCTTTATTTCTCCCTGTAAGTGTGGAGTTTGAATTACCTTTCGAACTAACATCGGATGCTGACTTGCTACATAGGGAGCCGCAGTGTAAGGATCTGGACGTACCGCGATGAAAGCCTTATAGCGCTGACATGAATGTTTCACAGTCGACGATCAGGGCAACATCCAGCCCGAGAAGAGACTCTTGCCATGTTTCGTTGGAGTGAGTGACACCCTCGGTGCGCAATGGTGTAGATGCTAACGAATGCTCGGTAGGCCTTCTGCATTCCAATCTGTCTGTTTTGGTACGTATTGAAGAACTCCGAATTGAACATTAATGACAGCTGCTGACTCCCATGGCTTCCAGGTTCGGTATGTGATATTCTGCCGCATTATCCTACGTTTCTGGTATCGCAATAGCGATATCACCGCATGGAAGACATTGTGGCTTTTGGGAGGGTCGTGATGTGATCAATACTGACTCAGTTACAGGATGGTCAAGTCGACCAGATATCCACTACATCGTAAGTGCTATGGCTTTTGAATTTGTTTGACTCGTACTAATCTGAACCATAGGTCCCCATCAGTAAGCGACACTTCAGTCCAACGAAGCGGAAAGTGAAATACTGACAGAAAGCAGTCGGTAGCGCATGGTTCTCGATCGGGGCTTTCCTGCTGTTTAACAGCATCCTGAACTACCTACCCGATGCTTACCCCGATTATGCGGCATCTGTGCTAGCAGGCAATGATCTCATGCGATCCGCATTCGGAGCTGGTTTCCCACTGTTCGCTTCGGCGATGTACAAGGATCTTGGAGTTGCATGGGTAGGTCGAATAATTCGCAAGAGGACATCTCCTTGCGCGTAGATGAAATGAGAATGCCTTCTAACGACGATTCTGCAGGCTTCCTCCACCCTGGCATTTATCTCGATTGCCTTCATCCCAATACCATTTGTCCTCTACCGATACGGCGCGACACTGAGGAAGAACTATTCCAAGCACGCCCGAAAGGATATTTAAAGGTTGACACGGTACACCAGGCATTGCTTGCGATAGAGTGGAGGCTTTGAATGCGCTGAATTTTCCGGAAGTAATTAACTGCTGTTCGTCGTTGCTCTGAGAAGTGTACTGGGCACAACAAGCGAAGCATGACACGTAGAGTACGAAGATAGATGAATAATGTACAGACTATGAGCTTGATAGCGGTCGAGTACTCGGAATTCGCGACCGAACTTGGCGTATGACGGACACCGCACCGTTGCAGCACGCCGTCACGGAGATAAGACATGCAAAAACCGGGCTCTAAATCCACATGAAAAGAGCGCTGGGCCTGCCAGGTGCGAGATCATCGCCAGACGGCCGTGACTCATGAGATCCGCGCGGCGCAATGGCAGCCTCGAGCTGTGCGCAAGGCGCCGCAGAGCGTGTCGGTCTCAACCAAGGACGGGGGCTTCTCTTCTCGTAGACTGGAAGTCGCAAACAGACTAAGAAGCCCACCCTGCAGATACCTTAGACCTCTTCTATCAGCCACTGCGCACACGTTCGCACTCGACCATCAACCGCTCCACACTTCCCTTTCCTTTCTTCCCATCTCTCACTGCCCCGACATTCAATTCCAGCTGCGACTTGCGTAGGACGAACGAACAGAGTTGCGCCGCGCCGAGAAGCGCAGACACGGTCAAGCTCGAATCACTTGCATCTTTTGCGACGAACACGTTCCTGTCTTCACGACTGCTCCACTGCGCACGACATTAGTTCGGAGCCTTGCCGACCGCTTCTCATCGCTCTTGCGCCCGTACGCCGCTGTTCTGCGCCTGCCTAACGGACGTCGAATTCTCAGAGCCCCCTCCAAGTCACGCCGAGGTGGTAATGGTGCAGCCCACGCCGCCCTCGTCCACGTCGTCGAACAATGGCGCTTCTCCCGATGGCCAACCTTTTGCGGGACGCGTGATACGTAAGCGTAATCGCGTTCCACTCTCGTGTGGGCCTTGTAGACATAGGAAGTTGAAGTGCAACCGCTCGCATCCATGCGACAACTGCTCCAAGAGAGGTGACACGGCGAATTGCAGCTATGCGACACCCGGCGGCAGGAAGAAGGGTGCTGGAGTGGGAGCCAATGCCTCGCCGGACGACATGCAAAACCGCATTGACAGACTGGAAGGTTTGGTACTTTCGCTCATGACCAGTGGAGCGCAGCCCGCGACCACGTCTGCGGCGCAGGCTGCCATCGGCAACAGTCGCAACGACAGTCTAAGCTCTGGAGCAGACCTCAAGCTAGATCCAGTGATCCGTGAAGAGGGCGAAGGTGAGGACGAAAGTGAAGTTGAAGGCATCTCCCGTGGAATTGGGATCATGAAAATGGACAACGGCAGAGCAGTGTTCGCTTCAGACGTACATTGGTATGCAATTTTAGGCGAAATCAGCGAAGTGAAGAAATATTTTGAAAGCCACAAGGAGGATTACAAGCAACATTTGGAGAAAGTGCAGGCTGCGAAGGCAGAGGCAAGCTCAGGCGGCGCATTCCTCCTCCAGGGATTGCCTGCGAAGGATAAGAATGAATTGCTTGCGGCGTTTCCTTCCAAAGCGGAAGCCGATCGACTGATAGCGCGCTACTTCAACGCGTATGACCCCTCGGTCCATATCATTCACGGGCCATCCTTTCAGAAGCAGTACGACACTCACTGGTTAAATCCGCACGAGACAAGCGTGGTCTGGCTTGGCTTATGCTTTGCGATGATGACTCTGGCACTCCAGTCCTACCATAGAGCAGGTGATGAGCCACCAGAATATCGGGGCAGAACGCTCGAGCTGTCACGCGCACACCGGAAACTGACTGCGCAGTGTTTGCTTCTGGGCGACATAACACAACCCAACCCACTGACGCTGGAAACGCTGGTACTTCACATGCAGGCTGAATATGGAAGGAGTCGAGACGCTGAGCCTTCCGTGCTACTTCTCACTGGTTTGTGCGTGAGGCTCGCGATGCGTATGGGCTATCACCGCGATCCTGGCCCGCATCCAGCGATCACACCATTCCAAGGAGAGCTTAGACGGCGGGTATGGACATTTGTGCGTCAGTTTGATTTGCTGATATCATTTCAATTTGGCCTTCCTGCAATGATTCGAACAGATCATTCGGACACAGAGGCTCCTCGCAATCTGTACGATGATGAGCTTCAAGAAGACATGAAGAGCCTCCCACCCTCCAGGCCATCTTTCGAAGCAACTCCGATGTCGTATATGATCACGAAAAGCAGAATGACGTTCCTATTTGGTCGCATCGTGGAGCGCTCACAATCTGTAACGAATCCGCCATCTTACGAAGAGACGCTGAAGTTCGATGCAGAGTTGCGCGAAATGAGGTCGCAGCACCCCCCGTTATTGCAGATGCGGTCATTCCACGAGTCCGCTCGTGACCCAGCCAATCTGATCATGCAAAGGCTTGGGTTGGAGATGGTGTATCTCCGGAGTCTTTTCGTGCTTCACCGACGATTCATCGCCCGTGGCCGAGAATCAGCTCGATACGCTTATTCTCGGCGCACATGCTTGGATGCCTCCATGGAGTTGCTTGACCACCAAGCCACTCTGCATAGGGAATCTCAGCCTGGCGGACGCTTGCGCTCTGTGAAATGGTACATATCGTCATTGACCACGCACGACTTCCTGCTAGCAGCTATGCTCGTTTGTCTGGATCTATACCATACGGCAGAGGCAGAGCGCAAAGGGCGCAACACTGCTCAGCCGGGATCGCCCTTGGCTGCTGATGTCTACGACGAAGGCAGACGAGCGCATATGATGCAAGCTGTCGAACACTGCATCACCATTTGGGAGTCCGTGCGTGACCAAAGCATGGAGGCATACAAGGGCTCTGTGGCGCTCCGGGTTATGGTGGAGAAGCTCAAAGCACATCAATTACAGAAGACGATGCAAGGGAACTCGCAGTCGCAGGCAGGGCCAGCATATGCTAATCGAAATGGCGCCATGAACTATGGCATGTTTCCAAATGCAAGCGGTGTGGCGATCGACACAGACGACCTCCCGCCTGAGCAGTCGGCAGCAATGACGCTGGGTATGTTGTCTTCAGGAGGCATCTCGCCAGGGTTTGGCATGAGCACGACATCAGCGCCGCAACAGCAGGCATATCCGGCGAGCATGGCGACGCTGCTCAATAACGAACCTCCAAGCGAACGGACTGGCTTGACGCCACAATATTCTGGACCAGAGGTGACGGGTATGGGAAATGGCATGGCAGGCGCTGCCAGCCCATTGAGCCAGATGCTGGGTCAGAGCAGCGGTTTTGCAATGGCGGAGAACGATATCGATTGGGTAAGTCATCACGTGGGGCACCAATAACCGTGGATACCTCTGAATGCAACTACCTCTGAGTGCAACCGAAGGTCGTTAAGCCAATCAGCCAAGCTTTTCGTGGATCGAGAGCCAATCTGATTAGGCGCTTGCACTCAGAGGTCGTTGCATCCAGAGGTATCCGCGATTATGTTGCATGCTGAATCAGCGCTGACAAGCACCAACCTGCAGGGCGCGTGGGACTCTTACATCCAGGGCACGAGTAACGATGCCGGACAGATGTGGCCGATGAATCTCGACCTCGCGGTGGATGCTAACGTGCAGAGCAATCAGCAGCAACAAGCGCAACAGCAGAATGGGAACTCGGTCTTTCCGACGACGATGCCTGGAGGCAACGCGATGTGACATGATGATGATGACCATTGTACATTTAGAGAGCCACCGACGCTCGACACGAACATGAAGATATGAGGATGCGGACGTTGGGACACAGGGCATCACAGAGTGCGCTCGTGCTGGCGAAGATTCGGCTAGCAGAAGTAGCGGATAGTGGGCCTCGCGAATGCCGTGGCCACGTTCTCGCCTCTCCTCCGCCTGCTCGCGGTGTCCCAGACTGTTTGTGCATGTGCGGGACAGCGCAAGAGCCATGTGGTGTCCCGTTGGCATCGTGTTGTTACCTCATTTACCGCCCCCTTATCGCAGCATTGGTGAAGTCGACGGTCGGCATCGGCACAGCAGCGCGGCCGAGCAGGGTGTGCACGAAAAGAGCTGACATCGAAACGACGTCACTGCTCGTCAGCGTGAGCCATGCATGCTGAGTGCAGCGCAGACACGCGAAACAGGCAAACCTGTCGCGGCGCTGCCCATGTACATGTAGACGATTTGCTGCAAACATTGCTCTTCTGCCACCGCACCGCCCGCAACCTCGCCAGCCCGACGACAACGACGACCAGACACCCCGCCACCGCTGCTGACAGGGTCCACCACCACCAACGAACCTGTGGATGATGGGCTGTTTTTGACTCTGCGCCTGAAGTTTGGCATCGAACCGAAGCATCCGGGCGAGCAGCGATCCTTCCCAATCAGCTCGTGAGCCGCTGGCTTGAGCTGCTGAAGCTTTTCTCCCACCCGCTGCTGCTTCTCGTCACAGCTGCTCCACGACCACTTTCCTCCGTCCTGTCGCCTCCCCACCTCCGCCGCGCGTCACTGTCCGCCGCGGGCCCTCACCATGTCGCTCAAGAAGGCCTTGCACAGTATCCGCCCTCGCAGTGGCTCCAATTCTGCTCAGACGAGCGACAGTGAGCGTGACAATCCAGCTCGCCGCTCCAACGCCGGCTTGACCTCTCTGTCCAATGGCCTCTCCTTCGGCAGACACTCGACCGATCAGACCCGTTCGTCCCTCGACCAGTCTCGCACCCCTACGTCCCAATCGCCTACCCGTCGTTCCAGCCAGCACCACCGCGCCTCGCATAGTCCGCTTGGTTTTCTGCGACGCAAGGTTCGGCCCAGCTCCGATGATTCACACTCCTCGACCGAGGACTTGCCACTGAACCGTGAGGGCGAGCCTCTCAGTAAGAACCAGCAACGCAAACATGAACGCTTGGCCGAGAAGGAAGCTCACCGCAAGGAAGCGGAGGAGCGGTTGGAAGCCGACCGCAAGCGGAAGGAGGACATGCAACGACGAGCTGTCGAAGAGGAGACCGAGGAGCAGAAGTCCAAGTATGGCGTACTGCCAATCAACTACTATGCCGGCCAGCAGAGGCACGAGGACAGGATCGATCTCCGTGAGCTGACACCTGAACACATTGGCAAGATGGTCTGCTTTCGCGCACGCATCCATAACATGCGCAAGCTGAGTGCCCACCTTGTCTTCATTGAGCTCCGGCAGCAGACCCAGACAATCCAAGGTATCCTCCACGAGCACGGCTCCATCTCTCCCCACTTCGTCTACTGGGCCGAGCACCTGCACGTCGAGACCGTGGTTGTCGTGAAGGGTGTGGTTCAGGAGCCTAAATCCAAGCAAGGCGAGATCATCGGTGTCTCCATACACAATCTGGAAGTTCACATCCATGAGATGCACGTTGAAGCTACCCCAAGCGAGCCACTCGCCTTCACTGTGCACGAGGCGGAGGTCAGCAAGGCCGAGACACAGAAAGAAGGCGATACCCGCCATCGTGTGTCAGATCGTGCGCGGCAGAATAACCGCATCATCGACTTGCGGACAACTGCATCCCAAGGTATCTTCCGGATACAATCGGGCATCTGTCAAGCGTTCCGTGCTCATCTGCATTCGCTCGGCTTCATGGAGATCCACACCCCAAAACTGCAAGGTGCAGCATCCGAGTCTGGTGCCAGCGTATTCAAAGTCGACTACTTTGGACGACCAGCCTTCTTGGCTCAATCCCCTCAGCTCGGCAAGCAAATGTGTATCGCTGCAGACTTTAGACGGGTCTTCGAAATTGGGCCCGTATTCCGTGCTGAGAACAGCAATACCCACAGGCACTTGACAGAGTTCACAGGTCTGGATCTGGAAATGGCCATTGATGAACACTATCATGAGGTGCTTCGCGTGTTGGACAGCACGTTCAAGGCGATCTTCAAGTATGTGTATGACAACTACAAGGACGAGATTGAGGTGGTCAAAAGGCAATTCCCTCATGAAGATCTTGTGTGGTTGGATCAAACACCGGTCATCCCCTTTGCCGAAGCGATCCGAATGCTGAACGATTCCGGCTATCGAGATGAGGATGGAAAGCCTCTACCAGAAGACGAGGACATGGGAACTCGCGATGAGATCGCCCTCGGTGCAGTCATCAAGGAGAAGTACAAGACCGACTACTACGTGATCGACAAGTTCCCGGCCTCTGCAAGACCTTTCTATGCCATGCCCGACCCCGAGAACCCAACCCTCACAAACTCCTTCGATATTTTCCTACGTGGTCAAGAGATTCTGTCGGGTGGTCAGCGTATTCACGACGCGCCAATGCTCATCGAAAAGATGGAGAAGCTGAAGATGGATCCGACCACATTGGAGGAGTACATGACCGGGTTTGAGTGGGGTGCACCACCGCATGGAGGAGGTGGTATTGGTATGGAGCGCATACTGATGTTACTTCTCAAGCTTGGTGACATTCGAAACGCCACTCTGTTCACAAGAGATCCACGGTCTCTACCATACAGGCCTCCTGTGAAGCAGCTCCGTCATCCGGAAGCTAGCACGCTGCACCCTCCATGGGCAGGGCAAGATCGTGTTGCAGCTCACATGGACTTCCAGCCTCTGCCGAAGCTCATTGCCAACTATGGCGACGCGTCGAATACATCCTGGCTCGAACCCAAGTTCGAGATCTGGCGCGACCCACACACCGGTGCTGCTGTTGGATTCGTACCTCACGAGGGCTTCAGCATTACAATCGGTGATCCTCTTTGTCATCAAAGCCAGTACGCAAAGACGATCGGCGGATATCTGCGATACATTAAGAAGGAGCGCCGTCTTCGACCGCTGTGGCTGCTCTGTGGTTCTGCTGCAGAAGAAGTGCTGGCGACAAAGTTCGATTGGCGGACACTGTCCGTTGCAGCGGAACAACGTCTCGATCCTTCGAACAACCCGGCAGCGCAGGACCCCGACATTCAGCGCAAATGTCGCCATGCGGAGAAAGAAGGCGTCAAAGTGCATGACATTCCTCTCGGAACACCAGTTACTGAAGAGATTCGGGAGAAGGTCGACAAGCGCATTCAAGACTGGCTAAAGAACCGCAAAGGCAAGCAGGTGCACTTGACAGACGTGCATCCATGGCAAGACGTTGAGCACAGGCAATACCATTACAGCACGACAAAAGAAGGCGAGATCAGTGGGCTGGTAATCCTGGCCCAGCTTTCACCAGATCACGGATGGCAGGTGAAGTTCGCACTGGACTTCCCTGGAGCACCTTCAGGCGCTATTGAATTGTTGGTTTTGCATTCCCTCAAGGCTGCCGCTGCTACAGGTGCAACCTCAGTGACGTTTGGCGGTGGTGCCACAGCCAAGCTCACGCCAGGACACAACCTGAAGGGTACGAGAGTCAAGGTTCTGGCCAAAGCGTACCACGCAATCGCAACTGAGCTCAAGTTGACGAACAAGAGCGAGTTCCGAGAGAAGCTGGGAGCTCAAGATGATCCAATCTTTGGTAAGTGGTTCCCGGTATTTCCAAATCGTCGGCCGAAAATGCTAACCTTCGACAATAGTCTGCTACCCTCCACACGGCCTTGGGCCAGCTGGTGTCCGGGCCATTCTGAGTTTCTTCGAGGATGAAGAAGATACCAATAAGCTTGGTTAGAAGCGTTGTTGTTGTCAAGTGTATAGAGCATAGTTCACTGACCGTCCCATAATCATATGAAGCGCACTCTCAATTCTGGAATTCGAAATCATGTACCGTACCAGAACTTCGCTCTCCAGCTATATTTTGACACTGCCCATACATCTTCGTTGCCTGATCGAACAGCATTGCTCAGTGCCGATCAGGTACTCGTACATGTATTCGTTATTGCCTTTCACAGGAACTACGTCAAGTCCACTCTCAGGTGTGCAGGCCTGATCGATATTATCGATCCAGAAATATCTCAAAAAAATGCGGCGACATTTGACTGGGAACTGTGCAGCCATCGACATCAAGCTTGTCAACTGCAATGTCGTGCACGTGCGTGGCTGTCTTCCGCTGCAACTTGGGTCGGCAAGGGAGGACTGCCAGCAGCGACTGCATGATGAAAAGAGACGGGAAGGAAGTGCTGGCATCGTGAAAGACGCAAAGGGCGCAAAAGCTCTGCTGGTCACTGGTGAAGCACGTGAAGAGGGGCCATTTGGGAAAAACACAGTTTGGTAGGTATTGAATTTTTGATGTCGGTAGTCTATGAAAGTGTTGTACAACGCAATAGACACTAGTGTACAGATCCCACCTCAACTTCCACAGCGAGGTGTCGTATCATATCATGGTGCTCGTAGGTATGCATTACTGTCGAAGTTCGTCGTGCAGGTGTGTGAGTGGCATAGTGGGCCGAGAGTGTGTCCAGTTGAGGCCAAGTGATTACCAAGTGTGCCAGACGGGAGGCTATGGTTGTGTTCAGAAAAGGTTCTTCAGATCAGCTCGGATCTTCTTGCGGCCACGCATGCTGCCCATGTCGTGTCTCAGGCTTCCAGTGGGTCGGCTGTCCGCTCCATCGTGCGCGGGAATGGTCTCGACATGCTCTGCTGGGGCGACAACAGCCTTTTCGACAGCCGGCTTCTCGGCAGTGACCTTCTCAGTAGCAGCCGCTGGAGTTTCGACCACTTTCTTTGGAGCGTCACCAGCGTGCTCGGTGACGACTGCAGTGGCCCCAGCAGGCTTCTCGCCGGCTTCACCTTCGGGGAAATGGACGCGACCGCGACCTTCCTCTGCTTGACGTCCCAGAGTGCCGGCTGGTTGGCCTGGTGCTGTTTGAGTGACGGTGGTTGTGGCCGGATTTGGCGGTGGCACGGCGCCAGTGTCCTGAGCCTCACGCTTGGTCTTCCTCCTGCGATGGCAACAGCACAAGCAAGCAAGCAATGCGAGCACACCGAGGGCAGCACCGAATCCGGCCAGGAGACCAATTCTCATTTTCTTGTGGCTACTTGCACGCTTCCGCTCCTCCACGGCACATTGTTCAGCACACTCCTCCAGAGATGAGCAGGATGGAGCCGGCTGGATGTCCTTGTGAGGTGCTTGACTGGTTGGAAACACTCGCTCGACGTGCGTCATTGTGGTACCCGTTCTTGGAAGGACCCAAGTGTTTGACCTTATCTTCACGGTTGTGGGCCGTGCCATGACGCTGGACATCAAAGTGCGGTGCGGGTAATATAGACCATCGGCGGTCGTGCCCCAGTGAAGCTGAGATGACAGGAGTGTGCGTTGTTCGACCCAGACCTCGTGGTATTGGCCGCTGACGAAGGTGACATCGATCGGGTTCGCGTTATTGCGAAATGGCGCGGTAGCGTTGGTCCACTCGATGGGAAATTGGACAGCAGGCCACGCTCTGGTGATGTTGAGGGGCTTGGTGTGGTCCCACATGCATTTTCTGATCCTGCATTCGGTGACGTTGCGCTTTTCGCCTTTGTTTGCCGTACAGTCAGGGGCGGTATCATTGAAGCGCCAGGCGTTCCTCTTGTCGTTTAGTTCAAAAGGAACGCCAGTTGGGTGCGGTGGCAGTGTCAGGGTCTGCCCCAGCGTCGTGAGGATCTGTGTGAGAGTGACTTCGAGGACGCCAGGATTGGAAACCACGGTGGCGGGCATGGTAACAGTCGCTGAACCTGCGCCAATCGGGGCGGCGCTTGTCCTCCTCGGGCCGGCGACGACTGGAACTGGTATGAGACCTACTGTCATGATTTGAGGATCGACAGAAGTGGGCACCGTGGCCACAGTGACAGTTCTTGTGCGAGTCGCGGCTGCATCCGCCAGTACATCCTACAGTTCCGCGTCAGAAAACAGTGAATCGATAAGAGCATGGCTAGGCCCACCCAAGCAGCGCCCTTGTCGGAGTCGATGTGCTCAACATGAGCATCGCTTTGAGCGGCGATGAGCAGCGGCGCGCAGAGGCCAGCCACGAGAGCGCGCCTCATGTTTGCGGGTGTGTGAGCTGATGTTGTTTGTTGAAGAAAGGTAGGCAATGCAGTGCTGATGCGTGCAGAATGCTGGTGCCGGTGGGAGATGCTGATGGAGGACGACGATGATGGGGGAAGTGGATGTACGCGGAAGAAACAGAGAGAGAAGGGCACAGAGTTTTCGAGCTCGCGAGCAAAGAGCAGTGCCTACCGTGGCCGCAGCGGCAGTCATCATCGAGGCAGATGGGGAGCGGCGTTGCTGCAGAGGCAGAGACGGGGCAGTCCTGCTACTGCGGAGCGGAACACAGGCAGCGACATGGCTGACGCGGAGGTAAGAGCAGCAGGGCGCGACGGGCAGTGCAGGCCAAAGTGGAAGCAGAGAGGCGGAAGCAGAGGTGGTGGCGGAGCGGAAGTGGAAGGTGAGGTGGTGGAGGTGAAAGCGGAAGATGAGCACGGTCCACGCGTTCCTGCCTCGCTGTCCCACTAACTAGTTAGTGCTAACTAGTGCGGTTGCTAGGCGCCGAGAGCAAGTAAACACTGGAAGTCGTCATTGGTTGAGTGCGCTGGCCCCGCTACTGCTGCAGTGTGTGAAGTGTAAAGTGAGTGTTCGTTTGCATGCGAACAATCGTGTCCTGCCGTGGCACACGATTCTACCAAACTCAGCCCAAGCTACAACTCGACTACTCCACCACGCGCTTTCACCCCTGCCACGACGCCGACTGCACCATGCGAGCCCTCCATCTGCTGCCCGCATGCCTCATCGCCAGCATAGCAACCGCGCTCCAGCTGCCCGACTTCCAGCCCTTCCTCCAAGCCCTGCCCGACGTCCTGCAAGACCTCGTGCCTCAATCGCTGCAGAATGGGACAGCACACGAGCTGCTCAAGAGGCAGTCGAACGGCTGTCCGGACAGCTTCCGCTCATGCGCCAATTTGGGTGCTCCGAGCCTCTGCTGCATGTCCAATGCTGTCTGCAGTGCTGACTTCGCCGGACATGTTGCTTGCTGTCCCAGTGGAGCTGCGTGCACAGGAACAATAGGCGGTATCATTACTGGAGGCACTTTGAATAGCAATGGCGCCCCCGCGACCAGCACAGCGCCCGGCGGCTTCGCGACCACGAGTGCCGCCACCACAACGAGCTTCGAAGTCTTCACGAGTTCCGTTAGCAATGGACTGGTCATAGCGACTGCGACGGGTAACGGGGAGAACAACGGCTTTGTCATTGCGGAGAGCAGCATTGTGGCCACGCCAGGAAGCGCAGGAACACGGAATGCAGAGATTGTGAGTCTTTCCATCATGCCAATGGCAGCGTTTTGCTAACCTTATGCAGCCTTTAATCGCACGTGCCTTGGTGCATGTGCTGGAACGTTTACTTCTCTGACCCGCATATGCCCACATTTGACACGATCACGACCACGACCCCCAGAACCACGACTGTACAGGCGATGAAGATACGTAGCGAGCATGCATCGAAAATCTATCAATCTTCCGCGTTCGCGGCACCAAACTCCAAATGGTCCTCAGTCTGACTGTAATTCTTCCCACTTCCCATCTTCTGCTCATTGCATGGTTTCCAGTCTTCGAGAGCGTGGATCGGGTTGGAAACCGAGGAGTGGGATGATCCCGCATTTCATGCACATCGGGGCACTCACACTTGGACCGAAGGCAACAACAGAATTCTTGTCACGGGCCGCAGAACCGTCTCAGTACAAATCTACCGTCTTCCTACGTGAATCGCGATTTTCAGCCATGTGGCTGATAAAGGACAGGAGAAAGCACGTTTGTACGCCACTGTTCAATACAGCATTACATGTGTGCTTCGAGCTTGGTCTGGTCACTGCTGCTCGGACTTTTGCGATAGGTGCATCATGCTCTCCTCGCTCTTTGCTGTAATGACATACATGTATGCGCACTTCTCTAGTCCTGATGATTGAGCAGCAACTCTACGAATACATCAAGATGAAGCTTGGCCCGAAGCTCTGAATCTGCATGTGGCCAGCCGAGCTTCAAAGCTGACGAATGATGCGATGCACAGCACAGAAAGTACGATACTCGCACGTCATCAGAACTCGCAACATTGACCATTCACCATAGCGCCTGCAGACACTACACAATCGCGGGCTGGCAAGTGGTGATTTCACGCACCACGCATACAACTGATCTCCATTGCAGGCCCCTCTCCAGCGAGGACTCACCACCGCCATTAGCAGTACCGATCGAAAAGGTGCACCCATTGACAGCAGATTGCTAGAGCGATCCTCACGCCACTTCATTCGACTCGGCTTGGGAGTTGTTGCGACGTCTAGTTACCACAGACCTGACCATGACTTCACAAGCTTCAGCAGAGCACCAATGGTGGAAAGAAGCTGTGGTGAGCATTAGCTCCGGCACTCAATCACGATTCAACTAACAGAACATGAGGTGTATCAAATATACCCAGCGTCTTTCAAATCCAGTGGAGGCAACACCTCGGGCTGGGGCGATGTTCGCGGCATTACCTCAAAATTGGACTACTTGAAGGATCTGGGTGTGGACGTTGTTTGGACGTCGCCCATTTACAAGAGCCCTCAGGTCGATATGGGCAAGTTGACTTTCCCCTGCGAGCGTTCGTGCGTTGCTAACGATTCCAAGGTTATGATATTGCCGATTACAAAGACATTGATCCGCGATATGGCACACTGGCTGACGTTGACGACCTCATCGCCGGGCTGAAGCAGCGTGACATGGAGTTGATGATGGACCTTGTGGTCAATCACACGTCCGATCAACATCCTTGGTTTCTCGATTCCAGGTCATCAAGAACAAGCAAGAAGAGGGACTGGTACATCTGGAAGGATCCGCGTCACGATACTGACGGCAAGCGACAGCCTCCCAATAATTGGGCTCAGATTCTTGGTAGGCATTGTGAGATTGAAGCTATCATGGAGTCCTTACTGACGACGAATTTCCATTGCAGGTGAGGCAAACAGCGCTTGGACCTGGGACGCAGAGACCGAGCAGTACTATCTCTCGCTTTTTACGCCGGAGCAGCCCGATCTGAATTGGGAGAATCCCGAAGTTCGAGCTGCAGTCCACGATGTTCTGCGCTTCTGGCTTGAGCGAGGTGCATGTGGGTTCCGCATGGATGTCATCAATCTAATATCCAAAGTCCAATCGTTTCCGGATGCTGATATCTTCGACCCAAAGGCTGATTTCCAGCCTGGCCACAAGTTCTACGCCAACGGGCCACGACTGCACGAGTATCTGCGCGAGATGAATGAAAAGGTGCTTAGCAAGTACCACGCCATCACTGTGGGGGAGATGCCGTTTGTGAACGATCAAGATGAGATTCTGAAAGTGGTTGGGCGTGAGCGCAACGAACTGAACATGATTTTCATTTTCGAGGTGGTCGACATATCCAATCTTCAAGGGGCACCGAGACTGACGCTCAGACCTTGGAAAGTCAAGGAGCTGCGAGATATCATCTCGAAGTGGCAGAACGTCATGCGGGAGAAAGGTGGTTGGAACAGTGTGTTCATATCGAACCACGACAATGTGAGGAATTATACTTGCCACGATGTTCCTGATGATGTTGCTGATCTCTTGCAGCCTCGCCCGGTGTCGCAATACACGGACGACTCCCATCAATACCGTGAACTCGGTGCAAAATTATTGTCCTTGATGGAAACGACGCTAAGTGGTACGCTATTTGTGTACCAGGGCGAAGAGCTCGGAATGTGCAACGTAAGTGGAATCCAATGTCTACGAGTTTGGCGCCAACTGATGCCGAATGTAGGTGCCACCGGACTGGTCGCCCTCGGAATACAAAGACATTGAGTCTCAGAACTATGTATGTCTATCGTTGAGAAACTGCGGGATGTCAATACTGATCAAGCTGTGCACCATAAGTGGAAGAAAATGAACGAACTCTATCCTGACGACGAGAAAATGCTTCGCTATGCGCGAGAGGTGCTGCAAAAGAAGGCGAGAGATCACTCTCGCACACCTATGCAGTGGAGCAACGAACCGAATGCTGGTTTCTGCGACGAGAATGTCACTCCCTGGATGCGAGTCAACGACAACTTCCTGTCTTTGAACGCGCAAGACCAACTGAAGACGTCCGGAGATCTCTCCGTTTTCCAGTTTTGGCAACGCGGACTGGAGAACAGGAAGAAGCATAAGAACGTTTTCGTATATGGCTCTTTCGAAAGTCTGGATGAACGAGACAATGGAATCTTCGCCTACAAACGATCGGATGGCACCGACGAGGGCTTCGTGGTCGTGCTCAATTTCTCGAAGGAAACGATAGACTGGGACATCCCAAAATCGGCCGCCGTTCACAAATGGGTCACCAGCAACTATGCAGGCGATATTCCCAGCAGCGTAATCGGGTCTATCACCCTGCGACCATTTGAATCGCTGCTCGGCACTGCTGCGCCGTAATCATCGTGCGAACGCGCAACGGTGTTTACAAATGTCAGCAACACAACGAACCGAGGCAGTACTTCGACTTCGCAGTGCCCTAAAGGTATTATCCTCGCTCACCGTTCACGCTATCTGCTAGCATAGCTCATGCAGTCTGAACAAAGTGCGCAGTCATGCTGTTAGGTGCGGGAATTGCTTGCTTTGGCAACTCCACGGGGGCTGTGAACACAAGGGAACGTGGTGACAAGAGCCTAGGGTGCACTTATGGCCCCCTGTTGAGTTGTGAGTCTCGAAGAGTAATCAGCAATCGCCAAAGAGCGGGATAGACCAATACGATCAGATCGCTGGATGGCGTACCCGGATGTGATGAGCTTTCTCACGCGAGATCAAGTCGCATCTCACGTTCCAGGCAAACAGGCTCACGGGGCGGCGGCATCGCGGTTGAGATTGTCACAAGCCTGGAAACACGCTAGAGAAGCCAGGATCGACAGGTACGAAAGTTCCCGAGCACGTGCACGACCAATGATGTCAACATGCCGAAAAAAATGTTGCAACACTCATCCGCTGATCAACAAATCATCGCACACCCTCGTGGCAGATTGTGCTTCGCGGCGATAGCTCAAGCGCGACAATAGGCCCACGCGAACAGAGTCTGCAACATCGAAAGCTTTCCAGGCAACTCGCGGGCCCGTGTGATCGCCCTTTGCCTGTTATCGAAAGGTCCGATTGATAGTGTGCAGACTTCCAATTGTGTCACTGATAACACATAAGCACTCCACCGCCCTGCAGATATCCCGTGCTCATTTATCGGGGACCAGACGCGGACGCATCAGGGAATGCCAAAGAGATTTCTTTGCTGAGAACTCAGACCACCACACACCGCCGGGCCGACCAGAATACCGCCATGGAGTGTTCAATCAGCGTGCAACTGATGTGTCCCGGTGGAGGCATGTGCTCATCACCCTGATGAATCGCATCAGCGTGTTTGAGAACATGTATATACCCGGAGCCTGTCCGACCTCGCGTGCACCGCCTGCTATCGACCTCTTTTGATCAGTGATCTGGCGACCTGTTTACCGAGTGCCCTTACATTGCTCTCGTCTTGACACATTGACACAGTTCATCATGTCTGCAGAGCTATACCGCACGATGAGCGTCAAGCAGACCGCGATGGCTGCGACTGCATTGCCTCTCGAGATTCAGCAACAGATCTTCAACTACTTGGACACACGGTCATTCTACTCTGCTAGGAAAGTCTGCAGATATGTAAGCCGTCTTCTACAATACAGGCAGATCACGACAAGTCTGACCCTTTGTCCGATTCCAGTGGTCGTTCGCTGCAACGGCGAGTGATACTCTCAGAAAGCAGCTGCGGAGAATGCCTGTTTTGCCTTCAGACGATGCGCAGGAAGCCGAGCCAGTTGACCTCCAATCCGCGTTCAACAAAGCCGCGCGGTGTCTGATGTACGGAATTTCCACTGAGCGCGCACACGACACCCCAGCAAGCCTAACGAAAGGCTCGAAAATGGGATTTCCCGTATCACCTCGAGTTATCGCGACTCCAGACGGAAACACCCTGGTCACCTTGAACGGTCGACAAATATCGCTCTATGATACCTCGAATCAATCGCCGAGATTAAAGGCTCGCAGAAGCCTGAACGATTTGAAAGAGACTGTAGGATCTGGACCATGGCTCAAGGTCAACAGCAATACCTATAACGAAATGGCGCTGTCTTCGAATGGATCTCTATTGGCTGTGGCTCAGGAACGCACTATTCAGATCTACGACCTCAATGCCGATCCGGACAGCTTCACTGTCAATGAGTATGTGGCTAGCGCAACAGGCCATTATATTTGTGGCATCGACTTCGAGCAGAACGATCATCTGTTGCGGGTGCGATTGAGCGGTAAGGGCACAGTGGTCTACCTGGGCACTCCTGCTCCTGCAGGAAAAGAAGAGCAGCCAGCGGATTTGGAACACTGGAAGAGCAAGGCTGGTCTGAGGCATGTGTTCCTCGACTCTTCGCTTTTGTTGGCGAGAGCTGGTGAAGTTGGCACATCGGACCCTACAAAGCGCGTGTCAGGCGTACAATTGCTAGGAGCATTCGAGCAAGGATACCTCTTTGCTGGGCAACAGCATGGCGGTGGCGAGAGCAGCCATTGTAAGTCTTACCGCGGCATTCGGTAGCCCTAGCAGAACAAGCAGACTAACCGAACTTTGTACCAGATATCCTGGGCCACGTGCAAACCACGACTGCGCACAACTTCGGTATCATGACGACCCAGCCCGAGACGGTCTGTATCCTGGCTCGATTGGAGAGTTTCCTCAGCAGCTGGAAATACACTCTCGAAGCCTCCACGGAAGGTGGCCTAGGAGGGTGGGAGAATATGCCTTCTGCTCACGAGCATCATCCACGCTTCGCCATCACGACTGGGGGATGCTTCGATTTCCTCGCACTTGCCGAAAGGGACAAGAAGCGCATTCGCCCAGCACCATTGACCCAGCTGTTCCTTTATCGCATCCCAGCACCTTCACAGCTTCGTTCAATGATCGCTGCGCACAAGCAATCGTACGCACGAAAGGCGGGCTCGTCGGATGACATGGATTGGAGTGTTGCGGAAACTGGGAAGCCAACGAGGACGTTCTTCGATGTGCCAAGAATACCGTTATGCCTGACGACTGTGGAGAACGATGTGACGGATCTCGGGTTCTCCGTCATCGATGACAGGACGTGTGCTTTGTCAGCTTCGACGAAAGAGACCACGAGGACCTGGAGGATTCACGAGAGATGATGGGTTGGAAACAACTGGCGAGCTTAGGCAAACGAATCGACATGGTTTCATCAGCTCTGCACCTCGGCGATCTTGTAATCATTATATTTCATCTGCATGATAGATGACGTGCCAACTGGGTTGGACTCAGAACAAAGTACACCAGTTCTAGAATCTCATCAGTAGTGGAGACAGCTCCTCTCTGCCTCTGCACTTTGCGGAGTTAGAGAACGGGCCAAAGAGTAAAGACTCCGTGCGGGCTCGCTCGGATGCATAGGGATTGCATAGACTTCCTTCCAGTTTTTTTCCCACGACTTCTGCTTCTCTTGCTCGTTGCAGGTGATTCACAACAGGCGCAGCAAGCAGCAGCGAAGAAAGCCAGCCCAGCCCTCAGTACGTGTGTGTATCCTTCCCGGAACACGGCTTTATTTGCGTCTGCCGGATTTTCGGAATCTGACCAATCCATGAGACCCACGACCACGACCACCACGCACACCCGGCCGGTCGTCGTCTATTTATGACCTTTTGTGTACGATGTTCACGCATTTCATCTCATCAGGGCGCCCGGCTCTTTTCTGCGCTTGTGACTGGGGTCCTGCTTGCCTTGCCTTGCGCGTTGCTCGTGCGTGCGTGGACTTTTGAGGCTGTGTTTTCTTGCAACAACATTGATGATGATGAACACTTGGTCTTCTGATGATTACCAACAACTTCGCGGCATAAATAATGATAACAATGTCATGTGGACTGGCTGGCTGGCTGGCTGGCTGGTCCAACGGACAACGGACGACGAGGCTGCACCGCGTTTTCTTGGGGGCGCACGCAACAATTGCACTGCACCACATGAAGCTCTCTTTGATCCATGGATCAGATTCACCGCTTTTGCTATGTATTCCTGCACGTCTCGTAGGCGTGTGGCGTCTACGTACACAAATCGGAAGCCGATGCGTGTTTCTTGGGGTCTGCTGCACAAAGTGGGCGTGGGCAGCATGCCGCCAGCTGTTCAAGACCAATGCAACGCAACGCCAAAAATGGTTCTCCTTTGAGATGAAAGACCTCGTACAGAATCCAGACGGAGGGGGGCCCTCGTTCGTGCTTCGGAAAAAAGCACGAAGGTTGGCATGGGTTCTAGATCGGTGTCTTAGGTCCAGAGTCGCCGACTTGGACGTCAGGATAGGGTGCTGACCGTTTATGCGTGCTTGCAGCGATCTATAGCAGTGCCAACGAGCTAAACCGAGTACGTTTCAGCGTTCAACCTGTTCGGAGCTCATCAGGGCTCTCTCGTGAAGAAGATGAGCCTGACCCGTGATTCATTGAGGTCTCAAATTATTGGAACATTGGCTGCCACAGTATACTGCCGCTCTGCAGAATCGTGATACCCTTGGACACTATGAAGGCGCGGGTTGGGCGCTAGTGACTGGAGCTTTCTCAGGTCTGTCCGAAATCACTGTCTTCCCCCGTGCGGAGGACGGGGATGTCGACCCGTCCGGAGTGTCACGGAATGGCGCTGCTCAAATGACCACTTGGCTGCCCAGGCTCCATTTTTGAGACGATCTCAAACTCAATTATTACAGTTGTGCAAGTACTTGCCAGCCAAGTGGTGGACCGCAAGTACAGACACAGCCACCAGGAGAAGGCATGTTCCCTTTCTCCTTTGCCAAAGGCTTGTCTGCGCACTTTTGATTAGCTCCGGATTTCTGTAACGCGGCGGGACAAGGATTACTCACGTTGCTCGAAACACTCCCACGAGGCACATGGCGTTGAGATGCGCTATTGTAGCCCTGTTCGAGAGACGGATCTAGCCAGGATTCTCCTTCAGCATCAGTAATCGCATCCTTTGGCACCTTTTGCAAAGCCGATATCGAGCGTATGGAGAGTGAGAAGTCTCCCTCTTGGGTTCCGAAGAAGCTGTGGAAAATTTTCAACTTCGGCAGTGCAAATCTCGACTGCTGCAGACCACATACCTCCTCATCATGATGCTGAAACGTTTGATCTTCTTCAAGTCGATCGGCTTGGCATCCTTCTTCGGTCGCCCTCGATAAGTCGCATTGAAGCTACTCCATGGAATGAAGATAGTCTTGTCATGCGCGTCACCAGGCACTGTTTGCGGTGGAAGCTCAAAGTCGCATTCGTACGAGATGCTCGACTGTTCTCTTCCCGTGTCGGGGTCCTGCGGCAGAAGCTCATCCTTGAGATTGAATGTGTAGCGTTTCTCTGTGACTTTGTTAGCCGAGTCTACATCATATCAGCGAATACCATACTATCGCCTTTGGCTATGTACAGCTCAATGCCTGCATAGTCAGAAAGATCCCACTCGCGATCATCACCAGTCGTCCTCTGACTTGCAAAGCCAGCACCTCCGAGAGTCTTGATGTCTAGAGTTCCTCGGAAGGTGCCTGTGGTCTTGGTGCAATCAAGATATGAGATGCTCTTGCCTAGTTGAGCAGTTAGATCGGGTACAACAGCTCGAGCACGTAGCTTCTCTTACCACCTCGGACGCGATCATCACTCGCTATCCAGTCGTCTGAGTGCCATCCATTGTCGCCGCCGAACAGTGTCAGAGCGTCGCGCATCTTTGCGGATGTTGTGATTGTTGTTGTTTGGTAGTCGAGCAGAAAGAGCGAGCCATGAGATCATCGTCACGTGCTGCTTTATGAACATCTGTGCTGGTCCAAGTTGACGAACACCGGACTCCAGTCCTTGACAATCTTCACAATATGTACAGTATTGAGTTCGCTTTACGCTTGAGAGGAGTCGATGTGAAGGAGTCATCACGTTCCGGGTCTGGTGGTACATATTCACCAAAGCCACTGCCTACCGCTGCATTGAAATCGTTCAATAGTCGATAATGTGTAGGTGTTTGCGAATGTGCTAGATCACCTAGCGCGGAGTGCTTGAATTGTTCCACTAGTAATGCCAGATGCGATTGCATATTAATGCAAAGCTCTCTGCGATCGAACTTGTTTTGCTAAGACGACTCAGATGCTCTCCGAGCGCCTCCATGACCTGCGTGGTGCATGGTTGGATTTTCCCATGTCTATGAGGCCACGCATCCTCCCTCTGCTCTATAATCCTCGTGCTTGGAAATCGTGCAACGAGTCAATGTACCCATCCGGTCCAACGCCATCGCTCAAACAGACAAAGAAGAAATACTAAGCACATTCATGTGCTCCTTTTCGCGGCAAATCCAGCCCTCATTTCCCAGTCATTGGCATCATCCAATCAGTATCCCAGACCTGGTGGTGAGAGAGCCGGAGGAGAGCCCGCCTGCCACTCTTCTGAAGAGTCCGATAATGATGGCGTCTGGCGCTATCAGCCTTTGCTTGGATTCCGCGCAAATGACTGCTGTTTACTCACATAATGATGCTGAGTTTGGTAAGACGTTATCTCATTGGCCATGGATGCGTAACTCATGCTGAAAGGATTGACCTCGTCGTCGGCGTAGACCTCTTGCTTGATGGGAGGCTGCATCAGGTTCTGGATGGCATACGTCTGCGTGGGGGCACCGTAAGACTGGTACATCGCCATGTCCAAGCCGGGCGCGCAGTAACTCGAATATGTCGAATAGCCAACGGTGTCCACTGGCGGTATGGGAGCATTTACGGTGAAAGGTGGAGGCGATGTCGATAATTGTCGGGTGAATTGCTGAGAGAACATGCTTCTGTCTTCCGATGGCAGCACGTACTGTTGGGCGAGGACCTCAGGTGTTCGGTTGCGTTGACTTTGACCATGCAACGACCGTGTCCGTTGTGCATTCGAGCGTTGCGCTGTAGAATCGTCGCTGATGGTGGTGGGCAGCTCCTCGTGTCTTTGCTCTGGAGATGCAGAGCTCGAACCTGCTCGACGCTCCAGATCTTCCAGCCGCTTCTTCAGCTTCTTGCCTACGAAACCGTCAGACGCCTGCTACGCAATTGCAACATCGATGCGACGTACGGTAGTTCCTTTGTGCGATGCGGTTCTGTATCCTTCGTCGTTCGGCAAGGTCTGAGATTTTGGTCCAATCTTCGTTGGGATTCGCACTGGCACTGAAGGCTGCGAGCGATATGAGCTCATGATGTGCATGTGGATCGATTGTGGGCGAGGGACTTACCACTACTTGTCGCGTGTGCGGTGGGGTAGTGTTTCTGGACCGCGGCGGCGGGATACTGCGGATAGCTGTAACGATCCATGTCTAGGTGATCGTACATGCTGCAAAGGTCTTCTGAGTCGATGAGTAAAACGGCCAGTGAGTATAGAAGTCAACGCGAACAGAGGACGATGATGAGGATGGCTCTGGGCTGGCGGTCGGGCGAGTTATGCATATATCGAGTACGGTCACCCCATTTCAAGGGCACTAGAACGCGAGCAAGGTTGAGGCTTCCGAGAGATCCTACTGTCTGCGACGTTCCTCTACGGACTGGGGCGGCATGCGTGGCTCGGACGCCTGGCTCTGGGAGCGCCGACGCAACCCTGCATGGTCTGACGGCATGCGTCGAGCGAGGTGGCTCGCACAGGGAGCACATGGACACAGGGCTGAACCGCAGATTCCTTGGGCGACGTGATTAGCAAAGCGTGTCCGGCCGAGAATAGGATGATGGGAGAGGATGCTAAGGCCGCCAGAAGTCGATGTTGTCCATCGGTGTGAAGCAACGCAGACAGGCAGGCCGGATTTATGCAGATCCGAAGCGAGTGCGAGACCAGCACCAGGCTACAGATTTGTGATGTGCCGCGGCGTTCCATGCACATGGTATAGCAGCACGATCTGCCGCAGGCTCTGCGTCTGCCATCACGAGTGCACGACGGCGGAGTCCATGGATTTCACGGGGTCCGAAAATGAACGGCCGTTGCGCGTGGCCTGGGCAGCGCGCGGCAGTTGTCGCAGTCTCAGCCTGGGGGCAGCATGTGGTCCACCGGCTCCGGCGAGTAGCAGCATGGCAGTGTGCTGCGCTGCTGTTGCTGCTCCTCCTCCTGTTCGTCGTCGTAGGGAGGCCTGATGGGCGTCGCAGAGTGCCTCTCGCTGGGTCGCGCGCACAACTCTGCATGCGAGCCTCACCGCTCAAAAGTCGACGGCGGCATCCCGCAAAAGACCACGGCCATCCATGTCGAACTACGCCGTGTCCGCAGGATGCAGCTGCTGCGCACGTTGGAGGAGCGCAAGCCAGCCCTACAGCAACAGCAGCGCCAATGACAAACAAAGTGCGCAGCCAACGTCCGTAAGTGTGGCAACGCGTGTGTTGCGCGCCCTGTCGCCTGCTCTCTTCCGATATGCCCGTGGAGCCAGCGTCGCTTTGGATGGCGTCAGGCCTTCCGAGCTGCGTGGCCCCGCCGCTTCCAGTTCGCTTGCAAAAGAGTGGAAGCGAGCGCTACTTCCAGATGGCACTGCAGACGCGACACTGAAGCCTAGACCTCTGCCCACAGCTACACGTCGCCGCCGTGAAGCAATGTCGAAAGGACAGGTAAACTGAATGAAGACCTCGCAGGACAATTGGGGACGGCGATGTGGACCCACCTCGCTGTGGCGGCTTCTCCGCGCCTTCCACAAGCCGTTCAGGCCATCGACAACCGCATCTCGGCCTGAGCCGACCGCAGATGCCTCGCCCATCGTCACGGTGCCCTCACATACTGGAGACAGCAGAACATCGGACGCACAGAAGGCGACAAAGGCGACGCCACCGCTCAGGAAAGATGATACGTCGAATCTTGGCACGCTGCGTGCCCCCAACCATCCCAAGTGGTACTACTGTCCATGCCGCCATGTTCATTGTGTTCCATCGACAGGCGCCACCATACATATATGAAACCGAGCGAGCGTGACAAGTCATCAAGCTCATTCCCCAGTCCAGGCGGAGAAGCTCAAGCAAATACAAGAACCGGAAGAATTTCCGCCGTCGAGGTAAAGAGGCACCGAAGCGACTGTAGATCCACTTCAAGTCGAGGCAGTCATGGACCTGTCATAGTCTCCATTAATTACGACTTGATGGACTTTCATCGCCACGACATCCGAGAACGTAGTTCAACTGCTATATAGATACCTCGGCAGGCGGTTTGGAATTCTTCCACGCGATATCACCGAGAGCAATATATTCGACACTCCATTCGACCAAAAGCTGCACGCTCGTCACTTTCGAGCTTCTTCTCCATCTCAGTTCTGATCTCTTCTGGGGCTGCAGCCGTTGCATTCCACATTCGATCCATTTTCCCTTGTACCAGCCCAACATGAAGGCATTCGCCTTTCTTGCTGGCCTGATCAGCCTGGCCACAGGCCTTACCACACCTCCGTCCGGCGCTTTGGTTGTCAGCAAGACCCCCAAAAGTGGACAGTACGCCACTGTTCAGAAAGCCGTTGATGCCTTGTCAACCACTTCGACCAAAGCGCAGGTCATATTCATCCAGCCAGGGACCTACAACGAACAAGTGTATATCCGTAAGTGCAGTTGCTCACAGGCATCTTTCGTCCGAGACACATGCTCAACTTCGATCAATTCCTTCTAGAGAGCCTCAGCGGACCTCTGAGCGTGTACGGCTATTCCTCGTCAGACAAATCGTACACCGGGAACCAAGTCACAATCACTGCTGGCGAGAGTCAACAGACACAGCCCAGTAACGACCTGACTGCCACACTCCGCGTGCACACCACCAATTTCAAGCTCTACAACGTCAATGTTGCCAACTCCTTCGGCCAAGGAAGCCAGGCTGTCGCTGTGTCCGCCAACAATGGGGTAAGTGTATTGCATATGAACGACTAATGTAATCGAATCAAAGATTCGCTAACAAACAGTCGTGAAGGGTCAAGGATACTACGGAGTGCGGCTCACTGGTTACCAAGACACGCTCCTCGCCAACGACGGTGCTCAGCTGTACGCAAAGAGTTACATCGATGGCGCTACTGATTTTATCTTCGGACAAAGGGGACAAGTATGGTTCGAGAAGTGCGATCTTCGAGTCAAAGCAGCTTCCCTAGGATACATTACCGCGTCTGGAAGAAGCTCTAACGATGCTGGATACTATGTCATCAACAAGAGCACCGTTGCAGCTGCTTCCGGAAACACTGTCCCCGCTGGTGCATACTATTTGGGTCGACCATGGAGGAATTATGCCCGAGTGATTTTCCAGAGCACCTCAATGACCAATGTGATCAACCCAGCTGGGTGGAGAATCTGGAAGTGAGTCGGAATTGCATACATGCTCTCATATTGTTGACTGACGTGTTTATAGCACTGGCGATGAGCGTACCGATCAAGTGACATTCGGCGAATACGCAAACACAGGCGCAGGCAGTCAAGGTACCAGAGCTAGCTTTTCCACGAAGCTTTCAAGCCCGGTCAGCATCACCACGGTTCTCGGCAGTGGGTATGCATCCGCTGCCTGGGTTGACACTGCTTACCTCAACTAAGTCGATAAAGCATGAAGCTTGCAAGGCTATTTACACGACTTTTCGAGCAACACATCGCGATGAGGAGCGTCAGAAGCTGGATTTCTCGCAAATCAAAATTGAGCACAGCGGGAGACAGCCAGATTCTGAGAACACCCTCATTGAGCGCCACAAGCGACAGAGTATACTCCAAACAATCAACATGCTTCTCTCAGCAGAAAACTCCTCCATCTCTCACTCCAATGCAATGTGTTTTCCTCGTCCGGCCAGAGCTCATGAAAAACGCCTGCGACCAGTGGCGTGAGCTTCTCGTCGGTGACTCTCAAAGCTCTGGTTCTTTTAACGCTGACTTGACCAGATCGATCATCCTTCTCGTCTTTCTCACAGAGCCATTGTCCGGCCAGTACAGCACACGCTCGTCCGAGACCTCCATAAGTCTGATTGCGTTGCGATCGTATCTCTAAACGTCTAAGGCGTAAGTGCGCAGTGGGAATGGGATTTGACGACGCAACGGTCTCAAAAATGGCCTTTGCAAGCGAAGCATCGATGGCGTGGTTGATCAGCGTGTGCTTTATCGACTCGTTTAGTGGGTTTCCCTCGTCATCGTTGTCCGACGTGTTCGCGTCACGGCAATCGAGGATGAGATACAGATCTCGTAGGCGTGCAATCCGGCCTATGGAACGATATGTTCTGACTTCTGCTGCATCTCCACAAGTCCGAGGAATTCGCATGCAAAATTTCTGAAGTTTCGGACAGAGTCTTGCTACAATCTCCGCAATACCTGCTGCATTCATGCTGTCTGAAAGTGGGTGGATTATTGCAAGCTCTCGCAGAGTCCGGCCGTGTCTGTTCAAGACATCCACTAGTTGCACGTTGTCGAAGTTCGAGACGAGCTTCAATTCATTGAGTCTTCCGACCTTTTGGAAGAGCGCCGGTATTGCGATTGATGCAGGGTGCACCGTGTGTCTCGACACTAGCTCCAGAGAGCATGTATTAACGAGCCAGGTAGCCGTTTCGGCGTCAATGTGCTGGTGGAGTTTCAGCTCTTCCAGATTCTCAAATGCGGTAACTTCACTCCATCCCTGTAGAGCTTCGAGTGTAGCTGAGTCCGGACCTGCGAGCTCGAGCGATCTCAGCTTGCCTTTGCAACCCGGTGGCAAGACACTCAGCTCATTCCCTTTCCAAGTCTGTCTGGTTTGACGTCTCGAGCTTATTAACTGCATTGAACTTCCAGGTTTCTCGCGCAGCATGCTCACTTTCCGCAGACCAGGCGCCGCACCGCGAACCATATCGAACAACGCATCGAGATGGTAATCGAAGAACCCACTGTCGTCATATTCGTCGAATCTTCCTAACTTTACACTGTACAGCTGTTGATGCGTGGCCAACTTCCTCTCGTACGGGTCTACTTCAATCTCCTGATGAGGAAACCGTAACAGGCTGCGAAGACAAAATGTCTCCAGATGGATCCGACAAGCCGGAACCTTTTGCTCAAGGCACTGCAGGATGTTAGGATGGAGCTGTGGAGCGCCGGCATATACGAAGTCTTTGAGTCCAGGAAGATAACTTATCAAACCTGTAAGTGCCTGCCATCCGGCTGCCTCGTCCACGATCCGATCTGGATGATCGCTTGGGAGATACTGCCAGTTCTCGTTGAGTCTATCGCCGCATTCAACAAACTTTCCGATTGGTTCGTGGGTATCTTCGTCAAGTATGCGTATCGTTCTGACGTATTGAAGGCTTTTGGCGAGTCGTAGTCTTTTCGCCCATATTGAAGCTTGGTGTCCTAGTTCGCTCGTGTCGTAGAATGTGATACTGATAGTAGCGAACAAGACAGACCGTGCAGGATCAACGCATGACTTGCAAACTAATGCGAAGGCACGACAATCAGGAATGTGCAGACATATGGAGCGGAGGATGGCCTGTGGCAAGTGTTCAAGATAACCCATGGCTGTTGTTGGTCGAGTTCCGGAGTTGTGTCTGCAGCGTGCCAGAACCGAAACAGTACATAAGGATCGAGGTCCGGACGTAGGATGTCTATCTCACGACATCAGCGCTGGGAAACGACTGTTATATAGCTAAGGAAATACAAGCTCCATCTAGCGCAACTAGCAACATGCAGTGGCGCTAACGATGGCGGGATCAAGCCGTGTCAAACCAGGCAGCCACTTCGCTCTGCTTGGCCGACACAGCCTATGAGAAAGTCGAAGACGGTCTTGAACATATGCTGTAGCGTAAGCTATGCAGTGAATGAAGTTTTACCCAACGTTGCTCTACTATAGTTTGAGCTGGCTTTTGGATGTGAGGAATGATCTCGGCACACCGATATATCGCGCTCGGAGGAACTCCACGAATCCCTAGAGAAGTCAATCAATGCAAGAAGTGAGGCAAATGAGGGAAGCTCACCTTTCCCAGCGCGTCTGGACTACTTGTACTACTGACTCCGGTGCCCAGCAGTCCATGAACCACAAAATGAATTGCTTGAATGTTAGGGAACTCGCATCTCTCGATACGTAGCCGCGGATCGTAGTCATTGGCCATCAGTGCTAGATTTGATGTCAACAATACCCTCTTTCTGTGCATCATATCACGTACCTATAAGCCGATCAATCGTCATAAAGCTCCGTAACCATTGCCATGTCTGCTCCGTCTGCTGGCTGCTTGGCACAAATAAGCCTACGTTGACGTTAGCTCCCTTGTCACCACTCCTGCCATATAGAATGCTGCGTAATGGAGCTTTTATTGTTGGTCCAAAACTTTCAAGTGCCGTATAATGCTCGTCACTCAGTGGAGGGACAGCACCCGGTGTAGGATAATGTTCCGGAACGTTCTGTAGCGAGTGGCGAGGCAGGACACTTTGCTCCGCCCCGCTCGACTGCAGAAAATGGCAGGTTTCTCGAATCTGCTCACGTTTGATGAGACCAGTATACAATGTGACGATCGGCTTTGGATCTGCAGTGCGATAGTCGAGATTAGGTGTTAGGGCCGGAAAGCCTTGGAGTTGATTGCTTAAGAGAGGACCCAGGAATCGTCCTCGAGACAAGACTTGTGGATTGTCAGCCTGCGCAAACACACTGCAAGTGAATCAGCTCGCGATCTTTGAGTCTCTTTGGCATGCATTATCCGGCATACCGTAATGTTGCGGTAGCTTCATTCAATGACTTCGGATCGGCGGAAGGCATGCCAACAAGTTGAAACTCCAGTTTCTTGAACTTGGATGCGTTGATCATTTTCAGAGACATTCTTTTAAAGCTTTCCATTTTCTCTCTTGCATCAAGTCCTGTCACGTAAACGGAGAACTCAGCTTGGTAGCCTGCTTCTGCAGTAATTGCGACCTTGAGAGTTGCTGGCGGTGGCAACCCTAAACGGCACAGTTAGCTAAAGGATTGAATGAGAGTACCATTCGAGAAGCACCTTTCACGCCGCTCACTTCAACCTTGTTGCTCTCCACCTGGGCCATAGTGATCCAGGTGAGATCAGCGACGACATCAGGATTCAGATACCGATCGCCTTGCAACTCATATACGAACTGGGTTCGCACCGTGTCAACGGTGATCCTGCAAAAACAATCAGGTATTGGCAAAATCTCATAGGTATGACTTCACCATACATGCCATGCTGATCTGGCTGTTTTTGGATGACGGCAGTGCCGTCCGACCTGACTTCGGCGATGGGAAATGAGAGGTTGAAATGGTTGTCACCCATATCTTGGAAGCCAGCAAAACTTCCGCCGCACTACAGCTCGTCAATAAGATGGCTTGTTTTAGGGTAGGGCCTGGGAAATGTTCTCGACTCACCACATAGCAACCACACTCGATCAAGTGTCCCGCGACCAATGACCCTGCCAATGAATCCAAATCATGAGCTGTCCACTTGTGCCACCAGGCACACAGACCAATCACCTAATGAGTCCACGCAGTCAGTCTCGCTCCAGTTCAAGCGCGAGGTGTCGCATACTGGGCTTGCATCGGTACATCGACCAGCTATGACGATATCCGCGCCTTCTTCCAAAGCCGTCTGGATACCAGCGGCACCAATGTACGCATTCGCTGAGAGGATACGGCCATATGATCTTCGGAACGAATCGTAGGTACCGCTCATTGGAGTCAAGGGCTGAAATGATAGCTCATCGACTCGGTCCAGAATGTTGTCACCAGATATGTAAGCGATGCGGCGGTGGACACCGTTTTTCGTCAAAAGTCCATCGACTTCCGCGGCGAGCTGCTTTGGGTCTCCTCCACCAGCGTTCACAACGATCTTGAGCTTGCGCGGGTAGGTCTTGTAAAGGTCCATGGCCATCCGCAAGGAATGCAGGAAGCCGGGCTCATATCGTCCTTTGCCATTGCTTTGCCGTTCGAGGGCGCGTGTACCAATGTTGTACTATGCATGGAGTCAATATTGAGAAGGTAAGCGATCGCTGCGCTACTCTCGGCCCACCTCTGAGAGCCAGTCACCCGTGATAGCATCAACTTTTGTAGGACCACTGAGCATGGATTTAAGCCCTGCAACTTCTATCAGTTTTGGAGCGATATTGTTGTCTGCGTGGGCAGACTGCCATCAAGTCGATCCCCAGTAGAGCCGGACACGTTGGCGATCAGAATCGGTCGCATTTCGATTGTACATTTGAGGTCATGAAAAGGGTTTGTCCTTCATATTCGCACATGTTTTGAATGTTGTTCATGAGTTCGCGGCTCCCTCGGCCCGAGATTCGCTCATGCATTTGGTGGGCAAGCAGGCTACTCGCGGACAGCAGGACGGGGACTCAGAGGAGATATGCGCGTTCTGTGATCTCTCATCGTGACCTAGACTCAACGTTTGCCTGTCTTCTGTAGACAGAGTGCCTCGGCTACGCTGCACAAGGCAGAGATACGAGCATCGGAAAGAGCACTGGAGATACTCGGCCAGATTACGCATCTTTGCTTTCCGGTGGTCGGCAGATTCCTTCACGGCGCCAAAGAAGCGAGCAGTGCTGAACAGATGGCATTCGACATCAGATGTCTCACCGTGTCAATGCATGCGACAAGTTGGATTTCAATCTCGACACCCGACGGGAGCAGACGCTGACGATGACTAAGCAGGGAATTGCATCGGATGGTCGAATTTGACGGACTCATTAGTGGACCATCTCATTTGTGCCATGCACATGTGTCGATATCCACGCGACGATACGCTCATCTGTCTTCCTGCGCAGCTCTGGCTCGATGAACTTGGAGCCCATTGCCCAAATGTGAGTCTGGCCCCATTCAACATGAAGCTCATGAGGTACGCCAGCTTCTCGACAGCGTCTCGCCCAATCCTTCGAATCTGGAAGCGCGAATTCTGCCGCTCCGACAAAGATCAATTGTGGGGTTAGGCCTCGAAGCTGGTCCAGAGGTCGATAAAGCGCGTTCGCATCACCATCGGTCCCAGCATATTTGCCCAGAAAAGCCTTGGTCAGCATAGGAACTGCCTCATTTGCCATGATGAAGTAATCACTCATGACCGCTTGATTGCCGCCTTCGTAGGCACTCAAGGACATGTCAATCCAGGGCGAAATCAGAATTGAGGCCGCTGGTTGAGGCATGTTTTCCGATGATGCATGCAACGCCGAATTGATGCAGATGCCACCTGCTCCAATGTCAGCATTGATTCTGAACATATCTTCTAAGTTGCGAGCTACCTCCAGCCGAATCTCCCATGAACACGATATTGTCCGACAGCACTCCAAGATCGAGCAAGTATCGATATGCGTTGAGAAAGGCACTCCGCTGCGCTGGGTGTGCAGCCTCGCCGCTGAGAGCTAAACAATATCAACAACGTGACTAAAGCTCAGGCGGTCGACTCACGATATTCTACACTCAAGAAGACGATTTCGAGACCTTTAGACTTTGCACAGGCTACCCATCTTTTCATGTACGGAACGTACATCCTCGCCTCGCCACGCGCATAGCCGCCACCGTGTGCGAACAATATGACAGTAACGTTTGCCTTGTCTGTGGCCTTGGATAGGACAGAACGATCCTGTCCTGGAATGAGATATCCGGACCATCCTTTACCGGTGATTGGTCGAGCGTCTTCTTCTGGGTAGTCGGCTGGCAAGCGATGGGTGAATGTGGGAAAGTACAACGCTGTAGAGCTAGAATATGCTTTCTGCACTTCGATACGGAAGCTTTGATATCGTGGATGCGTTGGAAGCAGAGCCCGATGTAGAATGATGAGCACGAGTTGTGTTATGAAACAATAAAGAAATCTTGCGAATTGGTACGGATGCTCCCGAATTGAGCGGATCGCGGATGGAGGCATTGCCAGGCGCAAGAAAGAAGTGTTGATTGATCTCAGTAGCAGATTACTAGCCAATTTCCATGAGATGCGTGGCCGACCAGCCAATTGTCAGCATATGGAGGAGATGCCGAGCGTCGGCCCGAGAGGATTAGAGTGGATGGGTCAAGAAGACTACATGTCGTAGAGACCTGGTAGGTGCTCTAGGATCTCACTCATAAATTGTTTGCACGTTGAGAATACCCAGGATCGTGAGTAGCAAGGCCATTGTTGATTCCAGTCAGCATGTCTCAAAACAAGAAGCCCGTACGAATATACGAATCGCCCATGGGCACAAAGCGTCCATTGAAGGTGATATTCGTGGGCATGGGCGCGAGTGGCATCAACTTTGCTCGTCAACTTTCGAGAAGGACTACAAACATTGAACTTGTCATCTACGAAAAGAATGTGAGTTTCCTTTGAAGAACATCTAGCACCAACAGCAGAAAGATAATATTCATACGCAACAGGACCACGTCGGCGGAACATGGTTCGAGAACCGATACGAAGGCTGCGCTTGCGATATTCCGAGCGTATGTTACCAATTTACATGGTAAGTTCAGAGTCAATCACAAGAGACGACCGATTCCACTCACACGAGATCATCGATCGCTCAGGCATCGCAAGCCAGACTGGTCGAGATACTACTCCGGATCCGATGAGATCTGCCAATACCTTACCGACGTAGCCGACGAACACGGACTCATGAAATACGTCAAGATGAACCACGAAGTAACTAAAGCCGAGTGGATTCAGAGCTCTGGAAAATGGAAGTTCACAATCAAGGGCCCGGAGGGCGTCTTGGAAGACCACGCCGATTTCTACATTAACGGTGGTGGTGTCCTCAAGTTCGTGATCGAAGGAATCGAAGGTTTGTGTTCAGAGGCTGATGAGAAATGTTTAGTCGATGGCGTTGGCCGGAGATCAAAGGCCTGCATGATTTTAAAGGCAAGCTCATGCACACTGCTCGTTGGGATCGATCGTGTGACTTGACGGGAAAGCGTGTTCTCAATATCGGGATCGGGAGTTCCGGGGTACAAGTCATACCGAATATCCTAGAAAGGGTCGAGAAGCTCCACGTAGTGGCGGTGCGTTTCTGTTTAACTCAGGGACACCCGCCCAAGGCTAATGAGAGCAGCGTTCACCTGTCTGGATCACCAATGGCTTTGCTCAGACATGGGCTGCGAAGGACGGTGGCAACTTCTCTTGTACGATATCCCTTTCGATTGGTCACCATTGCACTCTAACGGCGCGCAGACTCAGAAGAGGCAAAGGAGCGGTTCAGACAAGATCCCACGTACTACCAAAAATACTGCAAAGCTATAGAGTCGGAACTCAATGTCAGGTGTGTATCGAGAATCGATCTCTTTGCTCCGGCGACTTAGTCATACTAACACCGGCATACCAGGTTCAAACTCATCATGAATGGCAGTCCCGAAGCCAAAGCGGCCAAAGAAGTGCGTTATACGCAGCGGCCTGTGAAGCGGTTGATCTAAAGGCTGACTATCTTCGAACAGTTCTCTGTCAATGAGATGAGCAGAAAATTGAAAGGCCGAGCGGACTTAATCGAGCAACTGATGCCCAAGGATTTCAATATTGGATGTCGAAGACCGACTCCTGGAAACGGTCGGTCGAGATCAGGATGATATTTGCGGTGTTGAGATCACTGATAATGCCTGACCAGGGTTTCTGGAAGCTCTGACTGAGGAGAAGACACAAGTCCACTTTGGTGAAATTGCAGAGATCACGCCCAATGGCTTTGTCAACGGAGATGGAAAGGCCTACGAAGACATCGATGTCGTGATCTGTGCTACCGGGTGAGTTCTGGTTCATGCTTGANNNNTGTGTTGCAATCATCTGGAGCTGACAACAGCTATCCGTCAGTTTCGATACCTCCTTCAAGCCTCCATTCGAAGTCACATTCGACGGCAAAGACTTCGCAGAGCAACTTACAGGCGACATGGTCGGCTATCTCGGACTAGGTTATCGTGCGTATCATCCCGAAGCGTTCCAGCGAAGCGCAGCTGACCATGACAGCCGACATTCCAAATTATTTCGTCTTCATCGGCGCCTACGGTCCACTAGGTTCGTCCCGGTCACACAGCTGCGAACGATACGTGATTGTGAGCTGTACTGAAATTGTTGTATAGGTCATGGCTCGGTGCTGCCAATGGTTGAGCACTATACCGATTATGTAATCCAGGTCCTGGAGAAGGTGCAGACTGAGAACATCAAGCGTCTTCACGTGAAGCGATCGGCTGCCGAAGACTTCACGCGATACGCCGATGAGTTTCTGACTCGCACTGCCTGGACTGGGTATGTCGACTGGTTCGTAGCAGAGATGATGTACTAACAGTGTACTCCGTCCTCTAGGCCTTGTAGCTCATGGTTCCGCAACGGGAAGACTTCGAACAAGCCAGTCCTGTGGCCCGGGTCTCGCATCCATTGTAGGTCCAATGCCGCTCAACCACGAACTTTGAATTGACTGCTGATTTACCAAGACCTTTCCGTGTTGCAGCAGCCTCGCTATGAGCATTTCGAATTTGAGTATCTGGATGGGTACAATTCATTCTCGTTTCTAGGCAACGGATTTGCCACACGCGAACTGGACGGGGTAAGATTCGGTGGGCTCATATAGGATAGTCCTGCAGCTGACGAGTGGTGATAGCGCGATCTGACCTGGTATATGGGATTGCTTAATGGGCGCACTGATCAGCAGCCGCCGCCATTTCACATGGACGTCGAGGATGGTGGAGGGCGGACCAGCAACGGGGAAGCATCAGCGTCGTAAAGGTATTCGCCGCGAAATTTGACCAAGACACCTTGCAATGCTGCACTTCTTCGTTTGTCGCCATGAGAATTGCAATGATCAATGCCGTGACATGCTTACAGCGGCTTTCCCAAGTCCAGTCAACTAGTGAGCCACTCCGGCCAATCTGCGCCAGAGAGCACCCCAGAATCCATCTGGAAGAGACTCGACATTGTCTCAGGGGCGAGCAGAACAGACCATGAATCCTGCGTGGGTCTGCCTCCGTTTGGGGAGGTCGAATTCGCCGAGCGGTCTTGCACACCAAAATCCACAGCACCAGATGTAAAGCATAGTCCAGAGTGCGTAAAAGCCCAGTCAAAAAGTCTCAGCATCCAGGTCAGGCAGGGCCGAGATTCTTGTTGTTCGACTAGACACGCTGTGCCTGTTCGAATTGCTTCTTCACACATAAGCTTGTCGCTTGTGGTCAAGCCAGGGTTGAGCAGCATTTCGATACAAAGCGCGACATTGGTTGCTACTGCAGTTGAGCTACATGGTGTGGCCGGTGTTAGTGGAATAGAGTCTAACTTTGCACGAGTGAATGCTTACAAGGACATGGGAACCAGTGAACAGACCTGGTGAGTTACTGCCCGTCGAGTGACAGTATCAAGCTCAAAGAGGGAGGCGTGAAGTCGCTCTGTAATGGCAGCCCATTCGGGAGCGGTAGGATGATGTGGCTTGCGCAATGCGCGGTAAAACATGCATTCCATCCGGTAACACCATGCCATCAGGACCAGAACCCATACCCCTTCCTGCCTCCAGGACTTCACAGATTCGACGCGCAGCTCACGTGGCAGCGCCAATCGCCATTCGAAAATCGCATCTTGTAGATCCGAGACTTGCTTGTCGTCTAGACTGTGACGCTGGAGGGCAAGCAGTGCGCTGTGAACCGCACTCCCTACTTTGATCAGCTTCCTTTGGCACAACCTTTCAATTTGAGCTCGAAGTGCCTACCAATGCGCGCGAGAGCAGCCATTTGGATGAGGAACTGCTTGTGGTACATTTCCACAGGCGGAAGCAATCGATCAAGGTAATCTGGACAGCTCGTTTCGTCGTCTGGCCAATCGTCAACGGTCAGCGTAGGAGTGTCGCACTGCTTCGACCGCACAAGTCGGGCATTGTCGAGACCCGAGATAGTAGTCAAAACGTCACGGATCTGTGTGATGCATGTGAGCGCGGAACGCAGTCAGGCTTCGGTTGCTGCAGGATGTGACTGACATATATAACCCAAAAGATGCGCTTCAGGAGCGCGTAAGATTTGGGGTCCAGCTCATCCTCTATGTGTCTATCCATCAAGCATCAGCGTCATATTCCTGGGCTTCGCAGTGCAGTGCTCGCATGTACCTACTTTCTGTGAATGCCCATTCGGGTGGCCAGCCGGACAGCGTTGAATGCCTATTGAGCGTCAGTGTCCCCCCTCAACGGCCTGCTACTGAAGCAATGCATGTGGTGCATACAGACCCAGAATGTAAAGTCTTTGTCAGAGAAATACGAAACCCATTGAGTACCAAGGAGTAAGGAGCCTTGTAGCAGCGCGAGTTGGCTTTTCTCACAATTGAAATCGTACAGGAGTGTGGCACGTTGGTAGAAAGACTTTTGGGCAGCGGCGTGAGTAGGATAGCCACATTTTTCGACCAATTCTTTGCTCGCATAGGGCACTGCGTTGGCTAGCAAAGCTTGGAGCAGGAACGAAGAGTGCTCACGCCGATCGTATGCTGCAAGGAGTTCTCCACGGTCCACTACGGGGGCATATGGGAAAGCATAATGGAAGTAGACCTTGAACATCTCCTGGCTAAGCCAAATCAGCCACACGACAAGTCACTAGCTCGATAGGTAATGTATACCATGCTTGATCCGGAGGCAGCTCGAAAGCGCCTTTGGCTGATAAGAACGAAATGTCGTGCTCATCAAGACCCATGAGTTCGAGATCTCGCTGACTCCGCTCGGCCGCAGGCTCCTTTGGCGCAATTTCTATCAATCTGCAGGACTCGTGCCTTGCTAGTGCCTCGCCCAAGATCCCGGTCGCGTTGAAACTGTTTTGATATTCCATCGACCTCCAGATCCTTCGCGAGGACCTTGTGGGCGGCTTTACCTTACCTGAGGCGATCCTTTGGCATATCCGTGCCATGACATCGTCTTCATTCGTTTCTGGAGTGGAAGTCTCGAGAGGTTGGCCCCAATGTAATTCCATGTCGTCACCTAGAGCGGGCGATAGGCCCTGGCTGAGAGGCGGCGGCTGCGGATCAGACGTATGCTGGGGCGTCAGTTCCTCAGTTTCAGCTTCTTCACGCGTCGTGCTTTCCGGCAAATGATCGAAGTCCAAGATATCCGCTGCTGGTTCCGCATTCTGTCTCGTCCTGGTTGCTGTCTTCTTGTTGCGCCGTGTGCGATTCAGTATCCGGCGCCTTTGGCGTGGAGGCACGAAGCATTCGTTCGTGCGGTCAGACGAGGAACATCGAGCACAAGGAATGCCGGTCGTGTCGGCGTCACACTTCACTTTGCGTTCGCGGCATGGCCAGCATGCTTCGGAGCGCATCGTGGAGAGGCGTCTTACATTGCAATGGGGTTTTGCGTCAAGAGACAACGAGTGCAATGGAAAGGCCCATCTCGCCTCGGCAGCGCCAAGCATTCACCCCGCATGGTGTCGGAAGTCGGACATTGTTTCAAGAATTGACCGACTGTCTACAACCTTAACTTAGTTGGGGGCTGGGTTCAGTGTCTTCCTCCACCACTTCGACACTCAGATCCCTGGGCCAAAAGGGCGAATCGACACCATTTCCGCGTGTGCCAACGTTGTATCGGAGCTCGACCGTATCCTTTGGAAACCGAATTCCCGGCCGCACGACCTGCATGTCCAGCCCCAGCGCTCCACTCCGTCGCCGCTCAAAGAATTCGGGACGAAACAGCGTGTTGGCAGCATTGGCCTGAATCATGCCCAAGTAGGCCGGCACCGTCACGTTCATGCTTTGAAAGTGACGAAAGGCGCGGCCGCCGTTTCTTTTCAACACGTCCTCCCACACGGCGGGCGGATACTCTCCGCACTGACGCGCCAACCACGCGTTATAGTAGTTCAGAGCGATATCTACTACAAAAGACCCGCCCCGCTCTGCGCGCTGAATCAGGGCCTGGAGGACGCCGACACATCCCGCGACTCCCGTGCTGTCGATCAACGTTAGCCAAAATGTTCGAATTATGTCCCACAAGGGAAAATCCCCCGGGTAAGTCGTTCGAGCTCCTAATAGCAGCCTCGAGAGGTCTCTTTTTTGTCCTATGTTTGAACTTGTCCGTTTCTGATTTGTATTGTGTTAACTCACCAGTAGTCTGAATTCGGGAATACAGGCGTCACAGGCTCATCGTGGCCCATGGCACGTCCGAATCCGAAAGAGATGCCCGTGTTCTGCGCAGGCATAAGAAGGTTAGTGAAAGTAATCTCATGCTAATGTATCTCCAAAGTGCAGGGATGGTGAGAGCCATGCAGGTGAGACAAGCGGAGTCTCAGGCAGGCGGCGGCGGTAGGAGAGAATGGAAGTTCTGCCTACCGCGTCGGAAATCGGCTGCCATCCACTCCGGTGCTGCCACTCTCCCTTCCAGCCCTATCACAACATCGTGGTCAGCCGCCGCTTGGAAGCAGTCAGTCCATTGACTCACATAGCTGTTTTCGCGAGCATATATCACTCCGAACTTGCGCTCTCGACACTGTTCGAGTATGTTTTCCATGCCAAAGCCATACTTATCAAACACTCCGGGTCGGTAGCCGTCAACAACCACATCGGCCTCCTGGATTAGCTTCCGCAACTTCTCACGATCTTCAGCCTGGCGCAAGTCCAGACAACAATTCCACTTTCCCCAATTCAAGTCCGGATGAAGGCCTGTAAAGTCGGGCAGGTGTGGCGCCGTCGCACGCATCACGGAGGCGCCGAGCTCCGCCAGTCCGCGCGAGATCGATGGGCCAGCAATCACTCGGGTTAGATCGACAATCTTGAGACCGGCGAGTGGACGTTGCAGGGTCGCCGTGGCTCCGGCAGATGACCACCAGCACGGTGCCTGGTTTTCTACGGGTCGGTGGTGCACCTCGAACAGGTTGACATCGGCGTTGGCTCGACCATGGGCGCTGTCGCGGTACGCTTCCCAAGTGTTTGCAATGGTACATGCCTGTTTTGCTTGTTCATTCAAGAGTGTTTCGAGGGCGTCTGCGCGGAATTCCATGCACTTGTCGATATATGGCTGATATGAAGCTGCCAAGTTGTCCAGCTCAGGTCGATCGGGTGGTAATCCAAGTGCAGCTATAGTGGGCCCTGGATTGAGACTCCCTACCACGCCATATCCGTCAGTCATTGGCGTTGGGACGATCCTCAGTCTCCGCATGCGTCTCTCTTACCATGCAGGTGGATGAAGCGATCATCGGCAGTCTTGTATATATTCGTGGCAGCACGTCGGTACAAAGATGAGGCCATGTTGTGGACATCTTGCAGAGGAAAGTGATGCGAGTACTTCGCACTCAGCTCTCGCACTGGCGTGGGCGTAACCTGGAACTCGGCGCCAGGGTCAACCGTCAAAACGAGGGAAGACATGAACAGAAGCTGGGCGTGGTCACTGGCACAATACGTCAGCTCTTTCAATGCCAACACCCGGTGTCACACAAACGTGTTGATGACGGCGGGCAGAGGGTCGCTGTTGTATTTTCGTCCCAACAAGACATTGATCATGGCAGCCTCCATTGCTTTCAAGGCCGCCATGCTCTCTGCAAATCTCCAATTGATTGGAATCGAAGGCAGTGGCGAGCCTTCGAATGTCACTACTGCAGCACATTTGTCGATCTCAGCTGGCAGTCCGGTCTGTCGACGGTTGTTGAGAATTCCATCGTAGAGCAGCTGCCGGGCCTGGTCTGGTATTGAGTAGGTGTCCATCCTTTCCACATTCGATATTCATCAATCAAGTCGTTGAACAAGGATCTCCCCAAGAGCAATCGACAACACAGTATTCGGCTTGAGTTTGAGATGATGTTGGCTGCAATCGAGACCAAAGCCGACTCTCGGGCCGAAAGCCAAATCACAGAACCACACCTTACAGTACCACGACGCTGATGTATAACACGAAGTAGATCTTCACATGAAGTGGCTTCATAGACAGATGAAGTGAACATCAGCATGCTTGCCCAGAAGGTCGATAATTCAAACCACCTCGTTGTCGCGTCCACGATCGGCATCGTGGTCGCCTTCCTGCTGTGGCGTCTCCTACGGATTGGTTCTAGGCCGAGCGACTTACCCCCAGGTAAGCAGATAGTGGATTGACAAGTAACGTTTACAGACTTTGACACTCTTGCGCAGGTCCACCGACTCTGCCGATTTTGGGGAACCTCCATCAGCTCCCAAAGAAGAACCTGCATGTCCAGTACAAGAAATGGGCCGAAGAATGTAGGCGTATCAAGATTATGACTGTCCAAGCAAGACACCCAGCTGACAGGTCCTCAACAAGATGGCCCTATCTTTTCTCTCAAGCTCGGCGAGCAGACGACAATTGTGCTTGCCGAAGGCGGCGTAATCCGCGACCTGGTCGATCAACGAGGCTCAAATTATGCCGACAGGCCCGACCTGTGGGTACGCGGGCTCTTTGATCATTCCAGGATTATCATGAGAGGCTACGACGAACTATGGCGAATGGAGAGGAAGCTGTATCACGCTCAGCTCAACATCTCAGTCGCCAAGAAATACCTCCTCTACCAGGTAATGCTGTCTCTGATACCGAAATCATGACGCCGCTCACATGATGCACTACAGGAGGTAGAAACACATCAAATGTGCACCGAGCTTCTGCGAGACCCCGTCAACTTCGTGCAATACATCGGTCGAATGACTGGAAGCATGGCGTCGAGCATCGCTTACGGCTTCCGCCTGCCTGACGCTCAGAGCCCATTGGCACATGAGCTCCTTGAGAACTCGCACGGTTTCTTCCATTGCGTGGTACAATCTCAGTTGCTGGACTGGTATCCATCGCTCAGGCCACTTATCGAATTGGTGCCACGGAAGTGGAATCCTTGGGCTAGGAGCGCCCTCGAAGCGTACGCCAAGGAGAAGAAGACTTTTGCCAGAGCATATGCCATGGGACTGGAGAGCAAAGGGCAGTGTATGTGACTAGTTTCTGATGGAATTTTTGCTCATACTAATTGGTACCCGCTTGATAGGTTTTGCGCGTGATATCGAAGCTTCGAAAGGCGACATGGAACTTCTGACTGATCACGCAGCTACATATGTCGCAGGTATTGCGTTCGAAGGCGGCGCTGACACTACGAGATATACGCTTCAGGGCTTCATCAAGGTATATCGCTGGAATGTCTCTTGAGTCGCAGTTCTAACAACAATAGGCGATGGCAATGTTCCCTGAAGTGCAGAGAAAGGCTCAGGAGGAGATTGATCGTATCGTGCAATCAGATGAGCTCCCCTCAGGGAAACATCTCAAGGAAATGAAGTACATCAATTGTACAGCAAAGGAGACTGTCAGATGTGAGTCCAGCCTGATTGTCAGACCCCGATCTGCTTTAACGTTGTGGTTCAAGGGATGCCCACTGCGATCAATGGAGCGATACCCCACGCGGCGATGAATGAAGACCACTACCACGGCTACCGCATCCCGAAAGGTGCCACAATCGTACTGGCAGTGTGGTCAGCGAACCACAATCCAAAGGACTTCGACGAACCGCGTGAGTTCCGACCTGAAAGGCAGGATCCCAATACGACTATTTTCGAATCACAAAACGTCGCCAAACCCAGCGATCGAGGGCAGTGGGGTTTCGGGTCCGGAAGAAGAATCTGTCCTGGTGAGTCTAGCCCATCCTCCGCTCATTCGATACTTGGTTCTGACCGCAAGCTCAGGCATGCACGTTGCCCATAACACTCTTTTACTGAGTATTTCGCGCATTTTGTGGGCTTTTGACATACAGAAAGCCAAGGATGCCGATGGTAAGGAAATTGAAATTGATAGAGACGCATTTGTGGGAGGTGTGTTTCCCTGTGAGAAATTGGTTAGTCGCTGCTAACGTCATGTAGGTCTTGCAGCAGCACCGGCGCCGTTCCAGTAAGTTGGTATATTTCAGTTAAGCTATTGACTCTAATGATCTTCAGGTGCACCATACGGCCGCGTAGCGAAGCACGAGCAAAACTGGTGCAGAGGGAATGGGAGAGAATCTCGGCTGAATTGCTGGATAGCGAGGGCAACTATCGGTCTGCAGGCAATTGATGTAGCACGATGCAGCCATGGCTATGGCTGAGCAGGCGTTATCAGACCTGATAAAATCTGTGCTGATAAAAATATCGGTTTGACATCGTGTTAGACATAATTCATAATCCAAAAAGTATATGCAGGACGTACAAATATGCGGTATCTCGGAAGAGGCTGTACGTACGTCCGCGCCGCTTTGTTACAACAGGGAACAGAGACATTCTTTCTCTTCTAGAGAGTGATATGCTTTGATGCAGAATTCAGTCACGTCTCAGACAGACCTCTCTAGAACCCATCTGGGTCGTTGACAAGCAGGGAGGCTGTGAAAGGTTCAGAATTTCAGAGCAAGGTGTTCTTCACGATGATCATCTCAGACCGCAGCAGAGATGCACAAGGTGAACCGGAGCGAGACGTAGAGCTCCTAAGATTTTGATCTGCGAACACTCGAATGGAGGCCTTAGAGAGACATTGGCCATGAGCAAGGGACCTACGGCATCCGAGTGATAAGTGGAAATGTATCAATGAAGAACAGTTACTACGCTGAGAACGTTCTAATTTCTGTCGATTTATATAACCCGCCGTTAAATCATGCTTCTACCGATCTCAGACTGCCAATTTTCCGCTCTTTCGAATCCATTTGAGTATGTACTGTAGTCCATCACGGCTTGTCGAACCTGGGCGGCATTTAACCCGACGAATGGTCCGTATTGGAGCACAGGTTGGTCTAGAGGCATGCCAGAAATCAGGACAAACCGAGAGTCCTCCTTCGCACTTGACGGAACATATGCAATTACTTGGTCACCATTTTGTTCAAAGACGGTGTTGTGATAGCGCGGGACTTCTTTAGTTGTGCTTCCCGTATCCCATACTGTAGTTCCCTCCAGCGTGTACGCAAATGTATTCCATTTGGCCGGAAGAGGCTGAACTAGTCGTCCGCCAGGCGATATCGTTACATCAAGAATCCAGACCGGAGTGTAGGCTAATTCTTGCAAAGAGTCAACGTTTTGCGAGCGGCCTGAAATCACTTTGATGATGGATATCAGACTCAGTAGAATGATTAAAAGGTATTGCATTTGCAGAGCTATCTATGGGCAAAGCCCTGGATCAGATCAGAAGCTTGCGTGCATGTGAAGTAGTAAAAAGTCAAGAGTACGCCATAACCCTGAGCTCGTGCCCGCTCGTGTCGATGAGCCCATTACTGTCCGGACCCGGACCAAGCATTTGCTGTCACTGCGAAATATTAGCTTGCAAGACTGAGATGAGAGAGCACGCGTTGGTAAGACTCACGCTCGTCCGGAAGGCCATGCGGCAGGACGCCGCGCGGCTGCCCATCTGCTGCCGTCTGCTGCTGGCTGCCCACTTGCTGCTGGCTGCCCACTTGCTGCTGGCTGCCCGTTTGCTGCTCGTTGCCCGTTGGCTGCTGGCTGCCCGGTTGCTGTCCGTCTTGCTGCCCGTTCTGCTGTCCGTTTTGCTGCCCGTCTGCTGCCGACACGTCCGCCATGGCGGCGTCTGTCAATAGACCTGCGCATTAGCAATATCCTGCTGAGCTCAAACGCCAGATCGTGCCTGTGACTTACCTTCTTGCCCGTCTTGCCCGTTGCCCGTGGCGCCTTGCTGCCCGTTGCCCGTGGCGCCTTGCTGCCCGTTGCCCACTTGCTGCCCGTTGCCCACTTGCTGCCCATTGCCCATTTGCTGCCCATTGCCCGTAAGCTGCTGCAGCTGCAGCTGCAAAGCAGCAATTTGCTGCGCCATTTGCTGCACGTTCTGCCCTTGCTGCCCGTTTGCTGCTCGGCCTCCACGGCCTCCACGGCCTACAGTAGATTAGCTTACAAGCAACTCTCGATTGAATCTTCTTCAGACTCACCACGCTTCTGCCCGTGCCCGCGGCCCGGCTTGGTGATGCCGTCTAAAGGAGAGGTCAATAACGAATACCACGGATCAAACATGGATCTTACGCAGCTGCAGCATACGCTGCTTGGTGCCCTGCGATTGCATTAGTACTATCATGAAACCATTGTTGAGCATTACTGACTTTGGCGTTCTTCTTCGGGCAGTCCCGACGAAAGTGCAGGAAGCTCTGAGCTCAATATCAGTATACATATCATCAATCACGGCTAGCATGAGCATACGCCGCACTCGGTGCAGGCACCGGGTGGTGGGCGCCGACCCCCACCACCCCCGCCGTCGTCACCGGC